TATTCTTGCTGCGCCAATCGAGAAATAGTGCAGTGGCATTTCATCCAATGAACAGCTCTAGACTAGGGTTGAGAGGCGAAAAAGAAGACGTCCGCATGGCAGAGCGACTACAGTCGGGGGGGGTTCGGAGCTGATAGCCCTGCACAGGCTGACCGAATGGGGGTTTTGCAGGGCTTACGCCCAAGAACCAACACCGACGGCCGGCAGCGATTGGGAGATGCGAACAGTCATCTGTCGCGATCCGGAACCGATAGCCTAGGCCGGTAGAGCGAATGAGTGGCCGAAGTGGTGGGGGCACTGCCTGGGACTCTGCAGCTGCGCCGCATACTAATATATTGTCTGTCAGTATATAGACCAGAAAAAGAAAAAAAAAAGGAAAATAATATAAGCCTGCTGCCGAGACCGAATTCGACAGGGCTCGGTTAGTGCATCCGGGGTGGGAATGTTCACCGCGATGTGGGCTCTTTTCAATCCCCCGAGATACTGCGATCCATGGTTGACTTCTCGTCGGGGGCCTTGACTAGGCCAAAGTACATACGCGGGGATCATTATTCTATGCGTGAATCAACCCGAACACGAATAATAACTAATCTCTCGGCTCCCCTGTCGCACTACTGTCGATCTAGCCGACATACGCTGTCTGATACGTGCTGCCCCGCCTCGATGAAGAATGCCGGGCAGCCACGCACGTTCGGACTGGCCCGAAACCCTGTCCGATCGACTTTGACGCAGTACGCGTGACGATAGGGTCCGCCTTGACCAAGGTCGATCGTCGGTCACCCACAGTTTCAACGGTTTTCGTTTTTGATTGGGGGGCACAAATTCTTTCTGCCTGATCTATTATCTAATGACACGCTGAGTTACATACATGTACGGCGGACAATCGGGCCTCTCGGCCGGGGGAAAAAAAGGAGCTGTGATTGGGAGCTAGCGTAACAGGCGGATGAGCCGCTCCCCACTTGGTGTCTTACGACTGACAGTGATAGACGCGCCGTCACTGCTGCCATGCGATGCGGCGTAGTCAAATTTGCGCAAGTCGTAGCGGTTTGCCAACTGTTCTTTTTTCTATTTTTTCTTTGTGTCTTTCTTTGTGTCTTGCTCCGGTATCTCCGACAAGCAGTCTAATTTCCCCTTTTTGAGTGAACTAGACGTGCCATCCATGGCGCCATAGTCACCCTTGACCGATATAGGCCATTCAGGGCTGAAGAGAACTCGGAGACCGTGCTTTCTTCTCCGATCCGCCGATCCGATCAGCGACATCTCCTCACTTCTTTGTTTCCGGTTCCCACCACTACCATGTCAATCCAATCACCTCTCGACGCCTCCAACCAATGTTCGTCAAGCTGTCGCATAGCCGCAGGCCTTTTCGGTCACGTGAAATAAGATGTAACGATAAACGAGGAATGAAATTTGGTTCGTCCAGGGGTCCCTGGTTCGAGCTAGTATCTGGCGCAGTTGCAGCTCTTCCCTGAAGGACTCTTGCCTAAACAAGCGGAGCGCCGCCCGGTAGCCATCTGTGGAACTACACATGTTGCTGGGTTCAATAATAGTCGGTTACGAGTCATGCTGCTGCGCTGATACCCCAGCTTGGCGCCGAAGCCATCCAACGGCCAACCAGAAAAATAATGTTGACCAGGGTCGATTTCTTTGTGACGGGCGAGAGAAGGATGAGCCGCCGAGCGGAGAGAACTGGATCGAAGTTGTCGATCGCGCTGTTTCTTTATTTGCTTCGGCAAAAAAGCATCATCCATCATCCCCTGTCTGGTTAATTTGGAATGGCTCTGCAACCGTGACGAGTCAGCGACCACGAGAGACGTTGGTGGCGTGGCTTGCGCCATAGTTGGTTAGCGATAGCCGCCGTCTGCAGGTTCGCTACCACTGACATTAATGTATCACTAGACAGTCGATCCTCAGAGCACGCCATTCACGATCGTTCAATACATACATACCAGATACGACCACAGGCGGGTCGAAGCGAAAGAGAGAGAGAGAGAAAATGACTCGCTCGTCATCGCCTTTCCAAACCCCCGGCTTTGGCTTCACCGCGCGCAAGGCGCAGTCCCGGAGAAAATGAGGAGAAATTCAGCGAGGCCCGCAACCAGAGTGGAGGATCTACCCCCTCCCACCCCACATCTTCACCAATTTCTGTTCTATTATTATTATTGGAAGATGGACAACGAAATGTTTCAGCAGAGTCGTGTTGGTTAGTGATGTCCCGAACGGCCCCAATCTGCTTGAGCCAGGAAGGCCTGGCCAATGCGCCTGCCAAACCTGAATTTAGGACTTTTGCGCTGAACCACAAGCCACCTTTTGCTGGCGCCTGGGGTTGGAAATGTTGATTGCTGGGGGCGGAACCACCGCTTCGTTGACCGGTTTAGGCATGTAACTCTGGAGACAGTGACTTGCCAGAGGAGAGGCGGTGTTCAGCCGCATGTTGCTCGACGCTTAGTGGACCCCCGTGCAGAATGTCTGGGTGAGACCGGTGGCTGGTCTGCGGGTCCGCTTCGCGGACCCCAAGCCTACCTCTGTCTTTCCGGAGTTGGGATAGTCCAGCCTCAGCCATGTGGCCCCCCTCCCCTTCCAAGGTTCCTATGATACAGCCAAATCCTGCAGAGAGGTGTCGTGAGACCAACGGTGAGTCACCTGGCACCGTTGTTGGCGTATGGAATGCCACGGTGATCGGCAATTTGCTGAGAATTTACAGGGCAACTTGCACGATACTGAATATTCAGCCTTTTTTTTTTTTAGTAGTCTGTCAGTGCCCTTCGGGAAATCAGGTATTATTGCGTCAGTTCCGCCAATGCACTATGTATCTTTTTTTACTTTCGTCACGGATCCAAATCAGTAGGGTGTGATAAGGCCCCCCCTTTTTTTGGTCTTTTTTAATTTAATCTTCGTCAAAGACTAGTCTGCCCGACCAAGCTCGATTAGGTATCGCAGGGCCTCCTGCCAACGCAAGCGCACCGTTCTAAGGCCTAAGCGACACGTGGTGGACAGATCATTTTGTTGGATTGCAGGATCACTGTATACGGGGCCGTTGCAGACCGTACTATATGCTGTATTATTGAGCAGAGGAGAGCAATTCAAAATACCGACTGCGACAGTAACTGCTGATCTGACTTCTCAACAAAACATTCGCTGTTTCTGATTATTTCTATTTCAGTTATGAAGGATTCTCTGAGCTCCTTTCAGGAGCTTATAATAATAGAAACGTTGCCCAGCGATTAATTCGATTCCTGCACGGGCGGGAGGGTCCGGAGTAGCACAGCAGATGTCGGCAAAGGAGGGCGGCGGTGGATCATGGTCCATTATTCTCGTCGCCAGGCGGCAGATATTGTATTAATAATTGGGTCTTGTTCTCGCGAGTTTTCTCCGGATGTCAATTGCCGGAAAGGCCTGTTACGCTCGTTACAGCCTGGTCGCGGAGTTGCAGCACTCGCCAGCTTGCGGCCCAAGCGTCGTTACCACGTGCGAGTTGCGAATGTCTGTTGAGACCGAAATGTCGTCAGCCCTAGATCGAGGCCTAGTGCCTTTGGCCATCACACCGGAGGCCAGAATCCCGGGTCGGTAGTGCGGAGCTAGTATTGTACGGGTGCGCAGTCACAAGTCAATTTGTATTCGCCGAAAGTCTCATGATATCTACATCCTATAGACAGTCTAACCCCCTCTAGCAGGTCGATAAAAATCAAAAGCCAAAAGGGATTCGCTTTGACATTGATGATGCCATGGAGAATAACACATCACGACAGCACTTTCACTCTTTACTTGGTTCGCGTATCTCGCGGACCCATAGTTACTGAGTTTATTCCACCCGGATATACGGTAGTTAGAACACATCCACTTTTCTGCCCTCTGCTCGGTGAGGTCCGAAGTCGGAAGACTCGCTCAGTACAGCGCGCGTAATGACAAAGAAAGAAAGGCATGCACCGTTGCGCATCAGCCTCTTTCAGCGTCAAACACATGGCTGGCCTGACGGATACGTTGCATCATCGTGCTTTCGGATATTTTCTCGTCAACAGGGTTTTCCAGAAATCCTGCTTCTTGAATCACACCGATAGTACTACCTGAAAGGCAGAGTTAATCATTCCCAGACCTCGGAGAGGTCCGGGTATTGCGTAATTCACAGATACATACTTTCAGCAAAACAAGTACCGCTAGTGACTTAAGTCCGTCCTGACAGAGCCTCAGGTGCTGCAGAAGTGGCCGACTCCGGCCCACGCGATCGCAATAACCAACGCTCTTGATGAACGGATCCATGGAAAGAAATTGCTCGATAACACCACATCAGACCACACCACCCCTATCGCAACCCCCACGCGAACACACGTCAGAGCATCCGAGCGGCCATTAATGATTCGTCGCACTTAATTGCCTGTTTGGGATCGAGAAAAAACGACCATAAGGCTCTGAGATACATAGTGGTAGCCAATGAGAAATATGGAGTGACCATCTGACTTTTTAATTTTCTCCAGAAGAAGATCTTCTTCACGAGGAAGGAAAAAAAGCGGGCGGCTTCCTGGCGTCGGAGCCGGCGGGATCAGACCGTCCAGCTTAGTTTCGCTTCTTGTTACTATTTTGCGATTTTACTTCTTGTCGGTGGTTGAATTATTTTCCGGTGCTGACACTGAGGAAGTTGTTCCTAAACAGTTCATTGCTACTGAGAATCTGACTGCCTATTCATAAACTCGATGCGTATTAGTTTCGTCTGCGATGAATCCGTACCAATAGGTAATCTAATTCTTGAACTTACAACAGTACAGTATACAACTCACCTTCTTGTCTACATGTACCTGCCTTTCTTCTTAGACTACAAAATTGCCAAATCACTACTGTGCCATTACGTCTACAACTATCCCCGTCTCCTAATCCCATTTCGACCCAAATCCTTACCCAGGATCTCGCCCTATACGAAAGAATACAAAAACATAAACTCAACGCCAACTCCGTAATAAACACTGCCAAGCCACTAACCCATCCACAGGGGGGGCCTATTGTACTAGATGATTCGGCGAGCGAAGCTGCCAGGATGCGCCGCCGCACCCGCCAACACGTTCTCGGTAGGTAGGATGCTAGTGGTAACTTTTGAAACTATGTATTTATGGAAATACGGGCTTTCGTAGATACAAACAGCAGTCACCTCAAAACGTGTGTTTGTAAGTAAGTAAGTATGAGAAGTGATATCTCCAAATTTCCGACTTCCTTTTGAAGTACGTAATTTGATCTTCCTCCTTATTATTTAAAAGATAGTTGTTACAGCCCATCGATTATAATTACTGGTTGTAGTTACAGCCACCACATGCCGGTAGAACTATTAGCGTGACACCTCAAGGAACTCGGGCTATCTAGGCGCCACTAAACTTACTAACGTTACCACTGTGTGCTTACTGTTACCTCCTCCAGTCGCTGTGGTGTCACTCCTGATACTGACTCGAATATGTTCGAGACAGAGCAAGGCTAACTAGCGTAGCATGGACTATATTATAATTAGACACACGCCATCATCGCCAACGCCTCGTCATCACTATCGGTCGGTGATTGTGTCATATGTTCGCCTTGCTTACTCCGAAACAATTACCGTAGTTAGACCATCCGATTGTATGTGGAGATGAGATGGGCATGGCTTAGTGAGACGTGAAATATGTTTCGGGCTGTGCGTGAACTTGTCAGAGTTTTTGCTGGATGGGGCCTTGCTTGTTGCTTGCTAGAAAGAGCTCTACTCGCATTCACGGAGTACGCTTTGAGGGCTATTATGTTCGTGTCCAGTGGTAAGTATATTTGCATAAATGCGTGGGAGGTTTACTCATTAAAGATCAAGTACGCATGGAGCAAGGAATGAGAAATAACTGCTCATATTGGATCTGCAAAAGATACTGGGGACATTCCCAGACGTTCCTCGATGAGTAACTACAGCAGAAGAGCAACACGATATCAGATCACTGTCTGGAATCGAAACAATCTCGAAATTCACTGAAACGCCAGACGCTCAAAGGCATATCCTTAATATGCTCGCGAACTAAACGAAGGATACGTGTATGTGCGCTGGAATAAATCACAGCTCGTCGGAGATGGCAACAGCGCTGACCATACGGGCAAGTGGCGCGTTCGAGTGGAAGCCGGTTGCGAGCTGGCAGCTATACAACCCAATCCGATGGGTCAGTATCGAGGGGATGAATGGCTGATGAACAAAAAGACTACTTACGGGTCAGCATCGAACTCGACGTCGCAGTCCCTCCAATCCTGGGAGTCCTTGATCGAACCAACGAAGCTGATCGAGTTGGCGATGTTGCAGAAATAGAAACGGACGATACCAGCCTGTTCACGCATTAGACAATCAGTCAGGTGTCTTTTCGTAGAAGAAAGGGTCAGTCACATACCCCATTCGCAGCAGCAAGGTAGCTCAGATGCTCAAGCTTGTAGCCATCCTGCTGGCCAACGGCCTGCAGCTGAGCGAAGCTAAGGGTCTGAAGAACAGGAACAGCGCGAACGACACGAGTAGCGCCGGCCTTGATGGCCTCGTCGTGCTTGGCGTCAATGACAACCGACTGCTCGCTCAGCTCAGCAGTGACGACATGCTCGCCGTCGCTAGCAATGCGAATACCCTTCTCATACAGACCAGCATACTTCTTGCAGTCGTCGGCGTCGGTAAAGATGACGACAGCCTCACCATTTTCAATCGAGACATGATCAACAACACCACCGTGCACCAGGGACAGCAAGTCAGAGACGCTAATCCAGTCAGGGAGGTTCTTGAAAATAACAACAGGAGTCGTGGTGGTCACCATAGGGGAAAGCTGGGTGGCCAGCGAGCGCCACTTCGCCATGAAGGCGGCGGGGTCCGCAAGGCCAGCGCCAGCAGGAGCAGGAGCAGAGAGGGACGCCTTATCCTCGGTTGGAAGGGCAGAGTCGGCACCAGCAGCGAGCTCGAGAGGAGGCCGGTTCGTTCCCTCAGCTTTGGCCTTGTTCAGGGCGGCCAGCTTCTTCTGCCAGGCTTCGACAAGAGCCTTGTCCTCGGCGATCGTGAACATGACGGTTTCGAGATACTGAGAAAGTCAGGAAGGTAGAAGACAAAGTGAGGAAGTGAGTAGAAGAAATGCGAGGGTGAGGGTAATGGTAAGGCTGAGAGCGTTTACTGTGGGAAGGAAGGAGGAAGAGGAACCAGATGGGAAGAAGGTAAACAAACTTATGCGGCAGGCAGGCAGGCAGCCAGCCAACCCTTACCAGTATTACGCGCATAAGCCGCTTCGAAACAATAAACCCACCTTGTGCGCATCAACCGCAGTGACCAGGTCCTTCTCAGGCTGCGGGCAGCAGAGCTTGGCCAGATCGCGGGCCTTGATGCCCATATCCATGCAGATCTCCGTCCAGCTGAGGAGAAGCTCCCCGAGAGTGATTGAGGTCTCCATCATGGTCGGAGCTGAACGGCCCGAGAGAGCCATCTTCTCATCAGTGCTAGTAACCATTTTGAAAGTGATAAGACAACGTGAATGAGATTAGTGGCTAGAGAGGTGGTGTGTTGTGGATGAGAACGGAGAGAACGGGGAGAGCAAAGTAAGACAGAAAAGGCCGAGTAGAACGAGGATAAACACAGGTAGAAACATCAACATAGACACAGTCACAGTTGATGGTATGGCACCAGTGCTGCCTGTATAACGCAATTATATTCTACCTATATTCTACCTCGTTCATCGTGTTCACAACCATCTTGATATGGCCACACACCGTATGCACATGCCCCATGACGAGGGAGTAGGAACCGCCTTCTGACCGGGCCAACCGGGGGCATGGTCCTCCTGACAAGAAGTCAAAGACTAGGCCGATTATACAACCCATCATGACCCATAGTCACTCCACCGTCTGGAGGGAGTTGCCACTTTCCAGCTTCTCGTGAGCCACCCAAACCATCTCCTACACGCTCTGGCCATGTGTCTTGGTGCAGCGAGTGGTGCATTAGACGAGATGTCATGGTACAGAATTCATGCTTCCCACCAGATCGGACAATTCACCCACACAGGAGAGAGAGATGGATATTGCATGAATCGTGAGGTTGCACGAAGCTACCCGGAGCTTATTCCGCAGTCACGTGCTGGGTCATCGATCGAGTTGATCCGATCGTTAGTTATTCTTCTCTGGATGATTATAGTTGGATTCTGGTCGCGCATCCAGTGGACTGCATCTTTGCGTGTTTTTGCTCTCTGTCCTCACTCCCCCCAACCATGGGTCCGAGCCAGAGCACCCGCCAGAATCCCCGGTCAATGACGTAAGGTAGCTTACTGACTTCCCAGGTAGACCGACACATCGTGGCCACGTCCACCACCACCCCCTCCCCATCTCACTCCTCCATCCTTGTTGCATACATATATTCAGACGTACATACACTCGACCATCCATTCACTGCCACCATGTCGCAATTCAAACTCGCCAACTCCGCCGGCCCCGTCCCCGGCAACGGTACCCCCCACCCGAGTTCACTCTCAAAACCAAGCCCTCGACCGACATATGGTGCAAACCACCATCCACCACCCGCTTCAACGCCCCAATTCTCTACCAATCCATGCCCATCAAATCATTCCGACGTGCCCGCGTAGCCATCAATGCGGCCTGGAAGGACAAATACGACCAAGGCGGCCTGATCCTGGTCCTCAAGAAACAGGACGGGACCCAGAAGTGGGTGAAGACGGGAATCGAACTCACGCATGGCCGACCGCATCTCAGCGTCGTGGCCAAGGACCACTGGGCGGATTGGAGCTTGTGTCCTGTGCCAAGTGGGGGTGGAGCGGCAACGCTGGAGATGGTTCGTGAGTCGGATGGGAGTTTGTGGATTTATTTGGTCGAGGGAGTGCAGAAGTCGCCTATTCGGGAGGTGACTTGGGTGTTTGACGGGGAGGAGGAGGTTTCTGAGTGCTGGGTTGGGGTGTATGCGGCCAAACCGGCGAGTGAGGGGGGAGACCTGGGGGTGCATTTTGGGCATTTGGTGATCGAATGAGGAGACAGATCGTTTTTTGTCGCTGTCGCAGTAGTGCTATAGTGCTAAATAAATCCTTCCGTCTTTCATAACTACATAACTCCTACTCCGTATTCAGCGGTGACAGCGAATTACGGGATGCGGGCTTAGCCGCCTGTTTGAGTAAGAGTCCCTTAGAAGTGAAAGAGATCTTAGTTAGCTTGTCATGTATTGTGAGTGAACTGACTGCCATTTCAGAAAGATAATACTATCAAGGTACAAATAGATCCACATAGACTTCGGAGAATTTGGGTATATATTTGAGCTTATGTCAAGAATTGGAATTCCTACAGGTCACATACAGGGATTTTACCCCTCATCAACAGTTAGTTCCTATTATGTATTAGTCATTTAATAGTTAGTGAGCCCTCTAAATTGTCGGGCATTCCCAGATTTATCTGAATCAGAGATTTATTTCTTCGTGATTTACACGTCCATGTGGGACTGTCGTACGCCCCAGATTCTGACAGCATATTCCATATACCCGCCCCCTAGAAGTCAGGCCCTCACCGCTCCCGGTCAGTACCCCGCAGAATCATAAAATCACAGTACTAGACCAAGAGGCAGCTTTCGAGATCATCTAGTTCTCATCTCGCCGAGTACTGCTCAGTGGAGAGAGCGAATCGGAAGAACATACCCGAGTGAAAATCCGCGCGGTGCACTGGAAGAAGAAAATCGGGATTCATATCCCGAGAGCAGAAGAATATAACAGGCAGTTCAATTAACCTGTAATAGCCAATCTAGAACTGTTCCCGACCCTTTATTGTTAAAATGATATCCAACAAAATCGCCATCACCACTATTTCGTTGGGCCAACATGCCACCCACACCCTAGATCAAAAGATCCGGGCCGCAGCACAGTATGGCTTCGCCGGCCTCGAGCTCGTATATTCCGATCTGAGCGCTTATGCAGAGGCAAACGGTCTGTCAATGTGTACAGCGGCAGAAATTATCCGAGATCTATGCGCCAAAAACAAAATTACAATTATTTCACTCGCTGCCTTTGAGAACTTCGAGGGATCCACCGTGCCGTTAGAAAAACGACTCGAGGTCGCCCGGCATTGGATTGACATTGCTAGGAAGGCCGGCGCTTCCTATCTCCAGATCCCCTCACACTACAAGGCCGATGAATCGACTGGCGATGAAACGGTACGCATTTCAGATTTGCAGAAACTCGCGGATATCGGCAGCGCCGAGCAGCCCGTCGTGTCAATCGCTTACGAAGCGCTGTCATGGGGAACACATTACTCCACATGGGAAGACTCGCTGTATGTGGTTGAGAAGGTGAATCGGTCGAACTTCGGTCTCTGTCTAGACAATTTCCATGTCATCACAAAGCTGTGGGCCAATGCGTTTGACAAATCAGGGAAATTTCCCAACGCCGACCGAGATCTGGAGCAATCGTTGCGTCGATTCAGGGAGGGCTGCCCAGTTGACAAGATCTTTTATCTACAGTTCTCCGATGGAGAGCTTTTCGATCCGCCTTTTTCGGAAAAGCATCCGTGGTATCTGGAAGGCGAGGCACCGGAGTTTACTTGGTCTAAACATGCTCGCCCGTTCCCGTTGGAGTCGGAGCTGGGCGGGTATATGCCTGTTGTGGATGTTGCTAGAACGTGGATTGTTGAGTCTGGATTCAAGGGGTGGGTGTCTTTGGAGGTCTTTGATCGAAGGATGCGGGACGAGAGTTACCAGGTGCAGACCGCTGCAAAGAGAGGACAGGAGTCGTGGAGGAAGCTTAAGGCCGAATTGGAGTCGTAGGTGTGGGTTATCGGGTGATGGCTAGAGCGATGATTAATGAAGATCTGTAAATACACAGTTAGAGTATCCAATTTTCGAATCACTTCATGTACTCTTCTCTTCTGTCTTCTGCTATGCTTATATTCTAATTCTTCCACAATAAGATCCGGTCCGTAACTTAGATAGAACTGTTACTACCGGAATCAATAACACCACTATTATCAGTTAACACAAAGCTATAACGTTAAGTAAGATCATAGCAAGCAGAGCGGTTAACAGCAATAGTACTTCAGCCACACAACCCGTGACCGAGATCATCGCAGTTGATGGCTGGACCTGAACTAGTGTCGATAGTCTCATAAATGAAGATAGTGTCATGCAGTAAGGTTGATGAGGATAGTATTAGTGATATACAGATGCGTTGCTTCCACCGTATTCTTTCCCCAGGAGAACTGGCAGATATATTGCATGACTTCTTCCTCGTCGGTCTCTTGCAGACCACGAACGTGATGTCGATGTCTATTGTATCGCTAATATTGCAGGTGGTAAATTGTAGAGCACCTGAGTAGACACTGGTAGAATTACAGTTCCCGTATTCCACCAGAGTCCGTCAAGAGACTCATAAGCTTCAATGTTGACAGATTGGCCGTCTTAGATAATGGGTACACGAGGCTCTCTTTCACGGAGGTTAGAACGATTGTAAAATCCAGGGACATAGAGGGTCCGACCTAGCCACCGGGGGTAAGCAAGTAAGTGCCGTTATCGCTGAAGATTACATCTTCTGGAGTACTGGGGACAACCTTGTGCCCTTGTGGGATTTATTCTAGACGGATTCGTTACCACAGGTTTGAACCTAGAAGACGACTTACACCAGACAGCTCTGCGCTATGCTGTCGCGAAACGCAACAAGGCAGCAGGGCAGGTTCAACTTGAAAGGGAAGAAGACCCTCTCACACCCGGTATTCACAATGTTATACCGCTTCGCCTGGCTATTTTAAACCGCGATTTATCCATATCGAGGGAAATTCTTCATGTTTCGGGAAATCAAAATCAAAATGGGCCGAAGAAATGAATCTGGTTCTTGTCTTATTTAACTATAGTCAAGCCACAACTTCACAATGTTCTGCCTCACTAGCTAATTTCCCTGTATCAACACTAAACCCAACTGGTGTCTCCGTGCGCGCAATCCTCGTCGCCTCAGGCCAGCTCATATCCTTCCCGGCTTCATGTTTGATCTCGAACACACGGTCGATCTGTTCCAAGGAGAGATTGGCAGTCTCAACGTAGAACCACCAGATAACCGGAATGAAGCAGAAGTTGAAGATGGCATAGAGCATGTAATACTTCCACTGGATATTTTCGATGGCGGTGGGCGTGACCACGACCACCATATAGACAAAGACCCAGTTCACCGTCGTAGCGAATGAGGTACCGATGTTTCGCATCTTCTGGGAGTTGATTTCTGCCGGGTACATGTACGGAATAGAGAGGAGTGACATGCCGTAGAAAACATAGTACATGAAGATGAATACGACGGCGAGGATCGACATGCCTCTGTTGTCAGCTCCGCCATAGCGTAGTCCGACGGCGACCAGTGCGAAGCATATACTGCTTGCAGAGACACCCATCAACATCAGGCGTTTCCGGCCAACTCGGTCGATGACCAAGGCGGCCATCGAACCCCAGAACATCAACGACATCGAGTCGACCGCGGACAGAATCAAGGCCATGCGGTTACTGAGCCCAACACTTCGCGTCAAAACAATAGGCAAGTAGTATGCAATCACATTTGTTCCTCCAACTTGTTGGAAGAAGGGAGTTCCTGCTCCGAGGAGCATTCGACGGAGTGTTTGTTGCTTGTTGTTGCTGGCGAAAATTTCTTTTAGGACACTGGATTTCTGTAAATCTGCCTCATGGTGGACCGTAGCAACTAGCTTCTGGATCTCATCGACCACTGCAGGGTCGTTCTCCGATTTCGCCAGGAGTCGTGCGAGGATATTTTGTGCCTCGCTGACACGATCTTTCATCACTAGCCAACGAGGAGACTCCGGGGTGACGAGAACCAGGGAGATGGTGACGATTGCAAAGAAACACTGGAAGGCAAGTGGGAACCGCCAGCTCACAGCGGAGTGCGGGATGAAGGTGAAACCATAGTTCATCCACTGTAGGAAATTTGGTCAGTTCCATTGTTGCAGTAGACAAGGCCCAGGGGCACGAGGAGGCATACATTTGTGATCACGATCCCGAATATATTCGTCACTAACTGAGCGACAATGAGCTTTCCACGGTCATTTGCTCGAGCGGTTTCCGATTGCCAGATGGGAATGGCGATTGTGTTCATGCCGTTCCCTATACCCGCCACCACACGGCCCACAATCATTTGAGCCAGGGAGTAAGATGCAGTCTGTAACACAGCACCGACAATCAGGATACAGCACCCGATGAGAATACATCGTCTGCGACCCAGTTTGTCACCGAAGAACATAGATACCAAGGTGCCAATGATGCAGCCTATATCGTAAGTCGCCACAATCTGGCCCTGGATCGTGGCACCAGGGTTCCCGAAGGTCCGAAGGAAAGGCTCATTGTCGAGTAAGCCACCGAAGACACCTTGGTCATAGCCAAAAAGGAGGAACCCGGCACCACAAGCGGCAGTAATACCGAATTGGAGAGGCTTGCCTTGAGTTTCTTTGAAAAACATTCTCAAAATTTGCTAATCCGGAGGGAGACCGGAGAGAAACGAGATATAATATAACCCATGCAATCCCGAGATGGCCGATATATCGCATGAATAATTTCTGGGATGTGATAGGGGCCAAGTCTCAGGTTAGTGTAAATCCGGGGTATGCCTTATCCCCACACTGACAATAACGACAAAAGTGGTTCGGGATTCATTCTCCGAAGCTTGCTCACCGAGGCAAGTGACCCGGGATTAATCCCGAACAATGACTCGCCCACCGGCAACTCTGTTCTTCTCATAGAACGCCCCCCCGCACCACCCCCGAAGATTAATCTTTCTGATTTCAATGATGACGACTTTTTTCAAGCCCCGCAGGCCGATCATTATCGTTAGTTCAGTTGGAAAGGCCCTGCAGATGGGCGAATTAGATCTGGATGCCTCCGTAAACTTTGACCTCTTGTTCGTCCGCAGTCTTTCACCCCGTATCTCGTCCCCCACTATCCAACTTTCCCACCGTAATTATCTTCTTCACTATATTATTCAATAGCACTGGTTAAAGCAAATGTACGACAATGCCTCCTGTCAAAGCGTCGAAAAGGAGACATGCCTCCATGGCTTGCCTCGCTTGTCGTGAGAGCAAAATAAAGGTGAGTTCACCTCTGTTCATTGGGTCCAGTATCGAGATCTTCTTAACTGGCTAACACTCACAGTGTGATGGTGGTGACCCGACGTGCTCCAGCTGCGCAAACAGGAATCGGGACTGTCGGTATCAGGCTGTTGACAAGAGAAAGTATGTACTATAATGACACTGCGGGGTTCAAGCAAAGGCATAAACACTCCAATTCACGACGAGGAATTCACAAGTATTCTGCAGGCTTCCTCTTCGAGTCGCTATCGAATTACTGTCGAGTAGAGTGGATCAGCTATGCCACTTCATACGCGACAATGGGCTTCAGCCACCGCCCATGGCGGAGGAGAAGGATTCGGCGTTGACAAAGACGTTGGAGATACTTGGGCTGGCCGAAGTGAACTCGACGTTAACACAACAGGTAACTGGCAAAACTATGGGGCCTTCGGTCGCGATCAACGGTGCGGACTCGCATTTCCAAGGCTCCTCGCCTATTCCCATCAATCCCACTGCAACAAATCAATCGGAGAACGCCGAGCCCCAGCCAACTGGACCGTCGCCTGAACCAGGGTCTGTGGAGGCAGTGCCGTCTAAACCCCTCCATTCTTTCTCTAGAGCCCACAATGAAGCAATTACAGCGCCGCTCCCAGAACACCGGGATGAGGACAATAGCCCGGGGAACATCTTAGGCGCCTGGGATTGGGATATCGGTCTGGGAACGACGCCGAATTCTTCGGATATGCAGCACTTTTTCGGTTCTGCTTCTCCGGGTGGTACACTTGTTACACCATTTGAAGATATCCCTGAGGCATTTAGTCCCGTGCTCAGCGACAATAATACGCTCGTGGAGGAATCTAGCGATGCAGAAGACATCGAAGGCCTCATTGATGAGCTCTCCGATCGAGTCGGGACCTTGCGAATCGGGCCTGGAGGACAGACGCAGTTTTGTGGTCCGACATCAAACTTCAACTTAGCGGATATGCCAGTTTCAGAAACACTGGAGGCGCATCGCAAAGTTCAGAATGATGTTTTGCGATGTTTAGATTGTTTGGGGACTAGCGCAGAAACCTTTGCCTCCTTGGAGGACCATTTGATCAATCTCTATTTCAGCTGGCAGGATCCTTTTTTCCATGTGGTTGATCGAAAGATTTATGAAGAGGCGAAGACCAAATGGCTTGACAAGGGAGGCACCCCGTTCTATTCGGAGGCGCTCCGGAATGCAATGTGAGTAGCTTGCCTTTCCTGAAAATGGAGGTGAACCATATGTCTCATCTATTTTGACAGGTGTGCACTCGGTGCTGCTTTTGAGCCTCGCTATCATCCAACCTTTGTCACATTTCCCAAATCTCTGGTCGACTTTTTTGGAGATCGAGCTAAATCCCTACTCGAGATTGAGCTGGACTGTCCGTGTGTTGCCACCATTCAGGCAATGGTGATCCTGAGCAGCCATGAGATTGGAAATGGAAAAGATGCTCGGGGATGGCTCTACAGCGGTACTTCTTATCTACTCCATCGTCATTGAGCCCACAATTGACATTTCCCAGGAATGGCAACACGACTTGCTTTCGACCTCGCTTTACATCTCGACATGTCTGCTTATGTCTCTAGCGGAGCCATCGCTGCCGCTGACGCAGACCTTCGTCGAACGGTATTCTGGGCTGCATACACAGTTGATCAGTCAGTAACCCATATTTCAACTTACAAATCTCATGTTTTAACAGCGCATCTAGTCTTCTGGGTTTCTATCTTGGGAGACCTTGCCGCACAAACATGGAGGACGTCACTGTTGGCAAACCTAATAATCAGGCAAATCACTGGGGAACCGAAAAATGGGTCCCCTACGTATCCCCCAACTCCGTCGAACCCGATACCGGCTTGTTAGATTGCATGGAGGCTGTGAATCAACAGCAAGTTACACTATGCGAATTGATGACCCCATGTGGATACATCCTGTAAGATCCTGGCCCCTATCAACTAAAGAAATGACATCGCTAATATTTCATTTTCAGTTACGGAACATCACACATTTCCAAGGCAGTACTGCAGGAGCTCAATGCAAAGATTGTAGCAAAGCTTCTAATTTGGAAAGCCAATCTCCCACCGACCTTACAGATCAATCTCAATGACCATACTTCACTTTATCTTCCACATGTATTGTTGCTCCAGTGAGACTCCATAATCCCCACAAATTAACTCACAACTTGGATCGCTGACCGTGCTCTCCTACTCAGTATGCAATATTATCAAAATATTATCTACGCTCACCGGCCCTGGATGTCAAAAGGCCACCTCCAACCCCAGCCCCCAAAGGGCCCCGGATACCTGCATGCGCGAGAAATGTGCATCCAATCCGCCATTGCCATCGCCAAGATCTTAGTCCTATATGAGACAAGATATACTCTCCGACGAATAAACGTCAAAGCCGTCTCAATCACCTCCTCCGCCATTCTCTTCCTCCTCTTTGCGGCAGTATGCAAATACCCCCGTCATGGAGATAATGACATCGCCATCTACCTCAGTACCTGCTTCCGAGCTCTTGATGAATTCGCTCAATCCTGGCAGAGTGCAAGACGCGCCAAGGATATTCTAGTCCGACTACGGCAGCAATGGGAGACTCGGACTCGGTCCAGCAGCAAATTTTCGAGGTCTAATGGTGGGATAATGTATACACCTCGAAAGCGTTCACGTACCTCAAATCGCGTTGATGCTGCTTTCTCTGGTATAGATCAGGAACGAATCCCTAGTGCAAGACATGATTCTCATACTGACCTCGAGCTGGACGGCGATCTGGATTGGACGTTTATGGCGGATGGGCAGCTTTTGCCGGAGAATTGTGATGGAGATCTTTATTGGCTAATTCCTAATTCGGGCATTGTTGAGCCGGGACATGGGAATCTGTAGAGACGAGTATCATGGATGTATTATATAATAAATGCTCTCATTTGATGAGGCATTCTCTCTCCATGTTGACTTGAGGTGCCATCCTAAATAGCAACGTCCTCGCTGTATAACCACCTCCTTCCTGCTCTTCTCTTACCTTCTTCTTCTTCTCTTTTTGAACCACCCCACCATATTATTTATCAAGATTTTTCAACCTGATAAAGTGTAAAGTCAACATTTCATCACCCAACTTGTAAAATCCAGACCTCCTTCACCATAAAGCCATGACACAGAATCTAGATTTCGACCCAAGTCCAAAAAGGGTTAAAAAAGGATATCCATCCCTGGAGCACATGAGGTGAGTGAAAGTTGCTCTCACAATTCATTTGCAATATCTAATGCAACCATGGACGGTCAGAACTAAAACTCATGAGGTTTGCTCGCCACACTCAACGTCAAATAACTGACTGTCCCTCCGACTAGCGAGGTCTCAAGAAGCGATTCGCATGCCCGGTTCCGGGCCCATCATGCCGATTTGAAAGATAAATTATGCATGAAGAAAGAGGGCCCGCAAAGTTGAGGCAGCGTATACAGTTGGTGATTTCAAGTTGCATTGGATACTCAATCTATCTCTGTCGGCTCCGGTATTTTTGGCTCGTCTTCCCTCACATTTCTTAGAACTCGTTAATAGTACCGTTATCAAACGGTACTGGGCAGAAATGTAAAAGTGGGTACTATTCACAAAAGATCAAGGAGATAGGAGAGATCCCTCGAAGTTCATACTTCGGCACTAAATTGCCGGAGTAGAAGACTCGTCCCTTCTTAGGAGGTGAGTGGTCAGGGCGACCTCGATGCTTCAAATGTGGCACGCAGACTCAAGCCTTTGATCTGCATATGGGACCTCGGCTTTGTGATTCCACAGTCGCGAAAGCAAGAAGACCCTCACAAGTGGGCATTCAACTCGGATTTCCACTCCCGATCATACAATCCCACGATTGCCGGCGAAAAAAAGGATCTCTATTATTTAATGAGGGGCTTATTTCTATTGATGCATCAACGAGGCCTTTCTAATTTCCTCCTGACAACGTACTCAACATGCTCAACCAAAAACTCCGAGTTGGCATTGCTGGTCTTGGCCGAATGGGTACGAATCGCTTTTGGAAAATCCTAGTAACAAAATATTCTAACAAAGAAAAGGCAAACGTCATGCTGCGAATTTTGCTCTCACGTCCCGGGCGACTGTAGTGGCAGTCAGTACTCCCGATGAAGGGGAATGCAAATGGGCAGCGGAGAACCTCGAGGGCGTAAAGATCTACCACGACTACGCAGAAATGCTTGAGAAAGAGGACCTGCAAGCGGTGGTGGTCGCGAGTGTTACTGCTGTCCACGCAGAGCAAACGTTGAAGGCCATTGAAAAGGGTCTACATGTTCTTTGCGAAAAACCTCTCAGCATTGATGTTGGAATTGTGAGAATCCCGAAGTCAACACTAGCTCCGGTATCCTGCGTTCGTACTAACCAACATCTTCTCTGGATAGGCGCAATCCGTGGTCGACGCCTATAACAAATCACTCCAAACCTATCCCAACCAGAAAGTGATGTGCGGGTTTTCAAGACGCTTCGATGCATCCTATCGCGAGGCCTACAAAAGAATTGCACAAGGAGAATATGGTCAGCCAGTGGTGTTCCGTTCGCAAACCGCCGATCTCCACGACTCGTCCGGCTTTTTCGTTGAATATGCCAAAACCAGTGGTGGTATCTTCGTTGATTGTTCCATTCACGATATCGATCTTATGCTTTGGTTCTTCGGAGAGGATTGCCGAATCAAGAGTCTGCAAGCGGTCGGAGTAACAGCTATTCATCCCGGACTGGAAGCCAGCAAAGACAGAGACAATGCGATCGCAACGGTCGAGTTTTTCGGCGGGAGGATTGCCTCTCTATATTGCTCGCGCATGATGGCAGCTGGACAGGAAGACACGACGGAGATCATTTGCACAAAGGGCTCTTTGAGAATCAACATGCAAGGCCGGAAGAATCATGTCGAAATTCATGACTCGACGGGTGCTCGACGCGAGCTTCCGCAGCATTACTATGAACGATTCAAGGAGGCTTTTGTCACTGAGGCGCAGGAATTTACAGCATGCTGCTTGGATAACAAGCCTCCGCCGATCAGTCTTCAGAGCTCGGTTAAGGCTGTCGCTATTGGTCAAGCTCTGCAGCGAAGCTTGGTCACTGGTGATAAATTGTTTTTCGACGATAAAGGGCTCATGAACTAAAAAGAAACGGGGTTGATGTTGATGTTTCTCGAGAATTTTTGAAGATCAACACAATGAGAAACCCTTGACTTGGCGGACAATTTGGATAGTCTCACATCTTAGAAATAGCGGGATTAACGGCCACAGTCCAGCTGGATTTCGAAGCAAACTTAATGCAGTCTGTTCCGTTAAGAACACTACTCAAAACATGTCACTGCTTGTGCCAACCTCCCATACTTAGTCAAATAATGATAAAAGCTGATTCTTAAATCTTCACGATGAATCGGGGAGCAACTTGTGGAGTACGTTTTTGTTGGGCCGAGGGAGGGAGGGGGTTTCGTCCTAGAGCCTCTCAGCTTCTTTTCTACTAATCAAGGACGGCGCCAGAAAGCCGATTAAGTGACCGTCTTCTGCCTTGGCGATAGTTCCTTTGATTTCTTTGTGACACGACAAAGGAACGAGCACTCGGGATTCTTTTTCCGAGACCCGTCAACGATTCTTTCATTTTTCATCTCGGTCCGGTAACATTTCCTATTGGGGTGAAACAAGCTGTGAATCAAATCAACCTCAATAACCTTTCCTCGGGAGTCCTAGAAGCCGCCACATCCAGTATCTACCTCGTAAATCCCATAGACCCCAGTTCTGTATGGTTCGACTTTGAGGTTTTTTAGTTCATAAACCGCAAGTAACCGCGGGATCTCTTACATTGGAGGGACGGTATTGGACTCCGACTGACAAAGTAAAAATGGCTGGGGTATGCAGGTTATGATATTTTCGATCTTGTTTGGGGGACGATGGTACTCTCTGTCTGGTCGGGGCGATGCAGTGAACCCAATGAAACGGATGCGATTTCAAATAGAGTCTCCTTCAGAGCGCAATATTAGAGGCCTACTTGGAAAAGAGCCTCATATCTATCATGTGGATACAGGACAGTGCACCTATCCCTCATAACTAGTTCAATTTCTTTAGGAATATTCAAACCCATTTTCTTCGGAGTTATGACGAAATGGTCAGAGACTTCCTCGGTAAATACGTGTGAGCGATGCCTTCTTGTCCAACTGGGGAAACAAGTTTCAAATCTAAACGCGAGAATAAGAGGTTCTGCATAATTATAGATGGACACATAGACTTAATAACCGATACGCGCTGAACTTATAACACCAAGTCTTAGGGTCGTTTACCATCTAAGGACCTTCTTTGGGAAGTACTCATCGATAAGCTCCATGTAGTAAGGCTGTTGAAAGATGTGCGAGTCAGCGGCCGTTGCAATTGAGATGGGATAACAACAGGAAGGTAAAACTAACCTTCAGCTTTTCAGGATTCGGAACTTCGTCACTCTTGCTGTACAGGTCGTAGGGGTTGAAAGCCTGCACAGCCTCGAGCATTTTTTTGTCGTGCTCATTCATCAACTCATGATAGGCACCCTCGCGGTGCCACGGGTAGAAAGAGTGGTAACGAATCATAGCTAAACCCTCAGCAGGGATTGTAGACTGATCCTTGACAATGTGGTAGAGATACTCATCGTGACCCCATGAAAGCATCACATTCTCCAATCCACAGCCGGGCGAGTAGATTCCAAACTTGCTGCTGTAGACTGGGTTGGCGAAATCCTCGTTGTCCTTGAAAGACTTCTTTCCAAAAATGATTCTCTCGTCAAATTCGCAGCCAACAGGGAATGTATCGCCGACAACATCCCACTGACCATGAGCTCCGAAGAAGAACAGGAGCTTGCCGAGATCGTGAATGAGGCCGACAAGTTGCATCCATCGAGGCTTTCCATCGGCACGGAGGGCTTCGGCAGATTGAAGAAGGTGGGTCATCTGGGACTCCTGTGTGTCTGGGTCACATTCATCGATGAATGTGTTCAATTTCTCCATAGCATCCCAGACACTCATATGAGCGCGAGTCTTGTTTTTGAAGTCGTTGCGGGCCTTGAGGTTGTATGCCACAGTTTGAAGCGTGTGTTGCTTGGCGTAGAAGTTCTTGACGCCATCGCAAGCATCCTCGAACTGACGGAAGTTGTTCTTCTCTTTGCCCTTATCGTACTTGGATTGGTCGTAGAGGGTGCCTTCGTTGTGCAAATTAGCCTTGAGCACGTTCACCGCATCGATGTTATCCGACATCGTTTCGATGTTGGTCGGATGCGGGGCGAGAACAGCAGCAGGCGCCATTTTGGATGTATGAATGATGCAGTATATGGTATTTGTGAGCCTTGATGAGATTAAAGTTGGGAAGATGACGAGATGAGAATGCTGAATTTATAGTGGCCGAAGACATGGTTTGTATATATCAATTGGCCGGACAACGTTCTCCGTGCTTTTTGTGTAGGAACTGACGCTAAATATTGATCGGTTTCTAGTTTCCGGGATACGCTCTATATTGCTGGCATGATCTAATGGTGTTCCATATTTTGAAAATAGACTCACTATGGAAAGCATTTTCCGCCACTGAGATTCCTGATCGGGAGCGTCGTACCGCGTACTTCATGGCGCACGGTGACACGAAAACTGGCTGACAGTGCTATGCCGTTTGCTCTACATATTGTGACCGGGCCTAACCCGTCACAAAACAATCTTCTCTTCTCTGTGTATGCTCTTTCATCATTGTGGAACGACCAGGTGTTTTGTGTTGGTGGGCGGGTGGGGAGAGGTGTCTGGAGTGTTGAATATGAAGCTCTGAAATGACTCAACATGGCTCATATGATCGTATGAGACTAAACTAGTTGTAGTAATCCTTTTCTGCGCGAGCCTACGTGAATGGGAACGCGTCAATGTTTACTCGGCTATATTATGCTTTCTATATGCCGTTGTACCGCGCGTACTAAGCTCTCAATAAACCTCTATTGTGGAGGCAATTCATAATGAATAGAGAGCCCTAGAGGTGGTCAAAGGATACCTAGAAAGGTACCCTAGGTTGGCCGAAAGGGCCGAAAGACCCTTATCCAGAAGTTCTCAATATCTTGTCTTAAGTACTCTGTGACTTAAGTATTCGCGTGACAGTAGATGAATCTGGGGAGGCCCTCGGTCGATTGAAGGACATCCGTCGTTTTAGCAGCGATCTTCCGTTGATTCAACTTTTACCCCTTAGCCTAGGTGATGCAATAGGACTATTCGTATAAGCAATAGCCAATACCCGCTAAAACTTTCCACAGACATACAAACAGGCCAAACCTTAGGCCTAGCTGGCACAATTGCACAAGCATAGCCATTTAGAGCCGTGTATTAGAGACCATGAAACACTTTCTCAAAGCTGAAACAGATATGCATTAATCAGATACTATAAACACACTCAGTCCTTAGACTCAATAAGACCAGCAAGTCACCAATATGATCTTATGGATAACTAAGGCTGTTATTTGCCGGCAGTGTTGCCCTTAATGCTTTACCTATCCTCCTAATTTACGCGCCGACTAAATTGGGGTACCGACCGCTGCATTGAGCAAGGTAAGACCTGAAACAGGCTGGATGTAGTCGTGTTCGGCTCTCTTAAGAGCGGAGACCCGTAGCGCGGAAAGACCACGCTCTCGGATTTAAAGGCCACGCACAACCATGGTCTTTCCGTCGTCATCTAGAGTTACTCCGTATAATTTGATCCCCCTCCATTGACCGCCCGCGGCTCTAGCAGCCGACGAACCAACGCCCGCGGTCACATCTTATCGATCGATCACTTGGCTTCGTGGCAGCGTGCCTGACAGTACTCCATTCGTCCTCCTCCTCTTCTTGTCCTTTTCTATTCTCTTCGGCAGTTACTCCCTTTCTACCAGGCCTCCATTCAGCCAGTCCGGGGCATCCCCGTCCCCTACGTCAACCACCCCACGGTCACCTCAGGCTTGCCTCAAACGACAGCGGATCTGCCCACTGCGAGCCCGATCCTACGACTGACTATTATCGCCTGTATAACCGATTCTCTTGCCTTGTTTCTTCCTTTGTGGCTGCCAGTTACTCCCAGCTTATATCTTTTTCCGCGCACTGATCCCTGGTGGGCCGGGCTGGATCAGCTCGCTTTTGCCCCTCTTCCCCGACAAAAGGGATTCTTTCTCCCCTTGAAATCTTCCATGATTGCTCTGATGACACTCTTGTTCTCCCCTGGTCCATACCCTCCTGCTCTGTCATCCATGGACTCGATCCGTCCCAGTGCTCCGTGAAACGACTTCTTCTGACGCGGGCGACGCGGCAATGCCATCTTACGGTGCTATCGAGCAGACAATAAGTGCTATGGATAATGACGCCGAGCGCGATCTGTTGTTGGAAGTTGAAGATGATGACTCGAGCGGGACATCGACTCCGTTAGAGGGAGGTGTGCAGGAGGGTGTGCAGAAGATCGAGGCGATAAGCTTGACCTGGACGACTCGGACTTTAATCGTGGCATATGTGAGGTGGGTGTGGCCTGTCAGTCTTCAAAACTAGAAAGCTGATCTTCTTGTCAAGTATATTCCTCATGGCATTCTGTACCTCTCTGGAAGGACAAACGGTCGTCTCGCTAGCGGCATATGCAACGAGCGCATTCAGCAAACACTCCAAGATCGCCACCGTCTTCGTGGTCCAGAATGTGGTGAATGGTATGTTGGCTCCTTAAATCCAATCGGCCTATTGCTGACGCTTCTAGCGGTGATCAAACCCCCCATGGCCAAGATCGCCGACGCCTTCGGTCGCTTCGAGGCTTTCTGTGTGAGCATCCTTATATACATCCTCGGCTATATCCAAATGGCCGCCTCGACCAACGTGGAGTCCTACGTCTCAGCCCAGATCTTCTACTCAGCCGGCTCGACCGGTCTCCAAATTTTGCAGCAGGTGTTCATCGCCGACAGCAGTGACCTACTGAACCGCGCTTTCTTCGCTCTCCTCCCCGAATTCCCCTTTCTGGTGACTGTCTGGCTCGGCCCGACGCTCGCAGATGCCGTCCTCCGCACGACCTCGTGGCGCTGGGGATATGGCATGTGGGCGATTATCTTGCCGGCATCGTTCTTACCCCTCGCTCTATCGCTGCTTTTGAATCAGCGCAAGGCTCAACGACTGCATTTGATACGGCCCTCGAGACCGAAACGCCGTGGCCTAGCCCACATCCTTAAGCGCACTTGGTATGAACTGGATGTTGGGGGGCTGACCCTTATTTCTGCCGGGGTCGCATTGATTTTGATTCCATTGACCCTCGCGGCGAATGCGAAGAACGGTTGGAAGAACGCCGGTATCATCATGATGATCGTGATTGGCGTCGTCTGCTTGGCTGTTGTTCCATTTTGGGAGACTTCCAAGAAATTGGCTCCGAAACCCGTGCTCTCGTTTCATCTCCTCGGGCAGAGAACCGTGCTCGCAGGCTGTGCGTTGGCATTTTGGTACTTTAGTAGGTTTTTCCCTTCTTGATCCTTTTGGTGGATTACTGACCAGTTCCTACCTACCAGTGGCCTTTTACCTCTCCGTCCAGCCATATCTATATTCTTACCTCCAGGTTGTCCAAGACTACGACGTGGCAACAGCCGGCCGCGTGACGCAGACATTCGCATTCACCTCGACCATCGCAGCATTCGGCGTGTCGCTGCTCATCAAGTACACCCGCCAATACCGGATCTACGTCACCTTCGGCTGCATCGTGTACATGTTTGGACTAGCATTGATGCTACTAGCCCGACACGAAGGCAGCTCCCACGCTCTCATCCTGACTACTCAAATCATCGTCGGCTTCGGCGGCGGTCTGCTTAACGTGCCCGTCCAACTAGGCGTCCAAGCCTCTGCCAGCCACCAGGAAGTAGCAGCCGCCACAGCGATGTTCCTGACAAGCATGGAAATGGGCGGGGCGGTCGGCGCCGCCATCTCGGGGGCTGTCTGGTCGACTTCTATTCCGAGGAAACTGCTTCGCTACTTGCCCGATGAGACAAAGGGCGCGGCCGAGGAGATCTTTGGGAAGCTCACCACCGCCCGCTCATATCCCATGGGCTCGCCGACTCGCATCGCTATCAACCGCGCCTACCAGGAGACTATGAACCGGCTGCTGACCCTGGCGCTCTTGGTGACTATCCCCCTGATCCCGCTCAGTCTTGTTATGCAGAATTACGAACTTGATAAGGTAGAACGATTACCCCCCCTTCTTTCCCTCTCTGAGAAATCCATTTATCTAACCTACAAACCAAAACAGATGAGCCCCGAGCCCCGGATTCACCAGCGTCGCCCCTCAACTATTGTTGAGCTCGAGCCGGAATCTCCATGTACTCATACGTGATCGCCAACGCCATGTTAAAAGGACTTTACTTGATGACTTGACCATTGAAATACGACTACCGTATGACATTACGACTATACGACACTGCTTTTCTCAGACATATCATGCCATCCCATGCTGCTATGACCATTGCATCTTAATCCCGGCCAGCCAGCGTTATTTGATATCACCTATCAGCCACCCGATCACATTATTTTTGCATTTTTTGGTGTATGTGTGTTAAAAATGTATGTAGAGGAAAGATCTCTCCGAAAATGGATGCAATGAATGAATGAATGAATACACCATTTGATAGATATGAAATGAGCCCCTGCCATGAAATATATATCCACGGGACTCCAATACGGCCGACCCCTACCTACCTGTTCACACTGCTCATCAGCAACCAAATTGTGATCGAAGCGCTCTGTGTCCTTGTCCTTGGTACTTTCCTACTCCTATTCCGTACATATAGGTTAATAATAAGATATCGGTACCTGCATCTATCTGCATGTACTAGACTCGACGGTCGGTAAAATTGGATCAAATGATGGGTACTTCCTGTTGGCTCTAGCTCTAGTGAACAATAGGGAATGCACTTGCAGGGGTTTCTTTTAGTGTCGTTAATTAGGCCCGTTTGGCTTTGTTGAATGTGGCCAGGCGAACGAACAGAGGGGTGTTTGCTGGCTCTCGAGTTGTTTATTGAGTGGCTTTTTTGTGTGCCGTCCGGTGTGGCATGATCACTCAAAATTAGGGTAGACGGTGAATAATAATCCCTCTGATTCTTTAGTCCGGTGATTTTCTATCCTATTGCACTGTGCATCGTGTTGGTCTTCACGGTTCATTGATTCTAGCCCAGTTCTCTCGCTAGAGGGGATAATATCCATATCTCGTAGGCAGTAAGACTAGACTTTAAATTGCCGACCGCACTGATTCGGTCCGGACCTGGCTGTCAGGCAATTCCGGCTTAATATACACAACCCACTCTGTCCGGCGGTTAATAGTCCGTCAAATCCACACCCAGTACTCTCAGTCAAGCCACAATCCGAGGCCACGCCGTCTTCCCTTCTGCCGCCTTCTCTAGCCACTTGCGATACCGAAGGGAAGGATCGTTGTGATTTAACTCTTTCTGAGCAGCACGCGGATCGGGCCAAGGAACCAGAGGGATGGGTGCCAGTCGGTGTCTTGGCGCAGTCAGTGGGAGCAGTGACCGGAGGTAGCTACAATAGACGAGAAGCCATAAAATCAAACGATAGAAAAGAAATAGTTTCTCTGCTTTGACAAGCAGCTCTACTTACTGTGAGCACAATCATTTACTAGTTTTGTCGTTGTTGCTGCTGTTCACACTCTCACTAGTCTAGACTCGGGCAGACCACAGCTTCTCCCTTTTCCCGTCCGCTTTCCCCCCCTTCTCTTCACCATCGACTCCCCCCCCCCCAATACCTTTTGTTCTACCTCCCCCTTCCCTGCCCCACGTTCTCTCTATTCTGCAATATGGTTGTTGCTACCATCAAGTATGTTCCTCCTCCCCCTTTTTCAGTCCTCTTTTCTACCCCCCTGACTGCGGCGGGTGGCCAACACAACATCCCTCACTCCCGCCATGAGAGTCCGTGACCATCCACCGCAACCTAGCTAACCGCCCAACCAGATGTGTCGTGGTCGGGGACGGTGCAGTCGGCAAGACCTGTCTTCTCATCTCGTACACAACAAATAAGTTCCCTTCGGAATATGTGCCCACTGTGTTCGACAACTACGCCGTGACCGTGATGTAAGTTATTGCACACCGCAACCTCCCTCCTACAAAAAAAAAACACCATCTGATGGGAACCGAAAACCAGGATCGGCGATGAACCGTACACGCTCGGCCTCTTCGACACCGCTGGACAGGAGGACTACGACCGGCTGCGCCCGCTGTCCTACCCGCAGACAGACGTCTTCCTCGTGTGCTTCTCCGTCACTTCGCCCGCCTCGTTCGAGAACGTTCGCGAAAAATGGTTCCCCGAAGTCCACCACCATTGCCCCGGCGTCCCCTGCCTGATCGTCGGTACCCAGACCGATCTGCGCGATGACCCCGGTGTCCGTGAGAAGCTTGCCCGCCAGAAGATGCAGCCCATCCGTAAAGAGGACGGAGATCGCATGGCCAGGGAACTGGGTGCTGTCAAATATGTCGAGTGTTCGGCCCTGACGCAGTACAAGCTCAAGGATGTTTTCGATGAGGTAACTATGCCCGCAAAACGAATCAAAAAGAGGGCATCATCACTGACTGGTTGTGTGTGTGTTTCGTGCAGGCGATTGTTGCTGCGCTGGAGCCGGCGCCGAAGAAGCCCCGTAGTAGACGCTGCCCTTTGCTGTGAACGCACTTCTCAATGATCTTTTCACAGGTTGGTTGAAATTGGGAGCCTTGGGAGGTCCCGATGGCTGATTGATGGTCACACAGATACGACGGAATGAACCTGTTTCCCCGGGGGCCAGTCTTTTGGGGAGTTTGGAGGCACCGGATGAAACACCGTGATCATCTTGTTGGTTTGCGGCTCTTACAACCAACCTCTTTTTCCTGCGACCCTATATCTCCATTGCCTCCTTTTCTTATTCCCTCCTTTCCTTGCTTTGCCCTCTCCCAATGTTCCTTGACCGATGATTATTTCCTACTCGCCGCCACACTTCTCTCCTTCACGAATCCCCGGCGATCGCGAATTTCGACATACCCGCCCTCCTCCCTCCGCAAAAACCTAACCTTTCCCTCGCATCCGATTTTCACCTTCACGCTTCTCCTTCCTCCTTCTCATCGTCTCTCTCGGCGTTGGATGTCAGGGCGTCGTGTTTTGGCTGGCCGATGAATGTTGTTCGTCATCTCCCTACTTCTGTTCTTGTTGCGCGGCCTAGCACTTCGGAAACTCGAGTTTTGAGCTTTTGCTGTACCTCCTCTCTCCCCAAACCCGGCTTCTTTTTGCGCTTTCTGTTTCACGCTGGTGTCCGATTCAAGCATCATTTGTTTTCATTTTCCTTCCCAATCTTCTTGTCCCCCCCTCCATCGGCCCGAGAAGCAAAATTATTCTGGATCTTAGAACGCTGCAGACAGGATTCGACAATTCAGATCAGTTTACGATGCATGTGCTTGGTTGTAGTGATATTGAACATTTGTACTACTGACCAGACAGATTCCGCAAATTGCAAGACACATGACATTCACTCATTCGACGTCTAGCTCATCAATCTCATACTCTATCTACAGCTCATCCTTGGTCGCCTTGGCCGCCTTCGCCTCAGCCACAACACCCTCATCGAGATGCCCGTACCAACCACCCAGATCCTCCTTTACACCAGACTTCACCATGCTGGTAATAATTTCAAAAGCAACCTGCGCCGCCGCCAGCGCGGTCGTCTCGCCCTTGTTATCGTAAGCCGGCGACACCTCGACAATATCCGCACCAACAAGGTTCAGCTTCTCGAGCCCGCGTAGAATACGAATGAACTCGCGCGTCGTCCAGCCACCGGGCTCAGGTGTGCCCGTGCCCGGCGCCGTTGCCGGATCTAGCACATCAATATCCACAGATAGGTACACGGGCTGCTCCGGGTCGAGACCAATGCGGTTTATAAGCGTCTCCACAACACCCATCGGACCAAGCTCGTCGATATCATCCGCATGCACGCGGATAAATCCCTGCTCGGGTCCTGGGTTCGTATAATCACCCGCATCAACGCCTGTCAGTCTCGTCCGCAGGCCCGCATGTGCGGAGGTGGCATTACAAATGAGACCCTCGCGGCTGGCCTTGTGGAAGAAGGACCCGTGGTTGAACTGCGTCTGCTCGCTCTGCCAGTAAGCCGAGTAGCGCACGGGATTCCAGGTATCAAGGTGCGCGTCGAAGTGCAGCACCGTGATGGGCTTCTGGTAGATCTGGTGCAGCGCGCGCAGAGCCGGCAGTGCAACGCTGTGGTCGCCGCCCAGTGTGACGAGTTTGGGATGGCCTGCGCCAATGCTGCCGTCGCCGTTGGGTGCGGCGTTGACGGTCTTGCGCGCACCCAGCTCTAGGAAGGCTTCGTACATCTGTCGCTCAGCCAGCCCGTTGTCAAACGGCGTGATTGGGATGTCGCCGCAGTCGGTAATCTTTGCCCACGACTTGTACGGGTTGATCCCCGCCCGCGTGTTGTAGCTTGTTCCAGACATCTGTCGCGCGCTGGCGGCGCGGATGGCACGGGGGCCGAAGCGGGCGCCTTTTTTAATAGATTGTCAGATATTTATCCTTGTACTTGAGACTTGTAGTTGGAGGTGTTAGGGGAGATGTACCAGGTCGGTAGCTGACAGCCGTATCGAATGGTGCGCCAATTATGGCGATATCATAATGCTCGTCGGGCTCGATGAGACACTTGACGGGCTTGAGGTGCGCGAAGCTGGCGATGCCAGAGAAAGACCACTGGCATGACGTTAGGACCACGATCAAACAGAAACAAAGAGAGTAGGCAATAATAATACCTCTTGATCCCACTTCTTCAGCAACTCCGCCCGCTCATGCTCGGGGACGACGTCACTGTCACCGTGGTGCGCGCAGGACACAGCGCCGCCAGCCAGCGCGAGCGCACTCAGAAGGGTCTTGAGAGCGGGCATTATGAGAAGTTCGTTCTGTCTGTCACAGAAAACCAGTCGAGTGCACCAGCCGAGTATTTAAAGCCGTCAGTCAATCAGTCTCCGCCGTCCTTCCTAATCCAGCCAATCTCGCCCCGCCTTGTTCCGAGTCGTGCAGACTTTCCTTTCTGGGCATTTTGTCCTTTCTTCTCAACAACTACGACATCACAACGGTCACAATTCAACCACACCACCCACAATTTCTTTGGGTGTTCGGATAGGTGTTTGGATTAAGGCTTAGACATGCTATGCGGCGCGTTGTCGTGACGGGTCTAGGGGCGGTGACGCCGCTGGGAGTCGGTGAGTGAGTTGACTTTCAGTATTTTCGATATGAGATGAGGGCAGAAGGAGAGCCAAAGCAGACAAGAGGATATCTCCCCTTCATTCGCTCACTCACAATATTGGCCCTGACTTTAATTTGCTTCGCTGCCCTTCCCTTCCCTTTCTCCAAATTCTCCAAAAGACGCGATGGTCTCGTCTCCACTCCCCGCCTCCGGAAAGGGAAAGTCTTCACGGCCCATGACGGCGCGCTAACACCCACTCCCAGGAGTCCGTCGATCATGGAACCGCTTGCTAGACGGCCACTGCGGCATCAGCAACGTTACTCGTCGCGATGCCCGCTTCGCCGAGCTGCCGTGCCAGATCGCCGCTGTTGTGCCCGCTGGTTTGCGGGCAGAGGGCGGTTGGACTGTGGAGGAATGGATGAGTAGGAGTGTGAGTATTGCTTATTCATTTTGGGATCTAGTCTTTCTTTCCTTTTGTATTTGTTTTGGGAAGGGGAAGGCTGATGGGCTAATGTTCTTTCCTTGTAGGAGGAGCGCAAGATGGCCCTGTTTGCGCAGTATGCTATGGCTGCTGCGGAGGAGGCCCTTGAGGATGCGGGGTGGAAACCGGTGGATGGTGAGCAGAGGGAGAATACGGTATGTGATTGATCAAGCAATTGCACAGCCATTTGAGCGAGACTAATATATCCAACAGGGTGTGTGTCTCGGCTCCGGCATAGGGAACTTCGATGAGATCTACAATACCGTCGTTACCTATGAGAAGGGGGTGCGTGTGATACTATACTTCCACTAATAAGGGCATCGTTAACCCCATTCGTTTAACGCAGGGCTACAAAAAAGTTCACCCGCTCTTCGTCCCAAAGCTGCTCATCAATCTCGGCGCGGGGCATATCTCTATGAAATATGGGTTCATGGTAAGTACTTACCTTTTCCCTGTCATGGCTACTGGCCTCCTCCCGTCTCTCTCTTGCTCATCTCCAACCCACCGAACAGGGCCCCAACCATGCAGCAACAACAGCCTGCACCACCGGCGCACACTCGATTGGCGATGCAGCGAGGTTCATCTCCTGCGGCGAAGCAGATGTCATGGTTGCTGGTGGTGCCGAATCCTGCATCCACCCACTAGCCATTGGCGGGTTTGCCCGCGCGCGCAGCCTCGCGACTGAGTTTAATGATTGTCCCGAGAAGGCGTCGCGGCCGTTTGATGCTGATCGGAAGGGTTTTGTCGTTGGTGAAGGCGCGGCGGTATTGGTTCTTGAGGTATGCCAGGCAATTCCCTCCCACGAGTCAAGCCAATCCACTAACCCTTTGGTTATAGGAGCTAGAACACGCCCGATCCAGAGGCGCGCACATCTACGCCGAGCTCAGAGGCTACGGCTGCTCCGCGGACGCACACCACATGACAGCGCCGAAAGAGAACGGCGCAGGCGCCTACCTGGCCATGAAGAAAGCGCTGAGACACGCCCAGCTCCGCCCCGCCGCGGTGGACTATGTCAACGCCCACGCCACATCTACCGTCATTGGTGACGCGGCTGAGAACGCGGCTATCAAGTCGCTTCTCCTTGGGCCCGAGGGGATGCAGAAGCCCGCGGAGGTGAATGTTAGTAGCACTAAGGGTGCTATTGGACATCTGCTTGGTGGAGCGGGGGCTGTGGAGGCGTTGTTTAGTGTTCTTGCTATTCATGAGGTGAGTTGACTATCATCAGATCAGTGTGTGGATTCGAGCTGACCATGTTGATGTGATGGTAGAATGTCATGCCACCAACTATTAATCTGGAGCGGTGTGGTGATGGGTTTGATTGCAACTATGCGCCGAATCATCCCCAGCAGCGGAAGATCGATGTGGCGCTGACGAATAGCTTTGGATTTGGAGGGACGAATAGCTCGCTCTGCTTTGCGAGGATTTAACGTGTACGATACCTAGCGCGATGTGGTTCTAATTTCTAGAATATTTAGTTCATGCCGGAGATCCGGAGTGGCGCCATAATGTACACAAGAGCACAGGAGCACAGGAGTAAAACCTGAAGTCCAAAAGTGACCATTACTCCGTTATTTCATACATACTAAATAAGAATTATCTCATTCACTAGCGCACTTCTATGTGTTCGAGGCTCAAGTATAGAGAGTCCTGAGTGAAGGTTTGTAGTTTTACCGCCCCGCCACCCCACCGGCGCAAAATCGAGATAAGATCCAAAAAAAAGATTATCCCTCTCCCTCGCGCTCTCTCTCTCTGTCTCTCACACACATCTCCAACTCCACCACACGACAATAATGGCGGATACTGACACAACCATCGCGCCCTTGCGCAAAATCCTCACCTCCGAATCCGAGCCGCTAGCACGACGCTTCCGCGCCCTCTTCTCCCTCAAACACCTCGCCTGCCTGCAACCACCGACCGAACAAACTCTGCCAGCGATCCACGCCATCGCAGCCGCCTTCACCTCGCGCTCCGCCCTGCTCAAGCACGAGCTCGCCTACTGTCTCGGCCAGACCCGCAACACCGAGTCCGTTGCCTACCTGCAGCAGGTCGTCCAGGATGTAGCGGAGGATGCGATGTGTCGCCATGAGGCGGCGGAGGCGCTCGGCGCGCTGGGCGATAAGGGGAGTTTGGAGATTTTGAAGAGGCTCCGGGATGATAAGACCGAGATTGATGTGGTCCGGGAGACGTGCGATATTGCTGTTGATCGTATTGTGTGGGAGAATTCTGGGGAGAGAGACGGAGAGAATTTGAAGCCGAGGTGTGTATTGTATACTCCAAATGGTCTTTGGATTAGTGGACTAATCTCATTTCTATACAGTGACTTCACATCCATCGACCCAGCACCCCCAATGCCCCTCTCCGCCACCGAGCCCTCAATCCCAGACTTGGAAAAGACCCTCCTAAACACCGCCCTCCCTCTCTTCCAACGCTACCGCGCGATGTTCGGCCTACGCGACCTCGCATCACCCCCCGACCTCCCGACAGCCGTCGACGCCATCAACGCCTTGGCCAAGGGCCTCAAGGACCCCTCCGCGCTGTTCCGCCACGAGATCGCCTTTGTCTTCGGCCAGCTCTGCCACCCGGCCTCTATCCCCAGTCTCACTGCCACGCTGAGCGACCAGGCTGAGGAAGGCATGGTGCGCCATGAGGCGGCGGAGGCGCTGGGGAGTCTGGGTGATGAGGAGGGCGTTGAGGACACCCTGAAGAGGTTCCTCAATGATCCGGAGCAGGTGGTTAGGGATAGTATTATTGTTGCGTTGGATATGGCGGAGTTTGAGAAGAATGGTGAGGTTGAGTATGCACTTATTCCGGATAGCTCTGCAGCGGCAGCGGCCGCGGCGTAGAGAACCAGGAAAGAAGAAAGACAAAAATATCGTGACGTCGTTATTTCGATACACTCATGCGGCGCTGTTATACATGACCATAGACCCAATTCAATTCCACCTGTGGATTCCACAGTTTTTCAGTTATCCTCAGTTTCCCTAAGAAGAAAAAAAGTCAGTACTGATTTTGGATCCGGGTGAGACTCAGTGCTGGGCAGCCATACTTATGTCCACACACACAACGATAAAACACGGTACTCCCTTCGTCGGCACCGCGCAACTGCATCGTCGTGAAGAACATCTCCTTGCGCCCGCACTGGGGACATGTCTTTTGCGTGATCGCCTCGTGCGTCCGGTCCTCGGCCGTCAGGGCCTGCACGGCTGATCGCTTGGCTCGCAATGCGGACGGGAATGCAGAGGGTTTGGATTCGGAGACGATCGTTTGGGGGACGGTATCTGCGTGGGTTTGGGTTAGGTTAGTTGTTGAAGAATTCCAAAAAAAAAAAAAAAGTAGGTATCGCACCTTTGTTCCTTGTACCGCAGACATCGCAGTGCAGGATGGAATTGGCGTCGCCGGTGGACTCGCGCAGTAAGTTTCCGCAGGCCGTGCAGAAGATGAGGGAGCCGATGGCCGACATTGTGTGTTGAGTTGGGTAGAAGGTGAAGATGTAGAAGTCGAAATGGTGATAGTTTTTCCGCGCACGGTCCAGGCGGTCAGGCCAAGTGAAGTCGGAGCTTGGGTCCGGACAGGAAGGAGCGATGCATTACCATGCCATGCCATTGCCAGAGTTAGCCCGTTCCTGCCATGGGCTGCCCGTTCTTGCCGCTTGACCATTATGGACTTCTCCAATGGTCCTCGTCCGGCTGTTCAGGTTGTCATCAGCAACACCCGCCAGCCAGCTAGTCGCGACATCGTCATGCCGCCTCCGCCGAGCAGGATGAGACCGCTGTCTGTCGATGAGGCTCTGCAGTATTCCTCCATGTCGAACGCTCCCGTGTTCGGTCTGGGTAGGTTCCTTGTGTCTCGCATCTGCCCTCACCTTACTCAGTCGGCCACTAACCCTTCATCCTCTCATCCCCAGACTGCATCCTCCGTCCCGACGTCGGGCGACCCTCGCAGACAACATCGATTAACCATATCCTGCAGGCCGGGCGCAATACCCTCAGTGAATTGGACGCCGAGATCCAGCCGGGAAAAGACGATTCAAGTCGTCTGGAGACCTCTCGGGAATATCTCCAGCAGCTGCTGGACGGGAACGAGCTGACGGAATTGTAAGCGCGGCGCAACCAACATGCACAGCCAACTTTATATACTGATAATGATCTTCTGTCTTGTCATTCCAGCAAATTCAAGCTTCCTCCCACTCGAAACAGCACCCAGCTTGTGCGCGAGTCTGCCCCCGATGCGCCGCCGTTGTGTCGCAGCACCCTGGGCCCGTTTGCGCAGATGATGCTCGATTCCACGGACATCGCGTATCGATGTATGTTGCTAGGAGAATACTACTTTGGAAAATCCCCAGCTGACAATTGTTGCCCAGACCCTGAACTCTCTTTTCCCGGTATCAAAACCGAGAAAAAGAAAGAATCGATAAGGCCACTCCCACCAGCAACACCGAAGCAAACCCACCAGGCGAACCATTCGACTCCGGCTTTTATCCAGAAACAAGCAACGCCTGCAAGCGACTCTGCCCTCGTCGTTCCCGCAAATCCTACCCCGACGAACCACACTCCCCAGACGAACGCAAAGCGACGCAAGCTGAATATCGATGGTGAAGATGCCATGGCGGCAGTGCGACTGAGGGATCAAAAAGCAGAGGCCGACGCTGCTTTGCTGAAGTTGCAGGACCTGCTTCACGAAGTGTTCGAAACAGAGGACCAGATCGAGCCAGGCATGTCGATCGTGCCGACTGCTGAAAATCCACATCCGACATTTGTGAGCGCCAGAGCGTTGGAGGTACATGGCGTTGTACTCTCCTCCGACTCTCACAGCCGTCTCCAGAAGGCGATCCGCAAGGTCGCTGGGTTTGATCGACTTCGGGATATCCCATCCGATTATCTCAATCGGATTCAGAAGCTTTGCGAAAAGTCCATTCTCGCCGCGCAGGCTCCTGATCTCAGCTTAAATGATCCTTCAAGTGAATCTGAAGCTCAGGAGTGGCTGGGTAGGGTGGAGGATGTATTGACGGCACTTTTCGCCGTTGGAACGCTTCTCCAGACAATGTCTGGCCGCCAGACCGAGCGTGATCTGTGTCCAGAGGATCTTATTGAAGCCATTCCCAACGTCCTCAACCAAACCTTCGACCACTGCGTTATCCCTGCAGTCGAATCGCGCTCGGGAGGCAAGGATGCACATCTTTTCTCCTTTTTCTCGGCTCATAGAAAGGTCATCGGAAGCCTGATTCACCAGAGCAAAAAGGCTCTCACGCTTTTTGCAGACTTTTTGTCCCGCATCGATGTTTCCGAGGGCACAATCACGGCCACTGAGTTTTTTGCTGCTAAGCTGATCTTCGTGGAAAACGCACACAATGACAAAGACTCAGCGGTGGGCGTTCAGAAGTTTGAGCCTGCGAGACGGGGTGCGATGGATGTACTTGCCAAGATCTTCTCCAAGTACCCAGATCAGCGACCTTTTATCCTGGACGAAATTTTGGTTTCGTTGGAGAAGCTCCCCTCTACTCGTCAAAATGCAAGGCAATTCAAACTTGCGGATGGCAAGAATATCCAACTTCTCACTGCACTAGTGTTACAGCTCGTTCAGACGACCGCCTTGGAGACGCCAAGGACCTCAAAAACTAAGCGCCGACTGCAGGCCTCTTCGGAGAACGATGAGTCAATGGGCGATGGAGAGGAGAAGAATGCGGCGGACTCTGATTCCGACGAGCAAGACGAATCTCTGGAGCGACTTGCGTCCAAAGTCAATCGCCTCTATGACAACGCAGTGCGTAGTGCCCAGTACATCGTCAAATTCATCGTCCAGCGTGCCATGACATCAACCAAGACGGGCGATCAACCTTACCGAAACATCCTCGATCTGTTCACTGAGGACTTGGTCCACATCCTTGGGTCTACTGATTGGCCTGCTGCCGAGCTACTGCTCCGGATCATGGCATCTCACATGGTTGGCATAGCCGACCTCGACAAAAGCTCCGCCATAGCAAAGAGCATGGCTCTTGAACTTTTGGGATGGATGGGCTCTGCGATATCGGATTTGATTGCAACCGCGCAACACATGCTTCCATCTATGGAGGACTCGAACAACGAACTCACAGACTATCTCAAACAGCTATTTGACGACTTTTCTTGTCGAGCATTGCACCCGCAGGATCTCGTCACCCCCGCTGGTCCATACCGAATGGCCCTCGAGTATCTTCTACAAGACCGAAATTCTGACAACTGGCAGCTGGCCAGTGCCCGAGGGTACTACCTGGCTCAATGGGCGAAGACTGTTTGTAATATCTACTACAAAGAGGAAGACAAAGAGGAGGCGGGGCGTGATGAACTGACTGATGACTTGGTCGTTCTCCTGACCAAGTCCTTCTCAGATCCTCGCTGGTTGGAGACCCACAAGCAATTCGATAACATCTCCAACGTTCATGGGAGATTTGCATACATCCTGACGGTTTTGAACTCAAGTTTTGGCAAGGCCTTTGATACGATTCTCAAGGTCTTGTTGAACTCTATCGCCAGTGACCAGGCCAAGGTTCGCAGCCGTAGCCTGAAAAGTGTCATCTACATGCTTGAGAAAGACCCTAACCTCCTCGACCGGGACGCGTCAGTGATGCGTCTCATACTTCGATGCACCACGGATGCTTCGCCTATGGTCCGTGATTCTGCTTTGTCGCTGATCGCCAAATGTATCGGCCTGAAGCCCAAACTCGAAGAAGAAGGGTGCCGGAGCATCCTGGCCTGTGCTGCTGACGGAACTGCTGGTGTTCGCAAACGCTGCATTGGGCTGCTGAAAGATCTCTATCCACAAACTTCGCGACACGAATTGAAGCTGGCCATTTTAGACAGTTTTCTGCAACGCACAGCAGATCATGAGGAGAGTGTGGCGTCAATGGCTCGCCAGACTTTTGAAGAGATATGGCTTGTTCCATTCCACGAATCTATTGTATCTGTCTCTGATGGGCCTAAGGTCAAACTGGCACTGGGAGAGCAGGTTAGCCTGATTGTCGATCTGGTTCAGCGCAGCGATGCGGCTCTTGAGTCTTTAAGCACATGTCTGAAAGCCGTGCTGTCGGACAAATCCAAATCTGCGGCACTCAACTTCAAGGTTTGCAAAGCTATGGTATCGGTTATGTTCCAGAGACTCGTGGAGGACGCAGATGCATCTGGCAAAGAGTTTCAGCAGGCTCTTCTGCAAACGATCACCGTCTTCGCCAAATCCAATGCGAAGCTCTTTAGCCCAGACCAGTTGGAATCCCTGCACCCTTACATTGGGCACCTTGCCACTGCCGACGACCTTTTCATCTTCCGATCGGTCGTGGTGATCTATCGCTGTGTCTTGCCATACCTGTCCTCGTCGCACAACACCCTTCTGAAGGAGGTGCAGAACGACCTTTTCAAAAGCGTCGCTAAACTTGCTCGCGCGGAACTCAATGAGGTCATGGCTTGCTTGTGGACTATTAACGGCGTACTGCATAATACGGACCGGCTGGTGAAGCTGACAGTGTCTGTTCTCAAGCCATTGCTGCAATACAAAAGTTCTGACCTCTCAGCGGATGCAAATGCATCGACCCTGGCACGCGCCAAAAGCTACATCCGCATTGCAGGATGCGTCGGACGACACTGTGATCTTGAGAAATATGCATCCCACTTCAAGAGCTCGTTCCCCACATGGGCCGGTGGATCAGTGGCAGGCCTTATGGCTGATTTCATTCTCCCGTTCACTACTTCGAATCAGCCTTTCGAGCTCAGGGTGATGGCTCTTGAAAGCTTGGGTTCTGTCTGCCAGTCTTGGCCGGCCCAGTTTGGCCGGCAGGGACCGAGGAAAACATTCTCTCAGGTCTTTAAAGAAGATGCCCCAAGCTTGCAGAACATTGTCCTCCGGTCATTTGCGGATTTCTTTGCCATTCAAGAAGGCAAGTCCGAAAAGGCCGTTATGCCAACTGCCTCAGAAGCGGCGACTCAGGAGGATTCGACCAGGCTGGGGGGATCGCTGAAAGCAAGTGACAACGACGGCGCCGCGGCTTTGATTGCCCAGCATTTCCTTCACGATATGCTGCGGGTGGCGCAATCGCGACAGGATGCTTACTCCTTGACTGCGATTGAGCTGATTGGAAGTATCAATCGCCAGGGCCTGGTGCATCCCAAAGAATGTGCGGGGGTACTGGTCTCATTGGAGACTTCCACCGTGCCTGCGATTGCCAAGGTTGCGTTTGACACGCACAAGATGCTGCATTCGCAGTATGAATCCATGTTCGAGCGGGAGTACATGCGCGCCATCCAGGAGGCCTTTTACTATCAGCGAGACGTCGTTGGCGAGTCGCATGGTGCCACCGCTCGGCCTTACGTTGCCAAACTTGCTCCATTATTTGAGATCGTCAAGATAAGCAACAGCCGATACCAGAAGAAGTTCCTGGCCAACCTCTGCGCGAAAGTGAACTTCGAGCTGAAAAAACTCGATGCAACCGGGAATCCTCCTGAGCACCTTTTGCTGGCGCGCTTTGTGGCCCAGAACCTAGGCTACTTTGACTATAACCAGCTGGCTGAACTAATTCCTACCATCGTCTGTATGGAGCGCATCGTCTCCTCGACTGGCACTGTCGTTGCCCATGCCATCGAGACGGATATCTTTCCCCCTTCCGTTGAGGAACAGACAGCCCCTGTCATGATCCCAGGCTTCCCTACCGAGATTCAAATCCCCACCAGCGCCCCACCGCAAGCCAACCCGGCCACCTTGCGACTGCTGGCAACTGCCGCTGCATCCCTGTCTATGCTATGGGAAGCACGCACCTACCTACGACGTCTCTATGGAGTACATGCACACAGCAAAGACGGCAAACCGGCCGCGAAAGAGCTGAACAAGACTGCCACCAAGGTACACGGCGTCACAGGCGACAAACTCTGGGAAGCAATTGACAGGAACATGGCCGCTCTGGACAGCCCAGAGTCCATGTTGAACAAGTGCCGTGAGTTCGCGACTTTACTCGCCATCGACGAGGAGTTCAAGGTCGGTCAGCACGATGACGCCGATGGCGACCTTGACGCTGTTGGCGAAGTCGATGACTCCATTGGCGGCAGCGACTGGCCTGGTAGTGGACCCAGGCCCATGAAACGGAAGGGTTCTGTCTCCAGTGCAAATCTCAACAAGAGACCTAAGAGCCGTAAGAATCCCAATGGTAAGAAACGGTCCAGCATGGATCCTGACGATGACTTGGTCTGGGACTGATTACGATGAACCATTCCTCAATATTCGCGTCTACCTCCTTTTCCCCTTCTTTTTTCTTATCTGCATACCAGGCGAGCTCGGCTTTTACATCTATTCATTTCCTTTTATTCATTGCACAGCTTACGGGGATTAATATAGGCATGGCTCCTTTTCTTATTGCTTTTGATACTTTTTTATGATCTGCATTCGGCGGCGCAACTGGAAGAGACAGAGAGTGTGGCTCTAACGCCATTTCTTGGATGGGGTTGTCCATGATTTTACAATTCATCTATTATATTATTGTCTATGAGCAAAGCAAATAGAAAATACAGGCATCCATTTTTATGACACCAGTGCCGAGTCCCGGGCCACGTGACCATATGACGTCGGGCATATATTATGATCTCGGGCGTTTCATTCCTTCCAGGAGTTCTCAGGCCTGTTTCTTTTAATTTCAAACTCGTCGTTCTTTTCACCTGTGCTGCGTTGGCCATGAGCTGTCTCGTCCGATTTCACTATCGCTGATCACCTCCTACCTCGTTCTCAAGGGTCCCCTTTTCCTCCCCTACGCCGTCATGAGCGCGGCGTTGCTCCGGAGTCGTGCGGGCGGCCCCGCGCCGCTTTCAATTGGCACAATTGCGCCTCGAATCCCTGTATCCAGGACACATTCAGCTATCAGACAGGATATTTCGCGCTCGTTGCACACGTCTCGCCGCCGACCCGTCTCTCAATGGCGCGCCGCTGCCAGCCCGATCACCAAGACTCCGGCTCTGTTATCGATCCGATTCAAGTCCAGCACTGCCGCCGAGAAAACCAAACGTACCGGCCCTCTAGGCGTCATCTACAAGTGCTTCTTCTACTGCGGCTTGGTCATCGTCACAGGCGGTGCCGCGGTCGTCGCCTTCTTCATCTACGATGCAAGCACATACCGCGAGACTCCCAGCGCAGAGGATATCCCTGTCTCAGAGCTAGCGCTGAACCCCCGCTGCGGCGGACCGAAGAACCTGCCTATTGCCGATATGCTAATCGGCGACTATGACTCGAACTATATGGTCGAGCAGAAGGATAAACCGCGTCTTGTCATCCTGGGTACGGGATGGGGCAGTATTGCACTTCTCAAGAATTTGAATCCCGGTGATTATCATGTTACAGTCGTGTCTCCGACGAACTACTTCCTTTTCACGCCCATGCTCCCCTCTGCGACGGTGGGCACGCTGGGACTGCGGTCGTTGGTGGAACCTGTGCGGCGGATTATCGATCGTGTGCATGGCCACTTCTTGAAGGCGGAGGCGACGGATGTGGATTTCTCGCATAAACTGGTCGAGGTCTCCCAGGTTGATGATGAGGGGAAGAAGAGGAATTTCTATCTTCCCTACGACAAGCTTGTTGTTGGTGTTGGCTGCGTGACGAACCCGCACGGCGTTAAGGGTCTGGAGAACTGCAGCTTCCTGAAGACTATCGATGACGCACGCCGGATTAAGAATAAGGTGCTGGAGAATATGGAGCTGGCCTGTTTGCCCACCACTAGCGACGAGGAGCGAAAGCGATTGCTGTCTTTTGTGGTTTGTGGTGGTGGTCCGACTGGTGTGGAGTTTGCGGCTGAGCTGTTCGATCTGCTTAATGAGGATCTGCTGCATTCTTTCCCCAGGATTGTGAGGAATGAGATCTCCGTGCATATTATCCAGAGCCGTGGTCATATCTTGAATACCTATGACGAGGCTCTGTCCAAGTATGCGGAGGGGCGTTTCAGTCGCGATGGTGTGGAAGTCTTGACTAACTCCCGCGTCAAGGAGGTGAAGAAGGATCGTGTTCTCTTCAGTCAGGAAGAGAACGGTGAAACGGTGGTCAAGGAGATCCCGACTGCGTTTTGTCTTTGGTCCACAGGAGTGTGTAAGTCATGGCTCTCACTCAGCTACCGAGGTGAAGCTTTATCTAACTAACAACCTCTATCTAGCCCGAGCCGAAATCTGCAAAACACTCTCTGATAAACTGGAGGGCCAGAACAACAAGCATGCTCTGGAAACCGACTCGCACCTCCGCGTCGTCGGCGCGCCTCTAGGCGACGTCTATGCGATCGGTGACTGCTCCACCGTCCAGAACAACGTCGCGCAGAACATCATCAAATTCCTGCGCACCATCGCCTGGGAGAAGGGCAAGGACCCGGAGCAAGTACACCTCAATTTCTCCGAATGGCGCGATGTCGCCAACCGCGTGAAGAAGCGCTTCCCACAAGCCGCCGACCACCTCCGGCGCGTTGACCGCCTCTTCGAGCAATACGACATTGACCGCTCCGGCACTCTAGACTACGATGAGCTCTCCGAGCTCCTCCACCAAATCGACACAAAGCTCACCTCCCTCCCCGCCACGGCCCAGCGCGCAAACCAGCAGGGCGTATACCTGGGCCGCAAATTGACCAAGATCGCCGCCGCGCTGCCCGGGCTGCAGGCTAACCAGATCGATTACGGTGATCTGGACGAGGCTGTCTATAAGGCTTTCAAGTATACGCACCTCGGCAGCCTTGCGTACATCAGTAACGCGGCGATCTTTGATTTCGGTGGGCTGAGCTTCAGCGGTGGCGTGCTGGCTATGTATCTCTGGCGCGGTATCTACTTCGCGGAGAGCGTCAGCTTCCGGACCCGGTGTATGCTGGCCATGGACTGGGCTAAGAGAGCGCTTTTTGGAAGAGGTATGTCTTTCCCCCAGTTGCCTATATGTCTATACGACAAGCTGCTAACGTATTTTGTTTCATTTTCAGATCTCATGAGCTTCTAGTTTGGTTCATCTCTCGATGGGATGGATTTGCATGAATATCATCTAAGTATCTCCTAGTAGACCTTTGTTGGTTTTCTTCAGTCGCTCTGCTCTGCGGCGCTTAAGCGATTTCCTTCTTCTCTTGCTAGAATCTTGCGTGCACCTAAGCTTGCTGTCGGATGGGTTGGATATCTATTTGATCGCTATATTTTCTTATCCTTTTGTTTTTGCGTTCATTTTGGCTCCCATGTATCTATCCCGTGTATCTATCTACTTGTGGCCAGTTGCATTTCAGATTCTGTGTACACGGTATCCATTGTATCCCACGGGCCAACTTCTTCCGCGCCTCTCGGCCAGATCAGGTCTCACTAGCTCTCTTCCTCCACTATGCTCATCCTCACCGACTGAAGCCCTCCCTTACGTTATGGACACCAACGCGCTTTTCGATATCGCTCAGAAGGTGCAGGGAGAGTTTTGGGTTGATAAAGTGACCGGCCGTCTCTGCCAGTGGGTGTCGAATTTCCAATCCGACGAGCTTCCCTGTCAATTCGATGGAACCATTCATGATGGCGCATTTAATGCCGACATGATGGTCCTCAGTAACCGTAATGCCTAGATGGTTCATTTCCCTCGTGTGGGGATCGTCTGACGATTACCCCGACGAGAAGTTTGCTATCGAGGTGACGGCCCTAAGCCTCATTCGCAATAGAATTACCATCCCCATCCCGGGAGTTCAGGAGTGGGGCCCTACTGCTAGCACCGCCCTTGGGCTCGGTCCGTTCATCATGATGGATTTCATTGCCAGTTGTGGAATACAATAATCATCATCAAGTAAGGGGTGGGTTATAATGGACCTTTCCAACGATTGCATGAATACATATTTGGAGATAACATGATAAAGGGCCAGGGGAAGATGAACTGAAACAATCTATGAATATTTCAGTCTTCCTGGGCACAATTTGCCTGTTCATAGAACTCTACCACAGGCCCATTGTAATGCTTCTTGGCATAGAGCCACCAGTTCAGCAAACCGAGTACTAAGGCAACCCCGAGAATCGCGCACGCGTAGTCTATGTTCACCCGTTAGCCTGAACTGGGTTTCCCCTTCTTCATCTGCCTACGACAGCACGAATCAGGAAAGGGGGTATTGCTCACTCATTGTAGAAGCATTTGTCGGGATGAAGATCGGCAAGTTAAAGAAGACTAGTGTCAAAATTGTGAACATCACAACATAGATATTGACAGCCCAGCCTAGAACATGCGGCATTTTGAAGGGCCGCTTTGGCGGCAAAAATTTTGTGGACCGTCCTTGGTAAAGAAGTAGTACCACGGGGATAGCAAATGATAGTTCCTGGAGAATAATACAGGCTCCAATAAGAGCGTTGATTGCTAAGAGCTTCATTTTAGCCTCTTTTATTGCATTGCGAAATAGAAAAATGGAATAAAAGGAGAGATATGAAACAACTCACCAGTTGCAGAACCCAAATAGATCAAACCACACACAAACACCAGGGACCAGGTGGAAAGAAGTCCAAAGATCGGAACATCAAGTCTCGGATCAATCCGCTTGATAAATTTAGAGAACACAATTCCTTCATCGCGAGCGAAGGACCACGCAAGGCGAGAAGATGTTTCCTGTACGGCGATGATTATAAAGACTGCCATTACGACACCAATAATTGTGAGCGCATTTGCTATTGTCGTTGATCGAAATATTTGTACATAAACAATATAAGGTATCCACCTGTTTTGGCCAATAGAAATCAGTAGACTGACATTTATGAGAAGATCAAGGACTGAACTGCATAATCATACCCCGTTGTGGTCAATATTTGCGTAATATCAGTCAGACCATAGAGTAGGGCTACCGTATATGAGAATGCGGTAACAAATCCGATGCCCACAGCGGCCATAATAGTCCGTGGGACTGTTCGTTCAGGCTCGCTGCACTCTTCGGCCAGATGCATGGATGCATCCAAGCCATTATACATATAACATGAGGTAGAAAGGCCGGTCAAGAAACAAACACCGTTTGGCCAGCCGGTCTCGTTGATAAAGGTTGTCCAGACAAAGGTGCTTGGTTGCTTCGGGCTAGCGCGAATTAGGATCACAATGAAAGATGTCAAAAATAGTGACAACGTGAGGAAGACTATCAAATTCCGTTAGTGGGTAATATTGAAAAGGGGCATCTTTTGCAAGGCGCTACTAACAGCCAATATTATGGGTCCAAGGCGCGCGCTTGAGCGCGAAGATGTTATACACGAGCGCAAAAAAGGCCATTCCCTGGTAGACTAAAAAAGACTTGCCATCGTTTGGTGACAAATCCATCATGAGTAGCAGCAACTACGGCCATCAGCTGCTCCGACAGTAAAAGGATCACGGTGACGCCGATTGCAACCCAAGAAAAGAGGGCCAGAAGACCGCATGCATATGACAAACCCCGTCTGAGTCTCGACGGGGCAAGGATAGATGCAAAATGGTACTGTCCTCCAGCAGTTGGGTAAACAGACGCTAGCTCAGCTAAAGAGGCAGCAATAGCAAGGTATGCTGACGTGCTGATGATAATTGAGTAGATAAGAGTGACAGGTCCTCCTTGTAACAGTGCCAGTTGAATGCTGCCGGAGATTCCAGCCCAGCTATTACATATCACGAAAGCCATGGATAAAAGGGTGACAGAATTGAACTGCTTCTTTAGAGGAGTGTGTGTTCTCTGAAGCTCGGTCTCGGTTGCAGAGACTGACTCGGCACCAGGAACAGCTGGCGTCTTCTCAATGCCGTAGGACATATCTATGGATGATATGAGCCACTTGACTTTCACTGAAACATGAAGATTCTATTACCGATGTCCTTCGCATCCATAGACATGGTGGAATAGTTGGTTGATAAGAGGAAAACAGAAATCTCTCTCTCGTTTTGGACTATTTTTGGGGTAGACTTGCTGGAGAAATGTTGGTCTTATATTTGTGAGCTCGCAGTGGTCCATCAACTAAACGGCAGATGGTGAAAGGCGTAGCCCAAGTGTGAGGGGAAAGTTAAAGAGCATAGTCCTGCCCTCTTCTAACGAATCAATGGAAAGACAAGCCGCCACTTCACTAGTTAGATCCCATAAAAGGTATTGTATACCAGTTTCCCCGCATTTTTGGTGTCAAGCTGCATAAGAGGAGTTATGGAGCGTGATACCCGACTGGCTGGGTTGCGCGGTTACAGATAAGCGGCAGCAGATAAGGGTCTCGTCAAGGACAAGGACTAGCCTGTAAGGTGTCTAAGTGTGCAAATTTTCATCCTCTCCTTCTGTCATATCCATGTGGTATTCCTGCTTTTGCGATCCTTAATTACGATTGTTATTGGTTTATCGTTTCTCAATGCTGTATAACACGTTTTTGTAACCTTGTTGAATACATTATCTCGGATAATTTCAAGAGCCACTTTTATATTGCTTCTATGGCCGTGATACGTCTCAAAAGACATAAGGGCTTCTAACCTCGGCCATTGAGTTCTTTAGATAATGCCTGAATAGCTTCGGCACCTCCTCGCTGCCCAGAGCGCACGGCACCCTCCATGTATCCACGCCAAACAGATGCAGTCTCGGTACCTACAAAGTGTATGTTTTCAAAAGATGTTGTCAGCTCAGTGCCCACAGTAGTCATCACTCCGGGAGCCATGACTGGGCATGGAGCCCCAAGAAAAAAGGCTTGCTTGAGCCACTCAACCTCCAGGGTGTTTGCTGGCTCGGGTACATTCTCGACAAATTTTCCGAATCCCCTGGAGAATTGCTCCCATACTTGACGATAACGAGCCGCCTTGGATAGTTTAGACCATTGCCTTCCTCTCTCTCCGACGATAAAGCAAGTGATTGACCACTGGCTGTCAGCAGGAATGCTGGTATCGCGAGAAAAGCTGATGGGACCGATCTCGGCGTCCAAACAGCCAGAGAAACCAGCATTGCGCCACCAAGGTTTGTGAAAAACGAATATCATCTTGCTGTAATATCCCATTGCTGTGTTTTCGCCGAGAGCTGCTTTTTTCTCGGGCAAAGGAGGGTTAAATTTAATTGATGGGTAGAGAGTTGTAGGAACCGAGACGATGACTTTCCGAGAATGAACCACCAGACCACTCTCTGTTGTAATCACACATTTAGTGCCTTGCGACTGTTCAATTGAAGTAACAGGATTACGTAGGAGGACTGAGCGTGGACCCAGTTCTTTGGCCATTTTCCGGGAGATGGTTTGATTGCCTAGACCGTTAGCGCCCAAAATCAACAGCAGACGCGCTCTTTCTCAATGTTAAATACCTTGTCTATTGCGTAAATATTGTCCTCCGTCTTTTCCATCCGAGAGGAGGTTGTCGATTCCGCACCCGCATTTAATATAGTGCAACATGAACAAGGCGCTGACTTCGTCACTTTCCACCCCCAAAAGTGCACTGCATATCAGATCGGCAATATCAGCCGCTTCGTCAGACTTGGTTCTGCTGATGCAAAAATCCTCGAAAGTTGTTTGGTCAATCTCCTTAGCACCTGGAGAGTTGGAAGGGTTGTTCAAGTCCACGATGGCAGACTCTGCTCGAAGAACCTCCATGAGGTTCGTGAACACGGTTGGATCACCCTTCAAATCATAATGAGTATACTGGGTATTTGGGGATCAAGTGAGGCTATACGTACGGGAAGTTGGCCGTACGGCACTTTCACGATAGACCCCACCGCGGGCTCAAGGACGCTGTCTCCATGATCCAGTTGCATTTCAGCGTCAATGCCATATTTCTGAAAGAGTTTGAACATTTCGCTTTGATTGGTGTCGTTTATCCAGGCCGCACCCATATCATTGAATCCCTTCTCGCAGGATTGGAGGGTGAGGGTCTTGCCCCCGACTCGGTTGTTCGCCTCCAAGACGCAAACAGTGAATCCTGCAGCACGGACTGTAAGAGCAGCTTGAAGACCACTCAGGCCGGCACCAACTACGACCACGTCGTATGAGGGCTTGGCTGTCATCGACATGGCCAATCTTCGCTTTTGCTGGAGATGTCGGGAGCAAATGAATCGAGATGGTAAGGGATTAATTATGGGGAAACTGAATCGATATGCCGGACGATCAAAGATGAAATTAAAGGTTCCCCATTACTATGGCGATTCGTTTTATACCCCAAGAGTAGCAGACAAAACCCGGATGATGTCAACTCGGGCCCCCGCGAAAACACCGAAGCGATGTCTTATCTCCAACCGCGTTTATCGACCCTTACCCCACTCACCCCGGCTTCTCAACTCACATGACTCCTTTTTAGCGGCGTCCATACGACTAGGTTCCGATATAGGCTGGTTTTTTGGGGTGGAGCCTGGGCTGCCGAGGCCTGAGTTCTCACACGCCTCCTTCACCACTCTATAGCTTTAAGGCTAGGTACCCTCTTTCCCTGTGCGCAACATGCCGGCTTCATTCTCACCCAGGGCCCAGCGAGGCTCCGAGAGAAGTAGTCGTCGAACGAGCCGAGTGTTCGGTCGTGTGAGAACTGGTTGTCTTACCTGTCGCCACCGCAAGAAGAAATGTGACGAAGAAAAACCACAATGTTTATCGTGCGCCCGAAACAAGCTTGACTGTTCTTGGCCCCCGCATATAACTCGAACATTCGGGCTTGATGGTAAACAGAGGAGTTATTGTGACCAAGTCACCTCCAAGACTAGCCTAATCAGTTGTGATGGGTTGGCAGAGGCATATTCATCTCCTGTCAGCGAGGCTCATGGCACTTCTCCTGAAACAGAGGACAAGGACGAACCCGACATCCCCAACGACAACATTGTCTGGTCACGAGAACTGAGCACATTCTTGAGTCCGAGGCGAGCAGGGATGCTTCTACCGGCCTCGCAAGTTCTTTTATCGCATTACATCGAAAAGACAGGTCCTTTGTTAGCTACCGCCCCGGCGCAAAACATCCCATTCGTTTCATGGATCATGCCCATCGCTTATAACGACGATCTTCTCATGCACAGTATCCTTGCATTGAGTGGAGCACATTTATCATTCAAGTCACAGGAACAGACTGAACTTCAGCAAGCTACTTACCAGCACTATTGCTTGGTATTGCGAACCCTTCGGCGTATATCCAAAGATGAAGCTCTTCTAGAAGAGCCCCTGGCTTTGCTTAGGGTGTCTTTGACTTTAGTTATTCTATGTCATTATGAGGTATTTTTGCAGAATGGATTGCTCCCGTTCTTGAAATCACTAATTATGTCAGACCCTCTCCGGAGACTTGAATGGTTCTCTGTTCATCCACCTTCGCGCCAGTCGGCATTTAATTCTTAAACTACAAAGCAAGCAGCGCGAATTCAAGACAGGAGAGGAGCGCAAGCTCTATGGATTCATAATGGAAGTCTATTCCTATCTCGTTTTATCCAACAACATCACCCCGTTCGGAATGAACCAAGACAGGGCACTTATCCATGACACATTTCTTCAATCACTTGATGATCTCAACGAATTTGGGGCCTTTGGTGTCATGTTTGGTGGTGTACATGGTCTTTTCGAGCTGATCTCCCAAATTTCCTTCTTTGCTGCGCAGCATGGGTGCCTCAGTGAATACCCGGATCCCGACAGCTTCGGTATCTACAATAGTTTAATAAAGACAACCGTGAATTGGAATCCTCCAGCTACAGAGCACGCCGGCGCCTGGGACTCAGAGCGAACAGCAACACTCGAAGTATACCGATACGCCCTGCTAATCTTTTTGGAGTCCACGGTGTCTCCAGTTTCGAAGCACAACGCTCTGAGAATTTCTCACTTGCAGTCTCACATCGATATAGCCATGTCTCATCTACCACAGATTTTAACTACGAATTACTCCTGCATTTTAATGTGGCCCCTGATTATTATTGGCTCTTGCCTTGTTAAAGAGAAACAGCGCAAGGTTTTGAAAGACAAGCTTTCGCACAACAAGTACTTGATGAGAAACACAGTCGTGGCGAGCTGGCTTTTGGAATTACTTTGGGCTGATAATGATGAATACTCCATTGGTCCCTATGGGCTTGGTTTGCTGATGGGAAAGCACGGATATAACTATGGTGTTGTGTAATATTTCAGGACAGCAGTAATGATATCGTCTCTAAGCATTCTCGTTGGGTCAGGGTCACTATTAACTGCCTTGGACAGGGTAATGATCTCAAAACATGCTTTAGCAGGTAAAAACGTCTGCAGCAGCCGGATTCAAAACTTTCGTTTATGATTGATGCTAAACAAGACAAATTTCTGTCAAACATTGAACGAGACCAGCTTCAGGCATTTGCCGTCGATGTTCAAAGCTCGTATACTGTTTTAATACTTAATACCTATCGCGTGACTTGTGTCTTTCTTTTTAATCTTTTTGACTTTTCGAACTCTATGTAGTTCAATCATGGGTATTCTTACATCTAGCACTCCAGAACAGCGCTGGATTATATATCGATCTCCCCAGCCGCTTCGAGAAGGCTCTCCGCTCCCATATATCCGTGCGGCCAACCACCTGACAGTTGTAGCCATATCGATGGTACGCTTATTGACTTTGCAGACGTATCCCCCGTGGCGAATTTTACTGAAGCCTGCAGGTTCGGCAGGGAGATGAGCGACGGATACCCATCGCCAGGCTGTGGCCGAAAATCGTTGGCCGCGTCCTCCTCGTCTTCATTTTCAGAATCGGGCGAATTTGCGGCTACGCTGCCGCTGTCTCGCCCGACAAGAATATTCTCACTTACCTCGCCGAGGTAAGCTGCTTTATACAGGTCATGCATGATGTCAAGGGCGCCAAGCCACTGCCTCGCGGCTTTCCACTCAGAAACCCAGCATGTCATGACCTGACGGACGAGGTTGAAGTAATGATTGGCTTCCTTCACCATATTCTCGTCTGAAAATGTCTCATCTCGTGCGTATTGAAGCCAAAGAAATGTGTTGGCAGCAATAAGAATTGAGGCGGCCACCCAAATGGTTTGCAATGAGGACTCATGCTCCATATCGTCCATCAAATATGAGAGCATCTCCCCAACCTGCAGAGCGCTGTTCACGCAAGTCTTGATGAGCGATTCGTCCCTGTGAAAATATGACCAACCAGCAGCGTCGACAATGTCGACAAGCATAGTATAGGCCGTCCGTTGAGGCAGATAGGATTGATGGGCGACGCACGAGGCTGAGCGCAATATGAAATGCATCGCCACAAAGGGACTCTTCTGACCAAGGGCACATTGGTTCTTATAGTTGTCAGCACTCCAACGGAGACTCGGATGTAGCTCGTCGACCCAGGAGCGCAGGGACGCGTGCTGGATAAAGAGGGTGCTTCGAGAGTCAGTCGGAGGGTGCCAGTCTAGACGCCTACGAGAGTAGACCACGAAGTCAGCTAGGTCACTCCAAAGGCAGATGGCCTTGATCAAGTACGGAGTGAGACCTAGATCTGACGGTCTACGCTGAGTAGCCAGCTCGTCTAAGCTCACACCTCTAGTCTCCTCTTGGTAGACTAGTGACGCATCAGCACTAGGCACAGCAATAGAGACGGTGTCGAGATTAATTGTTCGATGCTTAGCAAGCAGGTATGCTAGTGCCCTGTCGAAGAGAAGACATGCCCAAAAGGTGCGTCTTCGGATCTCTTGGTCTCGGGGTGTGTGTTTCTGATGAAACTCCTTGTTGAGTCTCATGATCTCAGCCATTCGAATGGCTGTGCCTGAGAAAAGCCACTGACGCGCACCAGAGTTCGCGAGAAGCTCTGCCATGGCGACTATGAGATTGGCCTGGATATGTGAAACTGCGATTGCGTTGTAAACATTTGAGGATCATCAAGGCATGCGCGACACTTACCGCTTGGCTCGTCCGATTTCACCTTGGCCAGATACCGGGCTTTCTGTAAGTAATTTCGCGAGACTTGACGTGCTGAAGTAAGCCCGAAGAGAGCTTGCGCATCCTGCTGCGCTAGGTACCTGCCACATAGCGCTATAACTGATGAAGCGAGGAGGGTATCTTGTCTACACTTGTGCTCAAAGTCTAGCCGGTAGTCAAATGAACAAAAGTCGCTTGCAAAATGCCGTTCAAAGAAATGATCCAGACAGATTTGGAGGCCATGCTGGAAGCTGGGGCTTTGATCAGTCTCTTCGTGCCGTGGCGACCGAGCTCTGAAGTGTGCGGTGACCTCTGAGGATTCCCGGGTTTGAGCAGGCGAACTAGGCGACATTCGATGTATAGGATCTGGGGCAGACCACAGGCATTGTAGTCCCTTGGCTGTGCAACGACCGCACTGGGGGCGAAGGCCATCACATTTGGTCTTGCGACTCCGGCTAGAAACTCATCAGTCCCGAACATTACTAGGGACGTGTGATCGGATCCATACCATGTGTTGCAGGCAAGCGGAGTCCTGACAAAGCCTCGCCTCATGGCTCGCAATAGTGCTCGTGGGAATGGTGGAGACGCAACGTGCTCCTGGTTTCGCTGGAGATGGCGGAAGAGCCGAAGAGCCGTCGGGATGGAAGTGGGCCTCGTACGTCCAAGTATGGAGGACCCACTGGTAAATTGTAATGCTATTATTGGTCGTGGCGCTGGATTTGGAGACCAGCCAATCCACGATGCAAAACCTAGTGCTCAAAGGAGTCGTACAGTAGGGCTGGCTCCATTCGTCTCATATTCCTTTCGGAGCTCTTATCACAAGCCACTTTGTCATCGTACAACCGATTCAGTCATTGATAACACATACTGCAGCGCAGATAATCGCAAAAATCTACTTCGACATGTCGACTTATTTGAGGGCCAGAGCCAAAGATTCGTTGTAGACTGCTCAACAGGCTGGACCAAAATGTATCTCAAGTAATTGACATGATTTATTCCACCTTGTGCCTCTTCTGTTAAAGCTGTTCATGTGACCTTTTAGCCTCCTCGAGGTTTAACTCCCGGTCTGTTTGAGCATCATGTTGGCGCATCGTCCTCACATCCTGCCACCACACAACACAGATCCATCCCGCAAGGCTGACGCTGACGACGACCATTGTAACAGTTCCCTTGAAGAACCCCTAATTTTCTTCAGTAAGTTTTTGATATTGATATATAGTAAAAGCATAAGACTTACTGTTATAGCGTCTGTTGTCGGATAGAGTGCGATGCCCCAAAAAGCGTACAAGACAGAAGAGGCGCCTGTGCTACTTAAGTATATCTCCTATAGAATTAACTGAAGGAGGGGGGAACTAACCATTCATGGAGAACAGAGTAACAGCTCGTGCAGCATCATCGCCATCTCGTGATAAGATCTTGTTTGCCCATGTGAAAACGACGGGTTGGATCGAATACGCCGTTCCCGCCAAATCTATCTCAATCAGTTAACTCCAGAAAGTCTCGAGAAGTTCGCACGCTTTGGTACTTACAAAACGCTGCCATCTTTGCATCAGTCCCAACCATGTTCCAGCAAAGGAGGATAATGCACGCAATTATTTGGACAGAGCAGGCAAAGAAACCATATAAAGAGTGGACTCCCGTGGCATCAATTGCTACGGAAGTACCCAAGGTGAGTACAATACCTAAAGGAAGTCAGCCTTCATTAGCTCTCCGACAAATAAAATGTACTATGTACGAACCAATGGCAGTGATTCCGAGCGGATACATGTTATTCTGTGGAACGGTAAATAAGCCCGAAGCTTTCATCCATAGGACCATGCATGTCTGTGTAGAAAAAGCTTCCAATGCTCCACCGATCATCCAGAAAATATTGAAAATCCAGCTTAACACAGAAAATTAGGCACAGCTTGAGAAAGTGATTTGGGCGCAATACTTACAAGTTGGGTGTAAGCAGGACTCTCTTGACCAGTGAAAATCCAATATTGTGTCCGTCTGCGTTCTTAGGTGGTAAACGGCTGACAGCTAGCTCTTTTTCATGAGGCTTGAGGTAGAATGCCTTAGTCGACTCAGGAAGATCCGGAAAGAAGACAAAACCGAAGAGGGCGACGGGCAGGGTGATGATTCCATCAAGTATGAAAGACTATCCGTATATTAGTTAGCATCAGATAACCGCTATCACTGTCTCTTATAGGGAACTACCAACCCATCGCCAGCCAGACAATCCAGCTACACCGTTCATCGTCTCCCAAACAGCGGTCATCAAGACACCTGGTAAAGGTCATCAATCTCACTGTTCTATGTGTCACCATTACCACTAGCAAGCTTACCTGAAAACATGGTTCCCACCATTCCAGAAGCTTGGAAGAGCCCAATACGTTTACCGACTTCAGACCCCTTGTACCAGCTGCCTAGTATATACTGCGTACCACTGTAGGTAGACGCTTCTGCCATACCTTGCAAAAAACGCACGGCGGCCAGTTGGCTGAAGTTGTGGCAGGCTCCACAGGACATGGTTAAGATAGACCAAACGACTGTCATCAGCGGGAACCAGATTCGAGGAGCGACCTTCTGAATCACAAGGCTATGAGGTACCTGTCCTATGATGTCTGCAGTGAATGAGCACGGGCCAACATGAACAATTGGAGTGAAGGTTATGACTTACAGCCAACCGAAAGACAGGTAACCAGGAGGTTGTATTGATTACCAGTAATGTTGATGTCTTCTTGCATCCCGGACACATACGCGTTTGCTAGAACGGCACGATCTGTTCAGGCTTATGTTAGTCAAACAGTGTGGAGAGGTACTAGAAAACCGAAGTGCTCACCTAGGTAATTGAAGAAGAAGGCAATACAGCAGTAAGTCTATGACGCTAGTTAGCAGCCAATTTGGTAAATATCAGTGGCAGGCTGTGTACAAGGATAAAGAAGTCTATCTTCCTCAGTAACTGGGTTCTCCGATGTTAGTGACTGTGTGCATAGGCCGCTGGGAAAGCTCCCTACCTTGCGCTCTTCTGGACTTGTCGGGGCTTCACCCCAGACGGCCACGCGAAACTTGTCAAAGTTGACCCCCATTTTCGTGGACGCAGAATGGGTACCTCGTCGAAGATAGCTGCGGGGTGAATTGCTGAATCTGTAGTTCTCAGCGGATCCAATGCTGCGGAAAGGGTTTTACAGGACGGACCGTTTTGTGATGAAGGTTGGACCCGGTTGATTTATAGAAATGAACTGAGTATTCGATATGTTCGCATGAAAAGTTTTAGTTCTTCCATCTTCCCCGCGAATTTTCACCCCTGCACGACCAGGGGCCATGGATCTGGTGGGTCTTGTCTCCGCGACGGATAACCCGACAGATAGGGCGGGTGAGCCGTGGCCAGGTCATCAAATTTATGTATCGGCTGCAATCTCCCGAACAAGCCAACCCCGATGAAATGAGAATTTGTTTGCCAAGTTCTCGAATTCAGCGCGAGGCTTCGTGAGTTCAAGATCTCTGTTAAGCTCCCTCGGCGCCGAAATTTCTCCCATTGGAAAGATAAAGTCTCGTGCAGTCAAATTGATCCAAAGCACGAGGCACCTGTGTTAATTACAACAATGAATGCCCCGATCATTGCAAGCCACCCGGCGCCTTCAACCATAAGGCTTGCCAAGCTGCAAACGGAGCAGCAGAACTCGAACACCTCAAAGATCGACGAAGTCTCCTCCTTAGAGCTATGTCGTAGGTTCAAGTATCATTGATATAATACCCTGTCACGACTAATTTATTCTTTTGCCACAGAGATCATCAATAAAGAAGACGCAACTGTTACCAAGGCCGTTGAGACCTGTCTACCCCAAGTTGCCCTTGCAATCGATGTGATCGTACCACGCATACTTGCGGGCGGGCGAGTCATCTATGCCGGTGCCGGGACTAGTGGAAGGTATTCAATCATCGTCTCACTCAGTGCCATGTTGCCATGTCGGTGTTTGATAGTTGACTATTGCTATGATACAGGTTAGGTGTCCTAGACGCGTCTGAAATGTAAGTAAACCTCTTTTGAGCCTGTCATTAGCAGCACTAACGAAGTCCCAAGTCCACCCACATTCTCTGCACCGCCAGGACAGTTCATTGGATTGATAGCCGGCGGAGATCATGCTATCCGAAACGCGGTCGAAGGCGCTGAGGACTCAGAAGAAATGGGTGCGGCTGACCTTGCGATGTTGTCCCCTCCTTTAGGCGAGAACGACGTCCTTATAGGCATTGCCTCGTCGGGGCGGACCCCTTATGTTTTAGGAAGTATCAAATACGCAAATTCGGTTGGAGCAGCCACGCTTGGTCTCGCCTGTGTGCATCCAAGCGCACTAGAGGGACTCTGTGACATTTTGATCGAGTGTGTCACTGGTCCCGAAGTTGTGACTGGGAGTACTCGTCTCAAAGCGGGCACCGCGACCAAAATGGTATGACCTGCAGCTTTCTAATGTCGAATATTTCAAAGTAAAACCTGGGCTAACTTTGCGACGGTGCTCAGATCTTGAATATGATTTCCACAGGCTCACAGATCCGAGCTGGGAAAACATACGGCAATTTGGTTAGTTTATCTATGCCAGTCATCCCTCATTAGTCCTCCGGCCTGCTAATATACACGCAGATGGTTGATTTGAAAATTTCAAATGAGAAGCTGCGTGACCGAGCACGCCGCGTCGTTCGGGCCATCGTCCCCCCGACGGCCGTTTTCGACGTTAGTAGAGACGATGTCCTCGATGAGATATTGGCCCGCTGTAATGGTCATGTCAAACTCAGCATTCTCGTGGCTACCTCTGGATGTTCGCTTGAAGAGGGCAAGGCAAAGCTACAAGCCTCAACGGGGTCACTGAAGACAGCATTAGAGATGGAGTAAAGGTGGTTCATGGACTAAACGAGTGCTCTTGCAAGTTTACTAGCCCCTGTTATAGAAGTGAAGGGAATTCATCATGTCCGTGCCTTTCTGTTCTTTTGCCAAGAAAATTGTCCACAAAAGTCTTTTGAAGATTCTTTCTCTTTGCCTGTCCTAGGCGCTAGGTTCCTCCTGGTCAAAGTTTCACCCGAAATACATCAAGAACTTAGCAAATATGCTAATCGTTATTATTGTTAATCGAGGGGGTATACATTGTGCAAGAGTACCATTTTGCAATTGGCAAGCTCAACGGTCCTGGTGTGAGAATCCACTAGTCAACACCATAGGTATTGAGATAGTACCCCTTGAGGCCATCTACGGATAACCCGTTGTGTGGCCCACTATTTCGCCCCCACCATCAGGACCCGAGCGAATCTGATCAGGGACGTGCTCTCACGCAACGGGCGTTCTACTGGTCCACATATAAAACATCGTGCGGTCAAGTGACTGTTTCCGATCGATTCGGGGAGATTAGGCGACTTTGTTTCGAGAAGTTGCTACCCTCTATATTCCAACGCTGTGGACTGAGCCAACCAAGGACGTTCGAGTTGATTTCCACTGCAAATATTTGGTCAAGCCGGGCATTTTCCTCAACAGGGTCGAGGACCCTTCTACTCTATTTTTCTTTCTTCCTTCCTACTTTCCTTTCTTTCTTCTTTTTACCTACAAGAGAAAACATTTACTACAAATACTTAGTCCCCGCTGAGGGAAAGAGTTCAGCCTACATCATGGTCACCCTCAATATCCTGGGATTGAACTGTGGCACCAGTGTGGATGGTAAGTTCCTGGCCTATGCAGACTGGCGAGACTAGAAGATATTATGACTATATATCTAAACATCTTGATTTAGGTATTGATGTTGCTCATTGTCGTATATCTTCCATTCCGTCGTCGGCAGACGTGAAAATTGAGCTTCTCTCGTACACAGAAGTCCCAGTCAACCCAAATATCCGCTCCCAGGTCCTTCGTCTATGTCGTCCTAACGCCGGGGCTAGCGCGGCTACCTCTATGGCTGAAGTATGTGACCTCAATTTTGAGCTAGGAAGAGAGTTTACACGGGCAATCGAGGAGTCCGGTGTGGACCTGGCCCAAGTTGACCTCGTTGCGAGTCACGGACAGACACTATGGCACCAGCCCGTAGGAGAAAAGCGCTCGACGCTGCAGATGGCGGAGCCTGCCGTGATTTCTTATGGTACTAAAAGGTACGAGAAGGCCCTGGAGTAACTCTATGGCTACTTGGTACAAATCTATGTGCTGACCACAGAGCAGGACAGTTGTCAGCGGGTTTCGGGTTGCTGAGCTAGCAGCCGGCCGCCAGGGTGCGCCGTTGTCCGGCTTCTTCGAAGCTGGGCTTCTGTCAAACCCTGAGTTAACACGTATTAGTCAAAATATTGGCGGCATAGGTAAGTGGATGAACGGCGCAGCATTCCAAATTTCAGCCCTAACCGAGCCTGTGTAATCAGTCTATTGACGCTTAACATAGGAAATGCAACCGTCCTCCCAGCCAGCAGTTTAAAGGCTGCAGATTCAGAATCGAAATACTTTGCCTTTGATACCGGGCCTGGAAATGTCTTTATCGACGCTGCCATGCGCCTTCTAACAAACAACAAGGAGCATTTTGACTGCGATGGAGCACTCGGTGCCCAAGGCGAAACAGAAATCGACCACGCAGTTGTCGAAGACTACTTGACCAACGAGCCATACTTCCAACTCCAGCCGCCAAAAACTACAGGGCGGGAACTCTTCTCAGATGACGTGGCTCGGTCACTTGTCGAAAAGATGCAATCATCCGGCAAATCTCCTGCGGCCATCATTGCCACCATCACCCGTATCACAACCGAGTCGATCGCCAGGGCGTATGAGAGCATCGTCTTGCCTCTTCTAGGCGAGGGTAGGAGGAACATTGACGAAATCTATATCTGCGGTGGAGGTGCCTACAACCCTAACATTCTCAAACACTTGAGAGCGCGCTTCCCCCAGAGTAGAGTTATGAGGCTTGGAGATGACGATGGCCCTACCACGCTGGACCCCAGTGCTAAGGAAGCTGTTTTATTTGCGTTGCTTGGTTTCCTGTGTGTTTGTGGCCGAAGCGTTCCTGTTGCAATGGATGCAGAGACGGTAGAGCCGTCCGTTCTGGGGTTAGTCACTCCGGGAGAGAACTATCGGCACGTTATGGAAATGGTTGTTAAGGATCAAGAATTTGCGAAGGTGGGCATCCTGGGGAGAATTTTGATGTGACAGGTTGTCTCATTATCATTGTTACGATTTATTAAGTACTTTTAGAATTGTTTACAGTGGAGTCAAAGATCCTTAAATCATGTAGACCAGGACAAGAATATTTTATATTCGACACCGTTCTGACGCCTCGTTTTACGACTCAAAAAACCACAATGGTATGAAGAATCAAGTTTATTGTAATGCTCAACAAAGTATTGTAAGCCTGGCCCATCGCCAGAACCGTGATGTTCTTGCTCCAAGACGCCCGCGCTAGAAAAAAGTCTTCAAAACAACAAATAGCTGGTAGTACGTGTCATGTCGTCACAAATCTAATAGTCAGAGAGACGGGACCATCCAACGGCAAATTCAACCAGACCGGTTAGTGATATAAACGATCATGAGATCATCGGGTCGATATCGCCGTTGTTGGTCATCACGGTGTCACTGGCTCCATTCTGGCTGGTGCCATTCTCATTACTATTACTGTTACTGCTGCTGTTCTGGTTGCCGGACGAGCTATCCTGGGCGTCGCCGACCAAACCGAGATCCAGCTTCTCGGGGATATCTTTCTTCGCATCGCGGGCCTTGTTCTCAGCGAATGCGCGCAGCTTCACGAGGTTCCGGAGACGGGCCTCTTTATTAACGCCCTGGCTCTGCAGGATGGCCTCGTTGACGCGAGTCGCGATGTCCTTACGCAGGCTCGGGTCTAGAAGAGCGGCGAGTGAAGGGGCCAGGTTGTCGCTTGGGAAAATGAGTAGTGCGAGCGTCCGCTCCAGATCTTCCAGGAACTGGGGGTTCGTCGGTGCTCGTGGAGCGAGCTGCGAGGTTGCAAACTCCAGTGCGGGACTGATGTCGCCATCCGGAGTGGATGTGCAGGACCGGATCAGCTCCACCAGCTGGAGGCGCAGCAATGAGAAGTGCAGCGATGGGTTTTCATCGAGGATCTGAGATATGCTGGTTAGCCGTGGAACTTGAACAGCATAGACAAATATTTTGTGATTGGAAACAACAAGATGTTGTTGTTGCTCATACTGAGGACTGAAGATGAGTGTTTTTCCACAACACCCCCGAAGGGGATAGTTAGGAGTGGTGCATGAAACTGATATAATCATAGCAAAGAGGAGGGGAAGGGGGGCAGAGAGTACATGAAACGAATGGTTCTTACCTGAGGATTCAGCTCGTTGATCTTCTCAATCGCCACCTGAATGTTACCCGAGTGGATGGCCGTCCGGATCTCAACCCTTTCCTGGATGGATTCCAGATCTGTGCTGAGCTGGATATTGGCCTCGGCTGCGAATTTCTTCGCTGCAGATGGGTAGCCGTTCGTGATCAAGTAGTCCATTACCAAGTAGTTGATGTCACTGTAAACTCGACTGTCAGCCATTTTCCGCAAAAGGCATCGCAAGTCAAGATTCGCCAAGTTAAGACAAATGGGGGAAATTTCAGATAGACAAGTTAATATGTTCTCTACAAGGGTTTTCAGAGAGATTCCCAACTTGATTTTCAAGGTGCATCATGTGAGGTGTCATAGGGGGAAGGGCCGGAAAAGGCGGCAATGATGGGGAGGACTCACGTTTTGGATGGTTTGACCTCGTCGACCTTGCGCTCAAACTGATGCCAGGTCGGCGTGGTCGTCGAGGGGGTACGAGACATCTGCTGTGTGTTAAAGCCAGCAACCACGGGTGTCAATCCGGGCAGCATACAATATTGGCCGAAGCCATAATGCCGGGGGGACAGGCAGCGAAGAGGTACTCAAAGCTAGCCGTGACTGAAACAGTGTGTAGCCCTGCAGACGACGGCCATGGGGGAAGGGCAGAACGCTGGTCGAGGCAGACAAGGGGAGGGAAGGTGTGAAGAGGAAAAGAACAGAAAAGAGCGGAAAGAGCAAACGGGAAGAAAATTGACAGTGCTTAGGTAATCGCAACAAGCGAAGTCACGCGCGCTAAGCCCGACGTGGACCACTTCGAGACGAGTGGAATAATGCGACGTTAGGTCACTGATTGATTCTTGCATGCCTTGCTGCTGGCTTGGTCATGGAGTCAGTCTCGCCTTTCTACTCCCACACCCCGGAGGTGCGCTACTGCCCGCCATGGCAAGACTTGAGCATTATTGGCATCGCCGGCAGCTCGGGGTCCGGCAAGACCTCGGTGGCCATGGAGATCGTGCGGTCATTGAATCTGCCGTGGGTGGTGATTCTCGTCATGGTACATATTCTTTCTTCCAGTGTGTCTAGATGCGGACTAATACCCGGCCCAGGACTCATTCTACAAGTCGTTATCTCCAGAAGAGCATCGCTTAGCGCATGCCAACAATTACGACTTTGACTGCCCGGATTCGATCGATTTTGATCTTCTGGTGAAAACGCTCCGCGATTTAAAAAAGGGGTGAGGGTTGCCCTGTTCGGCGCAACGTCTCGTCGGTTTGTGCTGACCGGCATATGATGCCAAGCCAAAAAGCCAATATTCCGATCTACTCCTTTGCTGATCACCAGCGCCAACCCCAAACGACCACCCTCTACTCGCCTCGGGTGCTGATCCTAGAGGGAATCTTGGCACTTCATGATCCAAGAATCGTGGAGATGCTAGATGTCAAGGTACAGCTTCGGCCCCGTTGGTTGAAAGGGCTAGCACGGCTAATGCAATGGCTAGATCTTCGTGGAGGCAGATATGGATGTCTGCTTGGGCCGCAGAGGTACGTCTTGCCCCAATTTGGAGAATGGCCTAGGTCACTGACGGGGAGGGATCCAGTGTTGCGAGATGTCCGTGAAAGAGGGCGAGACATTGAAGGAATCATCAAACAGTGGTTTGACTTTGTCAAGCCATCTCTCAAGACATACGTAGACCCCCAGCGAATTATCTCCGGTAGGCAAATCGTCTCTTTTTCCTTTTCGTTTGTTTGGTATTCTAAAGTCCAGCTCTAGATATCATCATTCCGCGTGGAATTGAAAACAAGACCGCCATCGGTTTGTCACCTTTGGACATTCTTTGTCAGCTTAAATACTAACCAAGTCAGACATGGTTGTCAAGCACATCCAGCGCAAACTTGAAGAAAAGTCCGAGGTGCATACCGAGGAGTTGCGCAAGCTCGGTTTACTAGCCGCCAAAGTCGATCTGCCCCCAAATGTGCATGTGATGCCCTCGACGAACCAGTTCCTTGGGATGAACACGATTCTGCAGGACCCCGAGACAGAGCATGTCGACTTCGTGTTCTACTTTGATCGGCTTGCCTCCATGCTAATTGAGAAGTGCGTATTTTAATGGTTATCTGGTCTTTTTTCCCAACAACTCCCTTCCTAACAACTCTCTCTCTCTAGAGCCTTGGACATGACTTCATACGTCCCAACAAGCGTGGAAACTCCACAAGGCAACCACTACCTCGGCCTGACCACCACGGGCATTATATCAGCCGTTGCCATCCTGCGTGGGGGCTCATGTTTAGAAACTGCTCTGAAGCGGACTATTCCCGACTGTATCACGGGCCGCTTATTGATTCAAACTAAAGAGAATGATGAGCCCGAGTTGCACTACTTGAAACTGCCTTCGCACCTGGAAGAGCATGCCATGGTCATGCTCCTCGACCCCCAGATGTCCAGCGGTGGTGCTGCGCTGATGGCTGTTCGAGTTTTGATTGACCACGGCGTGGACGAGAAAAAGATTGTCTTCGTGACGTGTGCCGCTGGGGCGATGGGTCTGAAGCGGCTGACTGCTGTGTATCCGCAGATCACGGTTGTTGTGGGTCGCATTGAGGAAGAGGGCGAGCCGCGGTGGATGGAGAGGCGGTATTTTGGATCCTGACCGCATCCAGAGAGCTTGTACGGGTTAGTTTACCAGAGGCGTTATTGTGGTACATCAACATAGTCAATTTTTCGCGAATGAGTCCTGAACATATATTTGTGTTGACATCCAAATAGATAGTGCTGTTAAACGTGCTGACCTGTAGTTCCCAACACGGAAGTTAGCAAATTTTATTCGAAACGGTTGAACAGTTAATGCAAATCCTGTCTAACACACATTCCGATTTAATCATTACCCACAACTCTAGTCTCTAAACCGTTGATCTTCTCACACCCTCTTATACTTCAGTCTTAGTGACCGCCTTTTGTCCACCGCCTCGATTTCGCCGGCAGAAAAAAGAAAATTGTCTCCCGCTCTTTCAGATCCGAACTGTTCTTGTTTAACCATCCTTCAAACATCGCAAGTGTGCCTACTCCCGTTGCAGTAAAGGAGAGCAAGATGGCCGGCCAAGATAAGAAAAAGCAAAAGAAGGCCGGTGCAAAGGGTGACGCCGGTCCAGTGATCAGTACGTGCAGCGAAATGCGCAAAAGAAATGGAAATGGAAATCACTAACTCGAAAAAAATCTTTACAGCCGATCCTCGATTTGCCAATATCCAAACCGATCCTCGATATCGCTTGCCGAGCAAACGCCAGACACATGTCAAACTCGACAAGCGGTTTGCGCACATGTTGCGCGACAAGGACTTCTCCCGCAACGCCGCGGTAGACCGGTACGGACGCAAATTGGCGAAGGATGATACCAAGAAGCAGCTTGAGAAATTCTACCGTCTTGACGAAGACGAAGATGATGATGAAGATGAGGAGGAGGAAAAGGAAGATGGGGAGAAAATTCTCAGCGCAGACGATGACGACGAAGTCCAGAAGGAGTTAAAACGGGTCGAGAGCAGACCATATGACCCTGCTCGCGACGGTGGGTTTTCCTCGTCTTCTTCGGATGAGGATAGTTCTAGTGAAGATGAAGACGAGGAAGCTGTCGACGAAGGGGATGAACTTGATTTCCCCGATAAACAGCAGGCGAATGTGCCACTGGGAGACGTCACCGAGCGGATAGCTGTCGTCAATCTCGATTGGGATAATATACGGGCCGAGGATTTGATGGCGGTGTTTTCAAGTTTTGTGCCTACCGGAGGACGCGTGACAAAGGTCGCTGTGTATCCTAGCGAGTTTGGAAAGGAACGGATGGAGAAGGAGGAAACCGAGGGCCCACCGAAGGAGATCTTCGCCTCCAGCAACCAAGAGGAAGACGCTGACGAGGATGAAGATGAAGAACTCGACTCAGATGAGGAGGAAGAACAAATCAAAAAGTCCATGTTGAAGAGTGACTCGGGCGAGGAGTTCAACTCTACGGAGCTCCGGCGTTACCAGCTCGAACGGCTGCGCTACTTCTACGCCATTCTCACGTTCTCTTCCAAGGACGTTGCGAAACACGTCTACGACCTGGTGGACGGCGCAGAGTATCTGTCTAGTGCCAACTTTTTCGACCTCCGATTCGTCCCCGAGGACACCGACTTCTCGGACGACAAGCCTCGGGACCGGTGCTCCCGCATCCCGGACGGATACAAGCCCAACGAGTTTGTGACCGATGCGCTGCAGCACAGCAAGGTCAAATTAACGTGGGATGCCGACGACAAGTCCCGAAAAGAAGCCCAAGCGCGTGCGTTCCGGGGTTCGCGGCTAGAAATTGATGAAAACGACCTCAAAGCCTACCTTGGCAGCGACAGCTCCGAAGATGAAGACGAAGACGAGGAGGGTGGAGTGGAAGTGGTGGATAATACCACGGAGGGGGGTTCCAGCACCAAGCTATCTAAGCGGGAAGCCGAGAGACAGCGCATGCGCGCGTTACTGGGGCTGAGTACGGAGCCTGCTCGCTCCTCCAAGTCGAAAGCCCCTGTTGGCGAGATGGAGGTCACTTTTACTTCGGGGCTTGCCGGTGGTGTTCGGGACGATGGGATCTTTGAGAACGAACCTGAAATTGAAGAGAGCACGGTGGACAAGTACGTGCGGAAGGAGCGCGAGCGCAAGAAGCGGAGAAAGGAAAAGCTCAAGGCCATGAAACGCGGAGAGGATCCCACGGAGACCGAAGCGGCAGCCGACAAGGACGCCCCTGTCACGACCGAAGCATCAGAAGCGCACGAGGAAGATCTGGGCTTCAACGATCCATTCTTCGAGGATCCCGACAGCAAGGCATCCTCGGCTGCTCGTCGCAAGGAAGAGAAGCGCAAGAAGCGTGCCGAGCGGGCTGCCGAGGAGGCTGCATCCGCCGCTCAACGGGCCGAACTGGAGCTGCTCATGGTGGACGACAAAAAGGCCGAGATGAAACATTTCGACATGAACGAAATCGAAAAGGCCGAGAAGCAGGCCCGGCGGAAGGGAAAATCCAAGGGCAAAAGCAAGGAGGCCGCCGCCGCTGCTGTTGCTGCGGACGACTTTAACGTGGATGTCAGCGATCCCCGGTTTTCGCGCCTGTTCGAGAGTCACGAGTTCGCCATTGATCCCACCAACCCCCGATTTAAGGCGACATCCGGCATGAAGGCCCTGCTGGAGGAGGGCCGTAAGCGGCGGCGGACCGGGGATGACGGGGAAGCCGAGGTAGTTGAGAGTAGGGGCAAGACCAAGAAACAAAAGGCCAGGAAGGGAGACGAGTCAGAGGATCTCAAGCGGCTGGTGGACAAGGTCAAGCGGCAGGCGAAGGCATAGTGCGGTGTACATACATGAATAGGTAGCAAGTCATAGTTAAGGTGCTGCCAATCGGCCCAGAAGCAGAAGGGATCATGTGCCCCCGGTTCACCGCCCTTTCTTCCAGTCTTCCCTTTCCCCGGGCCTCTTTACCCTTTCCCATCTTCCCTCCAGATCTCCGTTGTCGTGGAACCCTCTTGTCTGAGAATTGTCCCAGTGAACCATCTCGGGACTCTGTCGGCTTCTACTTTGTCGCGTGTGTGTCTGGTCGCTGCAGGCGCCAATTGCGGATCCCCACGCCCCACTCCCTCGCTGGCAGTCTTCCTGCAGGCCATCCCACTTTCTTCTCCCCTCCGCCTACGACTGCTTCGCCTCGACTCAACCACTGCCTGCCATTCGCCATCCCTCCTCCTCTTTTTTGATGATGGCTCCGATCCCGCGGAATTAAGCAACGGGTAAGATGCAGTCTAGTCTTGCCTAGCTGTCTGACTACCCACCGTTGTTACACTGCGTATCTCGACGTTTTTTGTTCCCTGCGATTCCGAGCTTTTTCGTTGCATTGTACTCCATCATGCTGGGCCGACTATTAAGCACAGCAGCTTCAACCTTGAACCCTGCTGCCTACTCCAATCGAAACCAGACCCCCCTCGAATCGGTGACCGAGGAAGAACACACATCCAGCCTCCTCTTCCCCGATGCTAGCCTCCTCCGACGCTCCAATACCCATGCTTACCCGCTGCAATCTACCTTCACCTCTCCAAATGCCTCGACCGCAGGGGCCTACGATGACCGCGGGGGGTTGGAATTGGATGCCATCAAAGACTTTCGGGTAGTTGTGGCCCAGAATGCCCTGGGTGATCGGGACGCATGTGTTTTGCTGGACACCCGATCTTCGTCCGGTTCGCCCCCCACTGGTCTTGGAATAGATTCACAGAGCCTCGAACAAACGGGGACCAAGCACACCCGCGCAGTTTCCAGCCTCTCGCGCGGATCCCGTCGAAATTTCCCGACCCAGTCCTCTGTTGTCGAGTCGCGACCTCTCCCCGCCGCCGCCGCAGATGCCCGCCGATCAACACCGGCAAGCCCTGGCGCCTTCTCGCGGGCCCGTGGCCGTAGCTCCACCCTGGCCTCAGGAACGTGGCACGAAGGTCAATCCCGACATGCAGCCGATTCGAACGACACGGGCCTCCTGAACTGCATATTCGGCAGCAGTGCTTTCAGCTACCGGGGGTCATCCACGAAAATGCATATCATATCTGCCGACGAGGAACCAGGTGCTGCGACTAGTGGTTCACCTGCACGAAGCCCTCTTGCTCGTGCCTACACCACCGGCAGCTCTTCAGGACTGATGGGGGCTGCCCGTGGCGCGGATGGCAAGCCGCCCTCCAAAGTCACCGTTCTTTTGACCAGAATGTTCAGTGTTAACTTACCGGAAGGGGCCGAGGCATCGGCTGACCGATTTGACTATGCTAATGGTATCTACCAGGAGTCTCTACCGGATTTAGGATTCCCCTTTCCGGACGTCTCCAAGCGCAAGAAAATTAAAGAGAAGAAAACGCCAATGTATGCTGTGGCCATTACAATCCAGATTCCTCTGCTGGCACGCAATTCGGGACGGCCTGTCTCGCGATTTAGCACACTGAGCCCAGACTCTCCTCGGCCTGGTTTGTCCAGTTCTTTGGACTCGGATTACCGTTGGCCAGTATTCCTTGACGATAGCCTGTCTTCCGCGTCTCCACCTGCCAGCTTGGATGAACGTCTAGACTTACTCGTCGATCACTGGGATGTCATTACCCGCACACTCTCTCACCTGGAAAACCTTGCCAGAAATGAGATCCTCTTCCTTCTGAGAAAAGTGGACTCTCTAAGTGGACCGCATCCGAAACCCGCTAAACCTCCGAATATGCAACGGACCAACCAAACTATTGTACATCTTCCAGCGAACATCCTCTCGGTGAACTCCAAGCTCAAAGATGAGGCTCTCCGCAGTACACGCCGCATCAGTTTGGCCCTCCAGACCCCCTACGTGGTGACTGGTCAAAGCCGGTGGGGTGTCTGGCGGGAGGAAGGTCGTTCGATTGTGCGTGGCCTCGGGGACAAAGAACACAGTTTTTTCTTCTTGGTTCTTCTCACAGCATTCTTGGGAAACCACACCGAGTGGCTTAATGCGTTGGGGCCTGATTGGTATCGGCGTCGCCATCACCAGCAGCAAAAGTCCCAGCAGGACACCGATCCCATTGTCTCGAGCAGAACAGTTATTATTTGCCCCGACAAAATGACTGCTCGCCGGCTTGTTTTCTTGCTCTCCGCCTTTCTCCCATCTAAGCAACGCCCTGACCTGTTGCCATCCCCTCTCCGTCCTGGGACCTCCGCTTCCATGCGAGCCGTCTCGCAAAGCCCGCCTGCCGTACCTGTGCTTCGCCAGGAGTCTCTTCGACGAGCAATTGAGCGGCGTGCTCGTGCACAGCGACAATTTCTAGGCGATAACGATTATCATCGGCGATCTGTGAGCGCGGGATCCCCGGATACAAATCAGCGATCGACCGAGAATGATTTGACTCCCACTCCAGAGCAAATATCAAACCGTAGAGGGTCTGATGCTCGATCGACCAGGACGCTTGGCGCAAGTACCCAAGCTAAGGATGCTCGGGCTAAGAACACCAGTGGAGCAACAATCTCCATTACATCCCAGAGCAGCATGGTCCCTGTACCGCATTTTGCATCACAGCAAAGCCGGTCTAGCCAGAGAAGAATAGACCACAGTGCGACTGATGGGAACGAAAGCCTGGCATCGGAGAATCTGCTGAAGAGCCTACAAAGAAGCGAGAGCTCGGTACTGAGCTCGAATGGAAGTGCTCCTTCCGCTGGGGGCGGATGGGGAGGTTTATTCTCCGGGTTGTGGAGCTCGCGGCAGGAGTCGTCGGAAGGAACTGAGCCTTACTCCCCTTCTCATGATCGTAAACGGTCTGTGTCGACCATTGCCGGCCCTCCCATGCGTGGGCCAACCACTCTGAGTCAAATGGTCAAAGATGTTGCTGAGATTGAAGGGGAACATCGCCCCGAGACAGCACCAAGTGGTAACATCTTGATTCCTGCCACATCACCATCTGCCCCTCACGGGTCCGAAGATGAATCACCGGAACCATCATCCCTTACCAGCCAAGTTCGTGAGACTCCGCTGAAGATGTCCGTACGAGCGGAGGAAGGCGTGGTCGATGTCGATGTCCCACTTCCTGGATTTTTGTCCCTTTCTTCCTCGGGTGATTCGACTGTCGCTTCGCCCAGGAAGACTCGGACATCGGTCACAAGCTTTGATGCTCTTGCCTCGACGCATAGCAGTGGCTCGGGATTCCATTGTGGCCCGAAGGACAATGATGGTCTCAACATCCACGTCGCTGGCTGGTTGAAGTTGTTCCACGAAGACTTCTCACTTCAAGCTGTCCGCCCGTACGCTGCTTTGGAAAATGATATCAAGCGTGCGATGCAAGCCGAGCCCGCCCCATATTTGCCTTCTACACCTGCCTTCACACCCGAAGTGGACGGGACTGGGAAGTGGATAGATGTTGCGACGACTTTGATCGCAGATACGCGAACCTGCACCGTGAAGCGACTTCGACTGAAACGAAAAGTGAACGTCGGCTACGGTCTCGGACCCGTTCATAGTCCGTCCTCCCCAATCAACGCGCTTTACACAGGCAGCAGTCGCCAAATGACTGGAAGTGCTGCGTCTTCCGCGCATCTTGGTGGTTTCTTTTCCGGGCCCGGGAAGTCCTCCGGCGGCAACATCATTGAAGGCCAGGATTCGAATTTCGTGGAAGAGCGATTTGTTGAGGAACCTGTCATGGACCTTGATGGTACACTCGTCGATGCGGTGGAGCGTGTCCTCGCACGAAGCGGCTACTCGTCCCTCGCACATTCGCGAGCTCCATCTCCCAACCGCACTCGTCGCGGTGAAGACAAGGGGGAAGCACCACCCCCCGCGGCGAAGATGCGCCTTCCCTCGAAGTTCCTCGCGCTGAGTGTCGTAAGATGGTGCTCGGGGCTTTGGAAGAGGTTGTCCGCAGCGTTACTGCCGAACATTGCCGTGAGGATGCGGACGAGGACGAGATCGCCCTTGCTGATCGAGAACGCAACAGATCTCTGGCTGGTGCTGACAACACACTGCGAGAGGGAATTCGCAAATGGCTGGTTGATGTCGAGGAAGCATGGTGATCCGTCATCGGTTAGCTGCTGTTTTCTCTCACGTCGCCTGTCGCGGCAAAACAGCGTTGTCAAGAAGAGGTTGTAGAATATCCTCAGTATTGTTGAAGGCACCCGCTCTTTATGCCTGGATATCGAAACAACGCCCAAATCCCTGGAGATCCTCGCTCGATGATTATTTCCTCTTCGATCGCTCCTTTCATCATTCTTCCGCAATGTAACTTTCCATTTGCTTTCCTTCTCGCCTCCAACCCTGTTAGCTCTCAACCTCAACTTGGCATTTTGTTTTTCTTTACCCCGCTGGCATTTTGTTGTTTCATTTTCTGATTACCTGAGCTGTGGCTTTTGATGCTTTCTTGTCCTTGATTTATTCATTTTTTGAGTATGCGTTTGGCCTTGTTTGATTATGATACCCACTCTTTGTTGAAGCCTAACCTTTTCATTTTTTCCGTGGAGGCTAACACCACAGAAAATGCAAATTCAAATTCAATCGTTGAACTATAGATGACGAGTTTAAAATATCTATATGTCTGGTAGCAGTTTTACAGCCCGATCTGGACAATCTTCACCGAATGTCCCTCAGCCTCGATCGTCTTCCCATCCGCAGCACGGCGAACACGAATCGTCTTTAAGACCTGATCAGTCTGACCAGGGTCAACAATATCCACCACCGTCTCCTCGCTCAGCTGACCATTAATCAACAACTCGATGCCCGTCAACGCATCATCCTGGGGTGCCTTCAACCCCGGATTACATGGCGTCACTGAGCCGGGACGGATCAGAATCGGCATTGTGTCGAAATCATGAGTCTCCGTGTACCAGCGTCCAGACTCGTAGGACTTGGAGTGATCAAACCAAGACACCCATTTGCCCCATTCATCGTCCGCCGAGCGAGGCACGTAAAACGTAACCTCGCCATCCTCTGAGAAGACAGGCGCAATAAGCAGATTCGGCCCAAATAGGTACTGTGTGTCAATGGTGTAGGTGGACAAGTCATCGGGGAACTCAAGGAAAAGCGGCCGCATCAGCGGCGTGCCGCTCGCATGGCCGCGCAGCGCCTCAAGGAGAATATACGGCGTCAGAGCGATCTTCCGACGAACACAGTCGCGCAACACAGCCGAGCAATCCTCGCCGTAGATCCATGGCACACGGAACGATGACGACCCATGCAGCCGCGAATGCGACGACAGCAGCCCAAACTGCACCCACCGCTTGTACAGCGCCGGCGGCGGCGTGCCCTCGAACCCGCCGATATCAGAAGCCCAGAAGATATACCCGGACAGCATGAGGCTTAGCCCGCCGCGCAGCGACTCGGCCATCGCCTCGAACGTGCTCTCGCAGTCGCCGCCCCAGTGCACAGGATACTTCTGCCCTCCTGGCGCACTGCTGCGCGCGAATAGGAGGCCCTGGTTGTGGCCTACGCGCGCGTTCAACGTCTCGAAGACTTCTTTGTTGTATAGCAGGGCGTAGTAGTTGTGCATACGCGTTGGATCGGAGCCGTCATGGTATGTCACTCCTTTGACGGGTATCCGCTCTGCGAAGTCGGTCTTGAAACTGTCCACGCCCATGTCCATTAGTCGTTCCAAGTGTCGGCGGTACCAAGCGCAGGCGGCGGGATTCGTGAAGTCGATGATGGCCATTCCCGCTTGCCAGAAGTCCCATTGCCATACGGAGCCGTCGGTCCGCTGTATAGTATAGGATAACTTAGAATCGTGTTTCGTGGACTTTGTTGGATGCATGCATGTATACATACCTTGATGAAGTACCCGTTCTTCTTCCCTTCTTCGAACAGCGGCGACGCCTGGCCCACATACGGATTGATCCACACACTAATTCGCAGTCCGCGATCTTTCAGCCGCTGCATGTAACCCCCAGCATCGGGGAACATGTCAGAGTCGAACTCAAAGTCGCACCACTGGTACGATTTCATCCAGAAACAGTCGAAGTGGAAGACGCCCAGCGGGATATCTCTGTCTCGGAAACCATCCAGGAAGCCGGTGACGGTTTCCTCGTCGTAGTTCGTGGTGAAACCTGATGATAAAGGTTAGATTGACAAATAAGAAGAAAAGAGAAACTCACTGGTGGTAAGCCACAGATTATAGCTCCAAGAAGGAACCAGACCTGGCTTGCCTGTCAGATCCGTATACCTCTTAAGAATCTCCTTCGGAGTCGCCCCGTAAACGACAAAGTACTCAATCTCCTCCCCAGGAACAGAAATATTGACTCTCGTCGTCCGCTCCGACTGAACCTCAAGACTAACCTTACCCGGATGGTTCACAAACACACCGTATCCCTTAGAGCTAATATAAAATGGTATATTCTTGTACGCCAGCTCAGACGAGGTGCCGCCATCTTCGTTCCAGATATCCACCGTTTGACCATTCTTGACAAACGGGCCGAACCGCTCGCCTAGTCCGTAGACTTTCTCGCCCACGCCCAGATCCAGCTCCGCGAGCATGTAGCCCTGTCGCTCGGCGTAGATCCCGTCTTCGAAACGGTATTTGTCTGCCTTCTGGTCTCCAACGTACCCGATGGACCGCCACGAGTGGCCCGTGAGTTTCTTGCCGTTGGGCGAGCTGAAGACGAAGTCTAGCTCATTGGGTGCGGTGTTGACGCCCAGATGAAGTGGCCCACTGGCATAGCTCAATTTGTTCTTATTCTTGTCATGGCTGATCTTGGTGTGTCCCTTGCCGGTATTAAGTTCGTAATGGGGACCTCGGTCGACTTCTCCTGCCCTAGTGACAACAGTCAGTGTCTTCATCGTACATCATTTATCTGGATTAGCTTACCAATGCACTAGTTTCACCCCAACAATCCCTTCCAATGGTGACGTGATCTGCGCTGATACGGTTGCTGTTCTCCCCAGACAAAGTGTTAGTTAGCTCACAATCGTTGTCGGGTTTCATCCAACGATCTCACGTGGACGCACCCGAATTGAGTGTATCTCCTCGATTCCTCTGCACCTTGTTCAGCAACAGCTGAACAGTTTCATCCTGGATACTCAATCGCTCGACATTGCTCATCCAGTCAATCCGGATGCCCTCCTGTCGACAGCGTTAATATTCCCCTCACCCCGCAAAGCCCGATCATCCGCGCCGCGGCATACCTGCAGACACCACATGCCCTCGGTGAACTTCATCTTGCTGGTGAAAGTAAGTCCAAATATCTCCCCGATTTTGCTTAAACGGTTTGAAAAATGAGACGAAGAAAAGAAGGAAAGAATTCAGAAACGAGGGCGAGCAAAAAGAAGAGAGCTTCGGTTTCCACTTAAATGCCAGATTGGAAAAGGACCGTCGTCCGCCATGTCCGAATTGCGTTTGGCTCGTAGTGTGGAGTTACCTGATCTAGCTTTCATTCCAACCTTAGTTAAATCCCGCGGGGGGCATGGGGAATATGGTGGGGTGTTTGTGAGTGCCGAGTAGCACATAGCGGGGCAGTTAATCTAGTTGTCTATACCGTATCCCATTTAATCATAGCTACCGGAGAGCTATTGATCGATTTGAGATAGCGTGGTATGTCCACTACTCAGATGAGTCTCAGTTGAGATGGCCGGAGAGACTGTCGGCTGAGTTGGTGTAATCTGGCTGAATCACTGTGGTGGCTTGTCCTTTGCCTTTTCGGCTGTTGTTATCGGCACACTCTATATCTTCGATTAACGGCTGAAGGGCCAAAGATAAGGCTAGTGAGAAATGCATTCAAGTTATTTTGAGCTCTGGAAATTTAGAGTCAAATCGGACACAATGCGTATTCAATCCCAACCAACCCTCCGAGTGAAATTAGCTCGCCAGGTGGCCGGGTGAGCGTACTGTGGACATGCAAGAATACATTTTGTTCGATGAGCATTATTAGGGGTACATGTACATGGCACTGATCATATAAAAAAGAGGGCCAATTAAATACAGGGTATTTTGCAGAACAGCAATCCAAAACAAGCCAAGCACTCAGCTCAACGGCAACGGCCGCAGACCACCACTCCGAGGACTCCCTTTATAGCTCAAGCTTTCAGCACGAGCCCGGGCCCGCACAGCTTCGGGAGACAAAACACCTCCTCCTTCACGGAAATCTCTTGATTCGGTCTCCCTCGAACCTAAGACTGGTGGTGGCGAAATGTGGTGGCTGACCACACTGGCAGGAAGCTCGAGCGACGGAATCGACGAGTCTGTGACGTGCGTAGCGGCGGGCTCAACCTTCGTAGACATAGGACGTGCATGTGCCACGCTGTAGAACTGCACTAGTTGTGCGGGATCACTGCAAAATTCAATTAGGCCGTTGAGGACGTGTTCGGGCGCTCGATACAGATTCCCAGAGTCGATCGGTTGCGAGGGTATGGGACTGCCGACCTCGAGTAGCGGGCGAGTGATCGGTGATAGCCGGGGAGAGGCACGGTCGAGTCCATCGTGGGTGGCGGCACGGGTTCGATATTCTGGTCGCCCGTGATGCTCATGGCGAGCGGTGTCCCGACTCACGGTGCCGCGAGTGCTGACCAGCCTGTTGGCGAGGAGCAGAAACTCTCCCTCATCTGTGATTTGGGCTATGATACTTCCGGACCGGTGGATGAATTGCGAATAAAGGTAGTCCGGTTTTCCCCAGGAGTACGAGACTTCTACATCTGCCGGGAACGCAGAGCATGCCTCGAAGTCGAGCACAAAGTCGAATTTGCGGAGAATATGTTTCTGATAGTAATGACGATCTGGAGGCCCAGGTTGAGCAAACGATGTCTGATTGAAGACAGTAGGTGCAGGTCCTTTGGGTGGGGGTACTGTCAGTTTGATTCGATATGGCTTGCGGAACGGCTGTGTCTTGTCGATGGCAGAGCCTTCGGAAACCGGCACCTGTACCAATTTGAGCCCAAACTTCTCAGCAGTCGAAGCCCACGAATGCACGGTATCTTCAATCAGCTTCGGAGTTGTGCTCATCCAACTAAGCTCAATATGAAAGCAGTTCTCAGGATTGTGGAGCCGATCATAGTGAAGGTCAATCACTTCTGGTCGGTTTGAGCGCTTGCGCGGGTCAACATCATACTTCAAGCATTTGGAAAGCATGATGGCCACTTTGTTCTTGGACTTTGACGGCGTGCTGGGCGTTGGCGGCGCTCGTTCATCAATACTGTCGGATCGAGCGTGGAGGCTTGAAGGGGAGTCCTTCGCATTGCCTATGGCGGGTGTCGATGGCATCGATGATTTATCTTTATCAGATCGTAGCTGGGGGAACCAACCGCCTCGAGATTCTGGGCGTGAAACTCGATGATCGGCGCAGATTTGATAGAAGTAGTTACCATCTCGGAAATTGTGTCTCTTTTCCACGTGCTGGAACAGACCATGCTTCATCAACTCATTGCCAAAGTCAACCGCTTCGTCCCGAGTGTCAATACCACGGAAGTTCTGCAGTAGCCAGCTGGTAAATTCAAAGCCAATAAAGCAGTTGTAATGTAGCCTCCAATGCCATCGTCGATCCATCATTCGTACACCCTTGTCGCCTTGAATGATATGGGCCAATGAGGACAAGTTGATGCTAGATCTATCCAGTAACTCAGACTCGGGTAACAGCTGAGCGGGCGGGTTGTCAAGCCCCGGGTCGGTGAGTAGTAATCGATCGAGTTCGGCCGCAACCACTTCCGACGGGTTCCGCGTTTGGTACATGATGTTGAGGGGGTTCTGGTCTCTCTTGGGATTGGATGTTTCGAACCGTTTTTCTTCCGAAGATATGTACTTGTGCCGTTGCCAGATAGAAGTCAGTTGGCTGATACCAAGGATATGAATTTCTTCTTCGTTGTCCTCATTGAAAGATTGCAGGTGGCGACGGGAGTTGACATGGAGATGCATCGGGATCAACACATATCGCACTCGCCAGAAGTGTAGCTGTTGTGCGGGGTTCTGGAGATAGTCGCGATGCCCGGCCACATAATTGTCGGCATAGTTCCAGTTGTACTCCTCCGCTGTAGGATCGAGTTTGATGTCTTTCAATTCATATTCCGGGCTCAGAATTGTTCTCATGGCTGGCTGGTATAGGGTGAAGGTAGATTTCCGAGGAGACGTGAGCGTCGCCGATGTCTGATGAGTGAACCGTGTCACCTCTACCTCAGCGCCATCCACACAAACCAAACGATGAATCAGGTTACCCTTGGACAGGAATACGGTAACTCCATCCCGCTCCAGACCTAGGCAATCGAAGACGTTGAAGGTTGCAAGAGCGGGCTGTCCTGAGACCTCGGCCACACCCTTTCCAACGACCAGTTGAAATCCATGAGAAAGACGCAGAGAAATCATTTCTCGCAGAAGAATACCCCGTGTTTTCGGCGCTTCAGTACCTTCTGCCTCCTCGTTTGGAAACACACGGTAGGGCGTTTGCAGGTAATCAGACGATAGTTCAACAGCCGTCGGGAACTCCTCGGTTGTCAGTGGTAGCACTGCAGGGGATTTCAAGCTTTTCCATTTGACAACCGCAACGTGCGGAGGTCTGGGATATGCATGCTGCCAGCGACCAAACCAGGTAGTGTTACGCAAAACGCCTTTGGGGGTATTACAAGGATTGACAGATCGGACCCAGGGAGACAAAGCTTTGCTCGCCGAAGGTTTTGTGGATACCTCGCGCAAGCTGGGATTCATCTTGAACTCAAATTTGGGACTGTGAGCTCGGCTTTGATCCCCTCCATGGCTGTCCTCGTTGAATGGGGCATCTGCAGCAGACGTAGATAATGACCCACGGGTGCGGGCACGTGCAGGCTGTTCTGGGTTCTCTGGAGACTTCTTTGTTGGGGGCCTAATGGATATTGGCTTGGATGGTGTCACTCTGGTGTCCTGTGAGGATCTTGGAGGTGTGGAAGGTCTTGATGACGGATCAACGACAGTGGAAGTTGATGTCATTTCTGAGGGACTCAAAGAGGTAACGCTCCGTGAATCGGAAAGAGCTATCCCAGACGCCCTTTGATTTGTCATTGGTAAAGCACTGGCGTGCGCTATATTGACTCCTGTGCTTGCCTGGGCTCTTGGAGGAGTGGCACTCAAGCCCAGAAGCGCAAAACTGATCGTTCTGGAAATTCGCGAGGCTGCTGGTGCGACTTTCAATGTTGGGGTTTTCGCAGGAGAGCCTTTGATCGAGACAGGACTCTGAGGAGCTGCCGAAGGGGTCTCGATCTTTCGAGGACCTCCCGGAGAATAACTGGACTCGGACACACTCTTCTCATGCTCTCTCAGCCGAGAGATCGACCGTGCAGATAGCCGTTCATGTGCACCCGCCGCTTGAACCTCCGGCTCACTAAGGCGCTTCTGTTTTGAGGACTTCAGGGCTTGCTTCCGTCTTGGATATGGACTGAAGACAGCTTCATCATAATTATCCATCCAAGATATCACGTCCTTTCGTGATTCTTGTGGAGCACGAGCCTGCAACTCGGTTTGGTTTGCAACACTTTGGAGAAATGGCTCGGGTCGCAAACTATCACCGAATTGTACTTTCATCGGTGAGGGTGCAAAGCGAGTTTTGGTAGGTCCACGAGCGGCTGGAGTATACCCAGACCAGAAATTTCGCGACCTTGACGCACCGTGTCCTTCCAAGAGGTAAGGTATGGAAATGTTCGATTGCTCGCTTTCCATAATTCCCATCATTTGGATCTCATACATCCTTACTCGAGGAGTAAATGCCTTTGATGGGCGAGTAACAGTAAAAGGAATAGGCGCGTTGGGGTCTTTCTTGAGGATCCGTCGAGCTTCTCGGTATGTTTCAGGGTTCCAATAAGAGACATCAAGCCAATGAGGAATGCCATAACTCCAGTCCCTAGATTGGGAATTCGTTTGACCCCTTATTCTTGATGTGGAAAGATATGATCCAGGAGAAAGGTAAGAAGTTCTGCTGACAAGGCTGGACATTGAATGATGGATCTCGGGTGACGTACCCGACCGGTGTACATCCCCTGAGTTGGATGCAGCGCTGGTTGGTTGATCCACTGGCTCGCGGTACTTGAAGAGAGGAACAGAGTGGAGAGGCATTGGGCTCAGACAGACCAAGTCGATGGCAATACCGCGGTTTGTAAGTGCCTCAGTCGTAGATACCAGAGATTCGTACGATACCTCAAAAACGCCACTGCCGGGTGTGATAACAATAATTGAAGTACCAGTATGAACCATGTCTCGGTCAATATGGTCATAAGCTAAGTGCGCAGAGGCAAGGTGAATTGCTTCCAGAATGTTACCACGCAGAGCCGAGCTAGGTCTTCCGGCAATGGTCGCGGTATGCGGCTTGGAAGAATGCTTGAGTCCGCTGCCAATTGGCGCATCAATGTCATCCGCCCTTAACATCGAGACATCCCTCAAGAAGGACCTGAAATCCTTTTTCAATTCGTCCAAAATGGTGGTCCAGTGGCCGCTTGCCATGTCGTTGACAACTACTCGATAAAAATCGCGGGTTGGAACGTTGTTCACACTAGACGAACTCTTCAGGTTGCCCGAGTTGAGCTTCGAGAGACTAGGGATGGTGGATGGGTCATATTCGACCCGAGTAAAGAGAACGATGGTGACAAGATGTTTCGCTTCCGAACTTGCCCAACGCTTGAAAAGCTCCGGCAAGAAGCCATTAATGACCCTGCTGAAGAGGATGTCGCCTGTCCCTTCCGAGTCAAAGTCCCACATTTCTCTCGACATCTGGATGAAGAGAACGTATTTGGCTGATTCGCTGCGGAAGACCGGGATGGTGTGGGGAGAAAAGTAGCCTGAGAGGACCTTCTTCTCCCTGATGAAAATGTTCTTGATGGTAGCCTTGATGCTGCCCATGAACATGATCTTCTGTCCCTTGTAGATAATCTTGTCTACAAGTTCAGACATGACCAGTCTCCACATGTCCGAGCGGACCATGAACTGGTCGCGGAAGGCAATATCGACATGAGATGCGGCACATTGCTCGCGGTCAACAACTGAGAGCAAAACCTGCGATCTGTTATTGAGACCAAATATATTGGCCACATTATTCGTCACGGATATCTCCAACTGAGGATGCCTAATGTCCTGCGGGAGGGGCTTCACCACGAACAAACAACGAGTCTGCAATGGAGTCTTAAACTTGGAAGAATCGTGTGCCTGGAGTGTCGTATTCAACTCAGCAGAGCCTTCACGAGCCGTTTTGACTGCGGCTTCTGGCTTCAGAGTGGAGTGGACCGTGTCTCCAGATGCGCGGATGGGCAGAATCTCGACCACGTCGCCGACCTGCACGCCAGTCTCGCCGAACGCCGATTGATTCAGCAGGATCTCCTCGCGTGAAAACATCTCATCATGAACCCAAAGGGTGCATTGGCGCCGCGTCAATTGCGTGGAGGGCCCACGGACAATCCTCTCGTCCAGTGTCGGGTCTCGATCACGGCGTGCCGTCTCCCGGGAGTTGACGGTGGAAATGGTCTCCAGGCTCGCAGCGCTCACCTGCCGCAGATGCGACCGCCTCATGGGCCCGCGCAAAGACATTTTTCGTTTAACTTCCTTGCATCTCAGGTAAAGGAAACTTGGGATCAAAGACCACAGTTAAGAGTTGAAGCATTCACAAAGGGAGCTCCTCTTCGCGGCGATAAGATAGCAGGGAAGGCGGTGAACTACATTTCTGCCTGAGGCACATATTTACCTTCCGTGCTACTCAAAGAGAAACAACAAAACGAAGTTGGAGAGAAATCGTGTCTAGAAGTATTGGGGAAAAAATAAAAACCTGGTTAGGCTGGTGCTAGTTGAATCATTCATTTTGTGGTATTCGAAGTATAATCACATACGTAGTGTGAGGAAAGAACTTCCGCGATGTTCAACACCCCTTGAATGTTTATAATCAGCAGTTGAAAAACTGTGCGTTAGGATCAGATCCCTTGCGCAAATGATCATAAAATCATGCTGATGAGTAGTCTTCTAGTATTGCCCCTGCGTTTAGACAGACAACCAGAGCAGAGACGTGAGAGTAAAGTAAGAGTGCACCAATTGAGAATGGTACAACAATAAAGTAATCTCTGTTTGATATGAGAAACGATGAACTAGAATATGTATGCCCTACTACTATCGTTATAGTTGGTTGAGTGGTTGTAAACACAGTCAAGTCCTCGCATCATCACGAAGAACTAAATTGGAACAAATTAACACCGTTTCGAGCCTCGGCTGCTAGCTAGTTAACATGCCAAGCCAATCCAGCGAGTCTTTTGGCCTCTCTTTTCCGCTGTGGTTTTTTTTGAGCAACGGAAACTAATGGCGACGTTTTGAGATACGTCCTGACCGGCTAATCATACCCTGCCCGGGTGCCTTTTCCGTCTCGGGTAGTCCATGCTCGTCGCCATGGTCGAACTTTTAACTTCAATTCCACCTTCCTTTACTTCTCTTGCATCGATAGCTGCGAGGTTCATCCTGAGGCATTCCCATCTGAACCTTGCGTTCAGCTTTCATAATGAATATTCTGTTAGATATACCTGCCACGGGTCTTTCGGTCGCAATCCCTGGCTGAAACTCGTCCCTGCACGCGTCGCCCGTGTTTTGAATCACAACGACCCCTCACCAGCATTGAAAACAGCTGTTTCCAAAGCGACGAGGATAAGAAATCTCCAGTGTTGGCTGCAAACAACCCGTTTTGGATATTCTCAGCGCCTCCCGGTGCCGGCATAGAGATGCCAAGTGTTCTCCATAACGGGCGCAGAATTGGCCAGTAGTAGAGAGAGTAACCACAGGTTTAATAATTTCGAGCTTGTCGGGACTGACATGAACCCAGCGAACCGTGACTAACTTTTCGCCAATGCCGAATGGGCCATGTGGATAGCAACTTCGGCTGCTAGTGCGAACCACACATCTTATGATGTAACTCGGTGGCGTTAAGCATCCGATTGCCAACAATCCCCACATTCAGGCACCTTTTGCAATTAAGATGGATGCCGAGAGATGCTTGCTTTGTCCCTCTCAAATCTTTCTGCTCCGCGAAGAAGCAGGCCGTGTAAGCCCGGGTTGTACAAATATTCCACCCCGAGGAAGTCAATCAACCCCGATGGTATTGGAAGTCCTCCACATATGCATTGACGGTCTCTGGTCTGCCTGGACTGGGATGACTAGGACGGTGAATTCACCGCCGCTCCCCTTCGCAGCCCTGTTTCGCAGCTGTGTTCTGTTCTGGCATCGGAGGTGCCACGGGTCGAAGTCCACATCGATGGACGTGTCAAAGCTTCATGCTATGCCTTCGAAAATCGATTATGTGCCGTTTCCATGTTCGACCGGCTCGGTTTCGTTGTTTGTGCGGTGGAGAATGCTAAAGAGCGTCTCGAGGACATGGGCGATCGAGCGACCTTGCGATTCCCATCCATCTCTTTCAGCGTCTTCTGTCGACAGGTTGATGGGCTCCCCGATTCCTGGGAAATAATCCTTCGTGATACGACCCTCCTTGCCGCCAAAGTGCTCAATTCATCGTCAGAGGAAAGCTGTCAGCGCCACGGAGTCAAAACGAGTTAAAACAATGCTTCGCCTTCTCCTAAGCAGCAAGATTACCAGGTATTCTGGGAGATTGTGTAAATCACTTTTTCAGCTCAATGAGCAGATGTGCCACTTCATAGATTGGAGACTTGGTCAGCAAATTGACATTTGAGTCTTTGCACAAAATACAGGGTGAGCCAAAGGGGGAACCGGCAACGATCTACCTGTGACAAATCCGGTTTTACACGAAAAAACAGGCCTTGTTTCCTTTACTAACCAAGCGCCCTCTCTGAAATTCCAAGGAAACGCCTCTCAGAGCCACCAGAGCCAGAAATGGACTAAACTCGGGCCACTAACCGGGGTGTCTTTGCTGCTATACCACAGTGGTATTATACCTTTCGCCGCAGGGTTCGACACCTTACCATTATTTGTTTTGTACAGACGGTCATAGAATGTGTCCTTTAGGCATGTTTTGTTGACTTCCCCATACTTCGTATGATCGAGGGCGTTATTGTGGGCGAACCGACACAGCTAAACGACGGCTCGTAATTCCAGCATACCACAGTGCGCCATTGCGCGGGCTAAAACAAAAACCCACATACGAGGGTTTTTGTAAGTACCATCGAGGGAGGCTCACCCCGACTTTCGCTCTTTTAGTATTCTCTTCTATTATCGACTGATTTGTCTCTGGCGGGGGTCAGCAAGGATGAGTGAGAATCATCGCCCTCGTCAACCCCCTGCCGACCATGCAGACTGGTTGGAACCCGAGTCGGCGCTATTCTTTGGCGGTGACTGGGCTGTTCCTGAAGTCCAGTTCACACCGGCTAGCTTTTCCGCGAACACCGACGCCCTGTCTGGTCGCGACGACCAGGCTGATCTCAGTGCCGGGCCGATGGCTAAAGTGGCCATCCCGCGAACGACCCAGTCCAGTTCTTCAAACAGCAGCGGCCGAGTCAGTCACGCTTGTGAAAACTGCCGCGATGCCAAAGCAAAATGCAGCGGCCACCAGCCGTGCAACCGCTGCAAGGAAAGTGGGCAGCGCTGCTCCTACGGCGACCGCAGACGCGAGAAGATGGCCAGGTGCGTACCATCTCACTCGACAATGGTTTTTTTCTAATGCTCAGACAGACAATTGAGCGATCTTACCTCCCAGGTTGAAACCTACGAGGCTCTCCTGCGCGACCTATATCCTCGACTTGACACTACTTGCGCCCGCCATGTCGACCAGACGCTGCCCGCCTTGTCCTCTCTTGTGGCCCGCCCTTCTGAGCCTGTCCAACTCTCAAGTCCGCCGCCATCTGTGCCTCTGGCTGCTGACAATACCCCTTCCCTATTAGGAGTTGTAGACTACACCAAAGAAGACTTCACCCGCGATGAACAACTTCAGGCCATGGGGTTTGTCGGCGAGCATTCGGAGATGGCATGGTTGTTCCGACTCAAACGCGATCTCAACCAAGCTAGCAGCTCGACGCCCAACGCCACTCCCACCGATGCGCCATCAATCATCTCCGTGAACTATTTCCAAGACGAATCAGACATTTCTGTACTTGCCGATGTGGATCCATTCGTCGGGCCGCCGTATGCCGTTGCGAAACAGCTCACGGATTGCTATTTCGATAGAGTGCATCATGCCTTTCCGGTGATTGGGAAAAAGTTCTTTCTGAATCAGTGGGAAAGTGTCTATTCGAATCCGAACTTGCGGCCTTGGAAACCTTGGCTGGGTGTGATGAATATGGTGCTCGCTATTGCCAGTAGGCATTTACTACTCGTCGAAGATCAACCTCCGGGTGACCCTAATGAACATGTGGTGTACTTTTCCAGGGCGTGGCGACTCAGCATGGGCGATACCGCATTGCTGGACCATCCCAACGTGGTTAAGGTGCAGTTTGAAGGGCTCACAGCATTCTATCTCCTGTCAATTGGACAAGTCAATAGGTATAGTCATTCTGGCCTGTCTTTTGTAACTTCTAACTCTTCTAACGATTGGAAACCCCTTGGTGCAGAGCATGGCGAATGATTGGCATTGCAATCCGATCGGCCGTTACAATAGGTCTCCACCTTCGCAGCGAAACTGATACTATTCCACACGAATCGAAAGAGACAGTGTATCGAGTTTGGTGGGCTCTTTTCATGTTGGATACGGTACTCTGTGAGATGACTGGCCGTCCGCCAAGTAAGATTTTCAGCACCACGCCTCTCCCCACCCCCTTCAAAGAGGAAGAGTTGAACGATCAGCATGTCGCGCGCTTTATTATGGACAAGGCAATCCGGGATAAGCTGGTGTTATTGCTTTTGTCCAGGGGTCCAGGGTGTTTGCCGAACGAAAGTTTGGCAGATCGCATACATCGGGTGCGGTTAGAACTTACCGGGGAGGAACAAGGCGAGCATGGCACAGATCTTTTGACCGAGACTCTCACGACCAACATCTCGCTGTACTTCTTGTACGCAGTCGATCTGGCTTTTCTCATGCGGGAGGCCATTGACAGACTGTATGCCCCATCAGCAAACCCACAATCATGGCTTGAGATCGAAGACATCATCTCTTTACTCATCACCAAGGCCGACAACTGGCACACACGATTGCCATTGGAGTTCCAGTTTACGAACATGGACACCGGCCGACCCCTGGCGCGCCAGCGCATCTCCCTCGCCTTCCGCTTCTACACCACCAAGCTCATGATCTCCCAGCCCTGTCTCTCCCGCTGCGTGGCTCCTCCCCAAGCCAAAGCCGAACCTACCAGTGCCCGGTGCAATTCCATAGCATCAATGTGCATCGAAATGGCAACTCAAATGCTTGGGATTCTCCCCGATGAGCCAACCGACCATAATATGGCTCTCTTCTACAACTTTAGCCCCTGGTGGTGTGTTCTCCACTATGTAGTGCAGTTAACGACCATCCTCTTGGTCAAGTTATCCCGCACTATGCCTGGAAGCGAGGAATCGATCAATCTTGTGGGTAAAGTCAAGAAGGCCACCCGATGGATTCGCAAGATGTCTTTTAAAGACCCCTTCTCACAGCGAGCCTGGGTTGTCTGTGAGGAGCTTCTTTCCCAGCTTGGCCCGAGATTAGATTTAGATGTTGACGCCGGCATTTAGGTACCGGATCTACCGCTCCTGCATTCTCGTCATGCTTGTCCAGACCTTTCTTAATGGCTGAATGTCGGACTATACACGAGTCCCATGGTCTTGCATCTTTTTGTTTTTGTCATAACTCTTGCGTCCTAGCCCACATTGCTTTCATTTCCTTGTTTATTCAATTAATCTTCCCAAAGAGTATACGTATACCACCTCTTGAGGTTCAGCATACAGTACCGGCCACCCTCGATGGAATGCCATTGCCATTTTTAACCTTCTACGGTGCAGTTCGTTCTTTAAGGCTCTCAGATGCTACTTGGTTGTTTGATCCGAGTTCTACAGAGGCTTGGCATATTTATAGTAAGTTTTTTTTAAAGGTCACTGAAATAAAGCCAGCTCATTTCTATCTTTGGATCGTCTCCTGCCTCGAGGGTTCAGTCACGCACCAAATGCAACATGTTCTTGTACTTCCTTTCTTGCACTTCCTCAACCTTCTGCCTTACCGACTGTACACAAACGGGGCTATTTATAGATTTCAGATCTCATAAATTCGAGAACGAATACGGAGTAAGCAAGAAGCGAATATCTAACAGACTTGCCACCTTTTCTGCATATACCAATGTTGAACATGCGAATACTCTGACCAACACGATAGCACCGCTAGTGGACTTACCATTTGAATATCCGTACAGTACTCTGATTGGTGATTGGATGTTGTGCTTAAAGCGCGTCTCAGACGCTTGGTGATATCATGAAGTATTCTACTGTAGCAACAAATGTCTTGGCGAAATGGGCTATAGATGCTTCTTTCCCATAAAATAAAGAGTGGTTTCCCATTTAACACATCTAAACACTTTCCATCAAATCTAGACATTAGATGAGGCGACGCCCCATGTCTATAACTCATGCGATGTATAAAGATTCTCTGCTTCGTTCAACAATGTATCGACAGGATGCAGCAGTCCCAAATCGATATCTGACTGTGCCAGGAAGTCTTGCATGGTCGGTTCCAAAAAGGCCATCTCAGTCGTGTACCCGCAGATCGTGTCTCTGACAGGAAGAGTATATGTGTACGCCTCGACATCGTTGGCTGTCTGGGTCTGACCAGCGAGCAATTCGTTATCGGCGGGAATCATGGGCATTTCAGAGGCTATTGTCCCTGGAACACTGGCTACGGAGGCTGATGCCAACGCCGAGGAGAATCCCGTAGCAGAGCTAGGGACGCTGGCGGAAGCGGAATTTGCAGTGCCAACAGCAAGATCAGCGCGTGGTCGTCGGGCATCCCGGTAGCCATCTAGGCAGAGCTTGACCTGTTCCAGGTTATGGTAGAACTCGGCCGCAGCAAGGTTGCCGTTCTCAGTCATGGAGCGCAATATGTCCAAGGCAGAGTCAAAGCCACCCATGTCGTTGGGGTTGCCAATTGGGACGAAACTTGACATTGCTAGAATCAGAGCCGCGGAGAATAGGTAATGTGCATGAAAGTAGCCGAATGTGGGCATAGACCCACTGATCCAGCGGGTCAGGATCATCGAGAGTGAGTGCCGGGCTGCATGGATACAAGCCTCGCCGAGGGTGAGAACGGGCTGGGAGACAGAATCAGGAGTAGTAGTGTCTCGGTTCGATCTTGTGGCGCCGGCTTCACTCAGGGTCATGAGGAGATGGAGAAGAGTTGGTCGTGTAGCGAGAATAACACACTGGTAGAGAATGTTAAGCACGGAGCACTGGAAAACCAAGAAAGGCCTTAATTACCTGATTGAAGGCCAGATGCAATGAAAGAACGGGCTTCTTGCTCGATTCTATATCCTCCATGTTCAACCGCAGACTTTCAGGCAGCATATCAACCCAGTTCTTCAGTGCCTTCAGCAGTTTTTGAACTCGTTGTAAAAAAGTCTCCCGGTATTTTCGGCGGCTATAGAGCTTCGTAATTGTCTCTCCCACAATCCTTGCCAACTTGACATTAGCCGACATGAACTCTGTATCAGACAGCTCTTCGTCATGAAGCTGCTTGGGAGCAATTGGTGACGGCATATCAACGTGAATATCTTCGTCTAGAATCTGCATGGGGAGGCCCATCTTCGATCCCCACATCCGATCGAAGATGTAGATTGTCCACCAAATCTGAACGCGGTGCTGCCTCTCGACCGGGTCAATGAGCTGGGATTCTGGAATGTTGTGGTTTAAGCCAATTGTGAGACCCATTCGCATTGCGTTCCCGACCAGAACATATGCACAGTGGCGCCTATTGAGATAATACGAAAATAATGACTGCGATGCTTAGCTCGGATCAATAATGCAGGGTAATTGTGGGCGGTACCAGTAACAACAAGGTTTCCAAATGGGTGACACTCGTCCGTTCCGGTAGGATCTGGACGAGACTCATGGCTCTCGCAAAGTATGGTGTACCCGGCACTCGCGATCCTGGTGTGAGCTCAGAGCGAACAGAATACGCCTGTCCGAAAGCGAACAGTGCAAAAAACTTGCACTTGTTGGCAGTACAGTCAAAACCAGCCGTCTGATATATCTCCTCAAGCTTATCCATCGTGGATTTGCGCATCATCAGATGATATATATGGCCAATTTGATGGATGGCAATCCTGACCAGCAGCCGAGCATGGTGAAGGCTTGGCCACTGCACATCAGCTTCATTTGCGGCCATGATCTTCTCCTCGACAACATATTGAGTTCGTGGAATATGCGCCGTTGCATTGTTTCCGGTCAAGAAGCGACGAAAGCGCGTGGCAAATGCCGAGCAGGCGGCCTCGCCGATATAGATAGGCGGCGAAGATGGGTCATAGCGGTGGAACCAAGCCCGATCGCCGATCAACGGGTTCTGGATACTCGTGCTGCCCGCGTCCGGAAGGGTTTCTGCTGGCCGAGATGGCCGGTTTACCGGGTCGGTTGCTTCGGCCGCGGTGGCCGACTGCTCCTTCAGGCGTCGGTTTTCCGAGAGGATCTGGTCGAGATAGTTCTCGCTCACTTTCACTTGCCGATCTCGGGTAGCGAATTTGCATTGGTCTGCACATCCGACAGCGCGGCATTTGCTACACGGCAGGTCGCCAGAGCACTTGATCTTGTGCGCATGGCATCTTTCACAGGCGACAAATTTCCTTGGGCTTTTGGGGCTTCCAAAATCCTCTTCGTTCCATATAGAGCGTCTTTTCAGCCCGGTGCCTCGTGCCATTTCAGCCCATTGTCCGGTGAAACGTCAGTCTTGGTTGCAAAGCGAGGAGAATTCGCTAGCAGACTCGGCATCCTAACAAATCGCCGAGAATTACGGGTCCGCTGATTGGATGGTTCAGTCTGATGACTCAGAGGTCCCATCGCGGGTGGGTTTGTGGCGGGGGGAAACTGCAGGTTGTATGGTCAAGGAAACAAGCGCAATAATGATTATAATTCTATGTAGGTGGCTGTGATGATATCTAGTGGCAATAACAAAATGAACTGGATAATAGGTCGTAGAACTGTCAGTCATCAATCGTAACTCTAACCGTCTATTAGGTCAATCCTCTGTATCACGCAAATATTTGTAGCCCGTATCTTAGGAGGGGCATAGATGCAGTAAAAGCATTCGCTCAATCGTACTCAGTTTTCTGGATTGATTCCAAGCTTCCGCTCGGTCCATCGTTGCATGTCGATGCCCCATTTCGTGATAATCAACACTAAGAAACCACTGATTATGGCGAAGAAGACGCCTGGGAAGAGTATTAGAATCAGGAAACCAGTGCGGAATAATGGGGCAAGACTCACAAATGGTAAATGTCCAACCCACGCCAATAGAGTGAATCAAAGGGTCAACAGCTGCCGACGCAGCCGCAGCAAATATATATTGCACGACATACTTGCCACTGATGACCTCGGTTCGGATATGCGGCATGACCTCTAGAGAGGGTAATCAGTCAAATATCCCACAGTCATCAAATACAGCACTCACCAGCAGAATACGTATTCAGTCCATTAAATGCACCCAACAGGCCCACGCCGGCAAAGAACGCACTGATAATGGGCAGAGGCATGCCGCCTTTTTTCTCCTGCAACGACCAGCCGTATATGAGAATTGCAGCTGGCAGGACACCAAACAGCGTACCAAGCCCGCTGTTGAGTCTGTCCTGAGGTAATCGCACGCCGTTGCGTTTGCGGATCCATCGTCTCACAGCGCGGTCGGATAACCTGCCGCCAATGACGCTGCCAAGTAGAAAACCAATTCCTGGAGCAAGATAGAACAAACCACTGACGAGAGGTGTGGTCAAGTGGAACCGTGGGTTGAAGATGGAGCGAGCAGAAGTGAGGAGCCCATACTGAAAGGTGGAGAGGAGGCCGCAGGTGAGATTCTGGCTTCGTGTTAGTGGAATATCAGACATTACTTTCAGAAACAAAACCTACACAGAGAAGAATGTTTGGGTATATGAATTGACGGAAGATGCGAAGCGGGTTAAACTGGTGCAAGACAGCCAAAAGTCTCTCACGCTTGGTGAGTCCTTCAGTAGACTTCAGGGTTCGAAGTTCTGGCACCAAGAGCAGGGAAAGAATCAGGCCAAGGCAAGTCATTGCAAATTGAAGCCAGTAGATGACACGCCAGTGGGCGAAGGTGACAATAATGCCGCCGATACACGGGCCTAAATGGACAGTTAGATAGTCATAAGCCGGAACAAACAGCCAATACTCACCAATTGCTGGTCCGCTGACGGATCCAATCATAAAGACTCCCACGGCTGTTCCGCGCACCACCTAGACAAGATATCTCCGTCAATCAACCGTCGAGAAACACAAGGACTAAAATAACTAACCGGCTCGAAAATATCGGCCAGAATGGTCTGGCCAGCCACCATAAAAAAGGTTCCAGTAAAGCCGCCTATCAAGCGCATTCCAATAAACATGTGCAGATTGATCGCTGCGGCAGTGCCAGCTGAAGAGCCACATAGCACGAGGATAGCCACGTTATAGGCATTTCGGCGGCCGAAGATGTTACTGATCGGGCCCCAGATGAAAGACGAGAATCCCATGGCAATTAGCACGCCGGCATTAGTCACATTGAGAATCTCCGTGGTTGTAGAGAAATCAGACGCGATCTCCGGAGTGGCGGGCAGTAGCGAGGTACTGGAGAAAGTGACGGCGAGAGTCATCCAGCTGACCGTGAAGAGAATGAGGCATTTGCGCCATAGTGGAAGATGATATGAATTTGACTGTTGAGGTTTGAGCTCTAAATCTTCCTTATCGGTGTCGTTGGGAGAATCCGTCTGCGGGGACGATTTTTGCGATTCGATGGCCGGACCGGATTCCATTGTTGGAGCAGTTCAATGAGTTCTTTGAGATGAAATAATTCATGTGCTCCAGTTTGGCGCATAGCTAGGCATATAGTCTATAAATCGCTCATTCAGACACAGAATGTTCAATAATAATGAAAATTCGGCGTCTCCAATGCGCACATTTTGTAGCGCCGCTCCTTCGGCGTTTGTGCTGCACCGCCGAAGTAGCATTTTGCACCGGTCTCGGACTTATTTCCGTGCACGAATGGCGTTCTCCACAGTGGGAATGGCGGCGCCATGGCTGTTCTCTTAGTCATGCATAGAAAATGACAATAACTATGGGCGCCAGAGTACATTGCTATTGTATCAGCGTCTGGATTCCTCTCCAATTCGGCCTTGGAATTTCCGCATAAGATCTCTATTCCATTGGGCTGCGTCGGTGTTAGAGAGGGAAATGGCTGCTGCAGCTGCAGGCAGAGCGCCGCCCATAATGGCTGATCCAGACAAGATAATGTCTCAAAGCGTGTTTTCAGGACGAACTCGAAATTGTGCGAAGGGAAACCGAGTCTGGAGAAGGGATAGGCTCAGGAGAGAGGATAGGAAGACGTGAAAACAGGGACTCGATTGATCGAGCGCTCGGCAATAGCCAGAATAAACACAGGCTCACATACTTCATTGGTTCGATCATAGCGACAGGCACACGAGAGAAAAGACGTTCAATTCTAAAATGAACCAACTGTCAAGGATTGGAATTCCTACGGATCACATACGGGGTTTGTACTCGTCGATTATTAGCTAGTTCCGCCTCTTAAATTGCTGGGCATTCCCAGCTTTGGTCAATCAGAGATTTATTCATTTGTGAATTGCACTTCCATGTTGGGACGCCTTACATGCTCTACTGGACACCAACTCCTACTTCAGCTGTGACTTGTCGGCGATAATTTAATAGCGCGCAGACGTGTTTGGCAATGCTCTAAGGCCCCCCACCCGGTTGACCGCCAAGAGACCCAGGGATACAAAATAAACAAGCTTCGCGGGAGCTGAAAATTAAGATTCAACTCTGCACACGCCTCAGGTTCGCCTGCGCACAACGAAATATGGACTCAAAGGAACAGACAGATGTCGAGTCGTCGTCTCCTGCGGCCCCTGATAAACATGATGGGCACCTCGTCCTGATCCCCCAGCCGAGTACCCACCATCGGGACCCCCTGGTATGATGCCATCGCACGAGCTCAGTATTGTTGATACACGGGCATTTCTAACCTAATGCTTCCAGAATTGGTCCAGCCATCGGAAATATGTCATCCTGGCCGTGGCCTGTCTGGCGTCATTCGCTGGCGCTATCGCGCCGCTCTCGGGCCAGCTGAACCTCGGCCAGCAGGAGGAGCTCTACCGCAAAACAAAAATCCAGGAATCCTATGCGGTATGTAAACTAACTTCCATATCGTCGTGAATACGTCCCTGACACTAAACAGAACTCCGCCGCCTTGGCCGGCATGGCCGCAGGGCCATTCTTTTTTGCGCCCATCGCTCACATTCTGGGCCGCAGCTCGGTCATTTTCTGGTGTATCCTGTTCACAATGGTCTGCCAGATCTGGGGTGCGGTCATGACTCATCGGAATGATTATATCGCATATGTGATGTCGCGACTGTTCGCCGGGTTCTTTGGTGCGGTGCCGACGGTCCTGGGCCCGCGCATCGTCACCGACTTGTTTTTCCTGCACCAGCGTGGGCGGGCCTTCACGGCACTCCACATGTCCTTCCTGTTCGGCACGATTGCGGGCCCGACTTTCTCAGGTTTCATCTCGGCCGGCGCATACTTCCCCGTTGAGTTCTGGTGGACGGTCGGCCTGCTGGGCTTCACGCTCATCTGCTGCGTCGCGTTCCTGGAAGAGACGGGGTTCAATCGCGAGTCTCTGGACAAGAACCCAGACATTCCGCGTGGTTTCGTCGCCAATCGTTTTGCAACATTTTTCTTTGGACACAGCGTTGTGCAGCCGACTACTTGGAGAGAAACGGTATGTCATTTTGGTCTCATGCTAGCGCAGCGATTGTCTGATTATTCTCCACAAAATAGGTCAGGGTTGGAATCACGCCTTTCCTCATCGGAATCTGCCCGGTCACGATCATCATGGGCATCTTCACACTGATCTCCTTCGGATTTTACGTCGGGGTCAATGCTCTCACGCCCGTGTTTCTCCAGAAGCCCGTCGCCGCGGGCGGCTACGGTTTCTCGCTGCAGCAAAACGCGGCTTTCACCTTCTCCCACTGGATCGGTATCATCGTCGTGCAGTTCTTCGGCCATTACCTGAACGACAAATTCCCGCTGGCGCTTGCGCGCCGCTGGAATGGCGGTGTCTGGAAACCCGAATATAGATTGCATGTGCTGTGGCTCCCGAGTCTAGTCATCAACCCAATCGGTCTGGGCGTCTTCGGCGCTGCCATGCAGTACCACCTGCACTATATGGTGCTGGCACTGGGTGTGTTCCTCGTCACCATCGGCTCGCTCTCTAGTGTGCCCGTCACGGTCAACTATGTCGTCGAGAGCTTCACCAAATATCCCGCCGAAGCTGGTATTGTCATTGGCGCGTACCGCATTGTTTATGGTCTCACCATCACATTCTATATCAACCCGTGGGTCGCGGCGGTTGGTGTTGGCTGGGTGTATGGCATGATGGCTTTCTTTGCCGTTTTCTCATTCTTCTTCGTCATGCTTCTTATGTGGAAGGGGCATGCGATTCGCGGGATCCAGTTTGCCCATCTTGCGTCTAGTGAGGAGGGTAAGAAGGTCCTGGATGATTAAAGCGATTAACAATGGTACACTCTGGGCCTCACTGCCCGGATGCCCGGACAGATAACCCTGCTTCGCTCGATGACAAACATAATTCATTATAATACTCGATATACTCTTCAGTACTCAACTCAAATATATCCGATTGAACATAGCTAAATGCGCTTTTTCTGTTTTAAATCTTTCCAATAACATTTTCGCTGACAAACAAACAACATGAATACAAGTGCAGGATTCTCTATATTGTTCCACCGAGGACAGAGTCGCCCTCTTTCGCCTCATCGCCCCCCAACATCAACGACGGCAACATGGCCGCCACAGTCTGCACATCCTTATCTCCCCTCCCACTCAAGCACAGAACGACATCTTTCCCCGGGCCAAGTTCTCTCGCAATACGCACCGCCCCCGCCACGGCATGGGCGCTCTCCAAAGCAGGCGTGATGCCCTCCATCTCGCTCAACAACCGGAACGCATTGAGCGCATCAGTATCATCAGCAGCGATGAACCTAGCCCTCCCAGCATCTTTCCAACTAGCCAACTCCGGCCCGACGCCCGGGTAATCCAGGCCCGCAGAGATAGAATGAGTAGGCATGATCTGCCCATCTTCATCCTGAAGAACGTACGTACGCACACCGTGTAGAACACCAACAGATCCGCGCCCGAGCGTCGCAGAATGACAGCCAGGTTCGGATCCAGAGCCACCAGCTTCGACACCAATGAGTGCCACCGACGGATCCTCCAGGAAAGGAGCAAACATGCCAGATGCATTCGAGCCGCCGCCGACGCACGCAACCACGGCATCGGGCAGCCGGCCTGCACCAACATGTTCCTGGAACTGAGCGCGCGTCTCCGCCCCAATAACAGACTGGAGTGTGCGCACGATAGTCGGATAAGGATGCGGACCGAAGGCAGAGCCGATGACAAAATGCGTCGTTTCCAGCTCCGTCACCCACGTCCGGAAGGCCTGGTTGACAGCATCGCGGAGGGTGCCGCCCTCGCCGGCATGGGCGCCAGCAACTGGAACGACGGTGGCTCCCAACAGGCGCATGCGGAACACGTTCAGTGCCTGCCGCTGGACATCTTCAGCGCCCATGAAGATGGTGCAATCCAGCCCTAACCGCGCACACAGCGTTGCGGTTGCTACGCCGTGTTGGCCCGCGCCTGTCTCGGCGATGATGTTTGTTTTGCCCAGTCGGCGTGCTAGTAAAATTTGGCCTAGGGCGTTATTGATCTTGTGGCTGCCCGTGTGGTTCAGGTCCTCGCGCTTGAGCCAGATGCGTGCTCCGCCTGCGTGCTCGGTCAGACGAGGGGCTAGATGCAGCGACGACGGTCGATTTGTGTATGCCGCGTACGACCGAATCTCGTCCCAGAAAGCCGGGTCCGCCTGTGCTGCTTGGAAGCCGTTTTCGAGCTCGGTGAGACACTCCATTAGAGCTTCGGGGACGTATTGGCCGCCGAACTGCCCGAATCGTGTATGCAAACCTGTCAGGCTACCGGCGGTGGTAGTGATATTATCTGATCCTCCGTCGGCAGTAGAAGACGGTGCAGCAGAAGATGTTGGTGAGAATGCTGCTGGTGTGGCCAATAGACTCTCCTCCAATAACATAGACTCGATGGGCTTTTTTTCTTTACTCCCGGTTACATGAAGACAATACTCTTTGACTCTCTCAGCCCCAGTCCCAGCAGCCGCCTTGTCCAGTACATTGATAATCTGACTGCCGATAACCACGCCCTCGGCGATTTGAGACACCTGCACAAAGTGCTCGCGTGTACTGATTCCAAATCCAACAGCGGCAGGAACATCATTTCCCGAGTATTTATGCACACGGTCAAGAAGGTGGCTCAAGCCCTGATCCAGTGTCTTGGAAGCACCACTAACTCCCATCCGGGAGACAACGTAAACAAAGGAGTCTGCGATGCCACAGAGCATCCTCATGCGAGCGTCTGTGGTAGAGGGTGCCACGAGCGGGATGTATGATAGCCTATTCTTGCTTGTCAGCTTGTTTATTTCGTAAAAAAGAAATCCATAATCAGGGGATATATATACTCTTCCCGTGCGCACAAATCCCGGAAACGCACTGCTTCCTCCGGCGGAAGATCAACTACAATGAAACCATTCACACCCGAAGAACGACAGTCACGCAACAGCTTCTCCTCTCCATACGCGAGGATGGGATTATAATAACCCATGAAGAGAATGGGAGTGCGCAGTCCCTGTTTCCGTGCATCTTGAACCATCTGCAGCATAGAGGGGATACGAACGCCGTTTTGTAGGGCCTGAGCATTTGAGCGTTGGATGGTGATGCCGTCGGTCATAGGGTCGGTAAATGGAATGCCGAGCTCGATTATATCTGTTGTTGCGGTTTTCATAAGTCTGGTTTCCAAACAGAAAACAGAGGGAGCGAGAAAGTGGGAAATGGATATTCTTAGATGAGACCGTACCTGCACCACCAGCTTGCATCGCTAGCATGATTGCTGGTGTTTCTTCCATGGTGGGATATCCGGCAGTGACATAAGTGACTAGTGCTGCACGTTGTTGTTCTTTGCATTTTGCAAAGACTTGCCTGATTGCTTCCATGGTGGATGAGGTAGGGTCGGAGACGACGTTCAAACTGAATGGATGGGGAAAGGTTAAAAAGAAGAAGAAGAGAATGGCAATGAAAGGATCAGAGTTACAAGCCAAAAAGTACGAGACATGCTTAAGATGGGCTATTTAAAGGAAAGCAGAAGCTAAGCCAAGGTGAGGGAGGAACCCTGATGCTGTGAGTCAGAAAGAGGCCTCGTTATCCACAATGGGAAACTAGAGCAGGCATTGAAAGCGAGGACATTAAGCGCCATTTCTAAGTGTTAGAGATCTTCTAGGCCCAGTTCAATTATGATATTGGCTAAGGATAGATGGAGTCAACAACGTACTCCTACTTGAGGCCGTCTAGGCAAGTATGGCATACCACACACGCGAATTACTTTACCGAATTCATCCTGAATTGGTGATCGATATAGAGTAACTATATCGTAGCCACTGTTCTATGAAGGCGATTGAAAGTCTGCCAAATCTTTATGGTAGATAGGGATCTAGTTTTGTCCGTTGTGCTTTGTGCACGGCTCGTCTAGATTGTCATAGGACTCCCATCTGCAGTGTGATTCCACCCAACGGCCGAATTGAGTCACATCAGGGCACCCAACTCGAGTGCCGCAGCTATTGTACGAAGGAATTAAATTTCACTAAGATTGATCAAATCTATAGGGCTGTCTTGCTTCAGATGTCATTTCCCTCACTCAAATCTCATATGTAAGGCTCCCAGGCCGAATCGCTATACTACTGGGAAAGAAAGCAAGGTACATAATGAGCGGATTTTGACGTCGACCCCGAAAGAAAAAGAAACACTGGCTTGCAGGCCAGGAAGAGAGAATTATGTACGCACAAATACTGAAAACATCCAACAGGAATACAGAATAAAAGGAAGGGCGCATTGGCAGAGATAGCCGACGCCTGCTCCCATCATGATAGAGAACGCCACACACAGCCTCAAGACTGGCTTAGAGAACGATCATACCGACACCGGCAAACAGGGCGGTGACAATGTAGGCACCAAGCTGCCAGTTGCCGACATGGACGGCCTGGGGGGTAGCACCAGGGATACCAATGCCCGAGGTGGTGGTGGAAGCGGCGCCGCCGCTGCCGGAAGAACTGGGGTTCAGGGTGCCAGCGATGCTGTTCGTGCCTTTGGCGCCAATCTTGGCCATCTGCGTAGAGCAGGTGCCGGAGGCGGTAGTGGCGGCCTTGGTGCTGCCAACGCCGCTAAAGCCACAAGGATTGCCCTTGCCGTTCTTGTTCTGCTCGTAGTAGTTGTTCATGGCCCAAGCCAGTTGCTGCTCCAGAGAGCACATGCTGTAGGCGCCGTATTTACCCAGAGTTCCGTTGTGCGCGACACCGGACATGTACTTCGCATCGTCGAGGCCATAGAGGTAGCCGATGTTGCTGATCAACAACTTTTGCGAGGTACCCGACTTGGGCACACATGTGAGGCTGTCGTACATGCACGAACACAGATCCGCGTCCGGCACCGGCGGAAGGCCAGTGGGGTTAGCGAGCCAGTCAGAGTTGGTGGCGGGGCAGCTGGCGCCGACGGCGGTCGTGGGGGAGTAGTCGGCGCTGTTCACACCAGTCGGAGTGGCTGACTTGATCTCTTGCGACAGATAGGTGTAGTCTGGCAGCTCGCTGACCTGGCCGTTCTCGACTTGCACGAGACCGAAGTTGTTGGAGGTTTGGTAGTACATGTATACGATACCACCACTCCACACGTTGTCCATCTGGGGACCGTACAGAGTGGGGATGTCGTAGAAGTGACGGGGGGACGGATTGTTGCAGCCGTATTCCGAGAAGAAGGCCGGGACGGGATAGTTCTTGAACTCCTCGGTACGTGCCTCGTAGCCAGACGACTGGTAGGTCGAGTGTCCGCACCACTCGTAGATGTTGTAGCCGAACATGTCAATGGAGTCAGACGCATCATCGCAGACGAGATAATTGGCAACATAGTCGCGAATGGCCGCATTGTCGTCAGTAGCGTAACCGATAGCCAAGGAGGAGCGGTAGCCCTTCTGCTTGATGTAGGTCTTCATATCACGAACAGCAGCCTTGACGAAGGGCATGGCGTCCGTGTTACCGGGGTTGTCCGCCACCTCGTTTCCGGCGAAGAAACCAATGACGTTGGTGTAGTTGGCGAAGGCATCGATGACCTGGGAGTAGCGGGTGAAGAGGTCGGTGGTCCACTGAGGGTCGCTCTGGTCGATCGACTGCGAGGGCGACGCCAGATCGGTGATGACGTAGATGCCGGCGTCCGCCAGAGCCGACATACATTCATCGTGGTTCAAGTCGGGGTTGACGGCGTAGGTACGGACGACGTTGGTGCGCAGCGCGGTCAGGTAAGGGATGTCACGCTTGCAGCTCGTCACATCGGCCAGGGGATCGGTGTAGTCGTCGGTGCTGGAAGTCTGACCATTGCGGGCGGTGTAGTCGGGCTGGTAAGCAACACCACGGATGTAGAACTCGGTGCCGTTGTTGGAATAGAAAAGTTTCTTGCCCTTGATCACAATCTCGGGCACGTCGGCCAGGGCGGTTCCGGCCAAGGCGAGGCCGGCAAGGAAGGAATACTTCATTGTGGAAAGGGACGCTCTCGATGAGCCAAACGAATGTCACACAAACAAAAAAATTACAGAGAAAGACTGGAGAAAGAACAAACGAAGGATGATGAAAAGAGAAAAGAGGGAGAGACGGAAGGAAGAGGAAGAGAAGAGTTGAAGAGAGCAGGGGTTAGCGAGTAACGTGATTGGGCCCGCGTTCCCCTGGCACACCAACTGACGCATCATCAGCCAGGCTGTGCTCTACATTTGATTGGCCTTGGCCCCTGTGGATCACTGCCTTCTGAGACAGTCCCTCCACTGTGTATTCGCTAGTACTCGCCCACCACTCGGGCGGTCCCTAACTGGCCAGGGTCCGGTCTCCACTGCGGTAAATACGGCTTCCATTCTTTTTTTTTCTTTCCTGTCGATGCCTGGACTACGCGCATATCCTTCCCCCTCCCAGCGCGCTTTCACAAAAAAGCTTGTCTCTTGCGCTAGCGACGATCATTATTATCCCCCCGATGATGCATCATAATGTATGGGTCGCTAGCAGCATGCAGGCAGCAGCGACCTTGCTGATAGTTACCCACTCCGTCACTCGCGTTGACTTGCTTGCTCCAAAGCGAGTCGCTCGGCTTGGGTTGACTATGGCGTCCGGGCCTACGCCTCTTTAGGGTCCGTGCCCCGGATACTACTCCGTCCCAAACATCCCCAGACAGACAGCCCTAAAGTGAGACCCTTTGTTCAAATCAACGGGAGACAGGCAGAAACGTTTTATGCTTCAACCTGCCCCGGGAGGGTAAATAGCGGCTAGCCGACTCCACTTCGCACAGATTACTGTATTGCGTCTGTGCTACCCTACGAGTCAAGATGATTGACCTGGACTATACATAGAGGGGCCTAGCATTCATGACCTGCCGGACAAAAATAACTAAATGTAACGATGTCTCATACATGGCGACCCAAGGTTCAGGGGCTGCAAAAATAGATCACTGCAGTCCAGACTAACCCCTGGCTATCACAATAAGTCAGACAGGAATTAATAGGAATTGGATCGTCCCGGGTTCATTGATTTGGTTGGACAACGGGGGTGGGTAGAGTCTCCGTCAATAATTTCCAGTCCGCGACCAAGCTTTTTAGAGCGAGTGGGCAGAACCTCGCTATGGAGATGGACCAGGTCCTTTTATGCCGCTGTGGACCCAGGGCAATTCTTCGCGATTTGATTTTCTTTGTCGCCCAGGAGATGTCGAATCTCAGCAATTGATCAACTAACTCCTGCCTCATCCGCCTGGGGCATTTCTGCTACCCTGCGCCCCTTTCAAGATGAGCACCTTTTCCAGCTTACTGATCTAATGTCCGACAAAAGATGCCTTTCCTGCATTCCCGAATGTTCATACAACTACGGCCATGTGGCCAGAACAGCACATGACTACGAAAGCCCTACAACACGAAACAGACCCGACTCAGACACCGCTTTGGTCTCTTATTCGATGAAATTGTGTCGGCGGGATTTCATGGATATAGAATCCCGAAAACGTCACGGATTGGCCAGAGCTTGAACACGAAAGTAAAAAGAGCGGTCTCGCGGAGCATGGATGGAATACATCTCCGTCCTAGGGAGACTTCTTTGAGTTCTATATTGAGCGAACTGATGTGTAATTGCAGATATCCTAGGAGAAAATCGCAGAGCAGAGTGGAATCAACTAAGTTAGACATATGACCTCTTGAATGTTGGAGCTAAGCAAGTTACTTCCCTTTACAATCGACGGACATGGGATCCCGAATTCGTTCGTGGCAGGGAGAAGGAAGTCTAAATAATTCAGAGCCACTAATTCGACCCGATAGTCTACAGGACAGAGTGAAGCTAAACATCTAAAATGTATAACTACTAGCAGTGTTTTAAACTGCAGAGGTTGCAAAAGTGGAGCAGATGATAGAAAAATTGCTGCCTGGGAATATATAAAGCCAACAGGAGGCGGCAGTTGGTTATGCCCAGCTTTCGTGTTTTTACATTCGTGGCGCAGCTTTTTAAACCACCGCATACTCGCCTGGGCCGCTGGAACTGATGTATACAGCCAGCATTCATGTTGTCCAGGTGCAACGACACGTCACCCCAGACATCTACCCGCAGCTGATCCAGTCGGGGTCTGATATCTGACACAGCGGCTACTCGCCTAATGACGGGCAACGAAGAGCCAACAAAAACCGCAGCAGAGGTATACCAACGGCTATGTGGCTGATCCATCCACGAGCCAGCGAACCATGACGTCGAGCCGAAGAAACAGCCACAGCGCCTTTGCGAGACCTGTCTGTGCGTTTGCCCCGTTTTCACGATAACAAGCCACCGACGTGGCACCGATATGCTGCCTAACCCCCGCCCCATCCGAGCCTCATCTCGTTAAGGAGGAATATTGTGCAAGGCTGCAGTCCAACTGTCGACAACAATCATAACGACTATGCACCATCACTCTAGGCCTGTGGTTGCCTGACACGTGACTAAAGCGGGACGCGCCACCCCTGCGTGGCTTGTCGGAGATTGAAGGAGTGAAGATGAAAGGGGGTGACGGATGCCAAGAGCGGGCTGTAACGAATAGTGACCCAACAATGTGCATCCAATTATTGTTGATTCGATCGATCAATCATTACTCGCCAGTACCACCACCGCCAATACCAATTCCATGATCCTCGACGTCAATCATGCGGTGTAACAATCACTAATCCAGGTCGGAGCGGACAAAGCGGACAGAGTTCACCGACGCCAAGAGATCATGATTCTTTCTGTTACGGCGCTTGGAATCCCAACGACGAGACGGATGGCGGTTTCGTGATCTATGATCCTTATTATTATTCCAACAGCAGATCGAAAAAGAAAAGAATAATAATGAACGGGGCGCCTGGTTTCTATGCCTTGCAAACCAACCCCCTGCCAAACGCCCATGTTTTCTCGCGGGCCGCCAAGCTTATAGTACTCCACTCGCTATCGCGATCGGCCCCGGGGGAGAGTGGCTGTGCACAGGTTTTCGTCAGTCAATTGATTGAACTTTACGCCCTCGAAGAACGAATGAAAATTCACCTGCGAGCTCGTCACTTCTCTCTTCCCACGCCCGCATTTTCCTGTTTTCCATCTATTATTCCCCTCCAGACAAGGAATTGCTGGATTCAGGCTTCATTCAACTTCATTCCTCTTTCTCCCTTGCTAGCCCCCCACCCCTTTTTGGCACATGAATCATTCTGGGTCTCGCAAAAAACCCTTCTAGCTGCCTCGCATATATACACCGCGCTCTGTGCTCGCAACAACTCGTGTGGCTTATTGAGGCTGACACCCCGCCTCGAATTCCTACGTCTCGTGTGAAGCCGTCGCTTACCACCGGAGAATCTCATCTGATTCCGATTTGAAACTCAGCTCTTACAGCGGCCTAATGTTGTACGTGTTCCCTGCTCAATGGCATTGGGCGAGCCCCCGTGGCGTACTCCATCAGAGCGTCTACCCTGACGAGCTGCTCGTCCCCCAAACCCGGTTTAAAACATCGAGAAAGTACTCATGGATCTCTACAGAAAAGCATTTAATTGATATCACCACCGAACCCCCGCCCTAACTCACTCACCATGCGTAAGTCGCCGCAGCGGTTTTCTTGACCTTTCTTTTGAGTCGGCGATACTGAACGCAACACGAACTAGACATCTATCGGCGTCAGGCTCGCGAGCTGGCATGGTACGACGAGGATGGCGAGCAGCCGTCGCATAACCCGTTCAAAAAGATCCGTGCTCGCCGCCGTCGTCGCAACCGTCCGCAACGCTCGGATTCCATCCCGCTCCAGGAACAGACTCGTGAACTGGATCTGGGCGATTCTAGCGCATTCCCGCCGCCGTCTGCTGGCAGTGGGATCCCTCCTTCGGAATCGATGCGCAGCCAGGCACCTATCAACAATACCTCGCGTTCTCTGAACGGCGAATCTGACTCTCAGCCGCGTAAGCGCGGAGGATTCCTGGGCAAATTTGGGCACCATGATAAGACGGATGATGCCTCCTCTGAGGTGGATAAGCCTGAGCCTCAGAAGTTTACTATTGGCAGTCAGCTGAAGGCGACTATCTTTAACTCCTGGATCAATGTTCTGTTCATCGCGGCGCCTGTTGGGAGTAAGTTACCTGCCCTTCGCCCTTTAGTGGCGTGTAAATCTGTGCTGACTGCTGGCCTTAATAGTTGCACTGCATTTCGTCGATGTCAACCCCATCGCTGTCTTCGTGGTAAACTTTGTTGCAATCATGTATGTTGAGCCCCTGTGCTATGAATAGCTTAATCAAAGGCTGACCATTTAAAAAGCCCCCTCGCAGCCATGCTCAGTTATGCGACAGAAGAGATTGCTATGCGGTATGCTCTTCGTGCGACTCAATATATTCTGACAGACCAACTAACGATGGCTATAGAACCGGTGAAACGATCGGTGGTCTCCTGAACGCCTCATTTGGGTATGTCCCGCGCCCTCGGTCTGGTGCTTCGCACTGCATGAATCCTCACTAACTCTGGCAGCAACGCCGTCGAACTGATCGTCGCCATCATCGCCCTGGTCCACAAGCAAGTCCTCATCGTCCAGACCTCTCTCATCGGCAGCATGCTTTCCAACCTGCTGCTGGTCATGGGCATGTGTTTCTTCTTTGGTGGTGTCAACCGCCTGGAACAGCACTTCAACCCCATCGTCGCGCAGACGGCCGCCAGTCTGCTGTCTCTGGCGGTAGGCAGTCTGATTATCCCGACTGCCTTCCACTGGTCCGCCAACTCCGCCAAGAACGAAGTCACTCCTCTCTCGCGAGGTATGTATTATATTAGCAGTGTCGTTCAACCCCCATATTTGAGCCATGCTCACGTATATATCCTGCAAATATAGGCACCGCCATCCTCCTCCTAGTCGTCTACGGCTGCTACCTCTTCTTCCAGCTCAAGTCCCACACAGAGATCTACAACAGCCCCAGTCCCAAGGTTGAGAAGCGCGGGAAACGCGTCAGCGAGGGCGACGCCAGTCGCGGCATTGCACAGATGGGCAAGATGGGCGCCACCATGGGCGGCCAGGAAGCGCAGAACATGACACTGCAGGATCCCGACGCGGAGAAGGAGGAGCCGCAGCTTAGTGTGTTGACGGCCATTCTAACGCTGTGCATTTCCACTGCCTTTGTGGGCGTGTGCGCGGAGTTCATGGTGAGTAATTACCTAGTAGCCCTATCCGGTTCTATTCGAAGGTGATTTACAGGTGGCGCATGATGCTAATTTTATCTGATCTAGGTCGGTTCGATTGACGCTTTGACTAAAACAACTATCATTAAAGAAACCTTCGTCGGATTGATTCTGTTGCCTATTGTCGGCAATGCCGCTGAGCATGCCACCGCCGTGACGGTTGCTTGCAAGGACAAGATGGATCTCGCGATCGGCGTGGCAGTTGGATCGAGCATGCAGATTGCGCTGCTGGTTCTGCCTTTGATTGTTGTTCTCGGCTGGATTCTTGGTATGTCGTTCTTGTTCTTGTTCACTCTCGTGCTGTGTGGGACTGGAGCTAACTGTTTCGTCTGCAGGTATTGATGCAATGGTACGAACTCGTGGCTTCGGATTCGATTGGATTCGATTGGATCTGGACCATACAACTAAGCTAACTACTGTTACAGACTCTCCAATTCGATGCGTTCCAGGTGATCCTGCTGTTCGTGTCTGTTCTTCTAGTCAACTACCTCATTTCTGATGGCAAGTCGCATTGGCTGGAGGGTGTCCTGTTGATGACCATGTATCTGATCATCGCTGTTGCTGCCTGGTAAGCCAACCATCCTTGATTCAATGTTTGTGTTGCATCTGGTTCTGATCGTCTGCTAGGTTCTACGAGTAATTGCCGGATGGACCCCGTGCTGTAATTGACGACCGTTCTTTCCCTTTGCACGGATGTAAAAGCGGTTGGTGGTCTGCGATGGTTCGGTTCTTATTCGCGGCCTGTTTATTTTTCTGCTATTATTTTTCATCGCAATCCCTAATCACTCTTCGCTTCTCGACATTGTATTATGTCTCTTGGTTGCTGCTTTACTTGATGACTACCTATACCCCCCTTGGTGCGGTTGTATTGTGCTGTGCTGCAGGTCGAATACATAACAAAATCCAGTAGTGTCCACGGTATATTGAGTTTCCATGATTTTGTTATTTTAGTATTATTCTACACAATACAGATAGACCTAGCCCGGTAAAAATGAATAATATGGACATTCAGCACGAGATTCTTCCCGATCAGGCTAAATGCGAGCCAAGAGCCCGACCGAACAAACCCCAGCTCAAGACCCCGAATATAGCCTCAAATCGCAGGCGGAAATCTTACCATGTTATTAATACGGTCCATCAGAAAGGCCAGAGACCAAGGGCTAAATGCTCACGCCCGGGTGAGCCCAATTCCGACCCGGTCTCGGGATCCCTAGCTACTGCCTTTTAACCGAACCGATGTGGGGATGGGACGGATTTTGTCTTCTTGGACCGGGCCATCATCAATCACCAGCGCCTCTAGTTATATAGATACCGAGACGGTCGTTATTAAATGTGTCTAATATTCTAGTCGGGCTGAATGTTTAGCCTAATTATTTGCCAACTACTTGATTGGTGGACTGGTCACGTCCCGTTGAATTTCGGTCGGCCCTCTTTCCGCGGCGCGGAGGGTAAGACTCCGGGTGACATCGACCCGAGCGATCCTGTGTGGCCGGGAGTTGAGTTAGTACCCATACGGGAGGTCCGGAATGTCGAATTCGCGACACGTCCACTTCTGGATTGAATCGCCTGTGGATGGCTTCAGAACCAGACGGCCTTGATGCACACAACACCGATTCGGGAATCCGGATCGCGGCACGGCAGCCGAGTGGTGATTGATGAGATCGGGTAATGAGAGGCGCACAGGGGATCGGGCAGAAAGGGGGAAGGAGGAAGAGAAAGGTCCGTGAGGAGGGGCGGCGATGTGTTCCTTTCAGATCCAGGTCTCGGACTCCTTTCGCCCAGGCCCGACTTTATTTAATATTAATTCTCCTGCTCCCAAAGGAGGGAGGGTTAAAGCCAAGGCCCGCAGATGACGCCGTCGCACTGGGGGGTGGTACGGACTGGGAAAGGAAAGTCTGCTACGGTTTCCCTTTTAAGCTTCTCCACATGGCACACTCGGCGTGGATGTCCTTTTTTTGCGCCGGATATCCACCGGCGACGACTCCCCTGTCCGTCTGACACGAGGCAAAGAAATTGCCGTCAGATCGGGGGCGCATCAATCCCATCAGCCGCGCAGTATGCCCCTGCAATAGTTTCTGGATTTCGTACATTAAATGCCAGACTATAATGCTGCATGTGTCTTGGACTTGCCCTGTCGGACCTGCGCTCTGACCAGCCACGGTACGGAATCGGGCGATTTACCTAACGAAAAGCGAATGCGGGGTTGGCCGTCGGTTCGCCTGTCTCGGAGCCCAATCAGGGCCAGAGTCGGACGGGGCCGAACGCCCAGACGGAGTGCTGGGGGGAGGGAAAAACTCGGTGTGCGACTTTCCCGGGTGCATGTGCTGCTGGCGGTCCAGAATCGTGAGACGATGGCTGGCTGGGCTGCATGGTTCGTTCGCGAACCCAGGCCAGATCACGATGATGGGCCGGACGATCGAGAAGGTGCACTATGCTTTAGGACGGAGTATACGGTTAGGACAGTGTATACTGATTTCTATTCCCCCGCGGGGAGCCCCGGGGGGCGCATTCAGGGACTGGCGATTGGACCGATGGGCTGGTGGAATACCCGAGGCGCGCCCTCGCCCCCATGTGCACCGGTGGACAGGTCGTCCTGCTTGCCTATTCAGGCGTTCCCGAGACGATGAGAGATCGGGAGGGAGCCGACTGACGGACGGGCCAGACTGGAACAGTCGTGTTGCGTGTCGCTGACACCCATGTAGGGAGAGACGAGTGTAGGGAAACTGTTACAGACATACCTCCCATAGGTGACATCCTGAGTAGTCTCGGCACCCGGAACCCCCGTCGCTCCCCACGCCCTCCGCACTTTCGACCCTCTCCAGCGGCTCTTGTGCTCGGCCTGCTCGGCGTCTGGCCACACTCCGTTCCCTCCCGACTCTCGATCGCTCTGTCTCGTCGCTCGCATTCCCGGTCCGGTGCCCCGTCTGGTCTTATTCTGTCGTTCCCCCACACTTTTCGCTCTCTCCCTTTTTCCCTGAATTTGTTCTTTCTTCTTTCCCCAGACTCTCTCCCCTCTACTCTCTTTCACTCTCTCCCCTCCCCCTTCCTCCCCATCCATGCGATTCATCTTCCCGGTACGTTTCTTCCTCTCTCTCTCTTTTTGATCTTGTCAGTTCCATTTTGCCCATCCAATGCTGACCGGCTCGGTTTTTAGACCCGAGCACCACCTTAACCCTCCCCTTCCTTCGCTGAACCCCGGCGACATTCATGCGGTACCTGGGCTTTGCAGCGCGCTCCCAGCGAACGATCCGAACCTTCGCACTGAACTAGTACAGACCCGCGTCAGCCTACACATTACACACACCCCCACACCCACGATGCGGTCCAGCATCGCCTGCGCCCGCTGCCGGCGCAGCAAGATTAAATGCGTCAATGCCGGCATCGACACCACCTGTCGCGCGTGCGAGTCCTCCGGCCGAGAGTGTGTTTACCCGACCCCGGCCATCGGTGTGAGCGGCGCCGCCAAACGAGACCTGGCGGCATTAGCAGACGGCGAGGACCGAAATGGCGAGTGGGATGGGCCGAAGCGACAGCGCTCGCGCAAGACGATCGGCATGTCGGGCGCCTCGGCGGGCTCCAAGGCCGGCCTGGATGCGCTGGACTCGTCCATTCTCACGACCAAGGTCTGGGAAGCCGTCTTTGATCTCTTCCAGTCTCATTTCGCTACACTCCTCCCTTTCCTTCACCCTGCGACCTTCCTCGGCCAGATCCGCCAATTGTCTGCGCCAGCTTCCCTGCCCTCGGTCCCGGTGGTCGATGGGCAAGATCCCTCGCGAACCGTAGGATCCAAGTCAGATCCTTCGGCTTCGTTGATCCCGTTGGGAGTGCTGGCGCTCACCGCGCGCTTTCACCCGCCGCTGGTCTCTTTCCACTCGCCAGCGTCACCTGGTCATCCCTCCAATCCTCTTGCCGCATCCGAGTATTATGCGACGGCATTGCGCAGCCGGCTGGCCGGCGTGGATGGCGCAAGTCTTGCCATCCCCGATCTCGCGCGCGTGCAGGCTCTCTTGATGCTGGCGCTACACGAATGGGGCATGTGCCGCGGCAAGAGCGCCTGGGTTTACGTGGGAATGGCCATCCGGGTGGCGCAGGCCATGGGTCTGCCGTTCGAATTGGAAAACGAACTTCCACCGCGTGATGCGCTGCGCTCCTCGCCAGCCCTCAAAGTCGATATCGACCACTTTGGTATCCCGCGACGCGTCGAGCCCAAAGAGCAAACATCTGACGATATCATCGCGCTGGAGACCAAGCGCCGCACCTTCTGGGCTTGTTTCCTGCTTGACCGATGCCTCAGCAGCGGCAAGTACCGTCCACGCATGATCGAAGTCAAGGAACTTGGCATTCAACTCCCCAGCGACAACGCATTTGCCTTTGGCGAGCGTGTACGAACCGCACGGCTCAATGAGCCGACCGTGCGCCGGCCCCAGAGCTTTGGAGCTCAGGGTGTTCAGATTCCCAGCATCCGACAAAGTTTGGGATTTGGCGATGAGAAACTCCCCGCTGCGAACGGTACGCCTGATGGCAAGGCATGGTCACCCATTTCGCGTCGCAAGGATTCGAGCGAGGACGAGGTTGACCGGTGGGAGGTCGGCGCTGAAGAGTCGGTGCTCAGTCGAGTGATCCGGATCATTCGCATTTGGGGTAGCATCACCAAGTGGTCATGTGCTGGTGGCCGCCGGACCGAACAATACCCGCCCTGGCATCCCGAGTCCCGTTTTGCATCGATTCGCATGCAATTGAATGAGTTCCAGGATGGCCTCTCCCGCAACCTGCAGTATTCGCTGCGGAATACTGACACGCACATCATGTACAAGACCACCCTGGCCTCGTACACGGTCATGCATGTTGTCTACTTTCTGTGTGTGGTTGTCCTCCATCGTGCCTACGTCCCGTTCCTGCCCCTCCGCTGCAACGAACCAGTCGGCCCATTGGATGAGCCCCTGCTCCCGAATGACAAGATGAGCGGTCCACCTGAGGACTTCTGGCGCGACAGCGCGCGCGAGCTCTTCAAGGCGGCGCGCCAGATGATCGACCTTGTAACCACCTGCCAAAGCCGCGGCGCACTTGTCGACACTCCCCTTGTTGGTTTTGCTATTTACAACGCTGCGTTCATCGGTGTTTATGGCACTCATTTCCCTCACCTGGATCCGGACGGCCTCATGGGAGCCAAGCCGCCCCCAACGAGCCATGATAGCCATCAGCCCGGGGCCGCGCAGGTTCGCAAATCTCTGGATATCCTGCGAGAGATGCGCCCGCGCCTGAAGATGGCCACGGGCTGGTTCCGCACCCTGAACCGCCTTAACAGCTACTTCTCGAAGGCGAAGCGTGATTTCCGTCGACACTCTCGCAATCGCGGTGACAGCATGTCCGATGCGTCCGATCACCCTGTCACCAACGGGTTCCGACAAAGCGGTGGCGGACCAGAAGAATTCAAACTGCTCGAAAAGCTCTTCCTTGATTTTGGAACTATGGAAGATCAGCTGCAAGATTCTGGATTCGATGAGGATGGCACTGCGGCGTTCGCGGCCGGGGAGTCGATGCCGGATCGGGCCAACAATCTCAGTGATGCTGGCAGCAATGCTGTCAAGAGCGAAACGGGTGACGCTGGAGATCAGCTGGACGGTGCTGGTGGACGTCGCGAGTCCTGGGTGCCAATCAACAGCCCCGGGATGCCTCCTCCGGGCCATGAGGGAGATCGTCGCCCGAGCCTGCCGCTCCCGAATAGTCGTCCTATGCCATCTCAATCCCCTTACTCCCTTCCATCGTTACAGCAGCACCATCCCGATGGGCCTCTGTATACCTCGTCTCCCAGCTTACCCTCGCTGTCCGCAACGAGTAACCGCCTACAACCCATCAACTCGTGGCTCCCTTCGCGCCCACAGGCGCCGCCGCCACCATACTCCCAGGCGCTGCCACCCATCAACGCCGCCACCTCGCACAGCGGGCCTCTCCTCCCACCACCAGGCTCTGTAGGCCAGCTCGCTCCCTCACCCCCTTTGACATCCATGGAGGGCCCCGACACAAGTGCATGGTCAATCAGCCTCGGCGGAGACGATATCCTCGCCTTCCTAGATGCAGGTGACTGGACACAGTTGTCCTCAAATCTACCCTCGGAAGTCGGCATCCCCTCTGGCTGGCTGAGCATGGTGTGGACCGAGTTCGGCCGCTGAAAGCCTCGAGCTGGGCCGGTCGGAGTGGAGCGTTGCACGTTCCCTCCCTCCTGTGTATCATTATTCTCATCACCTTTTTTTGTTACACCTCGTCCGCTACGTTCTTACGTACTGTACGACTATATATGGCCGCCGGCGACCACAAAAAAAGTGTGATTTTTGGTTGGGTTGAGGACTGCCAGCGGATCGATCTGGGACCGGACTGGCCTCGCTAGTTGACGGACCATGGTACCAGCATCATTGCATTGCATGCCTCTCTCCCTCTCATTGTGTTGCTGTTTTGTTTGCTCGTTTATGCTTATCTGCCATCTGGCGCATTGGTCTTTGTCTTTGTGGTGGAGTGTGTATCTTGTCTTCTCCAGCGAGCGATTATGGGAATGGGCGGCATGGAATATTTTTTTTCTTTTGGGCCAGTGATTATTGTTTTATTATTTTTGTTTCTGTTCCTGTTTGTTGTTCGGGCGATGCTTTTACGACCGGCCATGGCATTACACTGACTGGCTGCCAATTACCTGTTTTCCCTTCCTTGTTATCAACCTATCAACCTAGGAAGCCATTTTTGACAATATTGATTCCTGCGTTTGGATATCTTCATCCTTCCAGCCTTCTTTCCAAAATAGGATCCCGAGTACTATGATCATTGCATAAAGCTCATAGCCGACTACTTTTGACAAGGGTATCGAGAGTTGGTCTCCTTGTCATTCATTTCTCTACGGAGACATCTTTGGCGTGAGGGGAAATGACTATCGCGTCGCATCGTGCTCGCGCGGAATACCGTGGTAGACCCCCATCTAGTAGTGACGATCGGTAGGATCATCTGAGATCCAAAAGTGATTTCCCCCGGTTATAGCGTTGCTGCGCCGGCTCCCGTTCGCATGTAAGATCTCCTACTTATTCCGGCTAATTCGGCGGATTATCTGTTGGAATTAATCGGTAAATCCCGCCCACATAGCACGTTTGTGACCACCCGCTTAGCGCCCTCAATCGCCTCGAGGTGACGATCGTCTCTAAACTGTGCTTGCCACCAGCCAATGTGGAGTCAGCCCAGGTTCTTAAAGAAAATTATTATTTTCTTTGTTAGTTACATGACTATATTACTTACTGCTACTTTGTCTGTAAACGTATTACCCGAGGTAGCTAGCAAGATGTCAGGCGACTAACTGCTCAGCCGCAGTACAGACAGTGCGTATGCACAGCAGCTAAAATGGCTGTGTAAAACAACACAAATGAAAAGGTGTCTCTGTACCCGGGTGGTTGAGGCTGATCTGGTGGCTATGTGCTGATCTTGGTGGGTTGAAGGGATGAGGCTCTCTGTGTAAGAGGGTGGACATGCAGCCTACTTCTGTCACAGGAGAACCAACACGGCGATAAAAGAAGGGCTGATTGTGAGGGTTCTGGGGTAGCTTTATAGCTTTCTTTTCGCTTAATACATGAACTGAGAAGAGTACTTGATAATCTTATCTATAAGACTGTCGGATCTATCTCGCATCGGAATGCGCGCGTAAATTGATATCTGGGCATCTATGCACTTCGCAACTTTCACATATTCTGCACATATTGACTCCCCATAATTTCATTGCCTCAAGATGTTACTTGGACTTACTGAGACCTCGCCTTGGACCATCCAATTTATTTGATGCACGGGGCATATGCAGCAAGTCTCGGCAATGGGGACATCAGGAGATGTAAAATGCCACGGCTATATAAAAGCCAAATTAACATTTAATTCAGAATTTGAAGAGAGTCTGGACATGCACATACTTCCTGCAGTGGTAGTTGGCTCGGATCTTGTAAAGATGACAGTTCTGGCTTCATCCGATACAGGACAGCTGAGTTGATGTTCTGAACGGAGGAGACAGTCGCCGACCCCTCTGGGCTGTAGCATGTGTCCTGTACCTGGTCAGAGAAAGCAAAGAACGTTTGATCCACTAGCTCTGGAAAAGCATCGCCGGGCAAGGGAGCAGGCTGCATCTCAACCGGTGGAAATTTGGCGTCATGTACTGCAACATTCTCAGTGGCATAAATTTGATCGTTGATCTCCTCAGCAGTGGCGATGGCCGGCGCATCTGTTTCATTGCTCCTGTTTGTGGTATTCCCGCGATGCAAGGTAGGTAGCAAAGACGCTGATTCAGACCATGTTTCGGAATTGGTTTGGCTTGATTGCACACAAGAAGATGCTTCCGCCGACTGGCTATCTAGAGATTCATGCTGGCTGTAATTGATGTGAGACTCGTACGTGAGATGAGGATGAGAGGCTGACGAGACCACTCACTTCACATGTCGTACCAAGGTATGGGGGTCTTCAGAAACGACCATGCATCCGGTATAGGTACAGTGGTAAAGCTTCTTGGCACAATGGCGCACCTCATGTCGCCTTTTATGTTCCGCTCTGGTAAAGACCTACATATAGCACGGGTCAGAACGTTGGTTCAATGTGCAAGTGCTAAGAACTTTCCTTATCGCAATCCGGGTATTTACATGGATGAATTCGCTTCCCCTTCTTTGCTCTGCTGATGCGTCGAGTTCTGGGTGTATAACTGACAGAGAGGATATTCCCTTTCGAATCTTTCCCGGCACACTCCTCCTTGCAGACTATTCTTGTCATGGTAGCGTGCTGGAGCTACTGGGTGGAGGCAGAGTCTTGATAGAATATTGTGGAAGAATAAGATACGAAAGATTGGAGGATTGGCAAAGGTGGCGCGTCACAAAATGGGCTGAGTTTCGAAGCTTGAAAACAGGCTCAAGTGCTTGGTCCCACCCTTTCTTATAGAGGCGCCTAAAACATTGCATTATATTATTAAGGGTCTAGTCCTGATCGCCTTGTTGGTAAACCTTGGTCAGATGTTGGCTGCTGTGAAATCGGCTGCGCCTTCGACACCCTATGATCCCATTTGTACTGGGATAGTTGCCCCGTGCCGCGTCTTAGCCCTTTAGGTCAAAAAGAAATCGATATATATTACAAACCGGATGGGACCATTCCACTTTTGGGACAAGTATCTGGTATAACACCCCGTACAGTGAAAGGTAGATCCACTTACATCCAGGGTTTTCAGCTAATCATATAGAAGCAGTAGGGAGAGAATACGTCCAAACTCCGCAAGCACCACACAGATGGCTTGCAGGGATAGTGAAATACCCTAACAGAATATACCCTATTAGACATTACGCAGGTAGCCAACTTACAGATCGATCAGCTGCCCACGATGACAATCGATGGCAACAGCAGTACGCTCAACAAATTGCACGGTTAAAGACTTGTAAATGATCTGTAGACAGCACAAAGCCTTTGCCACATGGAGAGTAAGGGCTCTTACCCACTTCGTATTGGGATGAGGGGGGGTTGAGTGGAAATTGACTGCGCCGTATCACACCTCCTTTAGTAACTAAAGTATTGTCCTTTAGGTAATTGATTGACGGTGATCACGAACAACTTGACGTCAACACACGTTCGTCTTCCTAAAGGGGGGATGGCTGTGCCTATCCTAGCCCGATGTCCAAGCCGAATGAATCGCGATGGTCTCTACTCGATGGCATTTTAAGACTGTGGCTCTTCTCCATTAATCATCCTCATGGTCGCTTTTGACCTAAATATGTTAGAGACAGATCTTCCGACTGACAGTGATTGGTGTCTTTGCGGGCAGAATGAATCAAGCGCCTTCTTACTCAGATAGGTACATGTAACATGTAACTACATGTACTCATGTGGTATTCTTCTTAGTGAAATACGTCGCGTAGAGAGCTTGTTTTCAAGTGAGGAGTAACTGCGCCGCATTTTATGCATAGCCAATGAGGTACAAATTACTTGTACTAAGAACGCGGGAAGGTTGAGGCTTGCAGATTCAGCCCCACACCCTACTCCTGGTAGGATTCGAGACCCTGCGTCTTCTGTTTAGTTATTTTCCCCTCGAATCACCCTAGGCTTAATTCCCAGGCGCTCATGCTTAGACCGCCAACACTGTGTGCGGCTTAATTGTTCCTATCACAGGTTGCAACAGCCGGAAAGATCCGACCTGAAAGCAAATAATGAATATCTTTCCAGCACCGAGATACGTGAGATTGCCGTTCTGCTTGATCGGTATTGACAATCGTATGTCTTCCTCTTGGCTATTTCGGGCTGGCATTACCTAGCCAAACATTCTCGAGCTCATACTCCGGTTCACGGGAGGCTGAGCGCTTTGCCGCCGGGCTTTTTAGCCAAAGTTTACTTCTTTGCTGACCCTGTACCCTGCAGGTCTTAACTGGATCCAGACCCTGGAAGGAAGATTCGATATAGCGCCAAGTTGGGTGGGTAAATCTGCCTCGCAGATCAGTTTCATCTTCCTAGGCGGCTTGATTTGACAGTATCAGTGCCTACAATGCATTTCTGGTCTCAACATAGTTATAACCATTCCTCCGACAGGATCATCTCTTTGAAAGTTTCTGGATTAGGCGTCTATGTGTTCGTCTATTATCGTACAAGGAGCATGAATGATGAACGCGGACGATCTCGTGTTGAAGAGCGACCCTGCGTCTAATATGGAGACATGACGGTATCGAACCGAAACACCTAGACACTGACAAGGTGATCGCTTTAAGTAATATCTGGTAACCGATCGGCGGGTTAACCCCTCCCGGCTCCCCCCGGGCGCTTTCAGTTGGCGCAGTCAATCAGCATAGGTCCAGGGGGACTTCTGTCAACTCAGGCTCCACCACCGCTATGGTCGCGATGCCCGACCAATATGCAAAGGCAAGAAGCCAATCGTTAATTCTTGTACCAGTACATGCTACGTGCCAGCAGGCCCTTGTGTGTATAGCATTTTCAAACCCGAACTCATTCAGAAACACCTGGTGCCAGCCGTTTTGAGCAATGTGGCACTGCTGCCAGTGTATGATCAATGAGACGAAGGCGCTTGGAAAACCGAGTGCTACTTCGGACGCTGCTGATCAGGTGTTTCTGTTTTCGGTCGACTGGGGAAGACTACATGTTAGACTGTTCATGGAACTGGAATAACTAAACTGTGAGAGATTCGTTTTCAAAACGCCTTTGGCCAGCAGTCAAGCGCGAAATCTTCCAAGTCTTGTCCGAGGGTGTTAGCGACCCAGCCGGTATTGACTTACTCTGGGAACACATGTTTAAGAACGGGCCACTGCCATGTCAGCTAATGAACTAAGTCAGGCTGGGCACCATTGCCTTCATCGAAAACAATCACATACAGGATCGTGAGCTAGATAGCGCAGCAACGGTTGAATGGCTCCTCAAAAGGTATATCCAAGCAATGTAGCTAGCTGTATATCCTTAACCGAGCTGCCGGCTGCGGAGCTATTGCTCGCTTAGAGAGCTGTATTAGATAGTCCTAACATTGCGGCCCACTTTTTGGTCGGCTACATCCTGCCTAACATTTATGGATTTGCCTTTCCCAAGCTGTTGCTTAAATGAATCTCACATGACACCGCGAGCCCTATCCGACGGGAGCAATGCCCTTCTCTCCGACTTGACTATTTTGTCTAAACTACTCTATCCTTCTTTCGCAAGTACTAAGTAATTAATCACTCTGTAACAGCCCAACTCAACAACAAACAAACCCCTTGACTCCCAACCCCTCCCAGTCACTCCACTTCCTCTCCACAATAATGCGGCGCGAGCGTTGATCCATTCCGCACATCCATAAGCACGGACCGAGTTGCATTGCAAGCCAAGCAAGCATGGAGACTCGAGATGGCTGATCTGTATGTAATTATTGACCGCGTTGACCATCCCACTCGCGCCCATGCATATCATTAATTCCATCCTGCCCCCTCTGCACGAGTAAACCGCATACCTTTCCTACCCGACTTCTGTCTTATTCTCGTCTCTATCTCTATCTATACCCATCGGCACCACTGCTATCGTTGAATCGCCAGCCCAATGCATCTCCCCAGCCACTTGCTGTGGACTCTCACCGCAGCAACAATAACAACAACCGCACTCGCCGCCCCATCCCACCTTTGGGCAACACACTACAACGGCAATGTCTACACACTAACCCTCTCCGGCGATTCCTTCTCCATCACCGACACCCGCAAGACCTGCGGCGACTTGCCAAGCTGGCTAACCTTCGACTCCCACACGCGCACGCTGTACTGCTCCGACGAGAGCGGCACGTCCGACCCCTCGACGCATGGCTCCCTCACGGCGTACCACGCAGCTCCTGATGGGGTTCTGCATGAGCTTGCTACAACGAAGACGATTGGGGGTGGCGTGAATAGTGTTATTTATGAAGGGGATAGCAGGAAGTTTATTGCTCTTGCGCATTAGTATGCTTCTCTCTTTTCTTTTTCTCTCTCTAGGACACACACTCTTTTGCTCTTGTCTGAGATGTATGCATTATTCGTTGAAGACTGTCCACAACTAACTCCAACCAGCGAAGGCTCCGCCGTATCAACCTTCGCCCTCCCCCTTCACGCCAACGCACTCGCAGAGCAAGCCTTCCACTTCCACATGACACATCCGGGCGCAGTAGCCCAACAAGACGCGCCGCACCCACACGAAGTGTTCCTGGACCCAACAGGAACATTCCTGATCAGCCCAGATCTAGGCATGGACGTGCTGCACGTGTACGCGATCGACAGCGCGACGGGCCGGTTAAGCAGCTGCCCAAGCGTGAAGGTAGCATTTGGCAGCGGGCCTCGCCACGGCGTCTTCTGGACTGACGGCACGGGCAAGGAGCCCTGGTGGGCATCTGCGGGAGACGGCGAGGCGCAGAGACACACGTGGGCGCCTGTTGGGAAGACGATGATGTATCTTGTCAATGAGATTGGAGGCACGATGATGGTGTTTGATGTTGCGTATTCGCGGTCTGGGTGTATCAGCTTTTACGAGAAACAGACGCTTGTGCCGTACACGGATGGCAAGATGCCGGAAGGCGCAACGCCGGCTGAGATCCGGCAGATCGGGAATGCGTTTTATGTTTCTGTTCGGAGTGATGGCGGGTTCCCTGGGAAGAATGACTCGATCGTCACGCTGGACCGCTCGCCGCGCAGTGGACTGGTATCACTGCGCAACACCACGCCGGCGCACGGCAAGGTACCGCGTACGTTTGCGATCAACCGCGCGGGTGATCTGGTGGCTATTGGGAACCAGGCATCCGCGACGGTAGCGATTGTGCGAAGGGATCGGGAGTCTGGGAACCTGGGTGAGCAGGTTGCCATCCTACAAGTTGGTGAGCCTGGGAAGGTGGGTACTACGGAGGGACTGAGCAGTGTGATCTGGGATGAGTAGGTAGATAATATTGAGAAATCAAGAACTCGGATTGTGTGGGCCATGCTCTCACTTCTATAAAAACAGCACGATGGAAGGAAATCCCAGTTGCAAGTGTACTTCGCGTCATAATGGGGAAGCATTCAAGGAGATCCGGAATCAGCACGTAACTCATAACATAACCCAAGAAAACAAACAGATAGACAAAAAACCCCCCAAAATGCTGCCACAAGGATAGATAAGAAATATATAAGAACCCTCCAACGAAAAAAGACCGGCTTGTTTCGTGTGTTTTGGACTGTCGGAGACCTGCACCGAGAAATAAATGCATGGGTAGATTCCCTGTCGCAGCCTTGTTGATACCGTTGATCATGCCATATCGTCGAGATCGATGGATCAGAAAAGAAAGAAAATGAACGAATTTTTCTCAAACGTAAGTCGTAACATCCGTAAAGGCGTAGTCAGTCTTGAATCGGAATTATTTGAAGTCCAGTTGAAAGGCTTTCCATTTGCCTCCGACCGTTCGACATCGCGGACACCCACGTGCACTTGGGTAGCTGGTCGGACCCTGTGGTAACATGCTGTTCACGCCATTTCCCGGACTTCGGAACGAAGCAGGCGGACTCGAAATGAACATGTTGACGCAGTCTCGACAGACGCCGCAGATACACTCCGTACATGCATAACACTCATTCAATGCCCAGGGGCGCTTGCAATTTGCACAGAAAATTTGGATTTCCCGATTGTGGTAAGATACTGGAGTCGGGTTTGAGAACCGATGGTGCTGTCGCTGGTTGACGGGGGAATTAAATTCAGCACCGGACTTGAATCCGAATTCGACGATGGTGCGAGCCCAGACGCGAAATTCTTGCCGGACGCTGTAGACATGGAGTCGAGTGACGATTCAATGGACGGGAATGGTTCCATGTCGCTATCACGGCCCCTCTCGAAAGGGGGCGGTGTCAATGATTTGTGAAGGGGTGAGGCGGCGTAAGAATGGGGAGGGAATGGTGGCCGATGTGAGCCAAGAGGCGGTAACCCAGCTGTCGGCTGGAAAGCGGGGGGAGCGAGGACCGGTTCTTCGGCGCCGATGTCACGTTGGCAAACAGTGGAGCGATCGTGGGTGACCGGCCAGCCTAGGGGAGTCAGGTTTTAACGCTATGGATTACAGGGGAATTGTGGACACAAAGCTCACCTCCGAATGTCGCTCATCATCTACTTCGGTAGCCGAGGTCGCTGCTTCAATGAGGTCCTCCCAGCGCTTGCCCTGCGCCCAGGCAGCTGTTTGCGGCTCTGCGGAGAGTGCCTTGCGATCGCCCAAGCTCGGTCGCCGGCCAAAATCCTTCGATCGCGGCCGCTCATGCTTTGGTTTCCGCGCCGACTGCGAGATGGACGACTTGCGTGGGCGGGAAACCTTGTCTTTCCGCTGGATGGGAGGCAGAGTGGATGAGCGACCGGGTGGGGAGTGATTTAAGATAGATGGCAGAAGCTCCCGCGGGCGAGATGAAGAAAATGGCGCCAGAGATTCCTGTTTGAAATGGTCGCGCAGAGAGGGTAATTCAATCGACGAGCGCATGCCCGGTCGGGTCACGTCGGTATCGGAATGAGTATCCTGGAAAATTTCCACAGGTTAATGGACACGCAGCCTGTGCAGAGAAAACAAATACACCAACCATATCGGTATCCCAGTCCGAAGCGAGCCGATGGTGGTGCAGCTCTGCCAGAGCAACAGCCGCCGTAGCTGCGGATTGGTGGGGTTCGTCCAGAGCTCGAGGAGTGGCCGGGGAGCTCGCGTCCCGAACGTAGATGTCCCGCTCCACTTCTGTGGGTAGCCATCAGTATCCCGGATCCGATTTTCCGAAAACAAAGATTCAAAAGCACACTAACCATTTCGGCGTCGGGGTTGGGGTTGATCTGGGGGGGAGAGGTGCGCACGTTGTTCGGGAGGGGTGGTGACCATTAGCAGGAAGCTCTCTTCGGTAGCCGGGAGCTTCGGGATGTAATGATTCGGGTGCGCACGTCGAATGTGCTCTTGCATGGATCGATAGCGCTTTTCCTGGAGGGGAGCCGAGTCAGTTTCTGCGTGGGTTTGGTCTTTCTCCCGTTGTGCTAGGAGTTTGCTCGCCATGCGCCGTTGTAGGTGGGGGCTTGGGTGTCGCCCGGAAAGAGGGGGAGGAGGGGAAGGCAACTTACTCCTAGACATCGCTTGCGACAATTGGAGCCGTCGTTGTTCTTCAAGGGACACACCACCTCATTATTGGCGTCGGTGACCGAGAAGGAGCCGGTCAGGGAGCTTCGGGGAGGCATGGTGTATAGAAGCCGGTCGGATCCTGGGGGGCGGGGAGAGGGGAAAGGGAGTGCTAGAAAAGAGAGAGGGAGGGAGAGGGGGAAGACCAAAGCTGGAGAGTCTGGATTAGAGCAAAGCACGATGAAATCCAGAAAAGCCCATGCTCCGGAGGTGGGGGTGGGAAAGGGAAGATCCAAGCCGGGGGGGGTTGAGAGGATGTGAGAAGGAAGAAGAGAGGGCCATGAAGAACGACAAGTACTCGGCGCCGTGGACGATGTACGATGCGGGTATTACGCGGTAATTTTACAAGCTTAGCTGCCGGCTGGAGCTGAGCTCGAGTCCTAGTGCTTATACTCCGTCCACCTACGTATGAATTCGGTTCGGGCAAAATATCGTAGAGAATTTTCTCGAGACATTTCTTTTCCAAAAACCTTCCGTCTGAAGGACACAGGAGTGAGTTGGATCGCGGATAAGGTATGGTCCGATAAAATACCCTCAACTAAACTCTGGAGACAATTCAGAGGGTGGAACTACTAGGTCAGCGGAGGGAATTATTTATTATAGAATCTATAGAGAAAGCGCTACACGTATCTTCCAGAAGCATTCTGTTTAGCCGACACTCCCAGCTGTGTAGGGCAGGCGACCACCTGCCAAACGATAGGCGCTATCAGCGGCCCCTCCAAAGCTCTCCGCAGCTCCGACCGAAGCTTTAGGGTCGAAGGAGGGGAGCTCCGGTGGCGAACGCCACGATACGGTACAGTACCATTTGATCCGTTGGGGAAAGATGAACCTTTGGAATGTACCCAAGGAGTGAGGCTGAGATGCCTCCGAAGTGAAATGCTATCCATAGAGCTATCCGTCGCTTCAAAATGGCCCGGAGTCCAAACGGCGCACGCCGGAGGCCGAGATATCCGTGACGTCCATGAGTGAGAGTCCGTCCAGCTCAATGTAACGCCCGCAGCAGTCTGTAATACGTGGTCATGACAAGGCATGAAGAGCAGCAGCAAAGTAATCTGATTGGTCCTAGTGGAGACTCGGGTTTCCATTGTCAGCGTTTTCATTGGTGTAGCGGCTGGGCGGCAACGGCGCTTTGCCGGATGAGGAGCGTCGTGCAGCGCGAGAAAAAAGTCTGCCTGAGAGACAGTGTGTCGGTAGTAGTAGTAATAGTAGTAGCAGTAGTTGCAGTAATAGTAGTAGTCGTGGTAATATTTATGTATGTTTGTATGTATGTACACGAAGTGGTTTTACGGATAGACATGAAGTAGGTAGACTTGCATACCGGCGTCGTCACGGCCATGCAAGGTTGGTGTTCAGCTCTCTTCCACGGGGGAGAGAGGTTCGGATTGGCACCCTGGGTAATGGGTCAGGAACCTTTGGTAACCTCAGCCAGGTTCAACCGGGTGTTGGGTCAGGATGATCGATCTAGGATGTATATCTTCTCAACCCACCACATGCTCTTCCAGCGGAGGTGTGATCAGACCACTAGTCTCAACATGCTGCCCTACTTCACCCTTGGAAACAAGATCCTCGCCCGCAAAGAACAGTAGCACCGCCTCAGCCGCAGCCTTAGAGTCGTCATCATCATCCTTGTCAGGGACAAAGGCACGGGAAATCCGCTCCAGGTAAGAAGCCACCAACTCCACCGGCCAGTTAGCCCGCAGACCAAATTCCCGACACAGCTCGCTGTTGACAAAAGTATCAAACTCGAAATGGCCCTGGTACGTAAGGACACGGCCGGGGCAGTACAGACCCTGAATCGGGCACTGGGCACTGCTGCCGATGTTCATCCAAGACGTCGGCAGGGACACCACGGAGTTCGTTCCTCCTGCGGCGGCTAGCGCCTCGGGCGTAGGCACCACTTGGTCGCCGTGGACAAGCTGGATGCGGAATGGGGACTGGGACGACACCCGCGCGAGAGGTGGGAAGTGCGCCGTGAAAGACGGGTGGAGAGTGATCGGTTCGATGCCCACTTCGTATCCCGTCTGCGCGTGCTCCACGTGGAACGCAGAGGATGGAGTCGTAACTTTGGCTGAGAGTAACGCCTGAGCGATGATCTGGTGGCCGAAACAAGATCCGAAGATCTTGACGTGCGGGAAATCCGTATGCACCGTCCGAATGAAAGATTCCAGGGCATGAATCCAGGGCTGGTCTTCGTACGCCGATGCCGCCGAGCCGGTGATCAAGATCCCATCGATCAGTCCTAAGGGTCCGCCCGCATGACGTTCATTGAAGGATCGTGGACTGGCGCGCAGAGACTCGAGAGGTGGCAGCGATTTTCCCACGGCGTCAAAGGCCGTGATATGCACGGCAAGCGGTCCTTTTTGGAGCTGGCTGGCTGGATTCCGGTTCAGACGCTCGGCAGCAGCCTGGAGAAGATCGCGGAACTGAGAACTGTAGAGTCCACGTGCTCTGTAGACGGACAGACATGGGATATCGGCGTCTAGGACGGCCACATGGATCTTGTGTGGTGCCATATGCTTTTTGGGATGCCGCAATAATCGAAATGAGTGGTGATTAAGAACGAGCGAGAAAGAGAAGTCTTTGCAAAAAGAGAGTATGTAAAAAGAGATGCTGAACGCTACAGGTTGAGTCTTTGATGGCAGAAAAGAAACTGCATGTTTGATGCCAATGGTAGGGCGTAGGGCCGGATCCAGATGCCCGATAAGGGTTTTGGTTAATAATGCGATGGAGTTTGCGCCTCCCAAATCAGGCAACTGAATCCTTGTCTGCGTGAAGCGGTTTACTCATTCCATAAAACTGCTGAAGTGAGTGTAAAGAAGATGTCGAAGTTTTCATTATAAAGGCAATAAATTTTCTGCGATTAGTGCGCGTCCTCTGTTACCTCTTGACTAGGATACGATTCGAGAGAATGCTGGAGAAAGTGACTAGATGAGGCGCCCTGCCCCCAACCCTATTAGAATTGAGGTGAAGTAGTTAGTAGTGCATCAGACGTTTGTTGTTAAATGAATGTTCAGCTGGGTTAAGGTGGTTGTTAGAAAAGGCGAGAGAAGAGCCGATCCCGTGGCCAGTCAACGCTAACAACCCTGCGAAGATTATAGACCAACAATTGACTGACCAGCAACCCGGCCGAGACACCTGCTTCTAAATAATTGACACCATATTGAATTACCTCACTCACATGAACAGATCTGCCTGGAATATTGCTCTTTTAGGCTAAAATGGGTCTCCTCGTGGTGGTTACTTGATGCAGGACCGGCAGGCCTAGAAGACCCATGCATCCTCGTTAAGATCCTGGAGAGATGGAGATGTGGAACTGTCGGCCGAGTGAAGAACTAGTTGCACAGATGATGGAACGAGCATAAGGATGGCACTGTCATGGCAGTGCAACTCCACTACCGAATTGCAACTACCGATCTACAAATAGCCGTTGGTATACCCAGTCCTCTACCCAAGTATAATCAACATGTTCTTCCCTCGATCGCATCGTGCATACAATGGCATCATCCTGTACCCCAGAGAAAGATAATTAAAGATCTTTCAGTGACGCACGACTGTTTCCATGGGAAAAAAAAAGGTGCCAAGTCGCGGTCGGCCCAAAATCACAACATCAACCCCCGCAAATTGCGCCATCCTGGCCACGACCCCCCAATCAGCCAGCTCCAGGCAGTCAGAGCTTCACAATTAGCGATTGCCCGAGCCACGGCTTTGTTTCCGCCCCTCTATGCCCCTCACTGAAATTCGGCTCGTCGCCAACGACTGTTGTCGCCTATAGGATTGCGAATCACGGCCCTCGCACGCCATTTAGTCCACTCGTTTCCTCACTCTGCATATCAGACACTAGGACCTTTTTTTTGTGTCGCAATGGCGATCTTGGCTTCCTAACAACATAAATAGAGCCCTGTAACCCAGCTTTGGGGATAGTGTTCAATCAGGCAAAAAGTCTTTTCTATCTTCTTCTTATCGACCACCTATACACACCATGGCCCCCGCACTCACTGATTCCGCGGCTCCCGCATCCCACCGGCTCGATGCGCCGCTGGAACTCTTCCCCGATGGTCTGAAGACCACCGGCCAGCACCCCCCGCTATACGACCACATCCACCCCTTTGACCACTTCCCGCGCCAGATCACCGGCCCTACCGTCTGGAAAGCCGAGGACTACCGCGATCACCCGGAGAAGTGGACGCATGTCTTCACACCATCGCAGATTGAGGAACTCAGCGCGACGTCGGATGCTTTCCTTGCATCCAAGACCCCGCTGACTGGCATTTCCAAGGTGAGCTTATACCCTAGGTAACGTTGTTCTCACAGACAGTATTAACTAGAAGCAGAGCAACTTCCCTCTCCCCACTCTCGCGCCGTTCCTGAAGACACTGCGCAAAGACCTGATTGACGGCAAGGGCTTTATCCTCTTCAAGGGCTTCCCCGTCGAGAAATGGGGCAACCACAAGTGTGCTGTTGCATACATGGGTCTGGGCACGTACCTGGGCTACTTCGTCAGCCAGAACAGCCGCGGCCACGTTCTGGGTCATGTCAAGGATCTCGGCGAGGACGCGGAGCAGATTGACAAAGTGCGAATCTACCGGACCAATGCTCGGTATGTTGATTGTCTTTCACGTTCATAAAACAGAGTAACAAGCTAACGGAAAGAAAATGTGCAGCCAATTCTTCCACGCCGACGACTCCGACATTGTCGGTCTCCTCTGTATCGCCAAGGCCCTCGAGGGCGGAGAGTCTGACCTCGTTTCCTCGCATCACGTCTACAACACCCTCGCCGTTGAGCGGCCCGATGTCCTGAAGACCTTGACCGAGCCGATCTGGTACTTTGACCGCAAGGGCGAGACCAGCAAGGGCGAGGACGAGTACATTCGCACGAGCGTGGTGTACCTAGAGCGCGGCGAGAACGGCCGCGTGTACACGAAATGGGATCCCTACTACGTGCGCTCCTTGAACCGCTTCTCTGACGCGGGTATCATCCCGCCCATGTCCGACGCGCAGCAGGAAGCTTTGAAGGTGCTGGAGGAGACCTGCGTCCGCCTCTCGCTACACATGGTCCTGGACGTCGGCGATATCCAGTTCCTTGCCAACTCGCATATTTTCCACGCGCGCACTGCCTATACGGACCACGCGCCTCCTACGCCCCGCCGCCACTTGATGCGCCTGTGGCTTGCGACTCCGGAGCATGAAGGTGGCTGGAAGCTGCCTTTCTGGGATAGCAATGAGAAGAAGCGCGGTGGTATCCAGGTTGATGACCAGCCCCCTGTGGCGCCGCTAGATGCGGAGTAAAAGTGTGTTTTCTGGTGAAGTAATGAGTTTATGTGTAGATAGATATCCATGATTGTTTAGTTGTTAATGTCTTCTTTTGTTCTGCTCCTATATCAATGTTCTAGATCGAGTCTCAAGCAACGTAGCCTTGGATTTGTCTGAGACATGACCACAAGGAGAAAGAACGTGGTACGTAGCTATTTATGACCGGCACAAGCAGCCGAGGTGACGTTTTTCACGATTGGTCAGGTTGAATGCCGGGGGTCCGCCTCGCCCTGACAAGGACCCGCTTCCAGAAGTCTAGCGACGCTTACATTTGCCGAGCTGCGCGTTCGGCGTTATGATCTGAATTATATCATTCATTGAAGTACATACTTTCCTTATCGAAGATGAATACAGGCGAAGCGCCGTGAACAGAGCTACGAGCAATACAGCTACAAAAGAGCTGGTTGAGAGACCACTACGCATTAGTGATCTAGAATACGTCTATTAGCGATTGCAACCCGCCAGGTAAGATCGCGTTGTGGAGTGACGCCTTTTACTAGGTGTATCATTATTTCGGTAGCCAATGTATCTGTCTTTCATTCGTGTTTTTCTCGGGGTATTCATATATTCGTCCATTCATTCATGAGTTGTACCAAAAGACAGCCTCATAAACCCACTGTAAATTCTCACACCTTGAATGCAGATTCCAAAACAATCTGGCCTCGCTGGATCGCGTTAAATAATGCGTTTACTACTCACCCGCGAATTCGACGGTCGTGGTTTCTGGATTTTGTCTTCACCTAGGTCAAACAGACTCCATGGTTTTCCTTGTGGAGAAGCTCATTGTTCTGGTGGAGGTATTTGATTCACCAAGCGCTTGGTTCCGGCTTGAACTCGCTACAACCTTGGCCTGGAGTGCTGCACGGATGTCCTCCTTGCTCCGGTCTTTCCACGCGGGATAGCCATCCTGGCTGAGTGGGAACAGAACTAGATTTTCTGGGCGGGCCACGAAGTCGTCCACATTTGGAGGCGGAGTGGCTGTGATGATATCAAGCTCCTGGGCAATCTGGCGACAATATGTGGTGAGTTGGAGATCGTTAACGTCCTGGCCGAAGGGATTCTCGATCTCGCTGCCAATGGCGAGTAGGCCGAGGATAATGTACGCGGCAACTATGGAAAAGTATTATCAGCGACATTGCTTCCTGGATTTGACGCTCCGGCATGCCTACCCATAGAAGCTGGGATGGTAATCCAGTTCAAGAAACCGTACAGTTGGAAGGGGAGGACCATAATATAAATCCAAGAAATCTGGGAAATGGCGATGCTATATGCGGCGGGGAGAGGAGTGTCTAGCACCCGCTCCGTCCCAGTCAAGATCTCTGTTAGCGAGGTCATCATATTCACTATACGATCCAGTCAGCACAGCATCTCGGCGTCGAGCGACTTCCTTCACTCACTCGACTGAGCTTGGTATTGGGCCAGAGAGAGCGTGCCATTCTTCACACACGAATCTATATAGGCGGATAAGTGGTGGAGGATCTCCAGCGGAAGATGTCCTAGTGGCTTCTTGGACCGCTTAACCATCTTGCGCGGGTTGGACTTGGCGAACGAAAAGCCTAGGTATTCTCCTACGGACTTCCATGGAGTTTTCGACTGGGGATGCATGGAGCCATGGTCATGGGCGTCGAGGGCAAAGGTATCTAGATGGGCGATGAGGCCCGCCAAGTCCTCGTACGCAACATCAGGCTCAAAGCGGAGCTTGTGTTTGAGAGCCACGGCAAATGCGAGGATCAGGTTCATGGCAGTCCTATGGCATGTTGTAATTATTCATCGATCTCGTATGATCTCGATGGGCTGCACATACAGTTTTCTCAGAAGATCCACCTTGCCATCCTCTCCCTCCCGTTCGGCGAAGTGCACCCAAATGATGCGGGCCAGATTGCGCGATGTCTGAACCAGCGAAGCCCAGTACTTGCGTCCATCTGCCCATCTTGATTCATGTCAACTCTTGCGAGCGTCCACTCCTTTCATACTCCTTGCAATACGGGGACCCTACCTTTCATATGCGGTCGAGCCGCGGAACGACAACGACAAGCCCACCACGAAACCCAGAACTGTAAGCAGTATATTGTTGATACCAACTACTCCTCCCCATAAAATGTACCTCGGTCAATCTGAGCTAGCGTCATGCCCACGGGAGATGACTTACGGTTATGATAAAAATGAGAAATGCAGGTAATAAGAGTCGCCCAGGCCCCCACGATTAATAGCGGTATGATCATTTGGGGCATTATACTTCCCTGAACTCGCATGACGATCGGCCATTTCGAATGTTGGGTCAAGCTGCGGGGCCCGTGCTATGTTGCCACATCCCGTCAGGGTTCAACTATTCCTTGCCATTTTCTGTCTCAAGCCTCCTTTCAAGGTTCACATACAAAGTACCGCTCCAGCTCGCTGCGATCCCGCACATGGAACTGTGACTCTCGCGAATCTGCCAGATGTCCCATGAAGCTCGCCCGCCGCGATAACGGCTCGATAAAGTCTCGCTCCTGCAAGCTGGAGAAAGGTGGGGTCAGGCCTTTCTTCTCGTCATGATGGTACACATCGGCTGGGACGGAAACAGGACCGCTACTATTCGCTATGGCCGCTGGAGATGCGCTATGGACCGAAGCGGGGCCCTCGTTGTCCGACATGGTCAGCGAAGGATGAGACAGTGAAAGAACAAAAGAGTGAGAACAACAATGTAGAAAGAATGAGTGCAGAAAAAAACAGAGCAGTACTTAATGGGGTAAAGTGTTGGAACTACGTCACGCCAACCCCGTTTCACCGTTTCTCTCGATCTACAGTATAGTGTAGATGGTTTCGGATGCCAAGTAGAGCTGCAACGCCACTTGCCTTCTCGGGAAGCAGCCACGTCAAGAGACCTAATATTAAGACGAAGTCGACGGACATCTGACCGGAACAATCGCATATGCTTTCCGAGCAGCCTCTTAATTCTTTTATGTACTGACCTGTCGATTCAACATGGGGATAACTAATGTCACTGGGCAAATTCCACCGCTATCCTGTGATCTAGCGGGTATAAAAGGCCATGCTCGCGAGTAGTAGCACAAATCAGACTATTCTTCCTTCTACGACTCCCCTAGTGGTCCTCTCCTCTGATAGATCTCACTATCGTCTGGGCTTGATTCCAGATGCCCCGCCCCACGTAGAGTTTGTCCTGTTTGCATTTGAATATGAATGCTTATCACCACTAACATCTACTCCTGCTTCAGACATATAGATGAGAGCGAATGGCTCGCATGGACCTCCAATCACGCAGTAGACCGGTAGCCATTGCCCCGGCACCTCCCCACCGAACTAGCACAATCGACACTGCTCTCATGCCATATGCGTGTCAGACCTGTGCCAAACGCAAGGTAAAGTGCGACAAGACATCGCCTTCATGTTCCGGCTGCCTCAAGGGAAAACTAGAATGTCTCTATCGGATGCCTCAGCCACGATACCGGAAACGAAAGTTGGACGGCAACCTCTGCCAAAAGCTTGCTCGATACGAGCATATTCTGCAACAACACGGTTTGATGGAGGCTGCCACATCGCCATCCGCTGGAGAGACACTGCCGTCACAAGAACCAGTATCTTTCCGGTGGGTTGATCCAGAAACATCTAGAAACGGCAAGCTCCTTATTGGACAGGGCAAGTCGCGATACATCTACAGCAATTTCTGGCGTAATCTCGAAGATGATGAGATACAGCGCCTTTCCGATGAAGACGACGAGGATGATCGAGCAGTCTCCGATTTTGCATCTGATCCTTTGACAGGAGCATTTATGGGCCATCAACAGAGCCTTCTCACGTATTACCCAACCCATACGCAAGCCATGATACTGTGGGAGATTCATCTCGAAAACGTGGAACCTCTCTGCAAAATTTTACACATCCCATCGACACACAAGATGATTCAGATGGCTTCGCAGCAGCCTGCGATTGTGTCGAAAACTGACGAGTGCCTTTTGTTTGCCATATACCACTTTGCCGTCTTTTCCGTGACGGAGGAGGAATGTGTCGAGAAATTGGGGCAGTCGCGTGCTACATTGATGCAACGATATCACTTCGCGGCACGGCAAGCACTCGCCAATGCGTCTTTTCTCAAAACCACGGAGATATCGGTTCTGCAATCCCTCGTCCTCTTCCTTCTACCTTGCCGGTACTTTTACGATTCGCACACTTACTGGATATTGACTGGAGTTGCAGTCCGCATAGCGCAACGTATGGGGCTCCACCGGGATGGAGAGAAGCTGGGATTGTCACCGTTTGATGTACAAATGAGACGACGGTTATTCTACCAAATTCTGCCGTTGGACGGCAATGCCAGCGTACTGTCCGGCACAGGCATATCTGTTATGCCAGACGCCTGGGACACTCAGCCACCGCTCAATGTAAATGACGACCAGATATGGCCAGGAATGACGGAGATGCCACAAGAACAAATTGGCGCAACTGATATGATCTTCTGCCTGTCGCGCGCCTGTATTGGGAGATTCTTTACTAAAGCAACAAAACCGGCGGACGATGCAGCGCCGTGGCAGTTCAAAGACTTCCCCGACGCCGAGCTAGCCATCAGTGATGCGGAACGCCAGGTCGAAGAGAAATATATTCGCTACTGTGACATTGTCAACCCACTGCATTTCCTGACTATCGCCCTGGCCAGATCGGGTATCACGGCCATGCGCCTTCGGGTCAAGCTTCCTAAAGTACGGAACCAGACGGCCACGAAGGCCGAGATGAAGGAATTGTTTCATTTGGCACAGAAGATTATGGATACTGACGCGGCTACCTGCACTAATACAGGCCTCAAGAAGTACCGTTGGCATGTGCGGCCGTTCTTCCTGTGGGGTTTGTGGGATTCAATGATTTTCGTTCTGACGAACCTGTGGAAGAGACCCAACCTGCTCTTACCCACAGAAACCGAATCCGCTTGGTCCCGAGTAGAGCAAGTCTACAACAACCATGACGAGCTCCTAAAGTCGAGGCGGACGTTGCACGTGGCGTTCGGGCGCCTCACATTGAAGGCCTGGGATACTCATCACCTGCCGAGCAGGGGCGTGCTGGAGCCGGCTTTTATCACTACATTACGTTCCCAACGGGAAAGAAAAAGGCATTGTAGCAGTGCAAGTCCTCTTGACAGGAACAAGGATGCAATAGTTTCTTTCGTCGAACCGTTTCCTGCAAGTGACACGAATGCATCATCGGATACCCCATCGGTTGGCGTGGACCTTGATATAGACAGTGATTTCAGTCTCACCGCCGCAGACTGGATGTTCTGGGACCAGTTGATCCGGGATTATCAGACGCAAGATGATTCCTAGAATCGTTCTATACCAAGATGGTGTTTCTTGATTGGTCAAAAGCTCGGATTCCCGGTGACCGAGAGCTGAGCCAATCAACTCCCGGTATTCGGGATTCAGAGGCCCGAATGTATACTCTCTATATAATCGACCCTTTTCCTCGTGCTTTGAATTAGATTCAATATTGGCAGGCGATTTATCTTGGAAAAGACTCATGCGATGCCCCAACTCAAGGTTCTCATTGTGGGCGCATCCATCGCGGGCCCAACGGCGGCTTACTGGTTCGCCAAAGCCGGAGCAAACGTCACCGTCATCGAGCGCTTCCCACAATTACGCACCAATGGGCACAATGTCGACATTCGCAACGTTGGCGTCACGGTCATGCGAAAGATTTCCGGGATGGAGGCGGCCGTGAAAGCTAAGACGGTGCCGATGGAAGGCATCAGCTTCGTCCGCACTGACGGGAGACCGTATGGAATCATCCGGGCCACGGGGAATCCAGATAGGCAGTCGCTCGTTTCCGAGTACGAGATCTTTCGCGGTGACTTGGCGCATATTCTCTTCGAGATGACGAAAGACAACGAGAATATCCACTATATTTTCGACGAGCAGGTCGTCTCGATGCGGCAGGACGAACCAGACGACAACGGACCGGTCACAGTCGAATTCGCGAACGGCTTCCCGACTTCGATATTTGATCTCGTTGTCGCCTGTGACGGTGCCACCTCGAGGACTCGAGCGATCGGTCTTGGATGCGGTGTCCGAGACAACATCCAATCCACAAACAGCTGGGTGGCGTACTGTTCCATGCCGCAAGATTTACTCGCTGGAAGTAAATTGGGACAAGCATACAGCGCGCCCGGCGGGCGGTTCATCGCCGCTGGAGCTGATCCGTCGGGCATGACTCGAGTTGTGTTCATGGGAATCCACCCACGCGACGACCATGACGCCGTGCGGCCGTTCCGCGAGGCAATGGAGCGCGGAGACGACGCGCTCAAACAATTCGTTGCCCAGCACTACCGCGGAGCCGGATGGAGATGCGACGAGGCTGTGAAGGGTATGCTTGAGGCGGAGGACTTCTACGCCACGGAGATCGTCCAGGTTAAACCGCCCTGTCTGTACAACGGAGGCTTCGTGCTGGTCGGTGATGCAGGTTATGCGCCTGGTCCGACTGGCGCGGGGACGAGTCTTGCTCTCGCTGGCGCGTACATTCTGGCGGGCGAGGTCGGCAGCAGACACAAGGGTGATCTGGCTGCGGGACTCCGGGGGTACGAGGAGCGTATGCGGCCGCTCATTGATGATTTGCAGAAGATTCCCTTAGGCGTTCCCACTGTCTTTGCGCCACAGACGGCGTGGGGAATATGGTTACGAAACACCTTTTTTGCGCTGATCTGCTGGACTAAAATTCTGGATTTCGTCCAGTTATTCTTTTTCGTCTCATTTTCTAACCCGGATAAGTACGTACTGCCGGATTATCAATGGGTTAGATAGATATATCATCTAAGACAGGAATTGTCCATGTATATATAGTATAGAGAAGAATATAATCCACTCATACATTTTAAGTTGAAAGTTTTTGTGGTGAGGCATGCTACTAGTGTTTTATCTGCGGGTGATTCATGGTCGATGAGAGTGAGATAGTATCTTGGGGGTTTGTCTGCGATTTGCGCCGCTTTGCTGTTAGCCTAGTGTTCCGGTGAAGAAGCTGTATTTAGTTGTCACGTGGGTCTAGATCATGGATTTTGTTAGGTTTGGTTTAAAAATTGTATTTGTGGATTATTAGTTCAAGGTGTAGAGTAATATTCTGAACGTGGGTGTAATAGTTGGGTTTGGTCCAGCAACAACGCAAATTGCTCCAGGAAAGTCTAGGGTGTAGGGAAGAACAGCAGACTAACCTTGAAAGCCATTTCTCACTATCAATCCCTTGTTTTATTTGGATGGTCTTTCTTTACTAGTGCCTTTGCTATTGATATCTTTAAATTTTGCATAGCAAGGGATCCGCCACCTAGCATGGCCGCTTGCACGCGGCGAGGCACGATTTCTTTTTAAAAATGTGAGATTGGAACTGTATCCTCTGGAGTATACTTATGGAGCGAGAATTCTTCTTCGCGGGAGAGACTCGGGGTACATCTACCTCGAAACAAGGAAAGAGGAGAAGAATCACGGCAACATGGCTGATCTGGAGATGGATGCTGATAATGGCAGATGATTAAAAAAAGAAGAGAAACTGCCTGACTATCTACCTCTGCGGTAGCAAAATACCGGCTCATCCCCGTTTAACTCCGATTCTTTAATATCATTGCTTCTGATATCAACATCCAAAACGTATTCGCTATAGTTGTCGATTAATATCTCCCTGATTATCTGCACAATACTTGGAGAACTTTCTCTCAGACTAGGCAGCGAGCCTGCGGTGCATTGTTGGACCGTGCTTTCACAAAGAACCAAGCCGAATTCGTTCAGATTCCGATAAAACTCATCGGTGATATTCTGGGAGCTGTGGTGAAACCCGGTCGATTTTTCCGTGGCCCAATAAATCTTCTGCGTGGACCAGTGAGCCAAGAGCAAAACCTCGAAGAGCCTTTCCATCCGTATTCCATCGTGTCCGGATTCTTGCATCTTTAAATCTGCCTACATCCCACATGTTAGTCACTCGAGACTTTGAAATCAGATCATGGTGGTAGTTGGAAACTGACCGGGATACTAGAGCTTCTGGCAGTATCACCTTCCCTTGAGCTGGATATCTTGAAGATTCCAATCTCGAAGATCGGAGGCTGTCGGACTAGCATCTTACGCCAGCTTGCGTCCTTTCGTACGAGTCGAGCCATCAATGAGGCGTCTTTAACCATAGGCAAGTCACACAAGGGGAACCAGCTGCCCTGCCGGCCGTCTCTGGCAGGAAAGAATGATGGAAAAACCTCAATCAACAGTGGATTAAAAAATTTTCTTTTTATTCCCCATTCGGAGTTCCTAATCGGGGTGAAGAAAAGGGCCTTCTGGATGGACGGTGAGTTGCTAATCAGATCTGACCAGCTGCGGGAGACACGCTGAGCAGTCGTGAGAAGCGTGCGTCTATCCACCCGAGCTAGAATCATGTTTAAGATTTCAGGAGTTTCCAGACAATTTTTGGTTGCAGTTCCATATTTGATACATTCCTCAGCATGACTTAGCATGGTTTCTGGTTGGGATCTTGATACCAGAAAATGGAAAGGATGGCAAGAGCGGGGCGAAGATCGAGGATGTATCTACATATCTGTGGTAAAGACCAGCATCTCACGTCATCAAGTCGTTCTATAAATATAAGACAAGTAGATTTGAGAAATGATTATTTACCACTAAGCGAAATATCGATAAGGGTGGTTTTAGGTACGTGCCGACAGACTACGCGAGTGTCCTTAGTGTCCTCAGGGGAATCTGTTCCGACTTTCACTTTATCTACGGTAGTGAAATAGTATATTACAGTGAGGAAAACGCTATATGGTGAGCTAGTCCATAGGCTGGTCAATGGGCATGGCGATAGGATGCCACGTAATAAGCAGGCATGGGAATCAATCCTTGTCCCCCATCTACAATTTCGAAGACCCGGAATGATTCTCTGAAATCAATTTTATGCTTATAACCATCAATTCATTTCCTGGGGTATACATCGCACGTGGGAAGTTCATAGTAACCTAACGCCCGCCTGTTTGCCTAGAAGAAATGCTCCGCCATAATGCACCCCTGTCTAACTAACTAATCAATGCACGATTTTGTAATTGCCACCACTCACAATCTCCAATTTCCCCCGAGAAACCATCCCAGCCAGGAACTCACGCAGCTCCTCATTGCTGTATGGAAATCCGCCGGGAACGACCACTTTCAGCATCATGACAATGCGCGGCAGAGGGAGCGCGCCCTGGTTCGTGAGCATGCCAACAATAAACTGCCAGTAGAGATTCATTTTCTCCATAGTAGCGGCTTCGGCAGACTCCTTCGCGGCGGCGGCTGCCGCTGCTGCTGCCGCGGCCGCGACGTCGTCCGAGGAACTGCCTGCCCCTTCGTTACCGGGTGCGCTAGAGCTGCTAGGGTCGCCAGGCTGCTTTTCATCTTCGGTGGGGAGGACTTCTAGTACGCGGAAGGTGTCGCGGTGGGGTTCTGTGAGGATGCGCTTGCTCACCCAGAACAAGCACGCACTGCGGACTAGCGTGGCTGTCATCTGAAGTTGGCCCGCGAGGTCGGTGACTGTCCTTGCGACTTCTGGCTCTGATTCGGTCTGGAAGGCGTAGATTACGGTGGCCTGCCACGTTGTCACTTCATCTACGAAGACTCGGTCTTCCAGGTCTAGCTCGACGGTGACTTGACCCAATCCGTTCCGCCACGTGAGCTTGCGGGATTGCTTGAGGGCCTCGAACCCGGCCGAGTATCGCTGTTGCAGAGACACAATTTCCTCGGGCACATTGAATTCTTGATCTTGGATCTCTGGCCAGAAGAACCGCGATAGGATCTTTGCGTGGATCTCGGGCACATCTTGTTTGGCGGTTGCCCTGACCGCCCTGCGAGGCTTGGATAGGCCTTGGTCGTTCCGCACGACGTGGTCGACACGTCGAGAGTCGAAGATATCCCGGAGCATAACTTCGCATGCCTGTAATGCCGAATCCCCAAATCGCACTTTCAGAAGCTCCAGAACCGACATTTCCTGGTCAAAGTCGGTGCGTTTCTGGAGCAGGCGGTCCGCTAGTAGGGTCTGCATCTCCTTGACAAAGGTCTCCTTCGAGTCGAACAGACTGACTAGACTGTCGATGACATCTGAGCTCTTTGATTTGCGGTAATCTGGTGCCGCGTCGACGGGATCTGGTGCCCAGTTCATATCGTCCCAGTCGAGTTCACCCCGTTGGTTTCTCAGTGAATTCTGGTGTGCCTTGTTCAGCTCCGCAGCCAGTTCCACCAGGGTGTCACTGCTAGGGACAACAGACTCGCCCGGGGCTGGCGGCTCAGCAAGGAGCCCACTGACGATTACTTTGACTGTATCGTCGCGGTCCTTGAGGTATCGCCGGATTGGCCGAGCAATGCGGTCAAGAAGAACGCCCTTGGGGTCCAGGAGATGAAAGGCTCGAATGATAGAAATATACAGTTGCAAAATTTGAACTGTCGAGGCACCGGGATGTAAGAGCCGTCTGTTCAAGGTGTGGATGAACCACTGCGTGACATGGTTCCGCGCTGCGGGATGCGTCGTGAAGTGCCGTAGATCTTCCACAGCGCCAATGCTGGCAGGCCATTCAACGATCACATCGAAGAATTCACTCGTCCGAAGACTCCCAAGACGTGCAATGCCCATCTCTTGCCACTTTTCCACATCGCCAAAGCTCACATCCATACTGCTAGCGGCTTGAGTCGCGAACGGAGTGTGGATAATAGCCAGCACTTGCACCGCGAGGCGTGCAAACACATTTTCAATCCACTGTCGCAGATGCTGCGGTGCCGATGTTGGTGCCTGCCACTGATCCGTGTAAGCGGCACGGACGAATTCTGTCATCATGATATCCATCACGCTAGCAAACACCTTCTGTGCTTTCTCGCCGCCGAGCCCGACAAGTTGTAGGCCATTGAGAAAAGCCAGCAGTCGATCTCGCGCCATCGTGACGCGAGCATCCTCGCCCTCGGTCATGATCTGCGCCCGGGCCTCGTCGGAGTCTTCCATCCTCCAGTCATGGTAGGAGACGGAGTATTTCCGGTCCACTTCCATGTCATCTTGGTTTGCCTCACTCGAATCGTCGGTCAGGGTGTCAATCCCCAAAATAACCAGTGCGTCCCGCGCAAGCTCTGCTGTGAGAAGTGGCGAAATTTGCGACCAGGGCAGGGAGTATGAAACCACCGTGTGGAAGCTCCGCTGCAGTTGGGTCAGTACACGTCCTTGCTCGGGTGTGGCGAGTAATGGTAGTAGATAATGCACAATCGGAGCCAGGTAGATTCGACGGGCGAGCTGCAAGCAATCCACAATCTTTCGGAGCAGTCCTTCCTTCTCGTCGCTGTTTAGAAGCTGTGCAACTCATCAGCATTTGAGAATACTAGGTTCCACAAATCAATATCACACCTCGTATAGCCCCGCTCGAAGATTCGTCAAGAAATGCCTCCGTATCTCATCGCCGTACCAACTAAACAGACCCCGTGGAACAGCACCATCCAGGGGATATTGAGAATTCGAAGACGTCAGGAACGACAATGCTTCTGCGGTCTCTTTCGCCGGAGGACTGAGTCGGTTCCATTGCTTCAATATTTCACTGCCATCGGTCTCCCTGTAATTATAGATCGGCGCGAAGCCCCCATCCGGCACGGCCAAGAATGCCGTCGCCGCGCGCCATGCTTGGCTCCAGGTCTCTTGGTCTGGGAGAGATTCCGCTGATTGATGGGAGTCCGATGGAGTCGCTTTCGGAGTCTGGTCGCGATCGAAGGTGGGATGCGGCGGAGGGTGGGCGTCAAGCAACACGGGAGGAAACACAGAGCCGAAGATGCGTCGGCGTCCCACCGTGAGGGGGACTGTAGAGATCATTGTGTCAGAGAGGGACCATGGCGAAGTGCAACAATGTTTGTCTGCAACGAAGAAGAGTCCGTGTTTGGGCGTTGCTGCTTTGGGTTATCGTTATCGCGTGGTCCCGTGATCTGGGATCGGTCCGAACTTGTGAACAAAATAGCTAAGTTAACTAGAGACCGATGTAGGAGTATGTAGAACTCGTTATCGTTATTGTAGAAGCAATAGTAGGGTGTGATTGATTTATATCCGCTAGCAGCACAAAAAGCATCTACATTCGATGGGGTATCCAAAAATCAAAACATATGTACGACCTCCCGACTCCCACCACCTTACCGACAAACCAAAGCACCTAACACGAATATTCCACCTTCACGAAGCTTTGTTGTCCACCTTCTCCCACTCGCTATCCGTACTAGCATACTCTGAGCCATCACCCGGTGTACCGGGCCGCTTTCGCCCATCACGCTCGGTGGGTAGTTGCAGATCAGCAGCCGCGACCTTGCTCCCCGTTGCCGATGCCGTCACCGCGGGCACGGATTTAGGTTTGCGACCAGCCGCAACGGATTCAGTTTCCGTCTCAGAGTCAGGATTGTCGCCCGGGGCGTCAGGCTTTTCTTTCTGTTGAGCCAGCTGCACGGCGCGCACCTCGGCGGCGAACCAGTTGATGGCCCACCACAGGCCAGCGCTGATGACGGACAAGATCACGAAGTGGATGCTGGTGGTGGCCACGAGGAGGGCGAAGAGGACGACCTGCAGGGCGGCGAAGGAGATGTTGGTTGCGATCAGTAGCGTGGGGGTGGGGCCAGGGGTGAAGACGCTGGACCATAGGTCCTGCATGAAGGAGGCCATGATGGTGTCTGTTCCCGGGCAAGAGCAATAACAGGGACCCGAACAAGGAGCAAACAAAGAACGGGGAGTGTTGTTGTTGGCGGTGGTGGTGTCGGAAAGCGGAATCCGACCCGACCAAAAACAAATGCCGACTGCCTTTGGAGGCGGTGGATTAGGGTTATTGATGCTCCACTCAGCAGCGACGTCTGAAGTATGTCCCAGGAAACCCCATGGGGTGGGGAGAGATCATAATGTCCCTAGGTAGGTACACTATCGGACTGTTCCCGAGTGACTTCATCAATGTAACTCTTGTCTCCACCCCGATCGTCTCCCGATTTCCCCAAACGGCACCGCCCGTCGTCCTTGGCTCCCGAGGCCAAACCCGGCGATGATGAAGTTCCCCCGCAAAAAACCAGGCTGATCGTCGCGGTGTAACTGAGGCGTTATGTAACCCTTAAATATGGCTAGCTCCCTCGCCTACTTTTTCATACTCTCATCCGCTGCTTGACTGAAAATGGACGCTGGCGAGGACAAGCTCACCAAAGATGTCTCGCCCGACCCGTCCGCGGTGCAGGGCTTCTCGCACCATGCCGAGAACATCACCACAGACCGCGAGCCCTATGGCCCGCCCGGCCTGCGCGGGCTGCTGAGCAACCCATTTGTCTTCCTCTGCGCCGCATGTTCGACATTGGGCGGATTGGTCTTCGGCTACGACCAGGGCGTGGTGTCGGTCATTCTAGTCATGAACCAGTTCCTCGACCACTTTCCGCGTGTGGCGGAGAGCCATGCTGGATCGGGTTTCTGGAAGGGCCTAATGACTGCGATGATCGAGTTGGGTGCGTTGATAGGCGCTTTGAATCAAGGCTGGATTGCAGATCGCATTTCCCGGCGGTACTCTATTCTTGTTGCGGTGGCAGTCTTCACTCTCGGCTCGGTGCTGCAGACCGCTGCTGTTGACTACCCCATGTTGACTGTGGCCCGGTTGATCGGTGGTGTGGGGATTGGCATGCTCTCTATGGTGGCGCCGTTATATATCTCGGAAATCAGTATGTTAATTGATTTTCCGACCTCTACAGTCAAACTAACCAACCTTTCAGGTCCACCCGAGTGCCGCGGCACGCTTCTCGTCCTAGAAGAATTCTGCATCGTCCTCGGCATCGTGATCGCCTTCTGGATCACCTTCGGGACCCGGTACATGACCGGCGAATGGGCATGGCGGCTGCCATTCCTACTCCAAATGATCCCGGCTTTCGTCCTTGCAGGTGGAGTACTAGCACTCCCATTCTCGCCGCGATGGCTCGCCTCGAAGGGCCGGGATGATGAGGCGCTCCAGAGTCTCTGCAAGCTGCGCCGGCTGCCTGCGTCAGATAAGCGTGTGCGCCAGGAGTTGATGGATATCCAGGCCGAAGTGCGGTTCCATCAGGAAATGAACGCGGAGAAGCACCCGGGCCTACAGGGCGACGGGGGCAAGAACTCGATCTTGCTGGAGCTGGCTTCGTGGGCAGACTGCTTTAAGAGTGGGTGCTGGCGCCGGACGCATATTGGGATTATGATTATGTTCTTCCAGCAGGTGAGTACCTCGGTCTCTTTATATATACCATGGCCGAGGGAAACGGTTGCTAACAGCGGTCAAATAGTTCGTCGGAATTAATGCCCTAATCTACTATTCCCCCACGCTCTTCAAGACCATGGGCCTGAACTACGACATGCAACTCATCATGTCCGGCATTCTCAACGTGCTGCAGCTGGTCGGTGTCATCACCTCCGTGTGGACCATGGATACTCTCGGCCGGCGCAAGCTGCTGCTTGGAGGATCGGTGCTGATGGCCGTCTCGCACATTATCATCGCCGTTCTAGTCGGTCTGTATCATAAGGACTGGCCTCAGCATCAAACGCAGGGCTGGGTTAGCGTGGCTTTCCTTCTGTTCTATATGGTTTCCTTTGGTGCTTCGTGGGGTCCTGTTCCTTGGGCGATGCCATCAGGTATGATCCATTCACTTGGAAGTAATAGACCTAAAATGGACTAACGATCTACCCAGAAATCTTCCCCTCCTCCCTTCGCGCCAAAGGCGTTGCCCTTGCGACCTGTTCCAACTGGCTGAACAACTTCATCATCGTAAGTGTCCTCCGAAGCGGAGTAGTTATTTTTAATGATAATGGTCCGTTAACTCACCCTTTTTTCGGTTATTAGGGCCTAATTACGCCACCGCTCGTCGAAAACACAAACTACGGCGCATATGTTTTCTTCGCCGTTTTCTGTATTCTGTCTGGGGTATGGACCTACTTCTTCGTTCCTGAGACGAAGGGACGCACACTGGAGCAGATGGATCATGTCTTCGGAGACAATTCGAGTGAGGAGGAGCAGGCACGCAGAAATGCGATTGAGGCGGAATTGTTGCATGCGCAGAGGGAGGGAGTTTGAGATTTCATTACCTCTTTTTTTTTAAAATATATGTATTTATCAATTCTTCTGCTACAGAGTTGTACAATTACCAGGGACATAGTCACGATTACTTCTTTATTGCTACTGCCTAAATCTGTTCATTACCAACACTGCTCCCTCTCCATAAATCAAGAACCGGCCCCATTGGCTACCTCTGTTCCTGGAGGCAGCTCCACACGGGAGCCAGTTACGTAGGATTTAACTGGGTGAAGTAGTGACACGATAGTTCAGCCGCGTGGGCTTATTTACAGGCCCCCACGATCCCACCCAACCTGTCTTTTTTCAAATATGAACTGGACTGTTCATCCCGAACATCAATTAATTGCCAGAATGTCCATACCTCCAGCCATCCAGGAATTCCACTCCCCTTCAACCTCAGACCGCACCATAACCTATGTGCACCTAAACCCCGGAGCCCGCCACACCCTCCTATACTGCTACGGCGCAGCACACACCTCCCTAATCCTAGACCTCTATTCCAAATTCCTAGCCTCGCATCCTAACCTCTCACTATTATGCATCGACCGCTGGACACAAGGACCCAGCGCCGCGCGGACGGGACCAGCCCTATTATCCGAGTTAAGCGCCATAACGCTCGAGCTCCTGGATTTGCTCAAGATTGAACAGTTCAGCATCGCCTGCCATTCCGCTGGCGTTTATCAGATGTTTGATCTGGCGCGCGCCGCGCCAATGAGGATTGACCATGTTTTCCCGATGTCTTCGCATATCCCCGTTTCGTATACTGGGTCCAGAATGATGGAGGCAATGTGCTCGATGCCGGGGTTTCTGTTTCGGGGTATTACGAAGCTGGATTCTAGTTTGGGTGAATCAAGGGTTGGAAAAGTGCTTGTTGGGCTTGCGGCAAAGACGATGGATGGTGAAGATGAGGAGGAGGGGGCACTTGTTGTTTCGCAGGCGGATAGGAAGAGAGTTGCACAGCGGATTGAGGAAGACAATCTTCAAAACGAAGACAGGGCGAAGGCGAGGGTTGAACAGCTGGATCTTGATTATCGGTTGGGATACCGGCGCATCGAGGGGATAGACGATGATGTGCTCGCTGACTTTTATCGGGACTGTACGGTCGATGTGACGTGGTATACATCCGATGGAGATGTGTTCTTTGGACCGAAGAGCGCGGAGCGAATTGTCAAGGAGATGGATAAGGTCCGGTCGAAGCAAGTTGTTAATGTGTCTGAGGCGACGCATGCGGATATTTATCTAAGGACAAGGGTTTGGGAGGGGATGTATGCTATTATCACTGGGTCAAGGTGTGCTTGAGAGGAAAGGAGATGGTTGAGGCGATATGATATCGTGACGACGTCTGTTACGAATCTATACTAAATATACGACCACTACAATTCCTCAATCCTGATGTATGTATCGTTATTTCATAGTAAGGATATCGCTATCCTACAAGTACATGTAGGGTTTCCAGGTTTGGTTTAGTATCGTGCAGACATAGTCGACCGGCGCCGTTACTCCGATCGATATTCCACTATTCATTGTGAGTCGTAGAGGCAGTAGCCGTTCCGTTCAAACACCAGAGAACAAGAAAAACACAATCGACGCCATCAACTGACATGCAGAAAAGAAATGAAAGTTAGAGCACACCATGACGCGCCTTGAAAATTGATATCTTATCGTCGTAGAACAGGATTTCTTGCAGTCTAAAGCGAGCCCGTGAAGCATACTCATCAGGCTCTGTGCCATCGTCAGACCAGGAGTTGTCGCTTGAAATGAGGTCCGTGTCGGAGGAAGGGAACCCGGGGATGCTTTCTTCGTCTTCGTCGCTGGGCCCGATGTGGTCTGCGTCGCCGTCGCCGTCAAAATTCGAAAGCCCATCGCCGGTGTTCTCGCCTGAGTGGGCCTCGTCCACATCTAGGTCCGCCTCGCCGTGGCCTGCTTCGAGAATCTGGTAGCACTTCGATTGCAGACCAACGTAGGAGATCTTGAGTTCTGGGCGGATGCTGACTATGTCAAGGATCTGGAGCGCGAGTTCCTTGAGTTCACGATGCATAGTGTGACCGATATGTGGGAGGTAGAGAGCACGGAGCTGGGGCATGTTGGGTAGTCGTTGGAGGAAATAGTGCTGAGGCTAGGTTAGCGTGAGACAGAAAAACAGAGAGAAAAAAAAGTACATACCCAATCCCGATAGTGCATGGCCATGCCGAGTTCTTTCAGCTGCGGCATTCGGCCACTTGTGACAAACGAGACCATCTCGTGATTAAACATCCACTTGTGCCATCGTGTGCTGTGCATATCAGTCCCACCGGCCAGTCGTTCGGTCGCGTCCACGAGAACCTTTCGCAGACTCAGCCGGTGCTTGCGAAGAATATGTCGGTAAATGGCCTCGACCTGGACCGCCGAATCGTAGAGCGGTGCCTCATGCAAGAATACGCTTTCCAGTGTATTCGGAGCCAGTGCATCTTTGATAAAAAGCATCAGATATGGCGAAACGGTATCCGTTCGCAGGTGTTTGATTTGGAGACAATAATCGAGAGAACTGATGCTCAGTCGCCGATGTTCTCCATCTTGGGCCCGCCTTGCCGGAACTGCAGGAGGGGCGTACTTCCGACGAAGGGCCCGCCAGAGTTTCTCATGGTCCTGGCAGCGCATAATGGAAAGAGTGGTAAGACGGGTCCAGTCAATTGCTGGCAATATCGTCGAGACAGACAGGGGGACCCGTTCTAGTTCAAGAAGTTCCAGTTTGAGCAACTCTCGGTCGGGCTGGAAAGCTGGCATTGGCGATGAGACTTTACTGAACGGCGAGCTGGAGGAGATTGATTGCGTGGACTTTCCGTTTGGCAACTCGGGAGTCTGCGAAGAAGCTTCTCCTACCGGAGCAGATGGACTGCCGGATTTGGAAGCCTTCTCAGTATCCACCGAGCCCTCTGAAGGCACGGGCGTTGCCGCTGTCGAGGCCACCGTAGCGGTGTCATCCTGTTGCTGAACCGGTTGTTCATCCGCAACAGGATCGCGTATCGAAAGGATTTCAAGAATACCACCAGGCCGTGGCCAGCCCGCCGAAGGGTCTACTGGGAGGTTGAAGTCCTTTTCGCAGAGCAGCCACTCAGACAGGTATGCCTTGACGGCAATACCAATCCGCAGTTCAGTCAAGCGGTGACGTGATCGCTCAATCAAGATCGCCAGCTCCTCCACATACGCGGGCTCATCGATGTCGAGAACAGCTATGCTCTTGAGGGGTGGCAGTACAGACAACGAGGGATGTTCCACATGTTTGTATTTCTGGAGCAGGCGGGCTGAGGCCGTGGATGAGTTGCGCACAGAATTCTCAGAGTTGTCATGCCAGCGCACCCAGACACGTTCCAGTCGACAGTGATGTCCTGGTCGATCCGCCAGAGAGGCAAGTGCAAGCCATATCTCGCGGACCACTCCCGTCGGCATGTCCCATATGAATGCCTCGAGATTCACCATACGAGCAACAGCCAGAGCAACCAAGGTCCCGAGCATTTTGCCAATCTCCTTGGTCACCGAATATTCCTGGACCCAATGCAACGGCCCATTCCCGATCGAGAACGTGCGCGTATATTGCGCGTAATAATTTCCTCGGCGTGACCGGAAAGCGGTTCCATTCCCCTGGAGGTCGGGACTCGGATGGTGGTGGCCACGGTCATCACAACCACAATGCGAGCAGGCGTCTGTTGAGCGGTCCGATCGGGGCAGCGGCAGTTGCCGGAACACATCTTCTCCCATTACCAAAGTGGACAAGCCGTATGACAGTGCGTCTACTCCTGAGCAGTCGTCCGTCGCTGAGTTGAGGGACTCGGGCCAGATAATGTCGAATCGAGAGTACATTTGCGGGATTGTCAAGGAATGGAGAGCAGAGCACGTCAACGCCAGCGAGGTAAGGTCGCTCGTGTGTGTAACCTATGACAGGTGGTAATAGTTAGCAGTTAGTCCGTCAACAAACTTGGGTTCCGTAGAAAAAGGACTTGCATTACCTCTTTGATAATATCCTTTAAAACATCCAGCGGCAGTTCAAGCAGATGCAGCGGCTTCGTCACATCCGACGTCTGCCCACTGTTCGTTTCCGTCGTGCCCGGAGTACAAGTCCGAGTACCACTCGAAAGATCGGACGTCGGCTGCGTGAGCTGTAGTCTTCCCAGCGCAGTCGAGAGATGCCGCTTCGCCAGCGCATCAGGCTCAACGGAGGCTGTACTTTGGCTGGAGACAAAATCCTCCTCGTCTGACGAGAGCTCCGCGAGGTCGGAGGGCCTCTCCTGCCAGGCCAAGCTGGTGTCCGCCATGAAAATGGATCGGCGGTCGCCTGGGGCGTAACGGAGATCACGGTTAATAGAGCTGGTGTGGGGCGGGCGCAAGAAGTCAACAAGGACAGCGGGCGGAAGGTAACATCTCCAGCTGCGAACAGCTGGAGACGAGCTGGAGACTTGAAAGGCAGTCCTAGAGGGCGCCTTGAGTTTCGAAGAGTGGACTAATGCAGGTCTAACAGCGACAGAATAAGAAAGAAAGGATGAGGTGAAGCTGATCTGGGGTTCACTCAGGTTGGGAACTAAAGCAAATGGAGCTGACGGACGGATCGACCCGCCGGCGGTGAAGGTGGTTACGTAAGACATTAGCTATGTTAACTATCAATTAAATGGATCAAAAAAGATATAAGGACTTTACTACTATAAGTACTGGCAGCATCAAAATAAGCAACTGTTTATCCATCTTCGCGGCCTAGCTTTTCCAGATTGATGGCGGCACTGATACATGCCAGGTGACTGAACGCCTGGGGCGTATTGCCCATCTGTTCACCGGAAATGGCCACTTCTTCGGAGAACATGCCCAGGTGGTTGGAGTAGGACAGGATGTTATCAAAGTGCGATAGGGCGAGTTTCCAGATGTTTGGAATAGGCACATCATACTTGGCCGCCTGCATCACTTGTTAAGAATATCCCACCAGAGTATGAGAAATTACATACTCGGGCCATGGCTTCAACCAGCCAAAAGGTAACCATGATAAAGGCCCCTTCGCCGCCGCCCACGCCTGTAGAATAAGGGTATCAGCACGGTCAGAAAAAAAGATGGGACGGGTGGCACACACCATCGTTGGCTCTCAGATGGTCGTAACGGAAGACCATCTTGGCACTCGACAGCCCCTCCTTCTCCGGGCTTTCGAGGATCTTCTTCAGTGTTTGGATGAACCGCGGATCATTGGGCGCTACAAAGAAGACCAGAGGTGCGATCAGAATGGACGCATCCAAGACCTCGCGGCTTTCAAAGCTTTGGCAGAAATGGCCGCGTTCGGAGTTATAGCCCTTGTCCATAATTTGGTCGTACAGCTCGTCCCGCGCCTGGATCCAACGGAAGCGATCGGGACACGGCAGACTGGAACGCTTTTCGGCTAGACGAATACCACGGTCAAGGGCAACCCACAGCATGATCTTCGAGTAAATGAAGTTCTGAATCTGACCACGCGATTCCCAAATGGACATGTCCTTTTGCTGGATCACGCCGCAGACGTAGTTCACCATGCGGCGGATGGCCGACCACTGATCATAGGTGATGGGGTTTCCGTGCTTGTCGTACAGGTAGATGCTGTCCAGCAGTTCCCCGTAAATGTCCAACTGCGTGTGGAAGACAGCCGCATTGCCCACGCGAACGGGTTTGCTGCCCTTGTATCCATCGAGGTGTTCGAGTTCCACCTCGGGAATGTCGTACTCGCCGCGAATGGTGAACATGAGCGGCAGGAAAGGGCGCTTGCTGCCGTTTTCAATGTCTTGGGCCGCGTGGGGGAAGATCCGACTAAAGATGAAGTTGACATACGATTCTGCCTCGTTGCTGTACCCCAGTTTAAGGAAGACGTACAACGTGAACGCCGTATCACGCACCCATGAGTACCGATAATCCCAATTTCGGGAGCCACCTACACTTTCGGGGAGCGAAAAGGTAGGCGATGCGACGATGGCCCCCGTCGGTTTGTAAGTTAACAGCTTCAAGATCAAGAGGCTGCGCTCGACCGTCTCGCGATAGTGACCGCGAAACTCGCACTTGCGGGTCCAGTCCGTCCAGTAGTCGAAGGTCTCCTCTTCCATTCGGGTTAGGTGTGAGGCGATTAAGGACAAGCTGGGGGCTGCTTTCTCGGGGCTGTGTATCACCAGATGAACCGTTTGGCCCTCGCACAAGCGCAGCCAAGCTACCAGGCCCCGACCCTTTATGCCGGGCCGCTCTTTCATGTCCAACGTCGCATGGGGATAGCCGAGCTTGTCGGGCTCTCGTGAGTCGGCAAAGATTTCGAATTGCAGCCGCTCGGTCTCGCTTTCAAAATGGACCGTCTGAAGGCGATGCTTGCTCAGGTCGTTCTCCAGCTTCGCACGAGCCGTGTGCGAATCGCGCGCGTAGTTGAAAGCCGGGAACAGCTCCACCTGTAATTCCATCGAGCCGCGGCTGCACTCCAGCTTTCGAATCAGGCTCGAGTGCCGCAGTCCCGACTTGAATCGGTTGGCACCGGGCTCATTGCAGGGGCAAAAGCCAGACAACAGCCGCGATGACTGCGGCGTTTTCTTGGGCGAGACCGGGAAATAGTCCAGCATGGTCACGACGCCACTCTCATTGGTCCACCGAGTCTCCAGCAGGTTGGAGTACGGGAGGTATCGCTGCTTGCTGTGAGGATCCGCCACGTTCTTGCAGGGTCCCACAGAGAAGAATCCCCCTTTCTTGTCGTCCAGCAGGCGACCGAACACGGTGGGCGAGTCAAAGACCGGCCAGCACATATAGTCCAGACTACCGGCCTTGTTGATGAGGGCACAGGTGTGCATGTCCCCAACGAGGCCATAGTCCTCAATGGCACAGTACCCATGGTCTGGCATAGTGACGACGGCAAAACAGGCTCGAGTCGTGGCTTGGCAATGAAATGCGATCAAATCGGGCAGCACAATTGGCAGAAGAAGGGACAAGAGAGCGATATTCATTGCATTTCCATCATACGTCTGCTCCGGAGCATATATGATGGCACACGCCGGCCGGAAGTGCCAGGAACCACGACATCATGATGATCAAGGATGGTCTGAGGTCATTCCTATGGTGCATGGTGGGCTGTCCTCGACGGGACATCATCATGAGTAACGGGTGTGTTGGGAATCGACAAACACCATGATGTTCAGGTCATCTCGATGTTCACAAGACTAACAGCTCCCGAGGCTATCTCTAGCGCCGGAGCCAGTTGGCGTGCTCAGGCCCGCGTGAGTTAGTACATCATGGTCTGCATCATTCCCCACCGAGCTAGAGGGGAAGGGAATGTGAGCAGGACCAGAGTGACAAGCCGGAGGATACAACCCGCCAATCATCCCGGGCTTCCTGGCTGACCCTGACCCCAGATCGCCCAGACGAGGTTTATCCACCCGGCTGACTGATCTGTTTTTTTCACCTGACCCTGACTAACACTCACTCAGCTTCCTTCCTTGGACACTTGAACCTTGTCTTGTCTTGACACTCCCCCATCGCTCGTTTTGCTTCACTTTCACTTCACTTCGCTAGTGGCTCTTTCCCGGCAGGAATCCTCCCCTTTTCTTTCCACCCCCCTCCGGCCTGTCTATCTTCCCACGCCAAGCCAAGACGTGATTTCGGCCCTCGGACCCTCATGGGGCCGCCGGATCGTGCCTTCGCCATTTCCCTCTTCTCAATCCGATCGTAAACCATCGACGGTTCACGATGGGGTTGTCTGCTCCTGGGAGCCATCACCGGCGGCGAAGCTCCGCTCTCACCAGCGCAGCGCGGTCGTTTCTGCCCGGAGAGCATGGGGATGGAACACACAAAAGGGAAGAGCAGGAGCCTCTGACGGCGGAGGATCCAGAGCTCTCGGATGGCTCGTCAGCAGCAGATACAATTCTAGAGATGGACCCAATGAGCTCGGACGATGATCATCATGACGACGAGGAGACTGGTCTCACGGCACAGCAGAGACGCCAACGACGACGGCGACGACGGAGACAACGCAGGAAGCTGGATGCTCGGATTGCGGATGTGAAATCGACACGGGGAGATATTTTGCAGTTGAATTTGACGGACCGCAACGTCGTCAAGAAGCTGTGTATCAACGCGTCGTTGATTCTCATGTGGTACTTTTTCTCCTTGTCTATTTCAATTGTGAGTGTTATCCCCTCATGGCCTTGAACGGTAGCGGATGACTGACATGTACCGTTCCAGTATAACAAATGGATGTTTTCCGACGAAGAACCCGTTTTCCCCTTTCCGCTCTTCACAACCAGCCTGCATATGGCCGTGCAGTTTAGCTTGTCTGCTCTTCTATTGTGGCTCATACCTTCCTTGCGGCCAGGATATCCGGCTGGATCCGCTTCGAATTCGCCTGTGGATGGCACGGCAGCCCAATCCCAGCCGATCATGACGAAACTCTTCTACTTGACTCGTCTCGTTCCTTGCGGTACCGCAACATCCCTCGATGTTGGACTCGGCAATATGTCCTTAAAATTCATCTCTCTCACTTTCCTCACTATGTGCAAGTCATCTGCGCTGGCCTTCGTTCTCCTCTTCGCTTTTGTCTTTGGCCTTGAGACTCTTTCCGTGAGGTTGGTGGTCATCATCGCCGCGATGACAGTGGGTGTGGTGATGATGGTCGCCGGAGAGACCGCGTTCAATGCTCTCGGGTTCACCCTTGTGATTGCGTCGGCATTTTTCTCGGGATTCCGCTGGGGCCTCACTCAAATCCTGCTGCTGCGTCATCCGGCCACATCAAACCCATTCTCGACGCTGTTTTTCCTCACTCCAGTGATGTTTTTTTCTCTTATCGTCATTGCTCTGAGCGTGGAAGGCCCTGCCGAGATCGCTCAGGGTTTCAACAAGCTTGCTGAAGTTCACGGAAACGTATTTGGCATCTGTCTGTTGGTGTTCCCCGGCGTTCTTGCGTTCTGCATGATCTCGTCCGAGTTCGCCCTCTTGAAGCGCTCTTCCGTTGTTACATTGAGCATTTGCGGCATTTTCAAAGAAGTGGTGACTATTAGTGCTGCGGGTGTCGTGTTCCACGACAAACTGACGGTCATCAATGTGTCCGGGTTGGTCATCACCATCGGCAGCATTGCCGCCTATAATTATATGAAGATTTCTGCTATGCGGAGCGAGGCTCGGGGAAATGCGTGGGATAACAGCCCTAGCCCGGACTCGGACGACACAGAAGACAGCGAGTTGGTTGAAGGAGAGAACGGAGAATATTCCCGGGTTGCCGACCTAGACACTGCGGAGCCTGTGGATGGTGAACTCCATGCGTCTTCCTCCGGCCGTCCTTCACGCCCACTCTACGTTCGTACCAACAGCGCAAGGCGCGGCCTCGCGATCTCGACGTCCCCTATCCCCGAAGACGAAGATTCTCCCATCAGATCCGCTCCTCCGCACATTACTTCTATGAACGAAGCTCTGTCATCTCATCTCTATGCCTCGAACAGAGAGGCCAGCCCGGGCGTGCACTCAGCCTCATCCGTCTCGCCCGTGAGGCATCACACCCCGATCTAGTCCTACGACTTCCATATTTGCCTTCCTTCCCATCTCTTCTCCTCTACATCTTTAAGTACGAGGGGGTTATCTGCCCGACATCAACATATCCCTTCTGTTTATGGTATTTGCGGGAACGAGCAGTTTGATACTTGAGCTCTGGGAGATGTCGACTTTTTGACTTTGCATCACATGGTGGTTGTTGGAATTATACCACGGAGCGGCTCCTTACTTGATACCATCAATTGAAAAATTTCTTAGGTCTTAACCTTCTCCCTTGATTCTGTTGCCATACGTAGTATTTGGATAGACCAACCTAGCGCTGTTCTTAAAACTCCAATAAGGAGTTCCGTGGAAAACTGCGTCGACTGAGCTCGGACGTGCCCGTTCTGACCGCTGGGTCCCAGGGTTTGGGGGCGTGTGTAGGTCCGCGAGGAGACCACGAACAGGCCACTGGTGAGCCACCAGTTCCACCCTTATTGACTTTCTCTCGTCCCTCTTCACGCTTCCTCCGCAGCCCCCTTCTTCATCATATCCACCAAACTCTTCTGCTTCCCCTTCCCCTTGGTCTTTTTCTTCTCCTCAGTCTCCAACTTCCGCTCATACTGCTCCTGATGCTTCTCGCGCATGATCCGCCCTTCCTCCGCAAGCTTCGCCTCTAGAACCTTAAACTCTTCGCCGTCGGGATCCATCCCAATCAGCGATTCCAGGAGCTTGATCTCTCGCGCCCATATCCCGAAATCAGACTGCTCAATCGGCGTCTCAAGGATCATCGGCAAATCCTCGAAATGCGGTTCGTTCATGACATTGTGGAATGCGCGCAGACCGAGGAATCCGGTACCAATGTTCGCATGCAAATCGCGCTTGCTCCCTCGTGGTGCTTTGGAGTCGTTTAGGTGCAGGGCGCGGAGGAAGCGGAGGCCGATCAGCTCGTCGAACTCGGAAAGGAAGGATTTGAACCCCGCTGGTGAAGTGAGGTCGTACCCTGCTGCGAAGCTGTGGCAGGTGTCGACACAGATTCCGATTCGAGAGTGATGCTCTTTCGGGATGAGGGCGAGCAGGTCTCGGAACTCGGAAAGTGAGCCACCTATTGTGCTGCCATGGCCGCACATTGTCTCTAGCACGGGGACGACGGTTTTGGTGGCAGAGAGGGCTTGGGTGAGTGTGTCGGCGAGGCGGGAGAGCGCTTCTGGGAATGGTGTTTGGTTTGCGCTTCCCGGGCTAGACGTGGAATTAGTATGATATGATTGTATTGCACTGTGCGAGCGTGTTTGACCTACTGGAAATTGTAGAGCGTGATACCTAGAGCTTCGCACCGGCGAAGATCTTCCACGAAAGAGTCATAGGCCTGCTTGGCCTTGTCCTTGTCATTTTGTGCCAGGTTAACAAGATACGATCCATGGGGGAGGATGTGTCTGGTAATCCACTGTCAGTTAATTTTCGATTATCCCGCTGCTGTTCGGAACTTACTTGGTCCCATCGTATTTGTGCTCTGCGCAGAGCTGGCGGAATTGATCTCGATGATTATCTTGAAGAGGAGGGTTGTCCCACTTCCGCTGTGATTTTAGGAACAAGGCAAAGGCATTCCCACTGCGGTTGGTTAGAGCAGAACAGATGGATAGAGCATTGAGACCATACCCGATATGTACGCTATTAGTGATCGAATTGAACACGCCTGTGAAGGAAGCATCAGTATCCGTTACGCGCGAAATAAACCAAGTCCAACCCACCTTTTGCTGCGCTAACATGAGCGCCGACGAACATCCGCAAGCCTTGCGTCCGAGGTGCCAATGGCATGGCGTCAGATTCTTTGTCTCCCTGTGTCTTCTTCCCTCTTTTGGAAGGCTTCTTTTCAACAGTAGTCTCGGTCTCTTCTTTCTTGACCACAGTTTCTCTTTTCTTGCCGCGTTTAGGAGTTGGCACAGACTTCGCGTCTTCTTCACCTTCGACCTTAACGGAGGCTGATGTTTGGATCTTCGTCACTGTTGGCTCGGCCTCTTCCTTGACCGGCAAGTCAACGTCCTCGACTGCGAGATCGGATGTGGGAGAAGAAGAAGGCTCCTTCAAGTTGATGCTTGATCTCTGTCGTTTTGATCTTCGTGCTGGGGAGTTATCTGGTGTCCCATTGCTGAGCCGCCTTTTGTGGCTACCCTTGGCGTCTGGGGACTTGTACAGAGCGGTGGACGCTCCGTCATGCGGTTCGTGGGAACACATCCCACTTTTCACAACTTCAGAGTTGACGCTGCTGAGAGGAATCACCTGCCTGAGAAACGTTGCGTTGCTAGATGTCAATACAGGTGCAGTGCACGTGATTATATCTTGATTCACGTGACTGTTGTCCAGACAACCAGTGCGGGTCCACCCTTTTCGGTTATCGATAAACCAAACAAAGCAAAACCATCTTCTTCCCTCAACTCGACACTTCCTCCAATCCCACCGCCGACACTGACATCCAGGGTCTGCTGTCGCCACCATGGCAGCCTCCGAAGACCTGATTGACTTCGACATCATTGAAGCACAGAAGGAAAACGTCCAATCACTCCCAGGAGGCCGATCAGCAAGAGAGCTTGCGCGAATCTTCTCAGCGGGCAGCAACGGCGACAAGGCTGCGGCACCATCACCAAACGACACGAGAACCCTGACCGATGGCATCCGCCAGGAATATGAGAGCGAACTACAGGCAATAGGGGAGTCCGATGATCCTCTCGACGTGTATGACCGCTACGTAAAATGGACCCTAAACGCGTACCCATCAGCACAAGCCACGCCCGAGTCTGGTCTCCTACCGTTACTCGAGCGCGCTACAAAATCTTTCTTATCCTCGCAGCACTACAGGAACGACCCGCGGTATCTGCGATTATGGCTCCATTATATCAGACTTTTCTCGGATGCTCCGCGTGAAACGTTCGCGTTCCTCGCGCGCCACCACATCGGTGAGGGACTAGCTCTCTTCTACGAAGAGTTTGCCGGGTGGCTCGAAGGCGCTGGGCGCTGGACCCAGGCTGATGAAGTATACCGGCTCGGTATGGACCGCGAGGCACGGCCGGTCGAGCGGCTCGCGCGAAAATACGATGAATTCCAACAACGATACGAGCAACGACCACATGACGCCGGTCCTTCCTCGCCTGCATTACCAACCGTCCGTCCCGCGCTGGCCGCCAAGATGGATCCCTTTGCGCCCTCGGACGCTTCTGATGACCCCCAGGCCTCGCGGCCGTCTCCTAGAATGGGTGGCACCTCGAAGACAAAGTCCGGCAAACCTAAGATGTCCATCTTCTCCGACGCCGACTCCGCCTCTGCCGACCAACCCGCAACCAGTGGACAGACCAAGGGATGGGAGAGTATTGGATCGATCAAAGACCGCAGGAAGGAGAACGAGATGGAGGCCAAACCCTGGATCGGCGAGACATTGAAGGCCGGGAAAAAATCCGGCCCGGCACAGAAAATGGCCATTTTCAGGGACGAGGTGAGTACTCATTTCACTTTCCCCTCAGACCTCCAAATATTTACGATCACAGGACTAATTGCTGGCATGAACCTATGTGGTGTTGCGTTTTTATGTATCCAGTCAAAATCAAATCTTCCTACCCAAGAACCATTGCAACAACAACAACCCAAACAAGTACCGGAGCATCATGTAAGGGAAGCGGTTAACCCACGAACTGGCCGACGTGAACGGGTCTTCGTCGACCTCGAATCCGTATACCCCGACCCAAGCAACCCAGCGCATGAGGTCAGCTTTGAGGAACTGCGGGCTCTCAAGCGCGGGTGGATGGACAAGAATTGGCGTTCACAGAAGGGGCCACTACAACCGATATCAGGCAACGCTGGTGGCGTTGATGTCCAGTCCGGAAAGCCCAAGCCATCTCCTGTCGACGAGGAACTAGTGGTACGGGACGACCGGCATTCCCAATCACACGACCAGGAAGGGCTCCACGAGGGCAAGTCAGGAAAATCTAGACGGTTGAAGGTCAAGGAGGTGAAGGGAGAGACACAGACGGGTAAGTTGCTTGCTCGGTTCTGTTCGGTCATACATTAACGGAGTCTTGCAGTCAAAATGAAGTTCGACTCGCCCACGGGCTCGAAAGTACGACGGAAGAGCACCGCGGAGCCAACAATGACCATCCACACTCGTGCTGCTACAGATGAAATCTATAGCATCTTTAACCAGCCATTGAAGGCTGAAGCAGACGATAGAGCTGATAGCTTTTGCGGTAGTGACTATGAAGACGATGACTACACAAGCACTGCAGATAGTACGGGGACCGGACGCATCTCAGTAGCCTCGAGCGACTTTGGTGATGAGGAGACGCAAACATTCCACAAGTCCTTCGATGATACCGAGTTTGCCGACAATACAAGGGCTGAGAGCGTTGCAGGCAGTGATTGGTCCGAGTTCAGTGCGAGTCGAGATGTCCCGAACGTCGAGCCTGAGACGACTTTCCAATCCGTTTACAGTGAGGGTGGGCCGAGCAGTTCTGCTCATGGAACACCCGAGAGGGATCGGTTTGTCCCGGAAATGCCTGAAGACTATGACCCGCCTTGTGGTCTCTACCGGGATCCGGTCATCATGGCGCAAAACCGGTTGCCCTTCATGACTCCTATTGTGGAACAGACTGAGTCCTCCATCCCCTCGATGACAGGTGCTCGAAGCATTGCCTCCAGTGCGAAGACTCCCTCCAAATCAAAAATGCCTCAGATGGGTGATCTCCTTCTCTCAAGTCCACTGAGCGCTGCAACGCCTTATCATGGAGACCACACTGCCTCTTCTGCGGTGGATGTCCCTTTCAGCCCAACGGCACTCAGGGCAAAGTCACGTCGGAGGGAAGCCATTATCAAGGACCGGCAATGCAATCCGACAGACAAAGGAATTCGCAATACTATTCTTAATTCGTTGGAAACACCGCTAGATATGTACATGGGCTACCACGCTCATATTGGTGACAGCAACTATGCGTCTATGATCCAGAAGTTTGTCAAGACTAATGGCAGAAAGTCCAAGGGCGAGGATGAAAACTTTGCCACCCCGATTCTCGAATTTCCCGGGGCTGAGCGCAGCTACCTCATCCGTCGCGAACTCGGAGCCGGCGCCTACGCCCCAGTCTATCTCGCGGAGAGCGTCGACAGTCTCGAGTCTTATGACTCGGAGTCCGACATCACAGACACCAAGGACCGTGATTCCCAACCCCGAACAGTAAATCCGCACGACAGCGCACGAGATACATTCGAGGCTGTCAAAATCGAGAACGGACCGTCCAGCGCATGGGAATTCTATATGATCCGAATGGCACACGAGCGTTTACGCCAGTCGACGGATCTCTCACGTGCAGCAGACAGTATCGTGCGTGCCCATGAATTGCATGTCCATCAGCGGGAAAGCTTCCTGATAGAAGACTACCGCGGCCAAGGCACTCTGCTGGACCTGGTCAATCTTATGCGCAGCGAGCCCATCACCTCCAACCACAACGCGGAAAGCGGGCTCGAGGAGGCCCTAGCCATGTTCTTCTCCGTCGAGCTCTTCCGCACCGTTGAAGCACTACATGCCAGTGGGATCCTCCACGGTGATCTGAAAGCGGACAACTGCCTCGTCCGTCTGGACGAGCCAAACCCCAACAACTCACCCGCCAGATCACTCTTCCTCCTCGACCTTAACGCCGACGAACGGCCCCCGAATCCCGGTGACAGCATCCACTACTCGCCCAGTGGGGCGTACGGCTGGCGACACAAGGGCCTGGCTCTCATCGACTTCGGCCGCAGCATCGACATGCACGCCTTCTCCCCAGCGGTCCAATTCATCGCCGACTGGGAAACAAGCTCACACGAGTGCAACGAGATCCGTGAGATGCGTCCCTGGACCCACCAGATCGACCTCTATGGTCTCGCTGGCACAATCCACGTTCTGCTGTTCGGCAAATACCTCGAGTCGACGCCCGTGCGACCCAGCTCCGGCCCCGCAGATGCAGAAGTTAACTCCTCAACAGGTCGCACGTATCGCATTCGCGAGACCCTCAAGCGCTACTGGGACCGCGATCTGTGGGCCGACGTCTTCGATCTGCTACTGAACCCTGGTTCAGAGCGCTGGACGCGGATGGAGCGCGAGGGTGGTGTAATGCCATCTACTTCGCCTTCGGCGCCCGTCCTGCCCGTTCTCCATTCTATGCGGCATGTCCGCCAGAAAATGGAGCAGTGGCTCGTTGCAAATGCGGAGAAGAAAGGTCTTGCGAGCCAGCTGCGCAAGATCGAGGCCCTTCTTGCTGAGCGGAAGAAGAAACTTGAGCGGTGATCTTGATCCTCCCTACTTGATACTCTACGATGCCTTTACGAAACTCCCATTTCCTTGCCCCCCGGTTTCTTGCTCCTGCTATACACTTATACCCTCTGCATCATCATCTGTCTCTTTTCCCGGCTGTACCCTCCATTGCTCGGTTTTGTTGGTTGTTCTCCTCTTTCAATTGTTTGTATTACTTGTCTAATATGTAGATAATATCTGAGTTGATTCCAAGCCTTATGTCCAAGAGACAGGAATCTATATCTCCTGCCATATCATCTATAGCACGTAGCAATTGTTACATCATGCTGGCCTAGACTTCGTCCCCGGATTCCTTCTCGATCCACACGCTCATCCCCGACGGAAGCTGCGAAGAACACAGGCGACTTCATCTGACGATATCCCACCCGGATACCAGCAGTCGCTCATCGGCAATCCGAGTACATTCTAATTATTAATAGTGGTACGAGGGGTCACCGTCGACAGACTTTATACGCTATATCTAAAGTTGAAGGTGGATGTATACAGTGGATCCGATGCTTCTGGGGTCTGGAGATGTTTCATAACTGAATATTAGGTCCACATTTTATCGCATCGAATTGAATCATTAAATGTGTGGTCATTAGAAAATACTGTCGTTCTCCATAGCATCCCATCGGATGTTTTATACAGGGTCTTCCTCCCAGGTTTGGGAGAGATGGAAGATCTTTCGATCTGGTTTGATGCCACTACTACTCCCCTCCCCCACTTTCCAATTTTTCCTTGCTCCGTTCCCCTTCCTCCCTGCTTTTGGCCACGGTTGCCTCTGTCTCTCCCTGGTGAGTATCTACCTCTTCCGGAAAGGGTTTCCTCGCCCAGATCCTCTTCGCGTACTGATAAGCGTGGAAGCGCGGGTTCGTCAATGCCTGCCGCATAGCCGCCAGATAGACCAGGACTTCCTCCCGTGTCCACGGGACGGGATCTCCGAACTTGGTGAGCAGATACATCGAGTAGCCCTCCATGCCGGCCAACCAGTGCTGGAGGTTGACAATGCCGGCCTCTTTGAGTACTTTCATCTTTGGCCAGGGGCCGATGGGCCATTTTGCGTCCTTCTCGTGCACGTCAAGAAAGCCGGCCTTTTCGATCGATGCGCGCATCGTTTTCGTGATATTCAGCGACTTGCCGAGCTTCTCGCCCGCGGCGAAGAATCGCGGGCCCCATGTGAAGAGAACGTCATCTGGCGGGATACTGCCGTCGTCGCACTCGCAGCAGATGTTCATTTCGATCTGTTCGAACCAGCCGCCCGGTTCGAGATTATCATAGCATTGCTTGTAGAGACCGTCCCATTCGGAAGGGCTGAAGGCTCCGATGCCGTGGCGGATATGAATGAGGTCGAATTTCTGCCGCCACGTCCATTCCTGTAGCACGTCGTCCACTTCCAGAATGCAGTTTGGCGGCACCCAGCTCACAGGCGGGGGGTAGAGGTCGACGCCGCGGACAACAGCGTTGGGAAATAGATCGGCCACGTCGATCGCCCAGGAGCCCCTCCCAGTCCCGATATCGAGGATATTTCGGGGGGCCTCCACAGGCGCGTAATAGAGTGGGTTGGGGCGCTTGTCGCTCATCAGGAGACAGGCCAGGTGTCCCACTTCGTAGGTCTCGAACTGTTGCTCGTCGGACGGGCTGAAATATTCGGATCCTCGTAGGCTGGCGTATCGTCTGCCATTTTCCAGAAAACCCTCATAGAGGGACGACGCGATGGAGGTGGTGTCTGATTGCCAGTCGGAGGAGGAGTCGTAGTCCTCGGTTGAGGAGGCATATGTATCTGCGGTGATCTCATTGTCGTCCATGGTGCATTAGGCGCGAGGAACAGCCGCAGAGCTGGGGAAGGGCGTGGAGAAGAGAGGTGAAGTCCAACAACAGTGTCACCGCAACCCCTTATATGTCAATAGGAAAGCGACGCTAGACATGGATTTATCCCCACGGGCAGGGCCAAAGGACAGGGAGTCCGGCGGGTGGGCAGGAGAATAATGCTGCTACTTAAACGCAAACAGCGAGTGTTCGTTTCACTCGCCTAGATGGGCGGCGTGGAGGGGGGTTTTGTAAGGGACGGCGACCCGAGGGAGTGGTACCAACCTCAAAGGGCTAGATCGGGGATGATGCATGGACTGGCCGACCGAGTGCGACGCGCACCAATAGTGTTCCCGGTACGTAGTAATGGCCGAAGAACTGATCCCAGACACGCGAGGAACCCGGGGGAACGGGCACAAATCAAGATCCTTGTCTATTTCCAGTGGCGGACTGGGTCATCCGTGCAGATTTCGGACAGAGTCCGAGAATCTGCTCCCAAGTCCAATTTATTATTATTGTTCTGGTGGGCCGATGGATCGAAGCGTCGGTGAAAAAGATCACCATTCTTCAGTCTCGAGCGTATAATCATCATCCCACTACTGCCAGAGTTTGTTCCTGCGTTTCCGCGATGATCTTACCGCCTCGCTTGGGCCCCTCCATCAGCGAAGGTCCGCCAGTGCACTCTCTATGCGGGGAATGAGGTGAAGAATAAGAACTCGAGCCCATCCGCTGACGAACACCATCGTATGAAGATCAGTCAGGCACCAAGGAGTGCACATGTCAACCACTAATTCCGTTGCATCTAGGCTTACGGCCCCGCATAAGCTTAACTCTACATCCTGATCAGGGATCCCACATGAAGTGAAGAGAGGTAAACAATAATATCAAATTCTTGAACGGAAATCATCATCATCATCACACAACATCATCCATCTAAGATAAACAAGAAAGAATAAAAATAGGCACTCTGAAACTGGCGGAGGAGAAAACACACAGCGGCCATCACACATCATCGCAGTCATGAAAAGCAGCAGCGAACAGCAAATCCAGCCATGATGCACACGCACATTGAACTTAAAACACCGGATCGTAGCAACAGGGAATCATACCACAGCGATGATCAGAATCAGAGCAGGAAAAGAATTCAACAAGAAAAAGGGGGGCAAGTCAAGTCAAACGATCGAGATCGAGGCATAGAGGAGAGAGAATCTTCACATGGCCGATAATGTCGATCGAGATCGAGAGACGGGATGCAAGAAAGATTAAAAGCAGAACAAGGCACGCTGGCAAATCTGGAAGGAGAACCAAACACCACGCTTGCGTTTCTCAGTTAGGTCATTGGTTTGGAGCCAAGTGCAATTCATGGGGCGTCGTTTCGTTTCGGTTCATCTATGTAACTGAACGCTCGGAAATAGGGATATGTATTGTCGTCTCTTTTTTTTGGGTGGGCGGCCTTTTGGGGGCAAAGGCGCAGTCCGAATCATCTTCATAGTGTGACGGGTTGAATCGAAGAAGTAAAATGGTTCCAGTGTCAGACTCGTGTCTTGACAAAGGGGCAACTGGGAAACCAAAATGAGATTGGAAAGAAAGACGTAGTGAGTGGATCGCAGTTGATAGCGAGCAAAAGTTGATCATTTTGGGTTTTCGCTGCAGCTTTTTCAAATGTTTTTGTAATTGAGTGTTGTGTTTTGCGTTCGGGGCCACGACGCCCCGAAAATCAAGGAAAGAAATCAGTCGACAGTGTAAGGAAGGTGGGCGAACTCGGATTATCAATATTGTCCAAAGACAAAAAAGAGGTTCGACAGGACTGCTGCAATCGGGATTCACAGCGCAGCCAGTGTTTGTCCGGAATGGAATGACAACCCAACGAGTTCAAGTTCGCCAGCTAAGGCAAAGAAAAACCCCAAATGGAAAATCAGCTGCCTGACACCGAAACAGATGTAAGACTTGAAAAAAAAAGGAACCAAGTCGAGACACCTATCAAAATTGTCGTTTTCTTCGGTATTCACAGGGTTTCATGTGAATGAACAGGCGCCGACAACCGTAGGGAAAAGAAAAAAAAACCCATCACATCTTTCTTTTGTGGGGAAAGTCGTTGTGTATTGCTTTTGTGGGGAAATGGGGGGGGGGCAATGCAAATGCTCGTCGTATGCCAAGGGGAACCAGGCGCATGAGCATGTCTCTTTTCAACGTATCGTTACAGTCGTGAGGGAAAAAATGGCCGTTGCTGTCGTAAAAGCTTGCAGAGACGGTAAAGAAGAAAAAAAAGCGCCCCGTCTGTATCTCGTTCAGGTCGTTATGCAAGGCTTAGAAAATCGCGCGAAAATTAATCGATAGCACAAGTGGGAACGGAGGATTAGAATGGTCGACAGCGGGGGGGAACGGCGCAGCAGCAGCTATCTGCGCGTAAAAGGCATGTTCAGGATCTGCCGTCGGATTCGCTCGGCGTCGGAAAGACCCTCCTCGGTGGGGTCGTACGGCAGTGGGCTCGAGGCCTTCTGCTGTTCCTGAATTGGGGACGGGTCAAAGGCGGCGGAGTTCTGGTAGGAGGGAGGACCGCCGCTTGAGAAGGGGTCGGAGAGCGAGGGTGCATGTTTTATGTAACGACTTGAGCCTTCACGACGCTTGAATCCACCTTCAATGCGGAAGGGCGAGCCCAGCCGTTTGATATTCTCCCCGCTGAGGTTTAGCAAGGGGTTGGTAGGCGGCTTCGTCCCAGGAGTGGTCTCTTCGGGCGGGCAGGAGTTGAGCGACGAGGGAGGAGAGAAGAGCTGGTTGACATCCTTGGGGCTGACAGCGCCGGTAGTGGCCCCGCGGCTACGGATGCGCATGCGGCCGTTGCTGATGTCTGCGACCTTGTTCTCGCGCAGGTACATCTCCAGGCGGCGCCGGACCTCGTCATCGGAGTCCTTATCCTCCGGAACGTTGATTTCCGGGAGAGGAATCTCGTAGCCGTCTTGGTTGAGAACCTTCTGTCCACTGTGAGCGTTTGATCGCGATCGATGGCGAGGCAGATGGATAGTTTCGCGACGCGCAAAGGCAGCAAGCTCGTGCTCCTGATTTTTCAAAGTCGAGGGACCCCAAGTACTGTAAGCAAAGGGAGATCCCAGGCGCGGGATAGTGGAGGCGCGTTCGACGTGAAGATGCTGGGTGGAAATTTCGTTCGCATCGTGCTCGACAACATTGAACACTGGGTTGTTGAAAGATTCCACCTTTGGCTCCTCTGGCGCTACAGTCTCCTCAGCCAGTCGGGACAAGGGAGTGGGCTCGTAAGGAGCAACCAAAGAAACACCCAGATCACGAGTGCCGTATGCCATGCAGCCACTGTCTGCAAAGTCTTGGGTGTTGGGCTCCGCGGGGGCAACGAATGACTGCGCAACAGGCTCGGGGCTGCGCGACTGCATCATACGCTGATAATGCGGCGAAATGGAAAATTTGCGTCGACACAGCTGCTTGAGGCGTCTGCGGGTTGTGGTATCAGACTTGGGCCACGTCGTCTTGGCCACGTTTTGAGTCGCCTTGGGGGTGGAACTGCCGCTGCGGTCGGCCGACCTGATGGGCAGCGATTCAATGATGCGGTGTCGTTTCTTCTCCCAGGTTCGCTTGGCGCGACGAGCAACCCGGTGGGTGATGCCCAGCGGCGGAATGCTGCCGGGGGTCATCTTGAAGGGAGTGATAGTGGGGTCCTGGAGGTAGAGCTGATAGGTGTTCCACAGGTGATTGTCCATGTCTCGAGACCAGGATTTGTCGCTCTTGCTCGGGCACTGCTGGAATTGCTTCTTAAGCTGAGTCGGAGACTCCAGCTCGGGTTCCTTGGCCACCTCCCAAGGGAAGTTCTCGAAGATGTCGCTCTCGGCGCTCGTGCAGCTTCCTCCGATAGAGGGGCGCGACGCAAAAGTTTCAACGGATTCGATGGACGAGTCTGACATGTTGGAGCACGCCGAACCAGGGCGCTGAAGCGTACTAGCTGGGGTCTGATCCCACGATGGCCACGGGTGTCCCGTGTCGCAGGACTCAAAAGGCGTCCCACGGATCTGCGCGGGGGGCGTCTTGAAAAGCATGCGCTGGCGGGGCGGCGCGAGGAAGCGCTTATCGTCAGTCGCAGAGTCATCAGAAAATGGCGCCTCCAATTCAGCGCCTGGCTGGGGGATTTCAATGGAAGGCAAAGGAACATCCGACAAGCCCTGGAGCCGGGAGAGATCCAAGTCCATGCGCGCGCACACGTCGGTGCCCGAGCGAACTCGGACCCGCGGCAGACGGCAACTGGAGCTAGAGTGGCGTAGAGGCGGTGGGACATCGATATCGGTAGAGGGGCGTTCGGGAGTCCTCGGCTCGTCGTTGAGCATAGAGGGGAAAGTGAAGTTCTTGGGCAGCGTCCGCGAGAGCTGACGCTGAGCCATGGTGGTGAGTGTTTGCGGTCTTCAGCCGCCACAAGAGTTGATCGACAAATGCGAAAGTGGCACCTAGGATCTGCTGGAATATCGCTACCACGTTCGGGGGTTGGCTTGGGCAGCGTTGAGAGGTCGAGGTAATGTCGTGAGTTGTCGTCGAGAGGGAGAATAAAGCAAAAGAAAACGAGGCGTCGACACAAGGAAAACGAAACAGGCTAGTCGTAATATGTAGTAGTGATCAGGAGGATGAGCGGCGTTGAGGAATGCGCCAACCGAGTAGTGAGGTTCGATCACCGGGTCACATCTGCGGCTCCATCCCGGGCCGACGGACTGACTACGAGGCGACGGACGATCCCGTCATCACCAAACACCAGATACACAGGAAACGGGGGAAAGATGCGAGCGAAGGGGAGGGACTCGCAGGGGAGGGTGGGAGAGGGTTTGTGGGAAGCGTGGGTTGGAAAGAGAAAGAGATAGTGGAGGAGGAAGAAGAAGAAGAGTAGCTCAGGAAGAGGAGGGAGCGGGAGGCGGGTGGTTGGGCGTGGACGGAGTACCCGGTACCTGTGTGTGGGGGGCCCCTGGGCGCTGGGTGCAGTACCGGGTACCTCAACGGCCCACTCAACTGATCCTGCTAGTGCGCGACACTAAAAACCTGACAGGAATGCGCACAAGTCGAGCCTGCAGACTGGCCTTACAGATAGATCTGGACGTGTCTTTCTCTCTATCGAGGTTCTTATTACGATCTTCTCCGGTCTACACCGTCCAGGAAACCAACCCAAAAGAGGCGGATAGCAGAGCAAGCAAACTCGCTCACCGTCCATTGAGTGACTTCGGCTAAGCAGTTGCTAGTTCCCACCACCACGCCATCCTTCCACTGCAAGGGCTGTCTCGCGGGATGTTTCACTCCACGCACGAGGTCTCGGGAAGGGCATGTCAATAAATGTCAAAACGTACCGCACTCCATCATCATGCCCAACAAAATCAATCCCAGTACATCAGCGACGTTGTAGATCATCTCACCCGTCACCGTTCCGACTCCGGCCAATCTGTCTTTTCGCTTGGGGGCCATGCGGGAGGAGTGAATCGCATCTTGCCTGTTCCAGACGACGCGACGCGTGTAGGCGCGTGTGTGTATTTTTACACTGGGGTTACCGTATTGTCATGCAGGCCAGATGCCAATTGGTCGAGTTCGAGTCCACCGGGCCCTAACTACTTCAGGAGCATAAGAGTATCCATGGATATACTATTTGTGAAAAGCACACGGCTATAACTAGATCACCCCGAGATCTCCTCCACATCATGCCCCCCCAAGACACTTGAGATCAATCTCCGGCGTCCTCGACCGGAACAGCAGCTCCACAGTCGGGTCCGTGATGGACTCCGTGCCAATCTCGAAGTTCTTTGGCCGCCCGCGGTCCTCCTTAAACTTCCAGTCAAACTTGAGCAGCAGATGAATCAGCAGGATCTTCGATTCGTTCGCCGCAAAGAACCGCCCAGGACAGGCGTGGACGCCGTGCCCAAACGCGAAGTGGTCGCGCGTCGTCGTCACCAGCTGGAACCGATGCTCGTTGCCTGGCTCCTGCCGCTTGTGGTAGAATCGGTAGCCGTCGTACGTGCTCGCTTGCGGGTAGATGCTCTCCTCGCCCATGACGTGCGTTGACACGGCGACCGTCGCGCCCTTGGGGATCACGGTTCCGTCAGAGAGGGGGATGTCGGCGGTTGCGAGGCGGTTCAACAGGGCTGGAAGGATGATTGTTAGTATGGAACCAATGGAAACAGGAGGGAGGGGCTGGCTGGCCAGACATACTCATGCCGACGGGGTTCACCCGCTGCGATTCCTTCATCACGCTATCCATCAATTTCAACTTGAGCAGGCTGGTCTTTTTGAACTCGCCGTCTTCGGCCGCCACAGCACAGATCTCATCGCGCAGCGGCTGGATGTACTGCGGGTACGCGGCCAGATCGTACATGATATTCGTGAGCAAGTTGGACGTCGTGTGGATGGCCGCCAGCGACAACCCGACCTGCGTGCGCCCCACTTCTATCGGCGTGCCGTACGTCAGGGACAGCTCGCGCATCCAGTCCAGCGCGTCAGCATGCGTGCGCGGCGGGTCCTCGGGCGGCAATTTGCCATCCCGGATCATGGCACGGTGCTCGACTTCCCGGTTGACGATCAACCGGGCCACGCGCAGATGCTGGCGGAGCTTCTGAGCCGATGGCAGGAACCAGTGCACTAGGGGTCGGAGGACCGAAGGCCACATGCGCAGCTCGCGGGCTGCGATGAAGGCATCGATAGTGTAGTTGACGGATACATTGATCCAATCCTTGTCCCGGCAGATCTTCTGGCCTAGAAAAACCAGAGAGGAGACGCGGGCTACCATATAGGGGACATGGTAGGCAAAGTTATATGGCTTCCACTCTGGGGGAGGATTTAGTGGTGGGACTCGGTGCCGCTGTGTGCAGAGACTTACCGTCCGATGGGGGGAAAGTGTCATTCACTGTCGCAGCTGTCTCCTTTGAGAGCGGGATGGTCAGGGACCCTAAGGCGTTGGTCAGTATATAGCGTTTTCTCAGCAGTGACGGGAGCAATAATACCCAGTGCCTGGGTCAGCTTGATACGAACGAGATCAGTGACCAGTTTGCTCGTGTTCTTCTGGTGAAAGGCCTCAAACCCAGCGATGCGGTCTTCGAAGAAGTTCTGTGTACATCCAGTCAGTCTTCACTATTATAGGTAGGCGATCCATATAAACGACATGCCTTGCGGTTAGCGCCCTCAAAGTCCAGATTTGGATGGCTCTTGATCTCGTCCATGTAGCGCGGGTGCAGAACAATCAACGGCCGCGTTGAGCCCATAATCTGGAAGACATTGCGGCCCTAGCCAGTGTCAGCGTGCCTCTTCCACTTTATTGCTGTTGGGGATGATACCCGCGAGAATCCCTCGGCGATCAGTGCGCGGGCACTCTGCGAGAAACGCGCCTTGGCCTTTTTGTTCGTCAAGTCCGACCACCAATTCTTGCCGACCAAGGGGACGCGGCGATAAGGGATCTCATCGCTCAAATCATCCCAGAAGCTCGACACCAGGACTGCGAGCAGGGCGACAACGATGCCCTGGATGAAATAAGGGCTGTCGAGGACTTGGGCGAGGACAGCCATGGTGTGATAGTAATGATGATAGGTGTTGTGAGAGGAAGAAGAGAGAAAAAAAAAATGTAAGCGCATTCATCAATATAATAAAGTAGAATCAGGCCGGCCGGGTGGGCACACGCTGACGCGGGGGGACCACTCGAGCAATTCGGATGTGGCAGGCCGCGTTTTACACAACGTATCAGTGACCACGGAATGAGCTGGCTCCGGGCGTATTGAATGTGATGAGGATCCTTGCCTGAAGGGGCAGTTCAAGATTGAAGTGCAGAATCCACTCGGATCGGAGTGCGACATTTACCCGCCTATCAGTGCGATGCCTTTGGTCAAACCAACCATTAGTACGTGTCAGCTACGCACTTACTCTTTGGCGACTAATGAATTAACCAACATTTGGTTAATGTTGTTGTAACTAGGAGGGAGGATCGATAATACGCTTTGACCGATAGTTACAACGGTGTTATTAGTTAGTGAACGCCACCCCGGAAGCTAATCTAAGTAGCAAATCTCCTCTATCTCAGTTACCTACTGTACTACGAATTCATTACTCGCCTTTTCGATGACCATTGCCGATGAAGAATAACAAAAAGTGCAGGAAGAAAGCTAAGGCGCCCCGCCCCGTCCCATGCACAAAGTGGGCAAAACATATCCACTAAGTCAGTACTGGCTGACATTGGGGGCCTAAAAACGGATAGGAAAGAGATACGTGCCAATCAGCGTGCGACTTGTTCCCACTGTCTATATCGATGACCTCGTTACAGGTTTGCGTTCTCGGGTTTGACAATCGGTCTTTGGTGTAGGGCTGAGGCTCAACAGTAAGTATGTATAAGTTTTCGTCATCCCTACACTATACCTTCCTTCCCTGCAGCCTCCTTCAAATGAGCAGGTATAGCAATGACCAAGTATAGCGAGCTGGCAGTCCTTAAAAATCACTAGATAGATGAGACCATGAAGTTTTCCTCGATCCATCGTCCCTGGCATTCGTCTAGACAACCTTCTTGAAGGCTACGATGACGATAACTTTTTCGTCACAACGGCCATGGACTCCCTCAGTACAATAGAATTTTGGCTAGTACTCGGCGTATTATTAGTTAGTGAACGACACTTCAGAATCTAGCTTACGTAGCGAATCTCTTTTCCACCAGTTATAGTAGAGACTGGTAATGTAATGTTGACTGGATCGCCGTGGATCTCATGTCACGCATGATCCACGATGTCACTTTCCAAGAGAGACGGGAACAAAGCAGTTGGATATTCCCTATTCAGTTGTGCAAAGTGGCTTTAAGCTGAAGGCCGGTTTGGGCTTGGGAGCTGACCGTAAACGATTGAGCTTTCTTCGCGAAGTGATTGATGAGGAGGGCGTCCCCATGGTCGACGTCAACCAGAGCTGGGACGTGGAGGAGATTACCGGGTATATAAAACACCTATCTGATCTCAACCTATGGTAAGGCCCTGTTACATTCTGTATACTCGACGGGCTAACATGATATACCAAGGTTTATCGAGGAACCGACATCCCCCGACGACATCCTAGGGTATGCCAAGATCCGCGTAGCCCTAGATACGGCATTGGTATCGCCACTGGTAAACACATCAACAACCGAGTCATGTTCAAGCAGCTGCTCCAAGTAGATGCTCTCGACGCAGTGCAGTTAGACGCGTGCCGTCGTCTAACTTCTGTCAATGAGATCTTGATCGTGCTCTTGATGAGCGCTAAGTTTGGAGTGCCAGTTGTTCCTCATTTTGAATGCATTGGCCTGGCCGAGATCTGCTCGCATATTAGCACGATCGACTTTGTCGCGGTGTCTGGCAAAGAGCATCCTCGGATACACGGATCATCGCCACGAGGCCTTTCAGGATCCAGATCGATCCCTTCAGAAGGGCATCATGTTACTCTAATGACTTTGGGGTATTCCTGTGATGTTGAAGAGAGTGTCTTTGTCAAGTTTGAGTGTCCTAGTTGGAATTTGGCATTCGAAGGTGGGCCAAACGATGTTGGATGATCCATGGAGAGGAGTTCCTAGGGAGCAAACTTCGTAATTTAAGAATGAGTCCGGCATTGAACCGCTCTCTGTTGGACAGGAGACACAGGAGCCAGAAAAGAAAGTAACTACATCTAGACAGTTCCTTTCATCTGTATGTATCCTGCTTTTTGGAGCTGGCGCGTCAAGTATAGGCCTCTATATTGCACTCAACGGCGTATGCCTATATATAACACACCTGGTGCCAAGCCCCCCGCATGCGGGTGTCCCCCGCGTGACTTATCGCACCTGGTCTTTTGTGTCTTCTCTTCTTCTCTGTACGACCGAGTCGGTTACTCTATACAATACACTCTACTTATATCCAACTAACAAGTCTAAACATGGGCGACTACGGCCCCTCGGTGTCCACACGATCCACCACTGCTGACATTCCGCCGCAACCCACCGCCGATGAGCACGAGATCTCCGTGCTAATCACCGGCTTTGGAGTTAGTTCTCTCTCCTCTACCTCCTTGCCCTGCATTCTAACAGACCAAAAACAGCCCTTCAAAACAAACCCCGTCAACGCTTCTTATCTAATCGCCTCTTCCCTTCCCTCATCTTTCAGCTTCCCCTCACTGAAGGGTGACCCGGCATCCCGCCGCGTCTCACTGCATGTGTACCCAACCGCTATCCCAGTCTCCTACAACACCGTGAGAGAACTCCTCCCGAAGATTCTAGACGAGTACTCCGCTGCACATGGAGGCCGGCGACCGGATCTGATTATCCACATCGGCATCGCATCTCCAAGACCCTATTACTCAGTGGAATCACTCGCCCACCGCGATGAGTACGTCATGACCGATATCGACGGTTGCGTGGGTTACGAAGCCGGTGAGAAGCGGTGGAAGGAGATGGGATTGCCGGAGATTCTGGAACCAGGTCTTCCACTTGCATCTGACTCGTCGTCCGGTTCCTCCAGCGTTCTGCCGTATCCGCCCAACGAGCATTTTCTGGATACATGGAAACTCTTCGCGCCTGCAACGCTGGATCTGCGCATTTCGAAGGATGCCGGGCGGTATCTCTGCGATTTCATTTTCTATACGAGTATGTCGCTGGCGCTCCAGGAGGGCCGCGCACGGAATGTGCTTTTCCTGCATGTTCCGAGCGCGTGCGAGGATGCGGATATTGAGCGCGGAAGGTCTATTGCCCTTGCTTTGGTGAAGGCCATGGTGAGGTGCTGGATTGACGAGAAGAGTGATGCATAGCTGTGAGAGTTGGCTTTTTGTGTTCATACTGCAGACTGGCAGTGAGCATTTTTCTAGAGGGGACTTCTTGTTGTTGGCATTTTCACCTGGTGTTGAACCATATTCACCATATATATCTATATCCATGAATTAACGCTTGATTTCTATCTTTCATACAGAGAAGTGCAAACCCAGCTTCACCATCTTGCACTCTTTGATTAATTCTCGGCCCACCGCCCAAGACGCTAGCTCGGAAATTAAGTGCAGTCCAGACGAGAATGGGCGGCTCGCCTGGATGCGGTCGGCTCGGGCCGACAGTTAACGTCTCTCAACTTCCACTACTCCCTTCAAGGTTGACTATCGCTATAATACTGTCTAGCTATCGCAGAATATAATATATATGCCTCTAAAAGAAGACCGAGCTTGGCTAGCGCGTACTTTGAGATTGTTCGTCTTCATCGCCAAATAGTGAACGGAGTATCACCTGACGAGGTCTTGACTACTGAGCTGACACACTGGCACGTTCAGCAACACATATCCCTACCCCCGCCGCATACCCCGCTCGCATGTTCTTCCTGACTTCCGAACCTCATTGTGCTATCATTACGGTAATGACCTCCACGATATCATTCCAGAATCCCAACTCTGGAATGCAAACTGGCATTAACAATGGCACAATCAATGCTCAGTTTAATCTTCATACAGGTAGCTTGTGCAAGTTGCAAAGTCAGTGAGACTTGATTGACCAAATGCAGACCCTCTGGATAAGCTATCAATTGCGAATGGGGCTGAGTTTGACTCTTATATGAATCAGCATGAAGATGAATGTCTTCCAGGCACTAGGACCGAGCTGCTCAACAAGATTGCAAAATGGGCTGTGTCACCGCACGGGAAGTGTATTTTCTGGTTGAATGGGATGGCTGGGACAGGGAAATCGACAATCTCTCGTACTTTGGCGAAACGCTTCAAACAAGAGAAGATCCTGGGGGCAAGCTTTTTCTTCAAGAGGGGCGAGGGGGATAGAGGGAATGCGATGAAACTTTTTCCGACGATCACAAGACAGTTAGCGAAGAACATTCCCCAACTGACCTCTGGTGTTCAAAAAGCAATTTGCGATAACTCTGACATTGGAACTAGAGGAATGAGGGAACAGTTTGACAAAATATTCCTTCAACCACTGCTGGATTTGGATTCATCTACTCTCCCAATGTCAAGCGTGGTCATAGTGATTGACGCACTAGACGAATGTGACGTGGACAATGATATACGGCTTATACTCCAGTTGCTACAACAGCTAAAAGATTCAGAGGCTTTGCGTCTCCGAGTCTTGTTGACTAGCAGGCCTGAATTACCGATCCGTCTAGGATTTAAAAAGCTTGCTAACCATGAGTATGAAGGTTTTGTTCTCCATGAAAACTCCGACGAAGTTATCGAGCATGATTTGTCATTATTCTTGAATCACCGTCTTTCAAAGATCAAGGAAGAGCGAGATCCTCCCCTACCAATCGACTGGCCGGGAGCCATAAATATCCAAAAGCTAGTGAAATTGTCCGTTCCGTTGTTTATCTTCGCCGCTACTATATGCCGCATATTTGAGGACCCTAATTGGGACCCGTTGGACAGTCTTCCTGAGATTCTCACACATCAGAAGGATGAATCGAAACTGGATAGCACGTATCTTCCTGTGCTTGATCGACTTCTTCACGGACAAACCGAAAAGCAAAAAAAGGATTTGGTCCAAAATTTTCATCAAGTGGTCGGTGCAATCCTGATACTAGAGAGTCCACTCTCGTTTATCTCGCTTTCAAAGCTTATCGGCCTTCACGAGAGGATAATTCATCTCAGACTGAATTCACTGCACTCGGTTCTGAGGGTACAAAATGACGAGTCCTTACCGGTACAACTCTTTCACCTATCATTTCGGGATTTTCTACTTGATCCGGAAACCCGTGGCAAAACTCCTTTCTGGATAGAAAAGTCAGAGATGCACTATCGGTTAACGATCGGTTGCCTCCATGTGTGTCAAAGCCTACGGAAGAACATCTGTCGACTCCAGAGCGAAGGAATCCAACGTACAGAGATCGATCATCAGACTATCGATCAATGCCTTCCCCCAGAGTTACAATATGCCTGTCGATACTGGGCATTTCATCTGGCGCAATGTAAAGACTCAAATGATGTGATGCATAGTGTGCTCTCATTTCTTAAAAAGCATTTCCTACACTGGGTGGAAGCAATGTGCCTTCTGGGTCTTGCATCAGAAGTGGTGGGGATTATCAGTCTCTTACAGAATGTTAAACCAGTACGTTTCTTAAGTAGCCATATGCAATTCGTACTAATACAGAATAGGAAGGCAACTCCACCCCATTGTCTGATTTTCTACACGATGCAAAGCGCTTTGTTATGAAAAACCGCCAGATAGCCGATGAAGCACCTCTTCAGATTTATTGCGCAGGATTGATATTTGCGCCTCGAACGGCAATACTTCGTGCAGAGTTCAAGCCAGACCTACCTAGTTGGATATGCCAATTACCACAAGTTGACGAAAGATGGAGTGCAGAATTACAGGCTCTCGAGGGCCATTCCGGATTGGTTATGTCGGTGGCCTTCTCGCCCGACGGCCGGCTGCTGGCGTCCGGCTCTAGTGATAGGACAGTGCGGCTCTGGGACACGGCGACGGGCGCCCTACAGCAGACTCTCAAGGGCCATTCGGATGTGGTTAATTCGGTGGCCTTCTCGCCTGACGGCCGGCTGCTAGCGTCCAGCTCTTATGATAAGACAGTGCGGCTCTGGGACACGGCGACGGGCGGCCTACAGCAAACTCTCGAGAGCCATTCGAACGCGGTTGATTCGGTGGCCTTCTCGCCTGACGGCCGGCTGCTAGCGGCCAGCTCTTATGATAAGATAGTGCGACTCTGGGACACGGCGACGGGAGCCTTGCAAGATACTTTGAACACTAAGGGACTTGTCAACGTACTTGAATTTTACCAAAAGGATTCATATCTAATCACCAACTTAGGCACTCTCGATATTCAGTCCGGGCGCAAACATCATGCTTCGAATTCAACCTATAGAAATCGGGCGATCTTCATTGAGCAAGTACAATGGATAAACCTGAGCGGCAAAAATGTACTATGGCTTCCTCCGGACTTTCGGCCTAGCTGTTGGGCGATTAATGGGAACTCACTTGCCTTGGGACACGCATCAGGGCGGGTTTCTTTCCTACGATTTCGTGTGTAGCAGGTGTCAAAGATTTTCCTTTTCGTTCCTTCCTCTGTATTCTAATCTCTTTGTAAAGGAAGGGCCTGGGAGAAAACTGAATTTATATTGTCCCCTTTCATGGTAAAGAAATGTGCCATCAAGTTCCATGGGGTTCTAGATCCTATACAGCCTATTGTGTTGTAGATGGCTGCCACAACTAGATGGCTGCTACAATTAGATGGCTGCTACAATTAGATGGCTGCTACAATTAGATGGCTGCTACAATTAGATGGCTGCTACAATTAGATGGCCAGCCTAAGCCAGTGCCTAGATGTGGAAGGTTCTACGCAGCGGAAAAGAGAGTATAAATATTCCACTAAACCGCACTCATTTTTCAGTCTAGAGTCCTAACAGTGGGCCCAGAATCAAGAGATAGGTGTAGATCGGTGAAGCTGCGTTCCGCTGTACTTTATTCAGCCGGCTGTATACTCCGACGATCAAGGCCTCACCGCCCTGGCAGAATATCTTCCTTCCGTCGATCATCGTTCGAACTAAGCAAGTACATGCGTCACAATCCAAAAACACACCCGTCATGGTAGACCAGCATCTAACCCTCACCGCACTCGTCGTGGGTGTCATCCTGCTAATCCCTCTACTCTACACCTCGCAATTTAAAGGATGGATTCGCAGCGCCCAATCCAAGGCAGGACTTTGGTCACTGTTGCGACGGCGCCGCCCAACGCAATCCAGCGAGATCGTCTCATTGCATATGTACCCGATCAAATCCTGCCGCGGCTTCCAAGTGCAAGCCACAACTCTTCGGCAACACGGCTTGGATCTTGATAGACGCTGGATGCTGGTTGACGCGTCGACGCGCGAGTTCCTGACTATCCGCCAGATCCCGGATATGACTCGTATCGGGACGGGGTTGAGTGATGACGGACTGGAATTGGTAATTACCATTCCGAGGAAATCAGTTGAGGGAAGTGAAAGTGGTCTACTGCACACCATCCGCATCCCAGCATACCCGTCTCCGGAATGGCTCGCCGCAAACTCGACCACGGCGCCGGTCAAGATCTGGGACACGGACACGGACGGGTATATCTACAACGATGAAGTGAACGCCGCATTCTCTGAGTTTTTGGGGAGACCAGTCGCACTCGCCTATAAAGGCCCCACGCCGCGTGTGCTGCAGGGGAACGGGAACCCGCGCCTCCTGGGCCGAGTGCAGACGACCAACTTCCCAGACGTGCATCCCGTCCTCATCGCATCGGACTCATCGTTGACGGAACTAAACACCCGCCTGCAGCGAGTGGGAGTCGATCCCATCACAGTGGAACGATTCCGGCCCAATATCGTCGTCCGCGGCGGAACGCCTTGGAGCGAGGATTCATGGAAGTTGGTGCGTATCCACAGCCGGAATCCAGAGAAACCTGGGTCTGAGTCTGGGTCTGGATCTGCGGTTTCTGCGCCTCTCGATCTCGATATCGTGGCCCGCTGCGCAAGATGCCAAGTGCCCAACGTCGACCCCGACACGGCATTCAAGCACAAGAAACAGCCGTGGGATACGCTGGTCTCGTACCGGCGTGTTGATGAGGGCATCAAATATAAACCGTGCTTCGGAATGCTGAGCGCGCCGCGCAGTGAAGGCGTTGTCGAGGTGGGCATGCGGTTGGAGGTGCTGGAGGAGACGACGGAGCATCGGTATATCAAGGGTTTTTGACTGTTCACTGGCAGGTGGGAAAAAGTATTACTCCCTTATGTTTGATTGTCAGATTGTTTCTTCCGCAAGGATCAGCCCTGTTGCTTAGACTCTAGCTCAGTTGTCACATGAACTTCGCGCGTAGTGGCTGGACTTGCAGGCGTATCTTCTTCGTCCCGATATATATTTCCCGTCGGGAGAACTATGCATTGCTTTGCTTGTTACTTGTTTGTTTGTTTTTTTTTTGTGTGTTTTTTTTTTGTGTGTTTTTTGCCCCCAAAACAGTCGACAGGTGATGATGAGTCTATTGTTTGTATAATGTGTCTAGCCAACGAGGCGAATTTGCTATGATATCCCATCTGAACACCCCTCCACACTCCTTCGATAATATCTGTACAGAGAAACAAACTTGGAGCAAACCACCCACGCTCAGTTCTTCAACTGCTTACTCGCCGACACGCACCAATTATTCCACTCTGAGAAAAACGCCGGCTGAACATGGCACTTGGCGCTGCACAGCTGAGCCTTCCTCGTCTCCGCATATGCATCCACCACGCCGCCAATAGCCGCCTTATCATGGGCAACGAGAGCCTTGACCACGAGCAAACTCGCCTGGCTGCAGGCACTCGCATGCGCCGGCGGGGCACTGTGCGTCGCCTCTTTGTGCACAGCGCGCAGCAGCTCCCAGACATTTTGTTCGTCGTCGGCGTCCTCGATCTTCGGGACGGCGGCGCCCTTGCAGAGACGTGTGTACTCGCGCAGCACGGAGGTGGCCTTGTTGGCGATCTGCTTGACGGATGACCGGCGCGCGAGCCGGAGGAGTGGGAGTAGGAGATCCAGCGCTAGCAGACGGGAGTGGCACTTCTTGATGAAGATCTCTACCAGGTCCAGGACGCGGTTTTTGAAGTTGACCATGTTCTCGCGCGCGTCTTTTTTGTCCTTGTGTTGAGAGGTTACCTCGCGGCGCGCGCGGAATACTTTGACTAGCTGCTCGTCTAGCTCCTCCATCTCGTCGTCGTTCATGTCTGCATCTGAGTCGGACTCGGCGGCTTCGAGGTCTTGGTCGGCGCGGTGGGTGCCCAGCGCAGCGGCGAGTTTGGCTTCGAAATCCAAGACTTCCTGGGCGTCTCCTTCGTCTTCTTCTTCGTCGTCTTCCTCTTCGTCTGAAGACGAGGCATCGGATGCGCCGTCTGCATCGACGACCTCGACGTCGCTGTCGGCTTCCTCGACATTTATCATCTCTACATCGTCGTCGTCACTTCCATCTTCTTCCTCGCCATCCTCATCCTGTTCCTCGAACATCTCCTGTTGTCCGGCCAGACTCTCCTTGGCTTCCAGAATCTAGAGGAAATATTAGTCTATAAACAGGAATGCAAATTCCAGGAAACATACCGAGATCAACGATTCCAGTCCATTCTCAGTGACCTGGTCCGCGAAAGCGCTAAATACCTGCTCGCTCATACGACGGAAGAGCTGCGACTGCTTCGACGCAAAGCTCAGCAGGATTTCAACCAGCGCATCTGAGGCGTCAGACGTATCCCGCTTCTTTGCATCGTCGCCCATGAACTTGGTGTAGCAGAACTCCAACTCGTCCAGCATAGAGACGGCATCCGCGTCGCCACTGTAGACCTGGAGAATGGTCATGGAGTATAGAAGCTTGAATGCTGCGGTGCCAGAGGTTTCTCCTTTCTTCTCCTTGCTCGAGAGCTTCTTCAGTGCCTTGAATGATGTCTTCACGGACTCCTGTAGTTTGTCGTCCATGACGATGGTGAATTTGCCGTATTCTCCAGACTTGACCGCCTCGCGGATCTGGCGCACAACGGCATATGGCAGAGTTGCGGCGTATTTCCGTGTGACGATCAGACTGTTCAGGCAGGAATTGATGCGGTTGCGGAAGAGTTCCTGCGTCGACTGCGCCAGAGCAGGCTCCGCGGTGGCTTTCCCTTCGCCGTTATCCAGGAAGTAGCCGAATCGCACGAAGATGAACAGGATCTGCTCCATGGTTCCCTGATAGTCATCCTCAGAGGAAACCTTTGATCGCACAATGGCTAGAAGCAGGCCAGCTAGGACCTGGCGATGAGACGCGGCGGTTTTATCGTCGGTCGTGCCCGGTCGCTGGATGAGCTGCTCGAACAGAGGGACAATCTCCTGCAAGGCAGTCTGGTTTGCTTCGGCCACGGTCTTCTCAATGGTCTTTGTCTTGGTAGCCTGGTCGAAGTTGATCGCTCCGCCCGTTCCCATCAGGCCATGCACAGCTGCCGCAGCGAACCCGGGCTCTTTCGACACACGGCCCTGGATTGCTTTCGAGGCTTTGACCGCCATGCGATGCAAGTACCGGTCCTCCACGGCAAGCTGGTTCATCAGACAGCGTACCAGGTTTTTTGTGAAGACATGGGAGGCCTGCTGCGGTGTACCGTCGTTGAGAACTCTGACGAAGAGAAGGAAGCCCCAGTACTTGCGCTCATCTGACGAGGCGGAAGCAAATAGCCCATCTATGGCAGGATTAGCTTTGAGAATTCACCTAAGACACGGGGGACTACTCACTGTCAACAGCTTCGGTCCAGAAATCAACGAAACTCAGACGGGAAGACTTGGAATGCTTCGACTTGGAAGAAGAGGCATCACTAGCCCGCGACAAAACCGCATCCCAGGCAAAGTGAAGCTTAGAATTCCACACGCCCGAAGACTTGGCGTTATTCGCTTTGCTCTCCCCCTCGGACTCCCCACTAGAAGACTCTTTCATAATTTTGGAGAGATTGTTCCGCTCCTTAGTGTCCAACGGATCATCATGTTTCCAGACCTTGCTGGGGAAATTGGCATTGGGAAACATGTCCTTTGCCGCCAGCCAGATGGCTATTCCCTCCGGCGACCGAGCTAGATCATGCGAGCACAGGCGCTCCAGCGCAGCTTCCACAAACTTGCCATCCACCTCGCGCGCCGACAAGTCGTAGACGCACCGGTAGATAATCCAGCCGCATTCTTCGCGGATCCAAGGCTTTCTCTGCGCGAGTTCAAAGATGAGGTCGAGGACCTTGGTCCATTCGGTAAAAGGCACGGAAGGCTGGAAGAGGACGGCGGATTTGATGATGGCTTCTGCGCCGAAGAGACGGCCGAAATGGTGATCGCGTTGCTCCTATTGCGGAACGTAGTCAGTACCATTTCCGCCATTGAATAACGTGCCAGCACAAACCTGTCCGGACTCGCCGCCAGTGGCGTTCGACTGCACCTCCCATATCTTCAGCGCATCCGACAGCCCAAACTGCGCGGCGTCTCTGGTGGATGAGAAAATCTGCGTCAGGACCTCGGTCAAGGCGATCGAGAAGCCAATGCGCGCAGCTTTGCGACTACTGCAGAGACCACGGAAGAGGCGCTGTAGCACTTTCTGGATCTGGTCATCGGCCGGGTTCTTGTCGGGGGTGAACTGAGACACGAGGCCCTGGGCGGCCTTGAGACGGATCTCATCTTTTTCGCTGGCGAGGTCCTCGTAGATCTCGACCAACTTTGTGTCGACGTTGCCGAGTTCGAGACGCCGCTTCTTGGACAAGGGAGCCATTATGTTTGTCTTCAATAATAATAATGTTGCTGCCGTCGAGTCGAGTTACTTTTCTTTTTCGCGTCAGGAAAATTCGAGAGGCGGTGACTGCATCGGCACTAGCGTGGATCTGATAAGCTGATAAGGATGTTTGGGGAGGAGGAGAAAGATGTCAAAGTGCCATTGGATTTATTTTACTGAGTATGTGTGGGTTAAATTGGATGATGATAATTTTACTTCTCTATGACCGTGTGATACTGCCATTGGGCTTGTAGTGATGACTCTCGGTGACGGATATACGGTGTATATATATATACTTGAAGCCATGAATATATATCTCTGAATAAGAACATGATTCTTGTCGCAGTTGTTTTGAAATCCTCCCAAGCCCCTGCTTCGAATGTATAACGAGAAAGGGTAGCAAGTCTATCAATTCATATACAAGAAAATAATTTTCCAATTGCTCGTCCTTGGGTGGTTGTGTAACCATCATTATTGCATGACACTTCCACTGTACACAGATGTGCGCCGACCTAGTCATACTACTACATACAGCAATTATTCAATCAATCGATATTATGGTTTATTCTGTGCGACCATGGCCACCAAAGTGACAGATCCAGACTAACTACGGACCTAGACCGCCACCGGAGCCTCATGGACATTGCGCTCCGTCAAAGCCACCCCCATAGCACGACTGGGAGCATTGAAGCCCCGTGTGGGCTGTCATAGTGAAGGACGGCATGGAATAAGAATCGATAGTTCCGTTAGTGTCCTATAGTTAGCAACTTGACAAATCGCCGAACCAGCCAGCCGGACAGGCAGACAATACCGGTAATGCCAATACATAGGACATTGCGGGATTCACGCATCGCTTTGTTTACAGGTTCGCGCGCAACAACACAACATCTGACATCAGATCACAGGGCGGCACACGAGATGTGATGGACCCCGCAGCGTGCGAACAGGTCCGCTCGGCTGCACGGGCAAGCTGACTGGTGCATTCCATACACATGGCCGATGGATCACATCATCGGTGGAGACGATCGGGGCTGGCCGAGTGGGAGACCGTCCGTGGCCTGAAACGAGGCGATGCAGCCAGTCCCAAAGAGGAATAGTCAAAACAGTCAGAGCACGCGTGGGAGGAGGATTCCTGTGAGGATGCTTGGTTTCTTGGACGAGTCCAAGGAGTCCCAGGCGTCCAGCCCGCCGCACAGACAACAACACGGCGGTGATGTACTTCTGACGTAGCCCCACGGACCAGGATGGGATCCCGATCAAGTTTCGACCAGTTGGGACGCGTCGAAGATCCACAACAAGTTCTTTGTTGATGCCTTCAGACATCGGGTCTATCAGTCCAGCCCTGATTGATTCACGCAGCCGGTGTTTCATCCGATCGGGAGGGGCATCGGGGACTCAGCAGTTAGTTGTGGGGTGCATAAGCTGACCCGTCGACCATCATGGGGGGTGGGACACTGGGAGGCCTTGTTTACCGAGGCCGCGGAGGATGATCGGGGATCAACAGGCCGCGTTCAACGAACGGTGGGTTTGTTGGTGTGGCCTCGATCGGGGGTGTCCATCCTCATGATCATTGCGCCGATGATGCGGCCATCTTGTGCAATTGAATGAGTCTTTTTCTCGTTTGGTGACGTCGAGACTCCCAGCCCATCATGGTGCCAAGGCCCCATAGTGTTGATGATTTGGCCCCCATCATGAGTGCCCATAGCACGCGAAAACAGTGCTCAGCCACGAGGCTGTTCCAGTCGACAGAATCGAAAAGTGGTCAACTGTCTCGGTTTCTTGGGGTCAGACCAGGACGAAATGCGGGACCCCTTTCTGTCCTGTGGTGATGGCAAGGAATTAATACCCGGTAAAACATCGAGGACAGGGATGCTCCATCCCTTCCATCGCAAATAATGAGATAATGAAACGTGCCTTCCTTCCGCCCTGGATCCGCAGGAATGCAAGTAAGGGCAGCGGCACATTATTCTTCGTTTCTGATCTCTTACTACGCAAGAATGGATCTGAATCTATGCTTCGATGCTACGGAGTGCATTGTTAACATGATCGGCTACTTCGAAGACGGCTCTATTCTCCAAAATTTCTCCCCTCCTTGAGAGCATCATCATGAACAGGATGGATCTCTCCGGAGTATGACGGACTGTATTCTCCTACACAGAGATCTAGAGAATACATTGAACATGCCTTGCGGCCAATCAGTGGCGGCCCAGAGGGGACAGCAAGTAGCCATTTTCCCCTTGGTGCTTATCGACCCCGCTAGTCTTCCCTCCAAGGGAGGGATCGTCAGGTCCGAGTTGCACTGTTCCATTCATTTTTCAATGGTTTCTGGCCCGATTCCCGTTCGGGTGGACCGAGCATTGTGGTCTGGCTGGGTAACCGGACCGTGCTTTTCAATGAAATGACGTTAGGACGCGGCCGACTACTGGACCCTATCGCATGCTGTCATTGTTCTGCTCCCGAGCAGGACCTTGCATTGGCCGATCCCTTGAGTGACTCGCATGAACACAAAAGACGGGACCTGTTATGGAATTTTTTTGGATGGAGACCCAAGTGGAGATTCGGCTGCTAGGCTCGATCTGGCGCCGTGTTTTTCAGCTGAGTTGGCGTCCGGTTCCTTTTGTGACGGCACGGGATGTTTGTGAGACGAGTCAAAATTTTCTTTTCGGGTGGATACTAGACCCAGCTCGGAAGCTGAGGCTGTGGATTTTTCGCGTCTTCCCTCGTACAACTAGAGTTTGTGCGTGGTTACAATAATGTATGTACATACAGGCTGGGTAGGGCAGTTAGGGCTTGCAGGCAGAGGGAGTCCCTCGCTTGTTTCCCCAGAAATTGAGCAGCCAGGGATAGATGAAGGGCCAGCGAGCACATGGCCAAGAAGGAAGGAATCCTCAGCCAGCCCGAACAAGAATGGTCGGTCCGGGCGCTGATAGGCTTTGCGTTGCTGAGCAGCGCGTAGTGGGAGCGACGGCGGCAAGGGAGCCCGGGCAACGGTAAGAGGGATGGGGGGGGGGCCGGCCAAGATCACGGGCATTACAGCCCCTGCGGAAGCGCGTGCGCAATATTCGAGACCGGCACTAGTCGGTCGTCCATGCCTGGATCGGAGCTGGCAAGCAGGAGTGACGGCAGACAGGAGGTAGGGCTAAGGTACTTGCTGCACTACTACAGAAAGGCCGGTCCGGCAAGTACCTCCATAGTACCATGACCGTGTACCACCATACCGGATCGTGACGATTGTATGTAATCTGGAGATCCTCCCCACTCGGCGTTGCCATTGCAACAGCCATCCCTTCAGCTTCACGGCCTCTTTTCTCTCTCTCGTGTTCTTCTCATTCTTCTCTTAACTATCCTCTTGCGGAGTTCAAGTTCCTCGTTTTTCCTCCACCCCGCTCTCTTCACCACCAACTCTCCCTCCCACCCACCTCACCCTCCACCTCCCGCCGCCTGCCTTGCTCTCGGCCCCCGCGAGAGTGAGCGCCTGAGGACCCCGAGCTTCCCCTCCTGTCACCATCCCTGTTCTCCCCTCGGACCTGGCCATGATCCTTTGAAATTCCCCTGGCGTGATCAAGACTCTTCGGTAGAAGGGTCTGGGACCTGGCTTCGTTTCTGCTCTGCCGGACAGCTTGGTGACGGAAGAATTTTGGCATTGGGACATCCGCGGACCTGTAGAACAGCGTTGGATTGGTCATTGGGGAGCGGTGATTCGCCCCCAACTAGATCTCCTACATCATCATGGAGCACTCGTCTCCGTTGGCTGCCATGCAGCCTCCCTCGGTCATGTTTGGACACTGCTTTCGCACCGATAGTCCCACCTCGTATCCGTCGTTGGGGGGATTTGCCGCCAATAGCTTCAACTTCAAGGACCTGTCCATGAAGAAGTCGGGCCCGGATTACTTCAACATGAAGCCCATTCGGGGGTCCTCCCCGACGGCAAGTTTGGCGGCAGACTTGTCCCAGAACTTCCACATTGATCAAAGGTGCGTGTGGCTGCCTGGGTTCCGTTTGATCGGGCAGACAATGGCTAATACTATGTTTAGTCCTCAATTGGCGACGCCACGACGGTCTTTGTTCTCTTCAAGTATGCTTGGACAGGCCAATGGATGGGGTAAGTACCCGTCTCTTTGATATGACTGCAAGGCAGCACGCTGATTGAGGATCATAAATAGACAATGTCATGACCACTCCGCCGCTGCCATCCTCATCACCGGCTCCCGCTATGGACGTCATGGAAATGTCTCCATTGCCGCACAAACCTGCCTACATCATCACCACAGAGATTGGACTGCAGTCGCCCACTCCGGAGTGCACCCCCATGGACTCGCCGGTAACCTCGGCTGTGCCTAGTCCTCTGCAGGAATCGCCTATGGAAGCTGTGGAGCCGTTCGAGTAAGACATGCCGTTGATTAAGAGAGGATCCTTGGTCTAACAGTGAATAACCTACAGGCGAAAGCGTCCTACCTTCCCTCGGCCTAGTCTGGCGAAGAGCAAGGCCCAATCCTTCCAGCTGGGGATGAATCAGCCATCGCCAGAGAGCAAGGCGCCCCCATTTCGATTTGGTACCGCGGCAGGCAAGACCTCGTTGAGCACGTCGACTTCGCTGGAGGACATGTTTGGCGACTCGCCTCCCCACGAACGACCGGCTTCTCGCAACCAGTCGTCCAGCCATCTGGCGCCTCCACGGCTTCGGCCACCATTCCACCATGCTCGTAGTAGTGGCTCCCCCGCCCCCAACTCCATCCGCAAGCCTTCACATCCCTTGATGCGACCCCGCAAGCAGTGCCGGCGCTCGTTGAGCATGTTTGAGCACCCTGCGGACGTCATGGCAGAAAAACAGGCCAAGGTACCTGCAAATGCACCCCTTCAGTCCATCAGTGACATTCAGAGTTCGCCCAGCTGCAAGCTGCCGTACTTCATCCCAGAGGATAAGGCGGACTCCCTGCCTCGCATCGAAAAAGGTGTTCTGTTGGAGATTATGGATGGAAAATTCAACGATCAATTCGACCACATCATGGTTATCGACTGTCGGTTCGAGTACGAATATGAGGGCGGCCACATCAATGGAGCGTTGAACTACAATGACAAGGAGAAGCTAGCCAGCGAGCTGTTCGACGCTGCCAAGCCGCGGACGGCTTTGATCCTGCACTGCGAGTACTCGGCACATCGGGCACCCATCATGGCTAAGTTCATCCGTCACCATGACCGGGCTGTCAATGTGGACTCGTACCCCAACCTGACCTACCCAGATCTGTACATCTTGGACGGTGGCTACAGCGCGTTCTTTGCCGAGCACCGTGCTCTGTGCTACCCCCAGAACTACGTCGAGATGAGCGCTAAGGAGCACGAATTCGCGTGCGAGCGTGGCCTTGGCAAGGTCAAGCAAAGGTCCAAACTGAACCGCGCCCAGACATTCGCCTTCGGCCAGCACTCCCCTCAGATGGAGGATAGCCCGACTGGTCGCTGCCGACTTGGCAGTAATGAGCGGAATCGCTTCTTGGACTCTCCCTTTTCCGCAAGTCCTGTTCCCACTCGGTCCCCAGGCCGCCGGATGTTGTCTTATTGAATGGATACTCTGGTGACGTTGCTCTATGGCGCCTCGTGTTTTTTATCATGTTTTTGGAGCGGGTGTTTTGATTGTGGCATTTCCCCTTGCTCTCTGGTGGATGTTTGATGCATCCGCATTTTCTTTTCGCTTCTCATTCTAGACGAATTCACACCACCAACCACTGGGGGTGATTGTCTTTGGCGTTAGCGCTGGCTTGCCCGCTGCGCCCATGTTGCCAGGAGCTGCTCAGCGCGTGAAGTCCTCGCGCTTGGATTGACAGTGTCATGCCTTTTCCGATCTCTTTTGATATCCGACTTGGATATCGTTCGTTCTTTGACGACTTTTTTCCCTCTCATGCCGAGTTCCAACGACCCGTTGACTCGATTGGGCCTGTGTCTTGTTTCTTTGACTTCTCTTCGCGCGGTGGCCACCACCACCCTCGCCACATCTGTTCCCAAACGACACCGGGACACACCCTTTGATGACCCAGTTTCCGACCCCGAGACTTTTTCCGTTTCCTATGTCTACGACCTTGTTTGATTCCGGTTCCAAAACCCGCATGACATCTTTGGGCTTATTGCCCAGCGGCTTCTCTTTCTTCTCTTCTGGGCTTCGCCACGACCGGACCGCCCACGATGAGCTCGATTAATTTCCCCCACATTCTGCCCTCGACCCTCTGGCATCTTCCTTTCCTCTCACTCCAACCACTGATTTTCGCATTTACCGCCCTTTAATCCCACCGTTTCCGCCTTTCCCTGTACAAACCACGTTACCCTGTCGCGCGCTACTGTTCGGCGCGGGGAACTACTACCATCATCAGCATGCTGCATTTGTCGCCTGTCGACGTTAATGTTTGATTTGGACACTGGAGTCATTGTGGCATCCGGCCCGGAGGATGTAATTTGCTTGCATCGCGACGGACATTGCAGCTGTACATAACCGCACACGAAGGAGGGGAGTTAGTTTAATGGGCTGAGCTGGACGGAGTGCAGATACGCTTCCCTTTGTGAGCAGAATGATACTTCTATTCTATCAAGTATTGTTGCTAGTAATATCCTCGCCGTATACTTCTCACTTTGCAGCCGAAATGAAGATGTACACGGCACGTGACTAACATCCCCTGATAGGCTCTGTGGGTTGGAGCCCCCTCGTGTTTCAGCTTTTTTTCTCTCCTGTCAACTCCCGAGTCGCAGTAGGGCTGGCCTGATCCTGTTTGCTGTCTGCCTGATTTATTTTGTGGTTCTTGTCTCTCGTTCTCTCGCCCTGTCTGGTGGTTATTTCTGGCAACGGGCACTGCCTCGCCTTCCGACTCAGCCTGCCTTGTCTGAACGGCTATCCTGCTGCCTGAGTCGCCCCCCTCGTTTCCGCCCAGCCTATCGGGATAAGCCGATACCGTACTTCTTTCGTTGAACCTCACTTGCCGCAGACTTTTTCAGTCGTCCGTATTCTTCAAGAAATTCTTACTGTACACTCGTTTTCACCATCTCCCCCGCGCCTGCTGGATTGGTACGGGGAAAATCAGAACTTGTGGCGATTGTGAGGAAGGGATGTGAGCCGTCGTGTCGCAAACCCTCTACAAATCTCTGCAAAAAGTCTACACTTCCGTTAAACCTGCCACTATGAGTCCAACACTTCGGCCATTGTGGGCCCGGGATATTTCCAGCGACCTCTCCTCGGTGTCCAGCTGGGACAAATGCATGTCCAAGACCTACTGCAAGTGGCCCGTCATCGTGGGCATCATCGTCGGCTCGGTGATTGTTCTCTGCATCCTGGCCTGCGTGATCAATTGTCTCTGCTGTGGGTACCGATGCTGCACGGCCTGCTGCGGCTGTTGCTGTCCCTCCGGCCGGCGCAGAAACAAGCAGCCCAAATACTACGACGAGCCTCCGTTGCATCAGCCTCCGCCGCCGAGCGCAAACCCAACATACCAGCCCTCTCCTGGCCCGCCTGCGTACCGCGGCCAGGTGCAGACTGCGCGGTTTGATAGTTCTAAGCCGTCCGCGAGGGTCGACGAGGATTCTCTGCCCGCCATGCCGACCTGGGACAGCGCTGTCGAGAAGCATGTGGAGGATCCCAACGCCAATGCAGATGAGGTCGAGATGGAGCCGTTGAACCCGCAGGGCCATGGTCTGGACCGCAAGGGTTCGGTGTCGCCTGGTGTCGCGTACGCGGATTTCCCGCCTCCGCTCCCCACCAACCATGGCGAGTCGTCCGTCTACAGAGGATACGGCCCCAATGACCCCTATGGCCGCCGCTCGCCCGGTCCTGGAGCTGCATTTGGCGGCCAGGAAGATCCCTACGGCCATCGTTCGCCGGGAGTCATGGCACCCCCGGCAGCCGTTAGTCCGTACGGGCGCCGCTCGCCCGGCTCGAATGCCGCATTCCCCGGACAGCAGGATCCCTATAGACGCCCCTCGCCCGGCCCGAATGCCGCATTCGGCGGACAGCAAGATCCCTATAGACGCCCCTCGCCAGGCCCGAGTGCCGCCTTCGGCGGACAGCAAGATCCCTACGGACCCCGGTCCCCAGGCGGCATGTCATCACCAGTCAATGGCGCCATGACCCACAACCCTTACGACACCCAGCAGCAGCAGCAGTCGTACCACAGCCAGCCGTACGACGACTATAATAACGGCGGTAACGACGGACAATTCCACGCCATGACAGCCCCCCACGCCGTGACCTCCCCCTCGCCCGTGGGCGCCTACAAACCACCAACAACCTACAGCCCCGTGCCAATGGCCTACTCGCCATCCTCGGAGATGGGCGGCCCGGGACACACGGCTCCCCCTCCATCGGCGGCGCGAGCCAGTACCCGCCCACCTACACCTCCCAGCCAGCAGCTCCGTACAGAGGCATGTCCCCCAATCTCCCTTCGCCTTCGCCGCCCCCGGCCGGTCCTCTGCCCTCTCCGCCATCTCAGCAGTACACGGCGTATAATGCCGCCTCGACGGAGACCCCGCCGAACAGAACCCCAACTGTGCTGCAGAGTGGCCGGAATGCTGCCCCGGGCTCATACCGCAATGTCTAATCTGCGATGTTTCTTTCTGCTGAATTTCATGAAGGGCTCTTTGGAGAAAGAGAGTAGTTTTATTTTTATTTCTGATACCATGACTTGACTTACTTTTAGGTTGTCACTTTCTTGCCATTTACTTCCGGTGTGCCTTTTACCATACATACTATCATATTCTTGGCGCAGCTGGACTTTGCTTGAGCTTGAGCAAGTCACTTGATTATTCATGCTTTGCAGCTTTTTTTTTTTTCCATTCTGTGATGATTCCTGTCTGATGATGCTCTATTTCCTTTGCCTTGTCCTTGTGTATAGTTCAATGGACTGAATTGGATGTATTGGACTCTGCTGCACATATTGATTTTCTTGAAGTCTTTCTTGATAGGACTGAAAATTGACTTGACATGAATAGTGCCTTCCTTCCCTTGCTAAATGGCCTTTATAAACCTGGTTATCCGCATTGAATTTTGTTGTATAGTCACCCGTACAGTCGTCTACTCCACTAAGTACATGCCGCCATGTCTTGTTATCGTAACCTCCTCTGGAAACAACACTTCATTTATCTAACGAGTATCTTGATTGCGAAAACTATGCCGAATCCTGCACACGACCACGCAATAAGATCATTTGACGTGCTTATTGGTTTTAAGCTACATGCGATGAATATTGATAACGTGTGGTATTTCGGTTCAACATTAGTTACGATCGGAAACTAGCAAAAGGAAGCTAATTGCTGCTAGGCTCCCATTTCGACAATTGCAAGCTTGGGTTTCGTCGTGGAGGTGGGACTATCAGAGTCCGCAAGACAACTTGCTCTTTGACGCGCAAGAGTGGCTTGAGACTTCCTCTTCTCCTGTGAAACTTGTGGTCGCGATCAACATCAAGAGTGAAAACCCTGAGATCATCTTACACCGATGAGAAATGGTTCCTCGAAGCGAGGAGCTCATCCAGCTCATCCTTCCGGCTCCTATACACCTCCTGGGCTTCGCGCTCTCGGCGCATGACGAACGACACTTGATCACGAAGCTTCTCCATTCGCCGGGAGATGGCAGCCTCCTCAGAGATCTGGAGCGTGCGGAACGAGTCGAGGTCATTCTGAGCCTTGGGCAGCGCCGTGCTGGCCTCAAGGATCTTCGACCGCAGCGTCTTGGCCCGGTTCTGATATCCACCATAGTGAAGCGACAGCTTCTTCTCCAGCTTGTTCCCGCGCTCCGCTGTAGCAAGCAACGAGGCCTGGACGTTGTCAAATGCCCCGATCATGCGTTGTTCCTCCTCGAACGGGTCCTCGTCGTCGTCGTAATTCTCCAACCCGGGGAGGGCATTGACGCGAACTGAAGACCACGCATCATCGAACTTGCCCTGCCACTCCTCCTGTTGCTGCTGTGCTTCTGTCGAGGTGATTTCGGCAGCAATAGCGGCGCGAGCTGCTTCCAAAACCCTGTCGTCCAGATGACCCAACTTCGGCGCCTTGCCCTCGACCTTGCTGCCAGGAACAGGGTGTTTTCGGGAGTCGTGTGCGATGAGGACCGCGGCCTCTTGGGCAATCAGACCGGCAATTGGATCAGTGACGTGAGAAGCACGCTTCATCAATGCGCTCAAATCGAGAACAGCAGGGCGAGGCAGGCCGCGCTGATACACCTGGGACTGACGTTTGAACTCGGCTTGAGCAGCCAGCGCCCTTGCCTCCTGTTCTCTGCGGTCACGCTCAGCAGAATCCTCCTCGGTGAACTCCACAGCAGCCATGGGCTCCGCCGATTCCGAAGGAAGCTCTTCCAGTTCCCACTCTGTCTCCTTGGGCCTGGGAAGCGAGGACAGCTTACTGCGCATCTGCTGCCGCGTGAACTTCTCGTGCATCTTGATGTCTCGGGGTGTGCTGCCGACGAGCTGGCCCTCACCCTCCCGATTCAGAGCGAAGTGATCCCGCGGCGTGCGCAGTGGTGTGGCACCAGGACCGACTCCGCCGTGCATAGGTGTCGCGCCAACACCGTTGGCCTGTCGGAATGGCGTCGCCATCGGGTTGGGAGTGACAATCTCCTGTCGACGGGGAGCGATGCCATCGAAGCCTGTCGAAGAGCCGCCCTCGTGAAGAGGAGTGTTCTCACCTCCAAGAAGGGACGACTGCGTCTCAGTCAACGCACGAATGTTCTTGATTTCATTGGCGATGTGATCCTCCTCCGGAGCAGCCCGTGGAGTTCGGATCGGTGTTCCTCCAACAATGGACCCATAGTTCCCAATCAGCCCGCGCGTCCCTTCTTCATCGGCACTCATCCGGCTAGCCTTATCCCCAGCCATTCCCATTTTGATAATATCCTCCATCTCGCCTTCGCTGACCTGCGGTGTTGGAAGGACGAGAGCTCGACGTTTGCTGCTCTGCTCGGCTTCACGGATTTTCTGCATTTGGCCAGCCCGCGCTGCAGCCGCAGAGGCAGCAGAGTTGCTGTTCTTGTCGTTCTTTTGCTTCTTTCGCTCTGCGTCGTCGTCCTGATCACCCTTGCGCTTGTTGGCCAGCTGCTGCTTCCGCGGATCAAACATTTCACGCTGGCGCTCGTTGCGGGTTTGCTCTTCCATGGTATCGTAGAAGCCCGGAGCAGCGGGCTTCTCGAACGGAATATCCGCATTGTAATCCATTTGGCCCGGTTTCCGGGTCACAACCTTGACGTTGATTCCGGCATGCTTCAGCTCACGGCGCTTTTGCAGGACGGCTAGGCGGCGAGACTCTTCCAGCTGGCGCTCCCGGGCTTTCCGCTTCGCCTTCTTTCCCTGTGTGTTGGCGAGACGAGCTCGTGCTTCGCTCAGCATTTCCTTCTCATCTTCATCCAGGTCGATCGTATCAGGACGGGCTGGCTTAGATTCGGGATCTGGGTCGAGTTCTCCAGGACTAAAACACGCGAGTTAGCTTGATCCAAAAGAATTTGATAAAAAAAAACTATACCGTAGGCGACGAACGTCGTCCGCACTGGGAGCTGCCGACTCAACGCCCGGCCCTCCCAAGCCCAACTCGTCATTTTCACGGGACTCCGCCTCATCCAGAAGTTTCTGGTAGCGTTCAAGACACTGTGTTGCGGTGCGACCGACAATGGGGGCGATGGTGCGCCATTGCGTGGGCATCAACTTGGCCAGGTGCAAAAGCTTCTCATCCTCCTCGCGCGACCATTCGACTTTGCGGATGCCGGGATCCAGCCATTCTACCCAGCGTGCCTTACATTGCTTCGGTGTCTTCCGGGCGAGAAGGGAGGACACTCGGGCCCACTGGTTGAGACCGTACTTGGAGACCTGTAAGCGCATGAGATTAGCACTGCTTCATTTGTCGAATATGATTTTAGGTTTAGGTAAATGCTTACAGCTGCCCGAAGCACCTCATCTTCAATGTTGGTCCTGGAAGCGTGTTAGCAGCAGTGCCATGGAGGCTAGTGATCCATCCGGAGATTCTTACCAGACACCTCCTTTAACGACAGGCATGACGCGCGACCGCACTCAGCGGGCTGTCGAATCTCCTGAGGATAACGACCGAGGACGACGGGGGAAGTGAGTGACAGCCCCGGGAGATGTGCGCGCAGCAAAACGACGTGATCGATGATGAGAAAGAAAAGCGAGTCGAAAATGAGTTCGCAATGCGTGACTTTGCCGCGTTTGGCGCCCCTGCGGGTGCTTATGTCAGCAGATCCCGAATTTTTTCTAAATTTTGGAATTTGCGATAAGAAAAGTTCACTTATTGTCAGTCAACCATGTCGACCTCACTGGCTGCCCCCCAGCAGTACAAGCAGCCCTCGCGCAAGGGTAAGAAGGCCTGGCGAAAGAATGTCGACGTTACCGAAGTGCAGGAGGGCCTACGTCTTCTGAAAGACGAAGAGATCAAAGGGTAAGCCCTACTTTCTTCTCTATTGCGCCAATCTAATTCTGACTTGCGACTAGTGGCGTCCTCGCAGAAAAGCCTTCGGAAGAACTGTTCACCATCGACACCAAAGGTGACGAGAATGTGCGGAAATCCTATGCAAAGAAACACAAGTCACTCAAGGCCGACGAGATCCTGGCCCAGCGCTCAGCGATCCCAGCATTGGACTCGCGCAAAAGGGTGAATCCCAATGTCACCGATGGGGTCATTGAACCGAAGACCAAGAAGCATAAAAGCGACTGGGTCAGCCGCAAGGAATGGCTCCGTTTGAAGCAGGTTGCTAAGGATGCAAACCCTGCCACCAAGACCGCGGGCGATGAAATCTACGACCCTTGGGAGGACGAAGAAGATCAGTCGGCTCCCGTTGAAGATCCACGATTTGATTTCTTGGAGAAGCCGAAAGCGAAAGTTGCGCCGTCTACATTAAAACAAGCACCGATCTCTCTCGCAGCAAATGGGAAGTCGGTCCCGTCGGTTCGGATGCCACATGGCGGAACCAGTTACAACCCTGTGTTTGAGGAGTGGGACAGTCTGATCGAGGAGCACGGCAAGCAGGCCGTGGAGGCAGAGAAGAAACGTTTGGAAGAGGAGCAGAAGGAGCGGGAGAAAGAACTCCTGCGTGCTAAGGCCAATGATGACGACGGCGAAGTCAAGTCGGATGACGAGAGCGCATGGGAAGGGTTTGAAAGCGAGTACGAGAAACCCGAATGGCTAAACAAGAAGCGGCCCGAGAGAAAGACCAAGACGCAACGCAACAAGATCAACCGGCGCAAGGAGGCCGAACGGCAGGCCAAGTGGGAGGCTAAGCTGAAAAAGAAAGAGGCGCAGGTTGAGCAAGTGCGGGAGCTTGCTGAGCGAGCCCAGCAACAGGAGCTGGAGCGTCAGATTCAGGACCAGTCGGATGCAGATGACTCCGAGGAGGGCGATGATACTACTCTACGACGGAAGCCTCTGGGGAAGAATCCGTAAGTCCTTTGTTGGTGTTTTCTTTCCTGAGTCACAAACTAACGGATACTATAGCGTCCCGGAGAAACCATTGGAACTTGTGCTGCCCGATGAACTGCAGGACTCGTTACGTCTGTTGAAACCCGAGGGCAACTTGCTGGATGACCGGTTCCGTACGCTGATCGTGCAGGGCAAACTCGAGTCTCGCAAGCCAGTGACGCAGGCCCGGAAGGCCAAGCGGAAGGTAACAGAGAAGTGGGCCTCGAAGGACTTCAAAGTTCCTGGTCTGGAGTGAATTTCCCTTACAAAAGCGTGCATTTAATGATTAAACATGGATATACATTGTTTAGCGAGTATACTATTGTCTCTGACCCGGTTTTGTCGGCTATGTGGATCATTTTGTAGCAAATATGCTAGGCCAGTGATTATAAAAGCTTCGGTGATTGCTATCGTGATAGTATCCAATTGCCCTTAAATTCGGATTTTCCTGAATTATCAATGCCCTTGCGATCCGCCACACAGGTTCCTTATCCGATGTAAGTACCTAGCGGGGTTGGACTTGTAGCTTGGAATTATAATGATTAAAATAAATATCACTGTATAGTCAACCTTGTTGCTTGCTTTCTTTTACAACTTCTCGCCCATAAACTCGGAAACATTCTTGACAGCCAGATCAACATACTTCTCCTGATCATAGAAGTCCATATGCGTTCCATTGGGAACGACCACCTTCTTCGTAGCACCTCCAATCAGCTTATCTAGCTTCTCAGTGTGCCATAAGGAGCCTGCCTTCGCACCCGCAATAAGCAGAGTAGGCTGTGTCAGGTAAAGATCCGCCAGGTGGAAGGCATCAAACGTCAACACTAGCGGGAAGCTCCGAATCAACATTTTGTTACAAGCACGAGGGTGTTGGGCTCTCGGGGTGAGGTAGTAGTCGTGAGCCTCCTTCATATCAGCAGGAGTCTTGTCGTCCAGCTGGGGAGGCACGTAGGGTGCAGCCGCGGGCTCGGCTCCGTTGTTTTCAACTGTGATTTGCTTGGCTGCCATGTCGAAGGCTTCAACCTTTTGTTTCGCGTCTTCGTCGCCGTCCCAGCCCAGACGTGCTGAGTCGCCAATGTTGACCATGCTGATCGTGGCGAGGGCCTTTAGGCGGTGGTCGACCTTGGCGGCAGCGGTCGCATAACCACCCCCTGCACAGATACCGACGACGGCGATCTTATCGGAGTCAACGTAATCAAGTTTCTCGAGGTAGTCAACGACACTCCAGACGTCGCTAACGCGTTGAGAGGGGTCTTCGAGGAAGTGAGGCTCGCCGCCGCTCTCGCCCTGGTGGGAGGCGTCGTAGCAGACAGCCACAAAGCCGTTCTGGGCAAGCTTCTTTGCGTAAAGGCCTGCAGTCTGCTCCTTGACACCACCCCCAGGGTGCACAACGATGAGAGCTGGATATTTAGAGCCAGATGCGGTGGGCTTGTGGATGAGGCCAGCCAATTGGATGGGGCCCTTCTGGATGGTAATGACAGACATGGTAAACGTTGTCGGAAATCGAGTCCGGAGGCGTGAAAGAAATCTCGAAGTCTGAATTGAATCCCGAAAGGATGGTGAAGTGTTGTCCCATGTTTTATACTTCTCACCCCGAGCTCTGATCTTGACGTCAGCCCGAAGTTGATCGGCAACGCCGAAAGTTTTCGGACTTCACTGCGTACCATTTTGTTATTTCTCAGGACACCAACAGGAAATTATTAAGAATTATCAATTGACAACGCACTGATTACATGAATATCCAGTCTTCGCCCTATTGGTAAGCATATTCAACCCAAGGCCGAAATGTTTCGGTGTTGCGTCGGGCCATAGATCTTTCCCAGAACCTCGAACGCACTCGCGACATTGGTGCAACGCTATGTTTTCCAAATATATCCGAAACCTTTCGCTATTGCAGCCCGTGATCTTCTGTTTGCAATTCTGCACCGATAACAAACCAAGGCCATTGTTGACATGGAACTACGGTGTTAAGACAAGACTTAGTCACCTGGCTTCTCTTCTCTTCTGAACCTTTTGTATTAGTGAAACAGGGAAGGTTCATCATCACATAATTCCTAATTTCATCAAGACGTGTGCGTATAATGGAATCAGTGGTTATAATGGATTGCTTAAGCTAGCGGGAAAACCTGGCACTCCTTGTAGGATCTTAACCCACATGGTCCAGTGACTCTCGCGGAACGCTTAAGAACAGAAACCATGGGATCCTGGGAGAGGTGATTGTTCTTAGAAATACAGCTGGGTTCTTAGGAGCGTGTAAGTTGAGACCACTAAGGCCAGTAAAACGTAGTGGACGCGTGGATGGGCTGACATCCCAGCTGGATCTAGTCTGTGGAGGAACGTCCACGGCCAGAAACACTGGTCTTTGGGTTACTTGCCCTCAACCCACGGTCCTTCCGCCGCAGCTATCGGTCCTTAGATTGCGGTCACTGCCCCAAAGGCCTTGACTAACAGTCCTAGTTGGCCCATAGCCCGCGGCCCAAAGTCCAGCTAGACGGGCTAGGCCTGCTGATTATCAACTGACGACCCCAGCTAGATCACTGAGCTGAATAAGCCATGGTACCTGGTTTCACTCTGCTGGCGTTAAGGGGCGAGCAACGGGGTGGGCGCTCACAGATCGCTCAGAGCCTGCTCAGGGCCAGCTGCGAGTGCTCCGTGAGCGGCTCAACCCGTGATCTCAGAGCCGATCGCTACCGACAGGTTTACCGTCACCATTATCACTACTATTACGGGTTGCTGCTGAGTAATGATAATGATAGTTCGAGTAGTTATACATACTATGTAGGATGATGCAACGTTGTGGCTCCGCCGAGATCCACGGCGATCCGACAATCCCGATCAGCCGGCATTCGCGGACACTTACGTAGGGGTTCAGTGGCAGTGCTCATCGGCAGTGATTACCCTTCTAATCTGATTGGTTGTAATACATACTTTTAAAGTGGCTGTACACGATCCAATCACGTGCCCATGAGTGCAGCCTAATGCCAAGGCACCAGATCAACTGCCCCAGCCTCTTTCTCTCATTTCTTCTTCTTCTTCTTCTCATCTTCATCCTCTTACCTCTGGGCTTTTATTTCGTCGGTTGTGATCAGCTTGGGAAGTGCACCCGGTAGCTACCCACCACCATGGCAGTTATTGACAAGCGATACTGGTAAGTACCATTCTCTGGAATGCGTAAGTCCCCGATCAAGGGAGACGCGCGCAACTTTGTACCCCAAACTCGACGACGCTGACCGTTTACTCACCACCGCAGTGATGCCTACGGCTACTGCTATTCAACCTGGAACTCCTGGGGTCGCTGGGTCGCCTTCGCTGTCATCGTCGGCGTCGCGTTCCTGATCTTCTTCATTTTCATGTGAGTATTCCTCTTGCCGCTCTGCTCGAGTGTGGTCATTGACGCTTTCTCTCAGGTGTTTCTCTGCCCGTCGCCGCCGCACACACGGTCTGCGTCCCTACGCCGGCACAGGCTGGATGGCTCCTCCCCCTGGCAATCCTCCCCCTGGCCAGCCCGGCTACCAGCAGCCCTACTACGGCGCCGGAGATCCTTACTACCCAGCCACCGGTCCGCCACCGCCGCAGTACGAGGCCAACCCGCAGAACTATGGCTACTTCGGGTCGCAGCCACAACCACAGCAGGGGGGCATCGAGCTGCAGTCGCCGCCGCATGCCTACGCGAACCGCGCTGAGCAGCCTTACGAGCCGCCTGCTGGTCCGCCGCCGAGTAAGGCATAATCATGATCATCTGTGACCCTACAAGCGAACAAACATGATCCATTCTTGCAATGGAAGGTACGGATTGGCGGCGTTAATATTATTTTCTCGGGCTAGTATTTCCAGAATAACAGGGGTGATCTCCACGGTATCTTCTTGGTGTGTTTCAGATCCCGCCATCTTCCAACACGCAAATCCGCAGATCCCCCAGGGAAAGAAGGCCCGGACATAAATGCTTTTTATCTTGGGCGAAATGACTCTACGCGTGTATTGCACAGTATCTAACTAATGAACTACTCTTACATTACTATAAACATTGAATAATAAAATCTGCAATTACGACAATTATTGCCAAAATAGCTACATATCCCGACCAAGAACAATAATAATGACAAGGAGACACTCCCCTAAAACTGATTATCAAGATCATCAAAAAAAAATAATCCTGCCTCAGGCAACGTAGATCAGCCTCCTTCGTCTCCGCCCTCCGCCCCGCTCTCCGCTCTGTTTTCCCTACTTAACCCCTCGAACAGTGACGAATTGCAAAGGCCATGGACATTGACGACATCCTGGCCTCCGTCGACCGCGGCGCAGGGGCCAGCCCGGCCTCCACCGCAATCGACCACCAGCTCTTAACGCGGTTCTGGGTCGCCGAGCGCGCCGTGTCGGAGGTCCTCCCGTGGCCGACAGCATTGATGGAGCGAATGATGGACCGGGTGCGCTTGCAGGTATATACACCGCGCGTTGTTTCTGTATCCAATTCACCATTTTTGACCGAGATATCTCCAGATCGAAACAATCGAAGACCTTGCCGCGTCCTCCTCCGACGCGCCAGACCCATCATCCAAGTCCAACAACGCAACACTCAACCTCCGCCTCTCAATCCTCCAAACTGACCTCGCGCGCACGCAATTCCTCCTCCGCAGTGTCCTCCGCACACGACTCGCCAAACTTTCAAAGCACAGCATGCACTACCTCGTCCTCCTCTCCTCGCGCTCCACAAAACCCTCCGCCACACAATCCCAAACACAACCCTCGCAATCAAGCATCGACAGCTCCGGAACAACAAACACTAGACCCGAAGACTCAGTCCCCGATATCTCGAGCGTAACGGACCTCTCCCCGCTCTCAGAGGCAGAGGCGCAGTTCCTGCACACGCACCAGTCTCTGCTTGCGTCGCACTATGCCGGCTCGTTTATGGGTGCGTTCCCAAGGAATCTGCGGCGGCTGGATGATAATGCGGGTGGGACGAGTATGGTGCAAGGTCCTGAGAATAGGGAGGTCGTTTTTGTCAGGTGTCTCAGTGGTGAGGTTCCGGTGGTTGTTGCGGCGGCGGGGGAGGAGGATGCGATTGATATCGGGGTTACGATGCGAATGGGCGATGTGTGGGTTGTGCGGTGGGAAGGTGTTAGAGATGCGTGGGAACGGGGGGAGGTGGAATTGCTTTGATATTTTGGTATTTTTGGTCATGGTGATTATGGATGGATGGCATGGGATGGGATACATCTAGCAGGCGTTTTTCTTGACTGCTTCTGTTTATATGACTGAATATAGAAGCCGGAGTATGAATTGGGTAATTTATCATTGATTCTGATTTCATTGTTTGAACCTTTCATGGACAACCCGAAGCCCTGTCGTCGTAAAAGAGCATTCGTTCTATGAACATTTCATTCATCACGCCTCCACCCACCCGGAAGACGCCAAGCGCTAAGTAGAAGGAATAAAACCCGGAGAGAAAAAGAAAGAGGCCATGGTCATGGCCATGCAAAGAAGGACGCCGAGTAGATGTTGGTTTGTGCCATGTTTGACTCGCTCAGGCAACGTATCCATACGTAGGGGGTTCCTCGGACACACGCTCGAGGTATTCGCGGTCAATGAGACTTTCGATACGACGTTTGACCATGTTGACATCCGGAACAAAACGGGACGATAGTTGGGAGAGCACTTCTGTCATGAGCTGGGAGTGGATGAGGGTTTTGCGTTGTCTGGAGGGGAAAGAGGGTTAGCTTAGATTGAGTTTCAATGCCGAACAAGAACTTACTTCATGATGCGGACAATAGCAGCCTCGATGCTACCGCCGCGCTCATCGTTCATCTTCTTCTCCGTTTCCTTCCGCTGATCGAGGCTTTCGACTTTGTTGGCACCGCCGCTGACGACGCCGATACGGACTTTGACGAAGGGGCTTTGGAAGTCGTTGTTGAAGAAGAAGCGGTCCGTGGGCTTGACGTCCTTGCTCATGGGTTCTTTCTTCAGCACACGTGTCTTGGGCGCCACGGCCAGGGACTGTAGATTGCGGATGAGGTCGTGATCGGGAATGCGCGTCTGGGTCTGGATCTCCTCGTAGGTGAGAGCCTCGCTGTCCGGCATGTCATTGAACAACATCAAAATGATCAGCGCGTAGGTGGAGACGTTGAGCTCGTAGCGCTGCACCTTGCCATTGGATCGGTGGAAGGAGGCGCGAATATCCGCCGTGCCCATGCTCGCCTGCCAAGAAAGCTTACGCCCACTGTGTTTGTCCAGATAGAATTTCTCGAAACTCTGCTTGAGGCCATCTATCTCCCGCGGGAAGATGCACGGCAGCTGCACCGTGCCCTCCTTGGTGGCGGGCATTATCTCCATCGGCCACATGGTGCTGGTGAGCACGTTAATCTCTAGATCCACGCGCTTCTGGTCTGGATCCCCACTGCGCGCAATGTGCTCCTTGTAGCTGTTGGTCAAATCCCCAGAGATAGTCATGTCCTTGAACATCGCTTCGATACGCTGCGTGAACTGGTTGCCGACCTCCATCTTCATCTTGGAGATCATCTGGCGCTCTGCGTCCATGCTGGCGGATCGTTTCATCAGGAGACGACGAGACAAGTGTTTCTTATAGTAGGTTTCAAACAGATCCTTGTCCTTAATGTATCGGAGCATCGTGATGCCATTGTCCAGGAGTGTATCCACTTCGCTCTCAGTCTTGCCCTTGATGCCCTTTTTCAGGTTCTCATCGAAGAAAAGAGAGAGGTACTCCGAGCAACGGGGGTTCATATTGATGAACTCGGAGAAGCTAGTCATGATCGAACTCTGTAGACCCTGATCGGATAGGAAGGCTTTTTCCCAGATGTTGTCGAATTGGCGCTTGAGGGCCAGAATGTCGTCAACCCACCGAATGGCAATCACAGTTTGCTGGTTCACGGCAGACTTTTCTTTCTCCTTGCCCTTCTCCGACTTTTTCTCGCTGCTGGCGGCATCCTTTTCACCAGTCGAGAGAGGCGGCGCCTGAGCTGCCACGGTCGTCGTAGCGTTGATTTCTCTGCCCAGTTCCACGATTCGCCTATACACTTGTTTTGTCAAAGCCTCCTTCTTCTTGTCGACTCTCGCATTGAGCTCGTAGACGTTCCGCAACCCGTCGATTTGGTTGTGGTCCAGCATGTACCGAACCCCCGTCCCTTCCAGATTGACGACTTCTTCGATATTCTTGCGAATCAGCTCATCATCCACCAAATCCAAAATCTTTTGTTCTGAGATGGCTGATAACGTGTACCGGCATCGCTCTTGCTCTTCAGCTATCCGTTGCGAGGCGAGACGACAAAATGTAGTGGCGTCGGCAATCTCGAGCAAGCGCTGCCCTTCGGCTTGATAAAATTCTTTGCTCGTTTCGAGAAATGCCGGCTCGAGGATAGTGAGGTAGAGCTTTGAGCTTTCCTCCTCCGTGATGGTTTCGTAGAGTCCCTCGAGCATTTGGATGCAATGTCGGATGAGTGGCCGCTCGATCATATGGCCGGCCCGTTCCAGTTGGATCATAAACAGAACTGTGGACTCGAGTACGTTTGCGACGGTCGTTTGGGTATCAGAGGACACAGAGGCCCGGAGCACATGGTCACGGAACAACGCCATGGCTGCGACATAAATCGAGGGCTTCGTGTGGTCTCCAGAGACGATCCGGTCCTATGATAAGTCGTGAGCAAAATAGACCATCACCAGCAGTGTCTTGCCTTACCATATACATCAAAACATCCGTGATCATGCCCATACAGAGCTGGTGATCCTCCCACGCCCCCTTCAGCACTGCCAGGAACTTTTCTCCCGCCGCCCGCCGCTCATTTGCCTGATCCTGTACATCCACCGACTTGTGGGATCGAATGAGACTCGAGGATATTGAACCCGTGATCCGTTTCTGGACCTCATTCTGCAGCCACTCTTGCTCAAGAGTCTTAACCTTCTCATAAAGCTCCTCGCCTCGCATCATCAACACGATCTTGTAGGCATTCCGATAAAGCTCCTCGAAGGAGAGAGCTGAGGCATTTTTTGTGTTGATCTCGGTGAGTGAAGAGGAAAGCACCGTCCAAATGGAGTCGAAATCGTCCGTTTTCTGTGCCGAAGCGAAGCCCTGGTGACCATCCGTTAGCTTCACGACGCCCATTCTGACTGACCATGCAATACACACCCTTCGAGGAGCTCGGATCTTTTGCCGCGCTCTCATTGTCGCCATGGTGCTTGCAAAACCACAGCATCTGGTGGGATGAACAAGAGGGACAGCTCCGCGGAGTCGGACTTTCTCATTTTCCGTCCCGGCTGGCTCCTACTTTTATGTCTTTCCGCCTCAACTCGACAATCTTCTACTTCTACCATCCACAATGCTCTCCATGCGCTCTCTATTGCAGGCCATGCGCCCTGCCCATACTATCCTTACTCGAAACACAACTCGTGTGTCATCGCGCCTCATCTCAAGCCAGCTTTTCGCTCCTTCTCGTTCACAAATACCTACCGTCCTCAACCAGCGCCACCTTACACCTTCAATAACAGTCCGCCAAAACTCAACTACCGCCCCATCAAAACCTTTAACCGACCGTCCGGAAACCCAAGATCCAGAGGGCGAAAAGAACAACGAGGATCGCCGCAAGGAGGAAGAAGCCTACCGCATCGTGTTTACATGCAAGCCATGCAGTCACCGCTCCTCGCACCGCATGTCCAAGCAGGGCTACCACCGCGGCACGGTGCTTATCCAGTGTCCCTCGTGCGAGTCGCGCCATGTGATCAGCGATCACCTGGGCATCTTCTTTGATCAGAGCACCACGCTGGAAGATCTCTTGCAGCAGAGAGGCCAAGTGGTAACCCGCGGCCATACAGATGGGAATATGGAGTTCTGGGAAGATGGGACGGTGAAGAGGGTTGACGAGGAGGGGATTCCGCAGTCCCTGGAGACGGAATCGGTGTCGGATCCGGAGCAGGAAACACCTTCGGAGGGGAAAAAGTCGCCTTAAGTACCGTGCTGTGCTCGGTATGTATAGATCTTGGTGTTTCGTCCCGGTGCAGCAGACACAGCCGGTTGAGCCGGTCAACTCTGTCTCGGGGCTCGTTACTACTCTCTCCACTCTCGACATGGCTGGATCCAGAGGCATCGATGAGTTAGACCAAAGGGTACCATCTGGGTCAGACGTTGTTTGTCTTGACCAAACATACATAATATGTAACAATAGCACTAGAAAGGAGACTTGTACAATAGAAATCGAATTCGATCTTTCAGTTACTATATACAATGAGTGCATGACATGACCTATAAATTTTTGTCCACCAAAACGCCTTCCAGATAAAATATGCAAAACCTTTGCTCCTCCTTACCATCCACGTCTCTTTCCCCGATGCTCCAGCCCCTTCTCGCGGCGTACGTCCCTCTTCCGTTCATTCCTCCTCTGCTTATCACGACCGTACCGCTCAGGATCAGCAACAGCTTCAATGCGCCGCTTGACACGTCTTCCTTCGCGGCGCTCCTTGATAGTCTCCTGCACGCGAGACATCTGAGCGATGTACTCGGTCGTGCCGAGCTTCTTCTGCAACAGATCCAGGGTCTCGTGACAGTTGGAAACAAGACCCTTGTACGTGTTCTGGAAGGACTCATCTGATGACCGTGGAGCAGGAATGGATGAGTCGGTCAGGTGCTGCAGTGGAAGTAAGATGACGGTGAGAGACGGGTGGATCTGCTCTGCGTCAACGTGGCGGACCAGCGCGGCGAGGAGGGCAATCGATGCGGTTTTAGGGATGAGAGCGTCTGGCCGTCTAGAGATCACTTCGCGGCGCAGGAGCGAGGAGATCTGGCGGAAAATGTAGTGGATGGCGGATCTGGTGCTGCTTGAGACATCATTGTTCTCGCCATTGGTTGGTGCCCCATCGTCAGCTTCGCTATCGGCACCCTCATCTGCATCCTCCTCCTCAGCTTCAGAGTCGGCATTGTCAGCTTCCGTCTTGGGAATCTCGAGACTGTTCTGTGCACAGCATCGGCCCAGGAAGACGAGGTTGCGCACGCTCTGCATAGCCAGCTCTTCCGTGATACCAGGAGTGCGTAGACAGCGAAGACTGCCGCGGAGCAGCTGGAGCATTGCATCTTTGTCCAGAACCAAGCCCGAGCTTCCCGATAGAGGAATTGCGCTGTATCCCTCGGCTGCGTTCGTCTTGGCGATGTCGGCCAGCCACATGCCGATGAGATTCGCGGCACAGGTCTTGACCCATGCGTGAGGGAAGAAGAGACATTCCCGGATCAAGGTCCAGATGGATGCACACTCGGGGCTCAGGGCGAGCGCAGGGGCTGTTTTGCAGAGTTTCGTGAAAAGCTGTGCGGCATAATACAGTGCCTCCCAGCTGCCTGATTCATGGTCTTCGAGGAGCGGCTGCATCAGGTTTGGGAGGATGCCGACGACAAAGCGAGCTTCTTTCTCTTTAACTGTTTCCTCAACTTCAAAGTAAACTCGCATGGCCTGTAGACCAACATTGCTCAGCGCCAGGTTGTCCGTTTGCTCCAGCCATGACCGGATAGGTGTTAGAATAGTCTTCATCTGCTCCCGATCTGCTCGGCTGTAGAATTGGCCAAGCAATGCACCTGCCAGCTCACGGCATTCTGAAGAATCGTCATTGGCCATGGCGAGCACGATAGGCAGGAAGAAGGTGCTGATGATATCCTGGGCCAGCTCCGGGCCGGTTTTTGAAAGGAGCAAGTTGATGGCCTCCAAAACCGACTGGCGTCCCTCCTGGTGCTTGTACTCAAGGTTCTTGGCAAGGAAACCAAGCTGTTTCGTCCACCGGTTCTTCGCCTGCGGATACTCGATCAGGAAGTGAATGTAAACGCCTCGCGCGAGATCCCGCGCAGAACGAGTCTGGTTGGTGACCATCATGGTTGCGATGTTGTCCACGAGTTCATACATCTCCGGCACGACGAGCTTGCGAGACATCACGGCTCGAATGAAGTTGAAGGTTATACCTTGTCGGTCTGGTTCTTCAATGTCCGATGTCAGGCGCTGAAGAAGGTATGCAAGGTGCCCATCTCGAAGCTTTGTGTCTTTTCGTTCGCGTAACATGGCTGAAATCAATTTTAGCGAGGCTTGCGCTGCTTCGGTGTTCGTGCTGGGCGACTCCTTGACCATTTTCACTGCCTCGGTGAAATAGACGTGAGAGTTCTGGTCGATCTCAGGCAGAGGGAGCTTGATGATTGTAGATAGTAACCGCAAAGCAGAAATTTTGACTTCTTCCTGGGCCTGCACAAGGGCATCGCCGATGATAGGTATGAATCCCGACAGATTTGTTGCCGTCAACAGAGAGTTGTATTTGTTGAGGATCGCGCGCAGGACATCGAGACCGAATCGTGTCAGCTTGTACGCGTGAGAGGAGGTCGTGCCCCGTTTCTCGCCTCTCTTTGCTCCCTGCAGTCTTACCAAGAACCGCTCCTCTGACTCGGACTTCGGCTTGGCCTGGCTCTCACTCGCGGCAGGATCGCGGTAGGACTCCTTGATGACTTCGTAACAGAACATCAGCAGGTTACGGCTTTCGGCGCCAGGGTTTCTTAGAAGGCCAATGCCAATTCGCCTCATAAGCTCATCGAGCTTCTTTACAATGGTCGAGTTGAGCTTCTCTCGCAGAAGTGCTTGCAAAGGTCGGACGAGATTTGCCAGGTGTTGGACAGTGGCGTTCTTGGCAAGAAGCTCCATGGAGTCGAAACTCTTGCTGCTCTTCACTTCTATCATCTTGCTGACGTAGCCTTCTGCGTCCTTTTCTTGGCCGACGGTGCCGAAAATATCGTCCATCACGACCGCAACGAGATCTCCCAGGCAATAATCCAGGTCACCCTGCTTGAAGTGATCGGTAGTCATTACAAGCATGGAGTGGATCGTAAAGGACAGAACATGAAGCTGGTATCCACGAGCAAGAGTATTCCGCAGTTCTTTCAGGATGTAGCCGAAGTATTCCGGGCCCAGCAGGATGGCAATGTCGTTGAGTGTTTTTCGTGCCGTGTCTCGCGAGTCTTGTGCTCGACTTTTGAGGATACTGCAGACATCCAGGAGAACCGGAGGCAGGCGAATAGTCATATCTGCCTCGGGCAGAATCTTGAGAAGCTTGATTGTGGTGACTGCGGCAGGCAAACGCAAACTCATTTCCGTCTCCTGCTTGTGATGGATGAAGCTGGTCAGGAAAGGGATGAAGTTGGTGGTCAGCTCCGTTGTGACCTTTGTGAAGGATGGAAGGGTTCTGGCAAGGGTGCATATGGAGGGCGTGGAAAGGTCCTCCATCTTGTCAGTGTCGTCGCTCTCGAGCTGGGGCTCTGCCGCCTTCTTTTGATCCATCGCGCTTGATAACGCGTCAGACATCCGACCCAGAAGTCTTAGAATGTTCTTCTCCATTTCGGGCTTGCTCTGCATGTAACTGCGATACCTCCGGAAATTGGCCCGGAACTGGTTCCAATCCAGCCATTCTGCAAGGGCACCAATTGTGGCAACGGCTTCGGCAATCAAGTTGTGGGCGTTCTCGTCCTCGGCCTCATCAAATACAAAATGTTCAACAAGGGGAATAAAGATGGAGCCCAAGTTGGCAGCCTGGATCTCTCCTTTGGAGACCTCACCAGCGAGACGCCGCAAAGCTCGGAGCCGGCGATGCTGCTGGATGTGGAGAATGTTATTGAAGAAAGATGCCTCATCATCATCGCCGACAAGCAGCACATGCATATCCTGGACGGACGGCCTGGTAGGGTTCGATCTGACAAAGTACCCCAGAACAGAGACAAACTCGGAGCGAATAAGCTCCGACTTTTGCCGGAGGCCGTACTGCAGTGAAGGAAGGAAGACGTTATTCACCAGGGCCTCAAAGTCTTCAGACTCTGTTTCGGTGGCTGCCTTGTCAATAAAGCGTTTCAGGCTGAAAGAAGCGCTGGATCGAACAGCAAGCTCCTCTTCATCCTTGACATGGAAGAGCATGTTGTACAAAAGAGGCCGCCACTGCTTGGCACTTAACTTTTGAGCCAGATCTTCGTTGATTTTTGTGAAGGCCTGCAAGCGCCGCTCATAGTCGGGCTCAAGCTTCTTACTGGAACGAGAGTTCAGATCGGCGCACAGTTCAGCAACTTCTGCCAGCTGTTGGTCGTGGGTGGCAAGAGCAGAGAAGACCCTTGCGAGAACCTCTCTGTTTGTGTCGTCCTTAAAATAGTCGAACATAGAAGATACTGCCTCGAAGACCTGTTGAGAAAGCTGGGCATCCTCTTCCGGCTTGTACAAAGGCAAGAAGTGTTCGAGAATCCGTAACAGACCAGATTTAGTCCTTGGGCTGACACGGTCTGGAGGCTGTCGAAGTAGATACGTCGCTATGCTGATCAAGCTCGACGTCTCTCCAGAAGACTCAACGCATGGCGCGATCAGAGACAAGGCATTGACTCCAGCAAACAGAACAGGCTTCGAGGGACCTCTCTTGAGCACACGGCCAAGGTGAGAGAGGGCATTTTCCAAGTAAGGAGAGAGAACTTCAGATCGGATCTGTTCGGGTGAGAAGTCGGGCATCTCCTCTTCTTCTTCCAACTTCTTGCCGGTAGACAGATCAACCAAAGGCACGAGGATTTCATCCAGGACGTAAATCTTGACTTCGTCACGAGCAGACTCAACTCCAAGGCAATCGATCACCTTAGTCAAAACATTTTTGTTATGTTGTACAAGATACCAGGCAGACCTCGGAGCAGAAGCCCAGGTATGGAACAGTCGATGAAGTCCTGATACGCCTTGAGCTGTCTCGATTGGGAATTGCTCGAGTCTATCGCTAATCATCTCGTCAAACAGAATACGAACGAAGGGTGTCCAGTCCCGCTCGGTCGAAATGGAGAAGACAAGGTTGAGACAGCGGATACAGGTCTGGCGAATGCTCTGGTAGACGGTCAAAAGCCGTTCGTCTTGACGATCCACATAAAGCGGGCTGTTCTCATCGTAAATTGCTCGGCATGCTCGCACCAGACAATAGATAATAACATCCATCGTCTGTGGCGCATAAGGTATCATGCGGGTCTGGAGGGTATCAAAGACCGTATCAATCATCTTGAGCAGACCCAATTGCCTTCGAGGGCTGGTCAGTTCCTCTGAGAAGACACTCAAATCAGGGTTGTCATCCTTGACGACATGGACATCGGCGAGAGGACCGAAGGAGAGTCGCATAAAAAGGCCAAACTCCTCTTCAGAGAGATGTGATAGAGTCCGAAGAATTGCCTTGCGTCTTCCAGATTGGCCAGCTTGACCCGCGCTCGCTTTTGAAATCATCCGGCCGTATAGAAGGCGAAGAAGTACCGGCAGCAGAATAGGTCGGTGTTCTTGTTCGATTAGACTATCTTCGCCGACACGCACGAAGACTGCCAGCTCATCCTTAAACCTGGCTTCATCCAGTATGTTGAGAAGATTCTCCTGATATGGGAGGATATGGGGTGATTTCCAGGTAAACAGTGCCTTGAGTGCAGCTTTCTGGGTCTCCGAGTTTCCGTGACATAGGAGCTCCAGCACAGCGTCGTGAACTTCAGACGCTTTGTACAAAACTTTAGGATTCAGGAATTGCCCGAACAAAGTAAGCATCGCCACTCGATCACGGAAACCCCATCGGATTGGAGCGTTGTCTGAATCGGCATCTTCACCAATGGGTGGGACGTCATCCTGATCATCACGCAATGCCCACGACAAGAACAGGGGCACAATTTGGCGGGATCGCTTTTCAGCCACGCTTGGAGCGGCGATGAGGACACGCAACGCATGAGAACGAGGCGAAGCGGGAAGCAAATCTGCAAGACAGTGTTCTTGCTTGAACTGTTGCGACAAGAGGCCCTGGGGGTCTTTAGTTGTCCTGAGGTTGGTAGAAAAGGTTTTTTCGACCTTGACGACATTGTGGCATTGGAAGTGGCTAGAGACGAAGGTGTTCTCGTTGTCATCGTCCGTCTCCTCACTCGCTGCGCTCGAGTCCCGCTCCTGAAGCCACTGGATGGATAGGTCTGAGACGATCTTCTCGCCCTCTGTGTGTTCGCTGATGGTCTTCAAGGCGGCAGCAGAGTCGTCCCACAATGGTCCTAACTTCTTGGAAAAGAGGCCGAAACAAAAGTAAGGGATCAGACGGGCCATCCACTTGCGAGAGGCAATCTGCGGGTACAGGAGAGCGAGTTTCCGGATATGCATGGAAATGGTTCTGGCGCTCTGTAAGGTAAGCGGACTCTCTTCAATCTCAATGGCCAGATCGATGGGAGAGACATCTTCCTTGATGACACGGCTGCTTAATTCGCGCAATATTTGGAGCGAGACCAGCCTCAGCCTATGCGATGGACTGGCCAAGTTGACTATCAAGTTCTGGGCGAAGTCATCGAGCATGGAATTTTCCAGGTTGGTGGATTCCGGGCAAGAAGCGATGAATGCCAGAACACCCTCCAGAAACAGAGGGAGACGGGAAAAGGCCATGGCAGTGGTAAGGATTGACTCCCAAAGACTCGAGTCCAGTTGGCCAGATTGTGTAGCGAGTTCAACATAAGTTTTGAATCCCTGACCAACGTAGAATATCAAACCGTTGGTCTCCTTACTGGAAGCAGCGTCTTTGAAAGCAGAAGAAACATTGTGATGCAACTTGTGCACCATGACAGACGAAGCAGTTGAGTCTGTGAATAGGCCGATGGCCTTTGGAAGCTTCACCAAAGCATTCAGAACAAAATCGTTTGTGCTTGGGTAATCCAGCGAATCCTGAATATGACTCTTCAAGGCATTGGGGCACGAGATGTACCCAGGTTTCGAGGCTTCGGACGTGATGCAACCAGTCTGGCTCAGATGAAGCAGGGTCAGACATGTTTCCCATTCTCTTAATTGCCACGACGAATTGATGAACTTCTGGAAGTACGGCAGAAGAAGGCTTTGAAATCGCTCCGATCCCCATTCCGAGAAAGTGTTGCAAAAGAACAAGAAGTATGCCGAGAGCGGGCCGGTGGACACCAGGTCCATGAGAGAACGCAAAAATGGCAGCATCTCGTCCATCGGGGACAGTTGCAATGCATATGCAACAGTCGCGAGGATTCCGGGGATCGTGTCGGGGTATGTTTCAGTCGACGCCGACACCTGTTGGAGCAGGGAAACCAAAATCTCGTGGACAGGCTTCCAGTCCTTTACTCTGACTCCCTTTCGAGTTGCCACGCACAAGAAAATCAAGCGGCAGCACTCTGGAACATTAGGATTTTTGCCGCCCTTGGAACGACCATCGATATAGGCTGTAATCGTGCTGAGAATAGGCCCAAACGTGTCGGGAGTAGTGTGGTGAATGAGACCGACCACCACTCCATACGCAACCTCTGCGGGTACACTATGCTGTTCCTTGGTGGGCGGAAGCTTATCCAGAATGCAGCGAAGAATATCGGTCGCATTGGAGTGAAGGCCATTGTTGACACCCTTCATGGCATCGGCGAACATAGCCATCAAGCCTTCCCGGTAGTTCTCGACATTTTGGGAATCTTCGGCCGCTTTCGAGATATCGTCAAAGAGAAAAGTTACGGCATTTTCGAGAGGCGATTTGTTCTTGTAGTAAACAAGGCCGGCTTTCCGAATGAGAAACGACATCGACTCGGCCGCAAAGCGAGCCACGAACGGCTTCTGGCGCTCCTTGCCCAGATAAGGTGTCATTATCCCCAGCAGTTGCCGTAGGTCCGGAACCAACAAGCGTGAGAGAAACTTGAAAATCCATGCCAGGCAACTGAAACTCCACTCCACCACCTCGATGTCTTGGTGCGTCGCTGCAACGGACGCCACCAGAGTCACGGCCGCGGCGAAATGTTTTTCGAACCGAACGCCGAGGTCTCTGGCAAACTGTGCAAGCAGACTTAACAATGGCTCCATGCAAAGCTGGTCCCTCTTCTCGATATATTCTACCAACAGGCCCATGATCTTCTCTTCGTGGTGAACGATCTGCGCAAGGCTTTCAGAGAGGGGGTTGACGCGACGTGTGAACTGGGTGAAATTGTCGGACAAGTTCATTTCTGCCCAGTGGTCGAGTGCCGACCGGAAATAGGAGGAGGTCTCTTCATCGTCGTCGCCGAAGCTGGCGCGGCGCACGCGGTGAATTGGGTCGATCTTGAGCTTTGCGATGCGCTGCGAAAAGCCTTCAAATCGATGAGACTTGGTGGTTTCGGTGCCCGTCTTCAGGCGCCTGACGGGTTTAGCCCGCATACCTGGCGCTACCATGGTGAGATATACGCGCAGCACCGAGGGCAAGAAGGTGTTGCTCTTTTTCAAATGGCTCCCGCTATACAAAAAAAGTTGACCGGACATACGTTGCGCCGGTATCAGTTGGCGCTAACCATATCTGGCTACTTTTGTCACGTGCAGATTGTGGCCCAAGCTCCTCAAGAAACACTAATCTCGCAATCGGCTGCAAGAGACAATTGAATCTTACCACCGATCATGTCGTGCAAGATGTACGTGCCCCCGGTGCATTCAATCCCCCTGTCCCCGCGTGCATGCTAATCTGAGGGACAGTGTGGTTATTGGGAGCGCGGACTGTCACTTGCGCGCCGTATTCACCAAGCTCGCCAAACTCCACGTGAAGCAGAACTTCTCGTTCGCCATCGTCGTCGGCGACCTGTTCGGCGATTGCTCAACAGAGAATGAGCTCGACGAGATTACCGCTTTACTGCAGGGCAATATCAGCGTACCCCTCCCCACCTACTTCACATTAGGCAATCGAGCACTACCCACCCGGATAGTCGAGCAGATCGAGGCGCATGACGAGGTGTGCCCGAACTTGTACTTCCTGGGCAAGCGCGGGGTTCTCAAAACCTCCGAGGGTGTGCGGATTGCGGCACTGGGTGGCAGGTTCGAAGAAACAGAAGCTCACGCCAAGCCGCAAAGCAATGCGAGCGGCAAATTCCAGCCCACGTATGGTGAAGCGGATGCGCGCGCTCTCTTCGGTACGCATAGCGCGGACATCCTGGTTACAAATCAATGGCCTAAGGGCATCCGCGCGGGCTCCAAGGTAGTCGTCCCCGAGGACAAGAGTGCCTTACCAACCGAAGTCCAATGCGTGGCGGATGTTTGTTCAACCCTGAAGCCCCGCTATCACCTCTCCCCAGCAGACGGGTTCTTCTACGAGCGAGAACCTTTTTTCCACATGCCGACAGAAGATAACCCCGACGCCAAACCACTCACCCGCTTCATCGGAATGGCCTCATATGCCTCGAAACAAAAATGGATGTACGCCTTCACCTTAGATCCCAAAGCTGCACCGTCATTCACCGTTCCCACGGGAGCAACGGCCTCGCCCCTATCAGCTGGGCAAACCAAGCGCAAACAACTTCCAAACCAGCGCGAGTCATTCCAGCGCTTCGCCGCGCCCGAAGATGGCCGGCATCAAAACAGACATCCCCGCAAACGTCAGCAGCGACAGCCGCCCCCAGGCCCGGACCAGTGTTTCTTCTGCCTCTCCAATCCCAGCATTGCAACCCACCTCATCACCTCCATCGGCAATGAAAGCTACCTCACTACGGCCAAGGGCCCCCTCCCTACCCTCAAAACATTTCCATCTCTGGGCTTCCCGGGCCACATGCTCATCATCCCTTTCACGCACACGCCCACCCTGGGTCTCATCTCAGACCCGGAGTCCCGCTCCAACACTTACACCGAAATGCAGCGCTACCGCACCGCATTACACTCCATGATCTCCGACCGCTCCGACCGCTCCCTAGGCGCTGTCACCTGGGAAGTCAGCCGCGCCCACGGCATCCACGTACTCTGGCAGTGGATGCCCGTGCCCGTGGATCTAATCCGGCGGGGACTCGTGGAAGCCGCTTTCAAAGTCGAGGCCGAGAATCTAAGCTACCCACGTTTCGAAGGCGAGGCGTCAGCGGATGCCCCCGAAAACGAACCGGGCGACTTCTTCCGCGTCCGCATCTGGGGTCCCTCGTCTCCCTCTGCAGAAGAATCGAAAGAGCCATCGTCATCAGCAGGTTCAGAAAAGACTCTTCTCCTTCCATTGACGCCGGAAACACGCTTCGATGTCCAGTTCGGTCGCCGCGTTATGGCTAAATTGCTTGAGTTGGAGAAGCGGATGGATTGGCGCGATGACGTACAGTCTGTTGAGGAAGAGGAGACGGATGCGAATGTTTTCAAGGAGTCGTTTAAGAAGTATGATTTCTCATTGGAGGAGTGAATGAGTGTCACTTGGTCAATGGTCACGTTTGGGAGAATCAACGTTGGGTTGAAAGAGAAGGATGGAAGTACACGGGCGTGTAGTAAAGAGCCTTGTATAGGGCTTCTTCTTCCGAGGTAATAGCACGTTGATCCCCGCTCTATTGGTATTTTGCATGTACGGTGAGATCTTGATGACGGTAACACTACTATTGCCTCAGGCAGAATCCAAACCAATCACAGGCAAAAGGGACCTGCCTTCCTGGCTTCGTCAGTCGTGCCTGCCCATTGTACCTGCCTCACCTCCTTCTCACTTCCTACCACACCTTCCAACTCACCATGGAGCTTCGATCCACCTCGACCGCGTCTCATTCTTCATCTTCTGCGCCCTTATCTTCTGAAATCTCGTCAGTTGAATCTCAGTCTGGAGATCCTCTTGCGCAACTAGCAGATGAAGTGAATCAGCATCCATTCACCAGCAGGCAGGGCTTACAAAACTCCTTGAAGCGCCGTCACCAACAACTTCGGCAAGACGCAACGCGGGATCAGTACCTGGTCTTCACTTCTGTCCCACCAGCGGTATCCTCTCGACTCAGTGATGAGCAGTCACGCACCAGCAAGTACTGTCGATTCTCTTACAATGAAACAACGGGTATCTTGATTGCGAAAGTGATGATGCTGAGTCCTGCACACGAGCACGCAAGATCAAAATTTGGCCATCTTGTCGACTCTAAGTTGGATGCGATGAATATTGATGAAGTGTGGTCTCTCGGTTCAGCAACAGTTAGGATCGGAAACTGGACAAAGCAAGCTGATTGCTGCTGGGCTCCCAGTCCGACACTTGCGAGCCTGAGTTTCGTCGTGGAGGTGGGACTATCAGAGTCCACAAGACGACTTGCTCTTGATGCTCATGGGTGGCTTGAGACCTCCTCTTCTCCTGTGAAAGTAGTCGTCACGATCACTATCAAACACGAAAATCCCGAGGTCATCTTACGCCGATGGGAACCGGTTCCTCGAAGCGATGGCGTCCGTACAAGGTCATACACTCCTTTGGCGCATAATACTGCAACAATTAAGTTATCTCGATCGAGCAATACGGCGTCAGTCACCGGAGAGTCCGATATAAACGGCACAACCACGACTACGACGCAACTGGATCTACCTTTCGACAAAATTGTTGGCCGTCCTCCTCACCATCCCCTGGAGCGAGACATCGTGATAACTGAGCAAGAACTAGTAGGGTTTGCTGAGCGTATCTGGAGGCTGCAGGGTGTCGTATAAATGTAGCTTAACCAAAGTATAGCTTAACCACTCGCTTAGTTAACTAATTATCGAGCGCCCCAAATAAGGCGGTGTCCCTCGGCCCAGTCGCCTGTTCCCGCTTCCACCCCCCACCCAAGTCCCCATCCCCCTTCCATCGCCCATTTCCTTCCAGTTCATCCAGTCCATCATTGTTCATCGTCGAGTCCGCTCGAGAATCGCCAGCCGCGCGTGATGGGCGTCCGCGATTCTGGCGAGGCGACGGGGACGCCCGATCCCGTCGAGAAGGGGTTCGCCACCCTCAACACCATCCGGTGAGTCGCAGCCAGCGCAAAAGAAATATTCTTTTGGGACTTTGATCCCGACTTTCATCGGTCGCATGTACTAACTACCTCGATAGGATCGGCGTAAAGGCCATGGTGCAAAAGGTAGCAGATTCTGATGCCGTATCACGTGACCAATGAAGCCTCGTAACTGACGCTGCAAACAGGACGGAGAGCTGCGGAAGGCCGAGATTTTGTCAATTCGCCAGCGGAAAGACGGACCGTCGTTTTAGTATGTGTTTACCTTTTGAATGGATGTGTGTGTATTTGAGACTAACCTAGATTCCACAGCGTGCACTATGTCGACTTCAACAAGCGTCTTGATGGTACGTGGATCTGAACCTAATATAAACATCAATATTAACATCTATGTATAGAATGGGTCAACTCTACGCGAATCGACCTCTCCCAAGAGGTCGAATGGCCCCAGCCCGAAAAGGCAGAGAAGAAGAAAGCCGCTGCCAACAAGGCGGCGCCGAACAAGAACATCAAAAACCAGCGCGCCCGCGCAGACAGCCGCGATGTATCGGGAACACCCGATGCATTGGGTGGCAAGAACCTGAACGTCGGGAAAGCGCCACGAGCCTCCAAAGCCGGAGGCAAAGAGAATCGCGGCGCCGAGACGCCTGGCGGCGACACCTCCCTCTTTGGTTCCGAGGCCGTCTCCACTGTTGGGACACCCAAAGCTGCTGAATCCGAAGATGTAGACATGCCAGATGCAGACGGGAAGGAGGAAGATGTCCCCACCACTGGGGGGAGCTGATCTCGCGCGAAGAGGAAATCGAGCGCCTGCGCACAAGCGGCAGCATGACCCAGAACCCGACGGAGATCCACCGCGTCCGCAATCTGACCAGGCTCCAGATGGGCAAGTACGATGTCGAGCCGTGGTATTTCTCGCCGTACCCGGATTCCTTCTCGGATGTGGATCTGGTGTACATCGACGAGTTCTGTTTGAGCTACTTCGATAACCAGCGTGCGTTCGAACGACACCGCGCAAAGTGCACACTGGTCCATCCGCCCGGAAACGAGATCTACCGCGACGACTACATCTCCTTCTTCGAAGTCGACGGCCGGCGCCAGCGCACCTGGTGCCGCAACCTGTGTCTTCTCAGCAAGCTGTTCCTGGACCACAAGACGCTGTACTACGACGTCGACCCCTTCATGTTCTACTGCATGTGCACCCGCGATGAAACAGGCTGCCATCTCGTCGGGTATTTCTCCAAAGAGAAAGACTCCGCAGAGGGCTACAATCTCGCCTGTATCATGACTCTCCCGCAATACCAACGCCGCGGCTTTGGCCGTCTTCTCATCTCCTTCAGCTACGAGCTCAGCAAACGAGAAGGCAAGCTCGGCTCACCCGAGAAACCGCTCAGTGATCTGGGTTTATTGGGGTATCGACAATACTGGCGTGAGACCCTTGTCGAGTTGCTTATGGAGCCAGGGAGGGAAGCGATGAGCGAGAATGAGCTGGCTGTTTTAACCTCCATGACTGAGAAGGATGTGCACGAGACGCTCGTGGTCTGCAGCATGCTTCGCTATCACAAGGGGAACTGGGTCATTGTTCTAACGGACTATGTCGTCGAGGAACATAAGAAGCGTCTTGAGAAGGAAAAGGTTAAGGGCGCGCGCAAGATCGACCCTGCCAGGTTGCAGTGGAAGCCGCCTGTGTTTACGGCTTCCAGCCGGACCTGGAATTGGTGAGATGTGAGGATGTTTCTTGTTTCTATCGTATGGCGTTTATCTGGGCCCTTTGCATTCTGGGTTACATCGGTGTTTGGAAAGGGATAAGATATGGATATGGGCTGGGCTGGGCTGGGATGGCATATCTCTTTTTTATTATTTCCTGTTTTTTGTTTCTGATACCTACTTCTACACTATTACACTAGCTATTACACTCCTCCGGACAACCTCGATATCATTCTTGAGGCTTGTATCTTGGCCATGGAATCAAGCTTCCCACGCTGGTAACGTAAGGCCATACCTACAGATGTACGACAACCCAGAGAGTAAGAATAGATCTACCAGCGCTGGAATGGACCAGGCGCCTCTGAACAGACAGACACAAGAGTACTACATGATATTGGAAGTTCGAGGCAAAGCCAAAGGAGCAGCAGCGGCTATCTATGCAAACATACATACATGCATGCATGCATGCCGACAGTGAAGCATGCCCCCGAAGACCCGCGCGCTATTGATGACAAGAGGGTTGGGGAGAGGATGGCAAGGTCGAGAGACAGGAAAGGCACAAACAGGGGAGGTGCTTTGGCGTGTGTGGAATTGCTGGAAAAGACACGAGGCACACATTTCCACGCCATCAACTGTCCGAGAGGTAGGTGCTCGGAAAGCTGCACGGGGTCTCCCTAGGCTGCAGCTTACATGATTTCGCACGCACGGCCAGGAGTGAGAGGCTAGAAGAGAGATAGGATGGAGGGAGTAAAAAACAAGGAAGAAAAAGAAGTGAAATTCAAAAGAGTACAAACATGAAGAAGATGAGCATGATGCTGCAGAGAGGAAGAAGGGGGAGGGAGGAAAGAGGATGGACTCGAGAGACGGAGACCGAGATCAAGGTCGAGAGGGCGGAAGAAAGACAAAAGATACCGAGGGGAGAGAGCAAAGAGCTCAACGTTCCAAGACTTGGAAAACCGAAATTTCGTTCCAATCAACCCGCTCTTAACGAGAACGGGAACCACTAAGCGTGCGAGGTCCCCACGACGCATTGCGGGATTGATGCCGCGGCGAGGAAGAGGGTGCGGTACTGCTCTGCTGGGAAGAAGAGGGTTTTCTAGACCCAACATTGCTTCCAGACGCACCCTCACGAGGCTTAGTATTCTTGCGAGTCTTGAGGTTCGTCGAGCTGCGGTGCCGTGAACCCTGGTGGCTGCCACCTTTCTTGGGAAGAGCAAAGGTCTTTGCAGCAATGGCCCCTGGGAAACGGATCGAGACGCAGGGATTACCTGACTGATCTTTGTCATGCAATCCTACCAGGAACGGCTCAATGCTATGCACCTGCATGGGCTTCAGATTCTTCGCACGCAATCGAGCAACCGACGGTGACGGGGCAGCAACCCAGGCAGCTGGGGGAGCCATATTGGGCACGCGAACTGCAGGCAGAGAGCCTGGTTCACGATCCTCAAAGATCTCGTCTTGCTCTTCCATCTGCGTGACGGAAATGTCACCATCCCCAATCTGCGCACCATGTTCGGCAATGTGGGGAAGTGAGACAGAGACCGCCGCGACGGGGAGCTGGACATCCAGAGGCTCCTTTGATGCAGAGCTTACAGCCAACACGCTTTTCTTCTCAGGCGGTGCCTTCTTGGCGAAGAGCCCGTTGATCTTCTCCTGCCAAGACATCGTCGAAGGCTGGGCCCGAGGAGCCGCTGCAGCCATAGACGCAAACGAGGGAGGAGGGGCCGGTCCAGCCAAAGCTTTTGGTGGCAGTTTGACTACAGCCTTGGGTGTGGGAAAGTGGACCAGAGGCCGGCCGGGATCGCCAAAGTACACCGGATGGCTTGACAATTCTTCCGGTGGTGGCGGCGAAGGGCTCCGCTGGTAATCTGTCTTCTCCATTGCTGGTCTCTTCGACTGCTCAGTAGCATTGGGAAAGAAGCGTGAGCTGCGTGCTGGGACATTGACTAGAGGGCGGGCATGGCTATCCGAAAATGGGAGACCATCCGCCGCAGGAGCATCAAGACCAGTTAACGGATTGGAGGGCGAGTTGTTACCGGCCACGACATTTCGAGAAACGTTGACAATACGCCTTCCGCCAGCTTCTTCGCCAGGCCGAATCTGTTTCCAAGTTTCCTTAAAAGTCACAGCAGGGAGCGATCGATCGCGGCTCGTAATAAACTCTTGCCGGAACTTTTCAGATTGCTCTGCTTCACGTTGCGCCGCGACGTTATGGAAATTATTCCACGCGGTAAGCCCACCCTGAGGTTGCTGTTGTTGCCATTGAGGGGCCTGCGAGCTTGGCGGTCCAATGGGGCCTGGGCGGCCAATGGGGCTTAAAGGATCATACGATGCATGTCTGACTTCTGGGGATGGCAGAGGTGATATCGCCGATGGCTCTTTCGGAGACCGGGAAGAACCCGGAAAGGCGGCCTGTGAGGGCGCAGCCATAGCCGGTTGATCCAAACCAAGCTGGCTTCGAAGGGGCATGTCTCGCGAGGGGAACCCGCCAAGACCCTGTTCGAAGATGCCGTTACCCAGGGTCTTGTCACTGCTCAGCGGCTTCCACGGATTCTTGACAGAGGGTGATGTCGTGGCAAGATTAGGGTTGGTCGCCCAGGGAGCATAAGGACTGGTAACGTTCAGGTTTTCACGCCACTGAGCTCCATGCTCATCAACTTGTGCATCATCTGGCTTGCCTTCGACTTGTGATTGAGCTTCAGCCTGCTGCTGTTTGGGTCCATTCGCTGCTGAGGCAAGTTCACGCTTGTGTTGATGAGGAGAAGAGACACGTCGCGAGGCAGGCATGGTGGCTTTCTCTGTAGCCCTGTCCCTCTCATTTGCAGCAACAAGCTTCTTCACAGTGTCCGGATGGTGAACCTTCATCATCCCATACTGCTTTGGCTCACCAGTCGGTTCCGGTACAGGAGGTTTGGGGGGAGAGTTGACGATGGTTGAGGGTGGTGCAGTCGGCTGAGCTTCGGGCTTGCGCCCTTCCGTGGACTCTTTGCGCTTCGCTTTCTCCGGCGCTGGGCCCAGGGCTGCAAGCCTCTGCCGAATCCGTTCCTGCTTAGCAGCCTCTTCTTTCTGCTCCTGTTCAATTCTGCGTTGCCGGGCCTCCATGCGCTTTTCTTTCATTATACGCTCCTGCACAGCGACTGGGTCTTCTTGAGGTACTTCTGGGGCTGCCGCCGGTTGTGTCTCTGTAGGTGCTGCGTCAGGCGCGGGCGGCCGGGCCTGCTGTCGAGATGGGGACATGTCACGGAAGGGACCTTCTCTGGCGTGAGGTGGCTCACGACCCATGAGAGCTGGATCAACCATGCCATTCACCTGCGACCCTCTCCGGTTTTCTATGTATCTTGGAGCAGCAGCATCAGGCCGGCCGATCGACATTCGGCGACCAAAACCACCACTTCCTCCGCTCACATTTGAAGATGCTCGGCGTCGGCTCCAGCCCATACCGTCTTGATTGCTTGATCTGTGAGTTTGGAAAGCTGCAGATGGTTCCGCTGGCCCACTCTCAGCATGGGCTGGCCGTTGCAAGACAGCCGGCGCACGCGGGTGTTGATCGTGACGGTAAGATCCTCGTCGCGTATCAGAGACAGGCTCGTAGCGACCCGAACGAGAGTTGTAAAGCTCACGTGGCGCGCCTGGCTGGGTCTCCCTCCATGTCCGATTGAAGTCATCAGCAGCAATTTCTTGAGGTGGTAGGGGAGCTTGGTAGCCCTCATCTCTCTGCATCTGGTGAACAGGAACACGTGGGTGATGGGCCATCTGAGCGGATGACATAACTGGAGAGGCTCTTTCAACTCGAGGCAAGGGCGCCCACGGGGACTTCGTTGGCGGAGCTGGACTCGTAGACCCGGACGGATCCCTGTCACCCGCTCCCTTGGATGCACCTGCAATCTTTGCTTGCCGTTCGGCGTTCGCCCCAAGTCTGAGTACGGTGGGATTCGGTCCCATGGATGTCGTTGGCTTCGGAGCCCTGAGAGGCTCTCTGACTGGAATAGGCTCTGGAGGAGGCGGCTGCGGTAACTCCTGACTCGCGTAGTCTTCGTGACCGGACGGCGGCACATGGTCGGTGTGCGTGAGTGTGACCTTCGTTCCATCGGTCCATTCAATGGTCTCCGGAGCCCAGTCATCTTCATCATCGTCAATGTCTGCCCACTTAGCCTCGGACCCACCACCACCGTCTTCCTGGATTCGAGAAGTCATGTGGATTCCGTATTGTTGTTTCAACTCCTCATCGGTCAAATGTTTGGACGGTGCTGGTTGGACAGCTGTGAACAAGAGCACATTAGCTTTAAGAGTTCGAACGCCATAGTGTAGAGAGAGAGCGAGGGGCTTACGTTGATTCTTGTTCCAAACTTGATTCGTATCACCGGGTCCACCAGATTTAGCTGCCCCTGTGCTGGTTTTTGAAAACGCATCGCGCATGCCCGTCGTAGTCTTTGCAACCAAACGTGGCCGCAAACTTGGCTGCGGCGTACCGAGGGGTGTAGTGGAAGTTGATGAAGCCGCTGAAACCGTTAGTCTGCTAGTTGCACGTTCTTATGAGGGAGCAAAAGTACCTTTCTCGGGTGCCTTCGGCGGTGCGGATGCCCCTGGCGCTTTTGGCACTGAGAATTTGGCAAACGACACCGGCTTGAAGGTCGCTGGTCGCTTCACGGAGCCACTGCGCGCATTATGCAGGCCATCCGTTCGACTCGCATCCGATTCCGAACCACCCTGTGATGCTGTATCGTCCCCGGCATCGGATCCTGACGCCAGTCCGTTCAGTTCAAGGGCGCGGGTCGCGACTAGCCCAGTACCGCTCTTTGGAGAATCCTGCACCTTTGCTTAGCTACTGCACAATACGGGCTCATGTTCCCCATCCGCGCAGACTCACCATCGCAGATACCCCGACATCCTTGTCACCTCTAGTCCCTTCCACCGACGGAGCGCCCGTATTCGCCGTCTCGTCGGCGCGCGCCAGATCACTCGATTGTTGGTTGTTTTGCGTAGATGTTGTTGTTGCGATATGTTTGGTCACCCCCAGGTCCCCTCCAGCAGATTGATTGTCGTTGGTGCTCGCAGGAACGTCGGAAGGCGAAGGCTCGCCGCCCGACAGGGTCTGATCTACCACATCGCGGCTGCTCTGCTCTGCCATAACAATACACGAATCTGTCAAGTTGGCCAGTCGCGCCGTCAGTTAGAAAAGGGGCTTGCAAAAGTGATGAAAAGGTCAAAACGGAGGACGCGGCAAGGAACTGCGGACAACGTGACGTGCAGCGCAAAAGCGGGAGGAGAAAGCATACCTAGTGTCAAGGGTCAAGAGTCGCCACGGTTGAACTGCTCGCTCGACTGGTTGCACCCTGGAGATCGGGATTCAACAACCAGAAAACCCGTAGAGGAAGTTGGTACCGACCAACTTCCGAAGCTGATGGGGAAAAGGCTGATCCCGAGGGGCGAGGAGAGTAGGCTGGGTGGGAGGCTCAAGAGGCGCGGAGCAGCAGCGCAGCCCAAGAAATCCCAGCGAGGGAGGACGAGGTGAGAGGGAGGATGGGAGGGTCGGGGGGGGTTTGATGATAGAGAGGAGATGGCCTTCCGAGCCGAGTTGAGTTGGTTGACGGGGTTGAAGCTGAGCGTGGCTGCTTTCGGTTAGTCATGGGAGCCTAAGGCACCACACAGTACCTTACAGCAGGGAACTCTCTACTATCCCTAGCCACACTACGGACAGGCAATTATGGACTACGATTACCCAACAGTTGACATAAGAAAACACTGGATTGTGCGCATCCTCTCTAATCCTCCATCGCGGACTGCGTCTAGGTCAGAGGACACGGTATATACATCCATCCTCCTCCCATGGGCCGACAAAAGAAACGTTTAGTGAGGGTGGTTCTTGTGGTGGCCTATACAAGCGTGATTAGTGACTCTGCCATCCACGAAAAATGCCATCCACTTACGCAGGTGGAAGTAGTACTCCATGCTGTAGCCCAGGATCAAGATGGCACCGATGGCGTGCACGATGGCTGGTCCAAATCAGTAAGATGCCCCGGTCCACACCATCATCGAGAATCACTTACGAACGCCAGACGGGTTCTTGCCAAAGTAGCGAGCCTGGTAGCGGCCGATCAGACCGGTAGCCTTGACCTCAGGAGCAGGGCCCCGGGGCAGGCCGGCGTAGAAGTTCACAACACGCTGCATGCGAGCGGCATCCTGAGCGGCGCCGATGGCCTTGAAAAACACGCGGATCAGTTATACGGTCCCAGAGCGTGGAGTGTCGCATCATATCCAGTCGCAACGGTCGCACGAAAAGAACTCGGGATGGGGCGGGCGAGCCTTGAGGCTGCGAAAGACGACCGGGGAGCGGTATAGATGGTGACTTACATTGGGGGAAGCGATCTGGAGAGTGAATTAGCATCATTGGGAACGATTCAGAGTGGCGGAGGACATGAGCGAGGGGGGGGTCTGGTCTTACCTTGGGGGGGATCAAGGTCGAGAGACCTCGGCGAACGACGTAGCTCATCTTGTCTGGGGGGAAATGACATCAGCAAATGGTTGTCCGAAATAAAGGCAGGCTCATTGACTGGATTGAGGAGCGACACTCACAGTAATTCGCGCTGGAAAAGCACTTGACTGGGGAGATGATGGGAAGTTGAGGATGGGACGCAAAGCCAGCGGGAGGTCGGATTCCCGTGGCCGCGCTAAACCCCTTTCGGTTGCGCCCGTGACGACCAACTCCAAAGTCACTTGGTCTTGCTGCAACCACCATTAATTCTTCCTCTTCCTGTTCCATCCACCACCACCACATCCCCCAATTTCACCAATGTCGCTCTTCAGAGTTGGGGGCACTGCCTGCCTTCGGGCGAGCCGATTGGCTGCTCCCGTCAATGCCCGTTTCGTCTCCAATGTCAAGACCACGCCGGCCGACCCTCCGACCACGCTTCGCAAAGAGAGCGAGCTGATCAACAAGGAGACCCCTTCGGAGGCGATGTCCCGTCATCAACCGGACTATGATGCCACCATTGATCACGGCACCTCGTACGGTCCCTCAATCGAGCTCCCTTTTTCCAGCCCTGTCACTAACTCGTTTTACCAAGACAATTCTCTCCAGTCCCCAAGCGTGTGATGGACGGCAGCGAGCCCGGCGAAACCGTCCCCGCCGCTGTTCTCTCCGGCGCTCCGACCGATCTGCAGGCTCGCACTGTCAGGTAAGCCTCGAGGAATATCAGTCCCATTTTGCAATGGTGAAGTAACCCGTCTTGCAGAATCTACCGCCCCACGAAGCCCGCCACTCAGTCCGGAACTTGGCACGCGCACCACTGGCGGATGGATTGGGATATTTTGCAGAAGGGACACCGATGGGAGAACCCACTGATGGGCTGGCAGTCGTCTGCCGATGGAATGCAAGGAACCAACCTGACCTTCAAGTCCAAGGAGGATGCGATTCTGTTTGCGCAGAAGCAGGGCTACGAGTACTTTGTTCAGGAGCCGAACGAGCGCCGTTTCGTGCCCAAGGCGTATGCAAACAACTTCCTGCATGAAACGAGGAAGCTCAAGCACATCAAGACGAAATGATTGGGCCTGTGGGGTGAATTATGTATATAACTAAGTGGCGAGCTTGTCAGTTCAATTTCATTTTTTGAAGTCACCCATCGTGTTGGGCAACCGGGTAGATGGTTCCCCGTAAACAACGTTTGGTTCACATCTCAGGGTGTATATGGCTCTTGATCTACTAGAGCAAAGCGGCTAGAGATAGAGGTACGGACATGGCCCAATTCACTTAAGTGGAACGAATTTTCTTCCAATATATACTACTGTATGTGTATTCCTGTGGAAACGCGGGCTGGTATTTTTTACATGTCGGGGATTCAAATCCGGCTTGCCTCTTTTGTCGTTTAAGTATTGGTTATGCTTATAAGTATGTCAATGCCTCTTCCCTAGCGATAACTATTACAATATAGATACATACTTTAACCGACACCGTGATAGATTGGGTTTAATATATAAGGACTGACAATTAGCTACTTTGCAGTCGTCCTGGTACTATTCTCATTGACGGAAACCCATCTTCCCTGATGATGATCTTCCAACTCATGTCCCACCACGCCATACCCTAAACCAATAATCCAGCCAACACAGCACCCACCATAGCGATCTGCGTCGGCGCATTTATGGCAGCGCCATTGGTAGTAGTCGCGCTCGCCGGAGTGGTCTGAGACGGCGACGCACTAGCGGAAGTGGCTCCGCCCGATGCACTCGTTGTCGTCGCGCTAGAGACTTTGACCCCAGGGAAGAGTTCTCCACGGCATAGAGAAGGCAAGCCGGCAGCATACTGTGACTGGTCGGCCGTCGGGCACTGCTTGATGCATTTGATCATGGGGCTTGCGGCTGTAAAACTGGCACAGGTGCATTCAGCAAGCGCTTTGCCTGTTTCGCTGCCAGTGCACATCGAGATAGCTGGGTGGGAGGTCTCGCAAGTCTGCACACATTGGCTGGTTGCGGCCCAGACTGATGGGGTCGCGGCAAGGAGGCTGGCTGCGCCGAAGAGGAAGGTGGTAGCACGCATCTTGGTAAAGTTGAAGGATGTATAGAGGGATTGATAGTATATATCTGGCTGGCAAGGTAACCCGCACAAAAGACAGAAAGAACAGTTGAGAAGAAATCTACTAAAGGGGCATCCAGAGAACTCAAATACCTTCCCCTGCTTTATAGGATTTCTACGTTTTGCCCAAGTTTGGGGCCTAATTGGCTGTGATATTCGTGATAGTTCAGCTACTTGTATCCTTCCTCGTATTCGCACGGACCCTCGTTGGATCGTATACATATGCAGCCTGGACCCTAAAATATGGCTGGCAACTTTAGCCGATGCTTGCTAAGTAGCAAATTTGACGTGGCCGGAGACCTACCTTCAATGGGCATGGTTTGTGGAGGAATAATAATATAACCCCGGTCCTATATGCTCGCCGAGCGGATGGCACCCGCAAGTCACCGATCAGTATTTGTACCCCGGGAAGCCCAAATTGACTGAATTTTCGGGCCCCTATGAGGGTTTCTGCATGTCTTCAATAACCTCGAGCAATTACTTTATTCTTATTGATGTTTTCTTGTTGTGTGTACGATCACGTGATTAGACCACGTGACGAGATCCCAATGCGGAGCCCCAGCCCGACTTCCTCCATCACAACTCACATGAATCGCTTTCCCTCAGGAACCGACTGTCCCCTACTGAGAGAGAGCGCCAGAGGTTCCTCACTTGACTCCACCAGTTCCATTCCTTCGTGCTCACCATGGCTACGAACGGCGATGCAGGCCGAGGTGAGCGCCACCGACATCCGTCCTTGAACAATACCATAGATCAATGGCTTATCGATCCGGATCATCGCTGACTTCTATTGAGGAACAGGCTCTGGAAGCTTGGTCGATGCGTCGGGGTATAAGTTCTCTGAGAAAGATACCAAGCCCGGCAAGATCAAGGTGAAGAAGACGTCCAAGGCCTCGGCCAAGAAGAAAGCAGACGGTACGAGCTCGGCGTCACAAAATTCTGGACAAACTAATAATCTCCGAACGACACTCCAGATGCGAAAGATGGTCCGATCGACAACTCCCCAACAGACTCGCCTCTCCCCACTTTGGATGAGAAGTTGCTGGCCTCGTTCCCCACGGGCAAGCCGCGCGAGGAGGACCTTCTGGAGACAGTGATCTGCAAGCACTGCAAGCGACCCATCCTGAAGCAAGTTGCCCCAGCACACCTGCGCGACTGTTTGAAAGCGAAACAAGAGAAAGCGCGGAAGAAGAAAGAAGCCCGCGAAGCACGCGACCGCGAGAAGGCTGTGGGCAAGGATGGGGAGGACGACAAAGCCGACGCAGCCGATGACGCCATGAAAGGCCAGAAGAGCGCGAAGAAGAGCGCCGTCAAGGGCACGACCGAGGATGGCACGAAGAAAGGCAAGAAGCGCAAGGCCGATGCTGACGACGACAAGGACAGCAAGGAACCTAAGAAAAAGAAAAAGAAGGATGAGCCGAAGGCCAAGGCTGCTAAACCCAAAGGCCCCGTTGATGTCGAGAAACAGTGCGGTGTTACCCTCCCTAACGGAGCGCAGTGCGCTCGCTCTCTTACTTGCAAGAGCCATTCGATGGGCGCCAAGCGAGCGGTCCCTGGAAGATCGCTGCCGTATGACATGCTGCTTCAGCAGTATCAGAAGAAGAACCAGGCCCGACAGCAGAGTACGTCCCGTTCGTTTCGTTCTACACGCTTAAACCGTTTCTGCGCCATCCCCGTGGATATTCTCGTCCCATATATGGTCCCCGAAGAAATCCTCAGAATATCCTCTCTTGTGGCCCGCACATCTCGTTCAAAACCTGCTTCAAACCCTACCCCCAGGGTCCCCCTTGTTCTTCTCCTTCCACCCGCGCTTCCCGTGCCAAACCTAATATTCCGGAGGAATTTCCTGGAGATTGTCTTGTTGATCATCCAAAAAAGCAAAACACGAGAGCTGACATGTTTGATTTGTGTTACTACAGAGGCTGCTATCGATGCCAATGCCCCGCTGCAAGAAGATCTCGAAAACAACGGCCCGGTCGACTCCGATGAAGAGAGAGACTCAGTTATGGCCGCGATTACTCGTTCGGTACCCCAACCCTTGGTCACCCACCACCTGATCACCACGAAGAAAAAGTACAAGTATGTACGAGTCAAAGAGCAGATGCTGCACGCCATGGGCGGCCGTGGCGGCGGTCTCTTCTCAACAGACGACAGCCAACCCCTGCTGGGTGGGAATATCTTTCAATCCGTCGATACCAGCATGGCCTCTTCGTCGCCAATGATGCCCACCAGTGACGAACCCGGCCCTCTTCCTGCTACTGCCAGTGATATGAACAAGAAGGGCCCCGTCCAAGCTGCTCGCAAGACTCCGGTAGCGGCAGTATCATGAACACCTAGCAGGTGATGATTCACGACCTTTTCTCCTTTTTTCCCCCCTCTCTGCCTCTTCGGCAATGGCGTTTGAAGGCGCAACTTATATTGCCCTTTCTTTTTTTTTTCTCTTCTCTCCAAGTGTGGGAACAGGCTGGCTCTGTTGGATTTTGCACGGTGATATGATACCCCGCGGGCTGCTGGCGTGATACACTTTGATCGAGGGAAAGTAGATCGGAATGGACTTATTACCTCGTCAATAGTCACTTACTGTAAACCCCAAACTCAGTAACTACAGTAGTTGTCGATTACGTGATTCATGCCTGAGGCATCACACCATTCACCATTTCAACTCGGTCCGCCGATCTTGGGTCTTTCAAGCCCCGAATCACCATGAGAAGTGCAGGCCCGCCCTTCGTTGTCGCCGGGTGACCCTTACACTTGCAAAAGATCTGTTGTCATCTGTTGTCGCCTGTCCCGCAGCCTCTCCTCTGCGTGGGCAAGCTCCCTTTCGCCAGTATCGCATTGAGCGAGCTCCTCGTCCCCCCTCCTCTTCCCGAACATCACGCACCTTCTCTCAAACCATGTCCCACTCCGTTCCCGACCTGGATGCCATAGGCATCAAAGCCGAGCACCATCTGGCCGACAATTTTCGCCGCGAAGTCGCCAATCTGCTCGGCCGCAACAATACCAATTTCCCCGGCGCGCAACCCGTCAGCTTCTCAGCGCGACACCTCGAGGAGCTGCAGCAGGAAGACTACTATGTCTGTGAGAAGACGGATGGCATCCGGTGTCTCATGTACTTTGCCCGCGGGGACCCCGATTCCGAAATGCCTGAGATCCATTACCTGATTGACCGCAAAAACGACTACCGCTACGTTCCTGGTTTGCACTTCCCCATGCCGGACGATGAGACTTTTCGATCATTCCACGTTGACACTTTGGTGGACGGCGAGCTGGTCCTCGACTCGTACGAGGACGGGTCGCAGCAGCTCAAGTACCTGGTGTTTGACTGTCTGGTGCTCGACGGACAAAGCTTGATGCACCGCACGCTTGACAAGCGCCTGGCATACTTCAAAGTCAAGGTGCTGGAGCCTTACAATGCCATGTACAAAAAGTTTCCCGAGGAAAAACAGCACCGCGCCTTTGTCATCGAGGACAAGTTGACGCAATTCAGCTACGGCATTGAGATGATGTTCCGCGAGATCATTCCGAAAGTCAAGCGCATTCACGGGAACGACGGCCTCATCTTCACCTGTCGCAGCACGCCCTACCGAATCGGCACAGACGAGCACATCCTCAAGTGGAAACCTCCATCCGAGAACACGGTCGACTTCCGCATGCGCCTGGAGTTCCCTCTCCTAGAGCCCGACTCGGAAGATGAGGCCGACGGCATCACAGAGCCATACCCGGACTACGACGCGGTCCCCATCTGCCATTTATTCGTCATGCTCTCTTCCAACGAATACCGCCATTGGGACAAGATGTTCGTCACCGCGTCAGAGTGGGAGGATCTCAAAGCCATGAACATCCCGCTCGACGATACCATCGTCGAATGTTACAAGGACGAACAGGCTCGCTGGCGCTTCCACCGTCTTCGCGACGACAAAATGGATGCGAACCACATCTCCACGGTCGAGAAAGTACTCGAGAGTATCGAAGACCGCGTCACGGAGGAAGATCTCATCCGCCTTGCGCCGCTTATCAAGACAGCCTGGAAGAAACGACAGGCAACCCCGATCTCGGAAACTAAACCGCCCCGCGCCGCGCCACCTACTATGAATGGGAATGGCGTCAAGCGGAAATTCGAAGAGTGATCTTTTTTTTTTTTCCTTTTTGGGTTTCGTCGTGCAAGGAGTTAGGCGTTTGTTTGTTTTCACTCTCATAGCGTGGCTATGATTGAGGGAGGCGGGCAGGGGTTTCTTCTGCTACTCTATACAGGCACTTCCGGGGAGTTGGCATGGATCTGGAGGATTGGATGGAATATTGCCATTTATTATAATTCTTAACGATTTGTACTTTTATTCCTCTCTTTCACGGTAAATGCAAAGTACCAAATAGAGCGGGAATAATCGTGCTATAGTACCTTCGGTAGAAGACCAGCACTGCACAAGGCTGCTTATTACACCACAACACTAGGTAATGGTGAGTCGGGCGCCAAAACCAGCTACCTTGGACGCCATTTTCGGCGTCCTTGGTTATTTTAGACCACTCGCTCAATTTAATAAATTGCTACTCTGTAAATGTCCTGCAATCTGGCATGCAAGTAGCCGATATTGGGCGCTATGGTTTCCCCTTGACAGCCTACGTCCGTGATCGCCGAACCTGCTTTCATAGAGATCAGCAAATATAGCCTCATTAGCAAAAGACAGAAGTTGAGAAATTGCATAACGTTATGTTCGTCTCTGGGAATAAGTGAAGGTCTTAGGGTGGTCAGCCCTATGGAGACGAGAGACTAGGTGGATACAGGACTTCATCACCCCGCATTCCCGTCGACTCCCGTAACCCACAGGATTGGAATACTGGTGCTCTTCCATTGCAATTGAGCCAAGTGCGCAGGGCTCTATTTTCATTTAACCTGGGTGCTAGATCGTAAAGGTCTGCATGAGCATCTTTGGTCGTCATAATGAGCTTCAGCAGGAAACGAGTCGCCCTCGCTTGCACATTTTGTCGCAATCGGTAGGAAATGCTCGCCCAGATTACTTTTTCTCTGTCTTGGTGCTGAGCCTAAAGCAGCAAACGACGATGTGATGCCCAGAGACCTTCGTGTTCTTATTGTAAAGAATTGGAGGTGGAGTGTCACTATGATGATTCGCCGTCGCAAAGGTGTGTCGTTAGCCATTTCTCAAAGGAAGCTGTCTGACGGGGTTAGGATCGACACTACTGGCGGCACGAAAGAGATTTTGGGACGTCTGCATGAGATTGAGGTCACGCTCAAGGCTTTGTTTGACCAGCTTTCAACCATAACCGCATCATCCCATGCCGGGCAGGTGCCTACTGAGACCTCTCCACCGCCGCACTCACTGGCCTCTCTGCCAGAGCACCACTCATGGACATTCCCAGTGCTCGGGGTTCAACCAAATTCCCCAGACCTGCCACCCATGACAATTCCGGTTAAACACAAAACCTCCTCTAGCTATTTGCTAAGTCTACCGCCGGTCAAGTCCTTGATCGGAGAATACCCACCCGACTTATTTTTCCGCTTGGAGTCAAAGAATCCACTCCCCCAGGGTCTGTCATTCGATAAGTGGCAACCTCCACAATCATCTATTGAAATCTCAAGAGATCTCGCCTCGGAGCTAGTCTCCATTTTTTTCTCCTCGGTCCATCAGAATCACCCGATCCTGGACCCCGACGAGTTTCGGGACATCTATACCAGATTTGCAGATATTGGTCCTGATACGAGTATTGAGTCCGCATTATGTATGGTTGTTCTAGCCCTCGGAGCTGTCGCAGCCTCACCAGCAGACTCATATAATTTTGACACTGCACCTGCGGGCGTGGATTATATGCAGCACGCCATGCACACGCTCCTCTACCAGTCATCATGGTCTTTCTCATCTAGCCTACTGCTACCACAAGCGCTTGTTTTGGCAAGCATTTACTTCGCCTACATAGTGCGCCCTCTCCAGAGCTGGCGACTTATCTACTCCGCCACAACCATTCTCCAATTTAAACTCTCAGGGTATGGAACCCCCAAAGCCACAGAGCAAAATGATTTCTGACACCATGGTAGAATCGATGGTCATGATGAGGGGCCCAAGTGGCGAGAGAGCCTGACTCGCCTATTTTGGTCATGCTTTTTGATTGAATGCGACCGACTCGCTGAGCTCGAGCTTCCAAGGAGTGGATTGCAGCAGCTGACAGACGAAATAAGTCTTCCAGAGTGCACAAATCTTGGAATGATGCAGGCAACCTGCTATCTGGCCGAGATTTCGATTCGAAGGTTATTAAATCGCATTCATGGATCGCTCTATCCCCGCAAGAAACACGTATTGACTTTATCCTCTACATCACTGATGGCGCCGGATGACTTCTCTATTGATGATGTCTCATCCATGAGCGCTGTATGTGATGAATTGCACTCCCAGCTCGAACTGTGGCATTCGTCAATACCGGAAACCTTCCGCCCGAATCTAAATATCGGAACCAATATACCAGAACTCGATGATCGTCGAGAAATCCTACGGACTCGGTACTTTGCAGCGCGCCATATTATCTACAGACCTTTCGTTCTCTATATTGTCACCCACCGGATGAGCCACGTATCCGACTCCATGATTGCAAAAGCTAGCATCTGCATCGAGAGCTGTCGGTCGTACATCCACAGCGCGACGCAACTCTTGGCAAAGCCAAGTCAGTACACGTGGACATTCTCTCTGTCGTATGTGATGTGTAATTCTAATATAATATTGACTGCGTTATTCTGACCATATTGATACAGATCTCTCGGTGCCGTTGTTGTTCTCACACTGGCCTCATTAAATCCCGTCTTACGAGACCTGGTTCCCGATATCGACGAACTCCAAACCCTCGTTCTGAACCGTATTCGGCCATGGGCATTCTCCAGTCTAGAGGCTGTGGTCGCTATCTTGGAGGACATGCAAAAGAAGCAGAGACTATTGTCCCGTGCTTAGGATGTTGAGACTAGCCGTCTGACCGGCGAGGCATTGAAGAGGGACATGGGTGACCATCGAAGTATCATCTTCAGTTAACCGGTCTGTGACACAGTAAATCTATAACTCTCCACCAGTGGGCTGAGCAATTATCTCCAGCCCGACATCGCTCTCCCAGAAGCTTCCCGTCGGATAAGTATACTTCTCCAACGCCAAGTCGGTATAGCCTGTTGAGTAGCCTGGGGCAAGTGGGGTGACATAGTGTGCGTTCTCAACCTTCGAAGGATGACGGAGATTTTCCCGATGACTGTCGGCATTTTCGAGCATCGACCTCCGCCCACTAATGGCGACGTAGTCGATCGTGCTCAGGTGTGAGGTCAGTTCCGTTAGACCCATGGCACCATTATGGGGCACACAGGGAACATCGAATTTAAGCGCCATGAGCATAACAGCCTATAAAAATAGTGAGACCAGTGTCAAAAATCAGCATAATGAGGACTTACAAGACACTCGTTGACACTGCCAAGTCGGACTGCATCAATTTGACAAACGTCAGTCGCTTCCGCTTGCAGCAGTTGTTTGAAGGTGACCCGGTTCTGCGCCGCCTCGCCAGTCGCAACGCCGACGCCATACGGCTTCAGTGCTTTGCGGATCGCTGCATGCCCCAAAACATCGTCAGGATTGGTGGGTTCCTCGATGAAAACTGGCTCGAATTCAACCAGGTGCTTCATGTATTCGATTGCCTCAGGCACACTCCAGACCTGGTTTGCATCGAGCATGATCTTATATCCCTGATCATACCCGAGGATCTCTCGGACCGCAGACAGCCTTTCCCGGTCGACTTCGATGTTTGTTCCAACTTTGAACTTGAATGTGTCGTATCCGGCAGCGACGGTGTCTCGGAGGACCTCTTTCATCCGGTCTCCAGAGAAAGCCAGCCAGCCAGGAGAGGTAGTATAGGCAGGGACCGCTCGGTTTTCAAGGGCTTCCTGAAGGCGAGCCACTTTGCCCTTCTGCGTTTTGTTGAGCATCGCAATACTTTCCTCTGGCGTGATAACATCGGTGATGTACCGAAAGTCAATACATCTAACGACCTCCTCGGGACTCATGTCACACACAATTTTCCAAACAGGCTTGCCGAGGATTTTGCCCCAAAGGTCCCAGACCGCATTCAATACCCCAGCTACTGCTAAATGGGTGACGCTCTTCTCCGGACCAATCCAGCGGTACTGCGAGTCGGAGACCATGTATCTCCATGTCTTCCCCATATCGCGAGTAAGCACATGCATCGTCTTTCCAACGACTCGTTTTGCGAAGATTTCCAGCGCCATACAAATCAGCTCGCTGCCTCGGCCATTACTGAATGCCTAAGATAGGTTCGCGTTAATGTCTGTTGCAAGCATTGCTAGCAAAGCCTCAAGCTTACAATACCCTCGCCCACCAGATCTTTCTGATTTGTCTTCAGCCGAATGTAAGGATGCGAGCCGTTGGTGCCAACATGCATGGCATCCGAGCCGACGCCGTCCAAGCTTGTAGGAAATCGCAGGTCGACGATCTCAAAAGAGGTGACCGTGACATCATGTTCCGTGACTGGAAGATGGGATCCCATGGTGATAGACCGTAAGAGGAATTGAATCGACGAAACCTTTGTCAACGAATAGGATCACAAACGAATCGCATATAAGTAGGAGAGGAGAGGACACAAGAAATAGGGAAAAAGGCGCAAAATATTGAGGGCAAGCTCTCCGTGCATATAAGATATCTTTGTGATTAAATTTGCAATGCCAATTCAATTTCGGAGAAACGCCGATTGCATCGTAGATACAGAAACGCGGAGAAGCTCTGCGACCCCACATGGACAGGTTGGTGGAGCTGCCGCCTCCCCCCGCTGGATAACCATTTGAGGACTTTAGAAGGATGGTGGAGCACTTCACGTCGCTTGGACGGCAAGACCATCGAATTGAACGATATAGGTCTTCGGGCGGAGATGCAATGCATCAGCAACCGTAAGGTTAGTTTCGGTGAAATGAAAGCCTGGCCCGCTGCTGTACTTTCCCGTTGCTAGAAAGCCGCCTGATACCTGGCGATAGAAAAAGCCATGAAACACTATATGCGCATTTGCCTACGCTCATACGGTCAAGAATATAGAAGGTGGAGGTACTTAAGCCGTCCTTTTCTGTTTTGGGTAATCTATCAAGTTAATGTGACGTGTAGTGTAGGTATTCGTCACTGAGAGGACATTGTGCTTAACGCAATGGCTTGTGCTACAAGGTCCTTCACGGTATCTCGGAAAGAGTGATACTCATACCCCAATTCCTTCGCGACAGTCTGTCCATCCAAGCCGCACGAGTCATCAATTGTTTGCTCCTCTTGTGACACCGTGCCGTTCAAATGCGGAAACTCCTCCCTCATGATCTTTGCAGCCAGACCATAAGAAAATCGCTCTGGAGATGATGGCACATATCGTTTGCCACCTACCTCACTGCGAAGTAACGACTCCACATGTGCAGTAGCAAGGTCGCGGACGTCGATCCAGAAGGGGACTCGGGAAATAGGAAGAGGGTTCGTTCCCTCGGCAATCTTCCACAGCATCGCATTGGATTCATTGAGATCCTTCACGTTGGAGACAGGGTGCACTATCGGCCCGAAGGTCATTGGCGGGCACAGTGCGACGAGGTCAAAATTTGGACTGTGTTCGTCGATATATTTCCAGGCCTCGAGTTCCGCGAACTTCTTCGAGCCACGATACGCGATGACGGCGTTTGTTGCTGGATCCACCGATTCTTCGTATGTGAGGGGGTTCCAGTCCGCCCCGGTGTAGGTGAAGTAAGGCGGACCCTTTCGATTTATATCGATAACGGACGCAAACGAAGAAGTAAGGACGATGCGAGTTATCTGGGGGTTGGTGCTAGCAGCATCGAGAACCGCACGTACACCGTTGATGGCAGGGATAACGAGCTCTCGCTCGTTGTTGACTGTGTTGTAGGTGAATGGCTACACGAGAACAGAAGGTCAGATAACTTGTAAGCTGTTGAGGCTAAAGAGGCACCCTTACACTGGCCGTGTGAATCACCCCGTCTACTCCCCTGACGGCTTCCACGAGACCCCCAGGATTTTCAAAATCGGCAATCTGAACGAATTCGAGCATTCCTTTATACTGCGGGCGCTTCTTTAGCATCGCATCGCCTTTTTCCAGTGAACGCGTGGCTCCCCGCACGCGCAGGCCGCGAGCAAGCAGCGCATCGACTATGTGGGCGCCGATGAAGCCAGTTGCGCCTGTCACCAGAACGAATTTCGGCATTTTGTTATGATTTGAGTTGAATGACAATTGGTCAGTAGGCCCTGGGGAGATGCTGCAAGAAAAAGAAGAGAAAGCCCGTCTGAGCGGTGTCTAAGACCCTTCTGGGTCACGTCGCAGACTATTCCCCCATCATTCCCCCCCCATCTCCGCGTGTCTGGAGGTGGAGCTGCCGCTTCCCCCCGTCCGAACCCCATATCCCAACCCCCACGAGGAATAGGAACACCCCGGATTTCCACCTCTACCTCTGCGTCTGTAGGTCACCGGGTTTGTCCTTCCGGGTCATTTAACTTTGAATTAGAGCTAATCCTGCGGGGAGAAAACCAGACGGGGGTCGCGCAACGCCCCAAGCCATAGGCCACGAATACGCGGACCTCGGAAGCAACGCGAATATTTAATCTCGCAAGGGCCTCGTGGGTTGATCTCCGCCATTCTTGAGATGACCGGCACTTTTTGAAAACCTTTGAGAGATCCGTTGTCTCGATAGGATCAGCATTCCGGCAGTCAACGACCGACCTGTCTTCCCAAGACCCCAAAACGTTGATCCTGGAATCAAGTACAGATAAGATCAATCAAAATGCCGAAAGCAAATCTTTCGGACCGGCTCAGTGGGACATGGCTTATCACTGTCATCACGATAGCAAACGCTTGGTGTGTTGACGCTTAGAACTTCCGAGGAAGGTCGAAGAGATGGCTAATTTGTAGAGCAGCTCAATGGCATGGTTTGGCTACGACCAGGGAGTGTTTTCTGGAGTGCTCATCTCAGCCGATTTTCAAAAGCATTTCCCTCAAACCAAGAATTCCAACATCTCCGGAATTACTTCGAGCTGCTTCTCTGTAAGTTTCCAATTCTCTCTGGAGTACTGTCCAATCTCTCATACTGGAATCCAGCTTGGTGCCTTTTTTGGCGCTATTTTTGCCTTCACACTAGGTGATAAGCTTGGTCGCAAGAAGACGATTGCTCTCGGACTAGTCTGCAACACGGTTGGCGCAATTCTGCAGGTCGTCTCGTGGGCTTTTCCTCAACTGATTGTCGGTCGCGTCGTCAACGGATTTGGCATGGGCATGACTTCTTCCACATGCCCTGTTTACCAGGCTGAGTGTTCGAAGCCTCGGGTACGTGGTAAGCTTGTCGCACTGGGCTCTCTTTCTAACACGGCTGCTTTTTGCCTCGCCAATTGGATGAACTTTGGCCTGTATTTCCAGGGCCAAGCGCTTCAGTGGAGATTTCCGCTCGGCTTTCAGCTCATATTCCCCGTAATAGTTACTTTGGCACTCCTTTTCATTCCTGAATCCCCCAGATGGCTGCTACTCCAGGATCGCCATGACGAGGCGCTGCAGGTTATTGCCAGATTGGAGGGCAAAAGCAACAGTCCTCACGATCCCGATGTCACAGCTCAGTTCCTATCTATCCAATCAGCGCTGGAGGTTGAGCGCAAAGATTGCGTGCCCACTATGGATGTGTTGATGTGTCGCGACAAGACGCAGAACCTTCGCCGGCTGCTATTATCTTGCGGTACTCAGTTCATGCAGCAGTTCAGTGGAGTGAATGCCCTGGGATACTACCTTCCCACCCTGCTTCAGGAGAGTGTCGGGCTAGGAGAAGAGGAGAGTCGTCTTCTTACTGCGGTCAACGGAACCACTTACCTCTTCGCTGCATTCTGCTGTCTGCTGATCATTGATCGCTTTGGTCGTCGCAAGTAAGTTGTTCGATGATCTTAGTCTTCCCACAACAGTACTTTTTTATTATGCTAACTCACTTTTAAGGCTCATGCTCTATGGGTCTTTGACTATGGGAGCGTGCTACTTGGTTGCAGCTATCTGCCTCAAGACTGGCGAGAGCGACCCTTCACGTAAACAGCTGGTACGTCATCCTTGTCCGCAATGCTTTCTCGCAACTGATGAACCTAGATGGGGCAAGTGACAACGTCAATGTTTTTCCTGTATTACTTCTTCTACGGAACAAGCTATGCCAAGGTTCCGTGGGTATACAACTCGGAAGTGAATTCGCTTGGCTGGCGGACTCGAGGTGCTGCCGCAGCAACCGCAACCAACTGGATGGGTGGCTTTATCGTCACTCAGTTCACCAGCGTTGGCGTTAACAATCTTCACTGGCGGTTCTATTTGAGTAAGCTACTTTAGCACTTTCTACCTACCTCAGCCACTGCTAACTCATAGATTCTAGTTTTTGCAATCATCGCGTGGTGTTTTTTCCCAATAGTCTTTCTTTTCTATCCTGAGACCTCGCGACGTACACTGGAGGATATGGATGAAATTTTCATCCAGAATCCGTCTTTCATTGTGTGTGGCAAACGGGAACTGACACAGCGCGAGCGACCACAGGCTTTCATCGACGCAGAAGGGGACCGAATTGTAGAGAACACGGAGATGGGAAGGGAGATAATGAAGCGTGCAACGGCTACTCACCATGAGCGAGTTTAGTATGAACTAGACAAGTCTCGAAGGCTATTTTCTCAAAGTGAAAGTTTTACTATATTGTCAATAAATGATCGTAGATTGAACGCTATGGCTCGACCACGGGTTCCGACGAGCCAGTTGAACGATATGTAGTCATATAGGAAACGCCTAAATCAGCCGCGATTTTCGTAGGCGATTGCCATGGATCAAAGGCATATGTAATTGTAGACCGAGTTAAAACACAAAGTTCAGCATTAGTTTTTCGATTTCCACTTATTTCGGTCTCAAACTAATGCGTGGTTGTTGAGTAAATTAGGGGGGAAATAGGGGACGTCGTATACGCGCTGAACTTAGGGCGGTGTAACCAGACTAAAATGACAGGTTGGGTGTTAGGGTTGGTATAAACATCTACAAAGTAAACTATTGCAAATCCCAGAGGTGATGGGTTGATTTCTCGCACAATGCAGGAAATTGTACAACTAAACAAACAGAAAAACAAATGTTTCATTCATCCCAATGCTGCAAGCAGTTTAGCGCTTCTTGATGCTGATGTCAATCTTTCCGATCAACCACGCCGCGACAAAGAGCGACAGCACACCCGCGAACATCGTGGCCGGCTTACGCAGGGAGTCTACCAGCGAGTGCTCGTAGGTAACCTATAATTTCACTTCATTAGCATCTGCTTCTTTCAATATTGAACATTCATTACATACCACGAGCTGCGCGTTGCGCGCTTCATCGGTTAGACTGTCAACCTCCAGAGTCAGCGTGGTGCGACCCAGCGTGTCCATATAAGTCTTGAGCGAGGACAAATGCGAGGCAATGTGGTTTGCGCCAGGAAGACCGTTGCTGGAAGCACCATCAACAGTCTGGAAACGGACATTGTGTGCACCCTCGGGGAGAACCACACGCACGACCACGCGCTCATACTGCACGCCCTCCGGTACCTTGGGCCCCTCGAGGAACGGCACCTTGAGCACGTACGAGTCAGAGCCACTGACAGCACGGCGCAGGTACCGCGTCAGATCCTGGTTCCAGCCCACGCGGAAGCTGTAGTTCCAGCCACCGAAGATCGGGTACCGGGGCTTCAGCTCCAAGTGTGCGGGGGTCTTGGCCGTGCCGGGACGGAAGCGACTAGTCGAGACGTTGCCAATATCATCGGTGAAGTACGGGTCGACCGAGCCTGGTTGCAGCGGGTACACGATCTCGCGCACCGCGGACGAGGGCAGTTTCTGGTAGTTGGCGAGCGTCCACTCGACGCGCGAGAAGTGATTGATCAGCTGCGACGCGTTGTTCCGCAGCCAGTATCGCTCCTCTGTTGCCAGGTTACCGCCCCAGTGCGACACTTCCAGGTCGCGTTCCAGAAGGTGGGCGGTGATCACCGGGTGGGTGAACTCATACCGCACGGTAATCGGGTGCTCGGTGCCGGGGGCCACCTTGGCGGTGTTGTAGGGTCCGTATGTGTAGGTCGCGCCCTTACGTTCGGGATCCTCGCCTGAACCAGACTTGATGCCGGAAGTGGTTGTGTAGTCGGGTACCTGGGTGTTGGGGAACTTCAGTTTGGTCTTTTGCGTGACGGTCTGGTAGGCTGAAGGCACATAGGCTGAGAAGGTGTAGCTCAGGTACTGCTGGTCGGCCTGGTTGATGGTCGCCGGACGCGGGTGGACAGAAGACAGAATTGAGTACGAGATTCCCAGAGTGATTTCGGCCTTCGGCGCCAGGGGCTCAGAGAGGTGTACCACGAAGTATTGGTTGCCGCTGTTGAATTTGTTGGTCAATTGGTCATCTGCTGGGATAATTGACACTTACCTGGACGGATCAACCTCCGTGGCATCTACCTCGAAGCGGCCCTTTTCTGGGGCTTTCTTGTCCCGGACCTCGAAACCTCCAACGCGACCAAACACCTGTGACGGGAAAGGGATGTAGTAATCGCTCTGCGGCTGCTTGTCGGTATTCTCCACGACAACATTGATAGTCTCCCGCACGTAAGCCTTCTCCAGGTTGGTGTTGCGCACGAGGTTGGTGTTCTTGAAGACCTGCGGCACCTTGAAGTCGGCCGGCAGCTCCACGCGAGACGGGTTGGCGGCAATGCACAGGCTGGGTGCAAGCAGCCCGAGCAAGGCAGAGTATAGCCTCATTGTGTGAGGCTGGAGAACAGGCAATTGTTCTCCGAAATAGCAAAGTTGGCGTGGGGGTGATGCAATTGATGGAGGCCACGAAGCTGATGAGGTGTCCCCATACAACTTGCTACGGCACGCGTGGCGGCCATACTACGCAGTCCGCTTATCGCGATAACGGCAGCTCTTCTACTGCTTCCCTTCTTTCTGCTGTACACACAGCCACACACAACTGGGCCATAGGGGTGTGGTTCTGCTAGCTGCCTGGTATTTATTACTTCCTGGTATATCCTCCCTCACAATGGTTTTCTGGCGGGCTGCAGCACGCCCCAGCTGTCTCCGAGCTGCAGCATCACGACCATCGCGTCTGCGCACCTACCATGAGCTGGCCCAGAGCAGGTTCCTGCAGGTCTCAGAAGAAGTCCGCGATGCAGTAGCTACGGGAAAACCGGTCGTTGCCCTTGAGACGACAATTTACACACACGGTAAGTGTCTCTCGGTTCAATTTCAGGCGAAACAGCCCCCTCCATCCAAATGCGGGGAAGGCTAATTCGGGCATAGGGTTTCCTTACCCGGACAACGTGGCGCTTGCGTCGCTATTGGAGTCCGTCGTTCGACTGAATGGCGGTGTTCCGGCGACTGTGGGCATTTTGGGAGGTGTTGCGCGGGTTGGCCTGACTGCGGACGAGCTGATCGAGCTGGCCGCGACGGCGGAAACGAAGAGCGCATTGAAAGTGTCTCGTCGTGACCTAGGATACATCTGTGGTCTGGTGGGTTATATGGGCTATACTAAGGAATGATAAGAGTGTATTAGCTGACGTGGGGCAGGGAATGGCTGGAAAACGCATCCATGGCGGTACGACCATTTCTGGCACGATGGTGCTGTCGCATCTTGCCGGTATCAAGATCTTTGGCACTGGCGGCTTAGGTATGTTGGTGATGACTCGCACGAATTTTCTCTGACTGTCTATAGGCGGTGTTCATCGTGGAGGTGAGACGTCCATGGATGTATCTGGTAAGGAGCCCGTAGACACCAACAAATTCCTGCTGCTAATGGCTTTCTTCAGCCGACCTGACTGAGCTGGGACGCACCCCCGTGACGGTCATCAGCTCAGGATGCAAGAGCTTTTTGGATATCCCGCGGACTCTTGAGTATCTCGAGACGGAGGGAGTTTGCGTCGGCACGTTTGCAGATGGCAGAGAGGGCCCCGTCGACTTCCCTGGTTTCTTCACGCGTGAGAGTGGAGTGCGTAGTCCTCGGGTCATTCAAGATGAAGCAGAAGCGGCTGCCATCGTTTGTAAGTGTGTTGGCGTTTTCTCGATATCTTCGTGTTAACTCGGATGCAGATGCCCAGTCAAAATTGCCGGTATCCTCTGGGATTCACTTTGCCAACCCTGTCCCGTTGGAATACTCCGTGCCGAAGGCCGATATGGATCGCATCATTGAAGAAGCCCTCCGGCTTGCCGATGCAGAGGGCTATCGTGGCAGTGACAATACCCCCTTTGTCCTGGCCAAGATCAAGGAATTGAGCGGTGGCAGCAGCTTACCAGCTAATCGTGCCTTGGTGGAGTCGAACGTCAAGCGTGCAACCAAGGTGGCCGTGGAGTTGGCGAAACTAGAACAGTCGGACCGAAGCGCAGGGGTCCGGTGAGTGGCGGTCAGATATGTCAAATAGAATCAAATGCTAAGTTCGGAGTTCTTCTACATAGGCACATGCCAGCTGTTTCGGGTGTTACTCAAGCAGCAGAAAAGAAACCAGAAATCCCAACTACCCCTCATGAACCGGTTGCCAGAACAGATATCCTGGTCGCAGGCTCCCTCGCCATCGACCTTTCCTGTGACTACACCCCGTTCGGCGACGAGCGTGCCCAAGTGGCGCCTTTACCGCACACATCCAACCCAGCCGCCATCGGGCAAAGCCTGGGAGGCGTAGGCCACAACGTCGCCTTGGCTGCCAACTATATCGGTGGTAATGTGCTCTTCTGCAGCGTCGTCGCCGACGACCTCAGCGGTCGCGCCGCGCTCTCTGCCCTCGAAAAGGAAGGTCTTAGTACAGCAGGCATCCAGGTCCTTCCCGCCACACCTGGCACACGCACAGCCCAATACATAGCCGTCAACGACGCCAACAAAGAGTTGCTAGTCGCCATGGCCGACATGGGCATTTTCGAGTTCCCAGAGAATCAGCTTGATTTTGACGGCTTCTGGGAGCCCCTGCTGCAGCGCACTCAGCCGCGCTGGGTCGTCGTCGACGCAAACTGGCGGGCCGAACTGCTGGCTAAATGGACCACGCTAGCCCGCAAGTACGGCGCCCGCGTAGCCTTTGAGCCCGTGGCCAACGCCAAATCCAGGCGTTTGTTTGGAAGAGATTCCAGCGGCGCCGGTGCTACTATCGGCCCTGAGCACACACTGCCCAACCACGCCATCAGCCTCGCCTGTCCGAACCGCCTCGAGCTCGCGGCCATGCACGGTGCTGCTCGAGATGCTTCCCTGTTTGACTCCCCGGGCTGGTGGCGCCTCATCGATGCAATGGGTCTATCACCGGCTGGCTCGCGGGATCGTCTCGTCGCTTTGACCTCCCCTGCTCTCGTTGATGAAGGCCTCCCCCAGCAATCTCTCCAGCTTCTCCCGTTTATTCCTTGCATTCTCACCAAGCTCGGCTCGGCCGGCGCTTTCCTCACTCAGCTTCTTCCCCCCGGTGATGCCCGACTTACGGACCCGGATGCTGCATCGTATATCCTGGCGCGCACCTCGCCTTCGGCAGACGTTCCCTTCGGCGGTGTGTACATGCGCCTGTTCCCGCCCGAGGCTGTTATCCAGCCCTCGGATGTCGTCAGCGTCAATGGCGCAGGCGATACCCTGCTGGGTGTTTTGATTGCTGGTCTCGCGAGGAGTGAGTCCGCTCGAGTTGAGGACATCCTCCCCGTGGCCCAAGAGGCGAGCCGGAGGACGTTGGCGAGCCCTGGCGGTGTGAGTGCTGATTTGGTTGGGCTGCGCACATCGCTGGTGCAATAGAACAGAACCGAGCACTATGGCGTTTTTGATCTACTAGCACTTCTTGTATAACATAAAACTTGCATCATTATACATAGTCCATTACAGTCCATTCATCCTGGGCACCAAACTCCTATCCAACAATCCAACCTGCACAAGCACACTCGCCTGATCCCAATACACCTTCTGGCTCGCAATCCTACCAGCATAGAAACTCGCCACAACGACAACCACCATCTGCACATCGCGGTCCGTCGGTGCCACACCCGGGAGCAGCCAGGGGATTTCTGCGGTGTGGCGGAATGAAACCTGCACCTCATCCACAATCCGGCCGAGGCCTACTGTTCTGGACAGAAGCCGAATGTGCTGGCTTGCAGGGCCAGTTGAGATGAATGAGTGAGAAAAGAAGGATCCGAGGGTTGGCGCGTTGTTTCCTGGAATCGATCAGCATCCTTCCTTCCAACAATGTAAAAAAGAAATAAGACAGTAAACTCACCACCACCAGCAGTAGGAACACATTCCACCCCCAAGTCCTCTGCCCAAGTCCCATGCCTCTCATCCACAAGCAACCCCGTCGCCGATTGCGCTTTTTCAATCTTGTGCTTTCCACTCCATAATCTCATCCAATAGGCTTCCCAAACGGTCTCAATCCCCTGCACCGGCCAATGGGCACCTACTCCAAACGAACGCCGTAGACAGCCCAGCATACGGCTCCACGCCAGCTGCGAGCTAGCCGCGTCGTTTTCCAAGCCATTGTCTAATACAGGCCCTGGGTCTGGTTCCGGGTATTCGAATACGTAGCATCGATGCCGCTTTTTATAGGTGACGTCTCCTTCAGAAGGACTGGCGCTTATCCACGGCCATGGACATCCACCGTTGTTGCATTCTGGGTGATGGCGGCCCGCGATGTGGATCTGGATGGGGAGGTAGGTCGTTTTTGTTTCGGGGGAGAATATGGTGTCTGTTTTCATGCAGGCTGGTTGGTGATCCTCTTCTTCGTCGTCCTCATTATCATCTTGTTTTTGGAATTGGCTTGCTTCATGTCTATGAACGGCCGTGTACCCACCAGTGGGGTTTGATTTTGGTGTTAGGAGAGGATAATAGGCAATCAGCGCACACAGTAGAGGAAACGGATTCGTATTGCTGGCACTCAGATGGTGCGATGCAAGGAGGAGATATGCAGGACGGTGATATGCTTTTTTTTCATTGTCAGCCATCAGCATTTCCCTCTCCCGTTTAGTTCCCATGAATAGGTCGGAGAACATACCAACAATCGCATATCTCTCCCCCGTCTCCAACTCATCCTCCTTCTCATGCACGAGATTCTCCAACGCCTTGCGATCCCGCTCGAAATCACCACCTCCCCCAAATGGGATGTGTGTGACGTCGAATCCCTCGGCCTGGAAGGGCTGGACGCAGCGCGGGCCGACGTATCGCGTGTCTGAGATGAGGATGAGATGGCGGAATATGCGTTCTTCGGCGGCGCGGTCGTGGTGTCTTTTGGTGGAGCTTGCGCTGGTTGTTCGGTGCACATGGGGACGTGCATTATTGTCGGCTGGGTTGGGTGCGGCCGTCGCCGTGGAGGAGTTGGCGTTCGAGCTCGGGTGGATTAGACGGCTGAGGAATCCCATTTCTGTTTCTGTTTCAAGGTATATCTAGAGTTGTGGAAAAGAGAGGTCTGTATCTTGGTGTGACGTCGACGAGACTATACCTCCGATAAGATAGAGGGGAGCTGATTTCCGCTTTGGGAAGTGCTGCTTCCAAAACTGCCACTATATAGGGCACAGATGGTGTAGTAGTTAGTCTAATATGCGCTAATATGATACTTATTGTACTCTAAAATCCTACTAGCCACTTCGTCTCCTCCCCAACCTTCGCAGCCACCGTCCCCTCCTCCCCAAGATAACACCGATACGCCTCGCGCATCAGACTCTGCCGCGCAACCTCGCAGTCCACCCGAATATCCTCCACCAGTGCCTCCAGCGACACATAGTCGTACTCGGGTCGGATATACCCCAGGATCAATAGATGCAGCGGCGTGCCGTAGAAGTCCGGCAGGCGCTGGAACTTGGTTTGGCCTTCTGCTGTGGGGGAGGGTTGTGTGAGGGGGGGCATAATGTGGATTTCCTGGATTTATTTCAGTTGTTAGAAAGAGAAATAGGAGAGAGGGAATTGCTTTTGTATATATAATAATGGTGATAAGAGATGGAAGGACAGAGGGTGGTGGGACGTACAACGGAGCGAACGGTATTTTTATAGAATGGATTATATCCAATACTCAGCACAGCCGGGAGAATAGTGGGTTTCTCTGTTTCTTGGCCTTCATATTTGAACTTCGTCGGGTCCAGAGCCACGACACCGTAGTAAACGCCCGTCATCAGGTCGGGGTATTTCTCGGAGAGATCGTCGACAGGGATGTTGGCAGTGGGGATGCCGAGCTGTGAAGTGGCAATTGAGGTTAACATGGTTTTACCAGTCTATTTTTTCGTCTTCTTCTTTGTGGAATATGCACACATGCATGCGGCTGCTGCAGCAGCAGCAACATAACGCATAGGATAGACAGCAGGGGCCGAACCGTACATCTTTACTCCCGCGTCCGAATCCCTTGATCACGGGCCCGGACAATCGGATGGGAAATGGAGCTTCTGGGCCCGTTTCAGGGCCGGCAACGGGGTCGCGGGGTTTGTCGGGGCGCATATTGGAGTTGGTGTGTGGGCGAGCAAGTTCCCGGTGTGGTGTTGGACAAGGATGAGGCCGAGATGGGGATATAGGATGTGTGCCGTGCGGGCAATGGATCGTAGGTCAGATCGGACAAGTAGAATAGTAGTTCAGCTGTCCCTCGAAAACTGGAGAGAGCCGAAGAGTGGGAATAATGAGATGAGCAAGAAGAAGAGGTGAAGTGGGGTTGGGATTATCGACGATAAGCCCGCCTGAGGCATCGCTTGACAGGGCCTGTGGATTCGATTGTATAGTTGCTCTACTTCAAACAGATAATAGATAAACAGACAAATGCAATTGCATTCAAGTTATTATCTCATACATCCAATAACCCGTGGGAGATACCGTGGTATTTTTTTTCGGTGGTCCCTTTTTTGAGCGCCGGAAAACCAGATCAGAAGACATATCGACAGGAACAACACAAAAACACCATAATATACGTGCAAGACGGAAACAACAAAGGACACGGAGGAAACAGAACTAGAACGAAAAGTAAATCAAAAACGAAAACAGCGGGGGAATCATACAGTCCCAAAATCGAACATGTACACCAGAAATAAACAGTAAAGAAGAGACAGGGTTTGTGGAAAACGCTTGTCGAGGGTATGGGAATGGGAAAAAATAGAGGGGACAAACAACACACAGAAAAAGGAATCAGATACACGGCAAGAACTGTAGACCAGGTTAGCAACAAGATCTCCCTCCTCCAGTGCACAAGAAACTCACATTCATCACAATGAGCATAGGAATGTCGAAGACATCACGCTTAACCGTCCAGCAGTACGCGCATTCGACCTTTCCATCCTTGAATCCGAGCTGGTTCATACCCGCCTCGCCGGCAATGCCGCCCTTGCGCAGGTGATTATTCCACTTGCCCTCATCCGAATGCGCCAGCTCCATGTCCTCTTTGGTCTTGTACTTGAGCAGCTTGCAGCGTGTCATCACGCTTCCACGCGAATCACCAAACGCGAGCCGGGCAAAGTCCTCGTAGAACTCGACCACGCTGTCGTCATCCAACAGTTCGGCAAGGAACACTGGTTGGGGGCGTCCGCTGCCAGTGGAATTCTCGAGGGTCGAGCTTCGCGGTGTGAAACTGCCGCGTGATGTCGTGCCAGATTGTGGCACTGATGATCCGCCAGTATTGACGTTGAGGTTCGATTCTTTCCCGAGTAACACGTCTTTCTTCCAGCCGGTCAGGATACTGAACTCCTTGCCCACGGCGGCGATCTCGCCGGTGCGACGACAGACGATCGTCGGGGTACCGCACGCATTAATGAAGTCTTCATATTCCCACAGCGTCCGCTGGAAGCACTTCTCCATGAACACGAGATCATCCCGATTCAATGTCTTGGTGGTCGCAATGAACGATGGCCGGATGGATGCCAGCGCTTTGGCAATGCGCACCGTCTTCTGTGGTGAGAACCGTCGTTGGATAAAGGCCGTCAGACTGTGGAACCCAGTGGTGTAGGCGTACGGCTCCTTCACGCTCTCATAGATCGACGACGGGTTGCGCTGACGCCGTTTCGGGCCCACTTGGAGAGACTGATGCTTCAAGCTGGGCGTTGAGATCAGCGGCCGCTGTCCATTGGGCGCAAGGCTATTCGACTTGGCGGCGACCACATTATTGAAGGAAGGATCCTCAACCCCAGCGGTCGGGATATGCGGACTAGTGGCTGAGCCGGGGCTCGTGAAGTTTGCTGGGCCACTCTCGATTGCAAAAGCATGAGGCGCATCATGTTTCATGTGGCCCGGAAGCATGCCGTTTTGGCCATATACTCCGCCGACGTTCACATGGCCCGAGGCCTGTCCGCTCGACCAGTCGTTGAGCATGGGATCACCAAACATGAAAGGCTGATTGTTCGGGCTTTCCCCAAACCCAGGAGCTGGCGTGGAGAACTGGGCTGACCCACTGCGGCCGATCGACCCGCGCTGCGTTGCAGAATCGCTGGGGGAATCTCCAGCTCCCGTGGCCATGTGACCAAGCATGCCAAACTCTAGAGCACCGTATCGATTCTCAAAGTTCATGCTGGACAAGTCGAAATTGAACAGCGCTGGATCACTGGGATCGAAGAATGGCCCCGCAAATGGATTTTGACCCTGACTAGTATCTCCGGAGAGCGCGGTATTAGGCGTGGGCTGGTTCACGGTCGAAGAGAGACTGGCATTCCGGCCGTTCTGGGTATTCTTCATGTTGAACGTTGGCGACATAGGAGACTGGGTGGTAAAGGGACTCTGGCCCATCGAAGGTTCCTGAAAGACGTTGTAAGACCCCGGTTGTGACTGCGCCTGCTGCGGCGTGGGATAGAAATTGCCATTGGCCCCGGCATTCGAGGTTTGTGGCTGCGCATTCGCAGTAACTGCAGTGGTGCCATTTCTGGGCATATTGTTGCGCACAGAAGTTTTGTTGTTGTAGAAGTTGTTACCACCGGCTCCGGGCATCAAGGCTCCGTCCGGGGCGTCGTGCAGATACTTGGCCTTTTTGCGTACACCGTCATGGCAAGCATCCTGGAGGCCGCGCTTGATACAGCGCTGACATGGCCGCTCGTCACCTATACGTAATCAGTCAGCAGCCCTCAAAAACAAGTAGCAAAGTGTCTCACGTACCGCAAGTCAAATGGGCGCGCTGGCAGGCAAAGCAGGCACGCCGGGCCTTCTTCCGACGCGGTCGCGAGGGGTCCTTGGCGTTCGCCTTGGCCATTTTACCATTTTTCGGATTCTGCTCTGAGTGCTCGGTGATATCAGGCGAGTCACGATCCCCACTGCTGGGATCCGCCGAAGGAGTCGGAGAGCCGTGTTTGACCACCGCGCTCATTTCGGCATATGTTCTGAAGGTCTGACACTTAGTAGGTCACGATCTGTGCCTTGTCACTTGGGTCTGAAACACGCGACTTAGTGGCGACGGGACCATGCGCGCACTCGACCTCTCGGGTATGCGCGAATTCGACAGTCTTGTCTTGTCCGGAAAGCGATCGCGAAATGATCGGTGGCTTTGGTTCTGGAATCCTCTCAAAGGCGGGTCTTCAATCGTAATATTGCGCGTTCGCGACCACCGCTGGCGGGGGAGGCCGAGTCACGGGTGTAACGGGGAACAATCGACTCGATGCACGGCGGGACCAGGGTGAAGTGCCGCATTGAAGGGACCGCAGGGCGAGCTCGGTTTTGAGGAGATCGGCGCAGCGCTGGAATGACGTGAGGCGCAAAAAACCGAGCGGGATGAACGACGGCGAGTAGCGAATTGGAGTGGAGAGGGGACGTGGGCAGAGAAGACTGCGGGGAAGAAGCAGAAAGACCGACGGTGCTGGACGAAGTCGAGTGAAGTTCCTGGTCAAGCCGGGTCGGACAGGCGGGGAGGGTCGACGGAGGAAAGGAAGAGACGACCAGGCGCGGGGAAGAAGAAGAAGTGAATGGTTCACTCCAACAAAATGTTCCCGTGACTCTCTCTACGTTCAGCCCAGTTGCAAAGAAGAGGAAAGAGGCTGACAGAAAGAAATGACTCTGGATCTAACTTCCTCTTCTCCATACTTTCACCATTCCTAGCTGGGTTACCTAATGAAATTCGCGCATGCTGAACTCAGTACTCAGCACTAACTATTGAGGATTCCACGGAGTCTACCCCGACGAACGACTACGCGAACTACAAAAAACATGTCCATCTTGATAACTATTACTATATCGCTCCGAGGGAGCTGTGTAGACAGTGGGACGCGTTATTTTCCGCTGCGACGACCAGGGCGTATCGAACCGTATTGGCGCTGTGTCCCCGTATCTCACCCCGCCGGCGGCACGTGTGTAGAGGACTCTAGTGCGGCATCGAATTTCTGCAAGATTGAATCGTCGTGAGTTCGTTCAGTTAGTGACAGCATTATTATTCACCCACTTTCCGGCCATCCTGAGTGGTGAGGGTGAGGCTCTTCCCGAAAAATCCCTCTTCCGTAAAGTCCCGAGGCATCCTGTTCTTCGCCCCCTCGGTCGTGCCTCGGTTGGCTTCCGGGTAAGGCTCAACCAGGGCCACATGACGAGGGATACGCGCTTCACAACCAAGCGGTTACATATTATGATTATTTATTGTGGATTTATGTTAGACTGGACTGGATGTGCGGGTGGGTGGTCATCCATCCCGGTTTCTGACCAGTAGCTAGCCATGGCGGAGAGTCTTCTCTCGTGCGATTAAATATTACATAGGGAGGAGGATGGACAGGACAAGAACAATAGACCCGGCACGAGACCGGTTGCCTATTGCATTCCATTCCCAACTGCCCTGGTCCGGCACGCTGCCTCTTTATCCGCCAGGGCCACAGGATCGATTCGCGTATATTTGAGCTGGAATCTGCAGCTTGTGCCAGGTCTAATGCGACCATCCTGAAATAGCGATATTGCATTCATTGCAGTCAGGTCTGCGACGTGGCAAACCGACTCTTCTTGCGGATGCGACTCCCATATCGGAAGAAAATGTACCTGCCCGAGAAAATTGGAATCAGTATATGACAAGAACAAGATGTAGTGTCTGGTGGGCTGCGAGAGACCCATGCACTCTGGGCATTGCATGCGATCCACTGCAAGGATGCAGGGGCAATGCAAAATTGATGGGTCATAGCGCAGTGGGTATCAGAACGTACGGGAAAGGCGTCATGACCAGAGTCAAGAAGCCTAGTAATGTCGTTGCCCAGTGGAAACCGAGATTGTTATACACTGTACGGCCGTTAGCAACGACGCCCACAACAAAAGAGTCCCCATGCTCTCTGGGCCAAATGAAAGAAGCAGACCAGCCCGGTTCGACAGCAGAATGTATACATATACACTGCATGGCAGCACAGAAAAATGCCCAACCCCCGGTCCGTGGGATGAAAATAGCAACGGGCGAGGCAAACTTACTTTGGATACCGAATAGGGGGAAGATTCCTCCAAAGCTTGACCGCGAAAAGCTATTGGCGGCCAGTGCACTGGCGGCAAATGTTGGGTATGCATCTACCAGGAAGGTGAAGACGCCCGAGTACACCAGGATGGTGCTATGATTGCCAGTCAGTATCATCCCCACTAGAACCAATGTGAAGTGGAGGTAGATCTTACCCTGCACCGAACACGGCACTGCCAATGATAGGTGCAATCCAATGCACATCTGGGTAGATCGTCCATGCAAAAATGAAGAGCCCAATAGTGACCAGGGGTCCACCCAGGATCGCTGAGACAATTAGAAACGTTTTGTTGGTTGGTCCCAAATTGGACACTCACCTGGTGGAAGCCGCCACTCCGGCTGATAGTCATCGGTCTTTTGCGTGGCCTTTTCATGGTTGCGTTCCAAACGCTGGTAATTGCGGCGCCAGAACGGATCTGACAGGATAGCGAGGACCATGCCGACAAAGAGACCGATGAAACATAGTCCACGCTGCCAGAGCACCAGCCCATAGACCTCGTCAAAGACTAATTGGAAGGCACCGAAGAACAGGTACAGAATGCCCAGTAGGATTGCCGAGAAAATACACAGATTCAGGCACATAGGCTCCAGGGTCAGAAGGAGTAAAGGCCGGTACATGGAGCGCAGAACGGTTTGCGCCACCGACCGATTCAGTTTCTCGATCGGAGCTCTCCACCGGTCTTCTCCGGTTTCCTGGCGCAATTTTTGCGCCTTGCGCCTTAGGAGCCTGCGATTCAATGGATTAGTATATTGAACACGGATTTTGGTTTCATCACATACACTGGGTGGTATGTTTCGGGAACCAAGAAAAATATCGAAATCAGCAAAACCCCGGTCCATATCAAGAGTACGTAGAACGTCCAGCGCCTATTAAAACCATGAGTCCTGGTCAATTCCACAGCATTTACTTCGAACATACCATGTCGTAAACTGATTGATGAATCCACCCACTCTGTTGATCATCAGGTTAATCATCCGAGGCAAACCGCGGTTGGGGACGGGCAGGAAGCTTACAGGGGACCGACTTCAGGCCCGATAAACGGACTCGCCGTATAGAGCATCATGGGAAAGGCCAGTTCATGTCGATCAAACAAGTCACCCACAGTGCCACCAGCCACGCTCAGAAACGCGCTGCCGGCCAGTCCGTTGAAGAAGCGACACACGAGCATTGTTTGGATATTCTGCGCCACCGCGCATGGAATCAACCAGATCAGAAATAAGCTGAATGAGACGAGATAAATGTTCCGGCGACCGTAGAACTGAATCACAGTTAATTCCTTTTTCTTCGGGGGTGGTGGGATCTGGGCCATACCTCGGACAAGGGACTGAGAAATAGTGGGCCAATTCCTGTCGAACGAGATTGTCAATGGCTGATCCAAACAGAATCACAGATAAAAACGAACCAAGACCCCAAATGAAGAACGATAATCCCAGAGTGGCAACCTCCTCGGAGCAATTGAAATCCTTCATCAATTGATCGTATGTGGTGGTGTACATGGACGACGTGCAAGTCCTACACCCGTCAGCATCAACGATTTTTGACTTCACAAATTACCAGATATAGACCAAGCACTCACACACAGAGAGACCCCAAAGAAACAATAATAACAATCAACCACTTCCTCGCCTTGGTCATATTCCTCGGATTTATGGGGTCATTCTCATCCCAGGCAACCGTAAAGCGCTGTTCTTCATCCGTCTCTATAGTTCCAGCCTCACCACCTTCTTCGTCCTGTGGCCGATCACCGTGGATACTGATACCATCGTTTAGAGACCAGGAGGGTTCGAGGGATCGCGATGTCTGCGAGCGCAACTTGTGCAGTGGCGCCTCGCGCTGTTGTTCTCCATCGTCACCATCAGGGCCGTGAATTGGGGCGAAGACTCCTTCTTCAGACTTGGAATCCTCGAGTTCGTCATCGTGACTCTTTTCTGAGCTCGTGGGTTGCTCTACCGGGTCCATTGCAGTGAGTCCACAGAGCGTGGAACTCGGCTGAAACGAATGCGTGCGGGGGTATAAAACGATGACACCCGGGCAGGGTTTATATGCCCATGCGATTTAGCTCGGTGTCGCGCGCGCGTCCTCGATGATTAGCAAGCAACCTGGCGAACTAGTTAGCACCCCCCCGTGTGGCGTGATGACTCTTCGGGATCGCTGCAATGATGCGGGAATTGCAGCTTTGTGCAGTAGTTTTTCACCAGAAAGAAAGAAAGCACTCGCCCTGGAACTCGGCACTGGTGAAACTGATTTGCCAGGGGTGAGCTTTTCGCCGTATTTTAGTATGAATCCACTTTTTTTTTCTTGTGTTTGTGATAAGCCGCACACACGGCCGAGTGATATCATCCCCGCTGTGGCAATCGGGCCGAACGCCGATATGGGAACTAAGGTCGACGGATATAACTAGATCTCGGAATTACTGTATACTGTGTACGTCGCACTGCCGAGGCATCCGTAAAGCTTGGCCGATTCTCATGTAGTAGACGGACGTATGTTCAATTAACTGGCTACTCGCTAACTACCTAGCTAGTCCACTGGAAAGCAATAATAACCTAACAAAGCCCTTTTCTCCAAACCCAGCAGCACCCAAAACTCCTTAGTCACCCCAATGGGCCACTGATTTCAGACAAGGAAGATTACCCAATAAAACAAATACCCCGATTCCAATCACAGCTCCAAAGCAACCAGCACTGTACATGAATACCAACAAGCCATCTACAGCGCCTGCACCAGCTGGCTAGCCGGGACGCCATCGGCATTCTCCTCCGCCCAAGATCCCCACAGTGCGGGCTTGCCGCGGATCTTGAGGGGGCCGCCAATGGACTTGGAACCTTGCTCGGCCTGGACCGCATCTTTCGTGGCGAGCACCAAGACTTCGAAGAACATCTTGGTCGCATCCGCTTTGCTGGCTCGCTTCTCCGGCAGCAGGTCCTGGAACAGAACGCTCTTCTTCTGCTCCGGCTCACCCAGGCGCTCTCGCAGGATGTGCACGGCGTGCTGGGTGCCCATCGAGACGGGACCGCTGTCCAGGGGACGTGCAGGATCAAAGTCATCCAGCGGCTGTTGGATGCCATCGTCGTCGCTCATATGCAGTTCCTGATTCTCCTCGTCGCCAGGGAACTCAATCTCCGACTGCGGCAGAGTGGTATCGAGACCAATCCCTTCGTCCACCGCCACAATCGCTTCTTCATCGCCAAACTCCAAGGCCGGCACGTCGGCAGCCACGTCCATGTCGGAGATACCGCTGTCGCGCTTCCGCTTGAGTTCGCCAGCCTTCTTGACAGAGTCCAACGACAGCAGTCCACGAAGTTCGGGAGCCCAGCCACGACCACGCCCCTCGCCAAAGACGCTCGACACGAAGTCACCGTTCTGTTGCCGAGTCATCAACGTGAGCAAAACAGGATCGCGGGGCAGAAACGTGGCCGGCTTCAGAATCTGGGAACGATCTTTCTGGAGCGCCTTGACCTCGTTGGAGGACATGGTGGGTTCCTTATCCATTTCCATGAGCCTTTGGCGTTTAACACGCTGGCCATGCTGAGCAGCGTGCTCTTCTTGGTTCATCTCTTCTTCGAGTTGGTGCATCTGCGCCGATCCGGCATCCGAGAGCGGGCTCCCGGAGTCACGATGGAATCGATTCTCTTCCGCACGAGGAGTCAGGGCGCCGAAACCGTCGTCGTTGTCAAAGTCCAGGCCCAGGTCGTTCAAGTTGTCATGAGGACCATCATAATCCAAATTCATCTTGTCTGACTGAGCATCATCATCGCCAATGTCCAATTCCAGGTTAACGTCGTCGTTGAGCTTCCCAGCATCACTGATCATATCTTCTTCCATGGGGCGCGCTGGTGGCGCGTCACGACCAACTTCGATGGTCGTATCATCGTCGCCGATGTCAAGATCAACTAGAGAGGGGTCTTCAAGTCGCAGAGGCTCCTGAGAGACAGACCGTCGGAAAGTGCTGTCGGGAAGAAACTGGCTTCCAAAGTCCAGCTCGCCGGGGCGCTTGCCCCCAGATGACTCAAGGTTCAGATTCGAGGGAAACAGCAGAGACGTATCGAGATTCGTAAACAGGTCAGACTCGGTGAGAACGTCGGGAAGAGTAATGCCACCCGGCGCGACGACGGTACTCGTCAAGTCATTGTTATTTGTTAAGCGGAAAGCCTGCGAGGCGCGTATGGTTAGTTAATGCACAGGAACGTAACAGCGAACGGACGTACCATCTTGATTTTCATCAAGGCTTCGTTGCAGTCGTCGAGGAGGTAACGCGCTTTCCGACTGTAGATACGGACGACACCTAGCAACAGTTGACCGCTCAGACGCAGAGCCATGGGCGCCTGGCCCTGATCAACGATGGCACTGACACTGCTCTCAATGTCGGACTGGAGAATGTGCGACTTGGACAGTTTGCGCTCAATGTTGGCCGACAGCCAGACGCGGGCCAGCGGCCCCGTCTTGGACAAGAGGGTCTCCGAGTAAAACATGGTGGACAAGCAGGATTACACAAGGCAGATCCAAGGCAGGCCCTCCCAGCGTGGGCTCGGGGCGTGGAGAGACTCGAGTCACCAAATGAGACGACGCGCTTGAAACCAGGAAAACAAAAACGAGGCGACCCCTATGTTGGTTTCGCGCACGGCAATAGAAAAAACCAAGGGCTGCAATCAGAGGATGAATTCAACACAAATAGACGCGTTAAGACCAAACCATCGAGGCGGATGGGATTTGAGGGGGTTGGGGAAGGAGGGGAGTAGCGCGACAGAGGGTTGAGTTGGCAGAGAAACCAGCGAGGAACGACAGATGCGCGTCCACATTCCGGCTGACCTAATGGAGGGGGCTGGGGTGTGAACCACGTGACCTCGGGCGGACACTCGGAGTTTATACCATGTACAGTAAGTAGTAGCATGGCCCAAACATGGCTACGGCATAGACCACAGCAAATATTGTTAGACGGAGCTGGTGTACTGGTGGTACACCTACCGTAATGGAAGGCCTCTTCCTTCTCACAGGTATCCGGGTTCGACTTCAGGGTCCAGTATCATCTGTTGTCTCATCTACCCCTCTCTAAATATATCGCTTATGTCTAGTAACCTATCCTAAAATGGAATTCATCAGCGAACTCAAGCAATAGTAATTCTTCCATGAATTTCCTTCCCCTTTACGTGGCACAGTCAGTATGTATTGATGCCCCCAGCGAGTGCACGTGATGTAGCACACTAGCCCCCATGAGGAGGCCGGACTAATAGCTCTTCCGGGGTCACCAAACGGGTAAAGCATCCACATCCTGTTGGCCTCTTCGTCCTTTCACTCGCCGGCTCTCTGTCGCCTGTACCTCGTCTTCTTTTCTTTGTTTTTGGCCCTCCTCTCGTTCGCTTGATATCCCCATTCCACCTATTAATCCTGTCGACTTGTTCACCTTAGGCGACCCCTGATTCTCTCTCCTCCCCGGATTCAGATTTCAGCTTGACCCCCGTCTAGTCCCACCAGTCTAGGCCCCGTGGATACTTCGGCCAGATTGCATCTCCGAACAGTGGCTCCTTGCAGCAAAACCAATTGGAATCAAGACGGGATGATAATTGCTCTGTGATCAATCTGACGCGTGGTTTTCCTCTTTTCATTTTCCTTTTCCGTCTCTTGTCTGCCAAAGCATGAGAAATGTCAAGGTCGACAACACCTGCGCTGCCTCTGCATAATGCGCAGATCCCCGACTCATCTCGAGGCGGGACACCTCTAGGAGCGAGACCGGAGGCTCCGTCGTCGGTAAGTCCCGTAGCGTTCGGGGCAGTCAAATTCTAAGCCTCTTGTTTCTTCTAGATATCGACCTCAACCTATTCGTGGTTGGAGCCCCATGAAACCGCCGAACGACTACGTACCTCTCTTTTACATGGCTTGACCCCTTCCGAGGCCGAGGTTCGCCTAGCACGCGATGGACCGAATGAGCTACCCCATGAGGAACCCGAGCCCCTATGGCTGCGGTTCGTCAAGCAGTTCAAGGAACCGCTGATCCTTCTCCTTCTTGCCTCGGCTGGCATCTCATTCGTTATGGGCAACTACGATGACGCCCTCAGCATTACCCTCGCGGTGACAATTGTCGTAACTGTTGGATTTGTTCAGGAATATCGGTCGGAGAAGTCTTTGGAAGCCCTGAGCCGTCTCGTGCCACACTACGCTCATCTTATACGTGACATTATGCCCCAGGCAACGGGAGCTGACGTTAATATGCCTGTTCCACGAAATGCCGCGGAGGAGATGCAAGAGCTTCGGAGCAAGAGTCCCAGCTCAGTGTCCGCGGCAATCAAGGCCTCGACTACCGTTCCGGCGGCCGAGCTGGTGCCAGGAGATTTGATCTTGTTCACCACCGGAGACCGCATCCCCGCCGATATCCGGATCACCGCTGCGACCCATCTCAGTATCGACGAATCCAACTTGACTGGAGAAAATGAACCCGTTGTAAAATTTGCGGCAGCGCTTCGGAGCACACGCGGAGGAGCCGTTGAAGCGTTGAAAACTGCCACCCCACCTCGGTCGCCTTTTTACGACGCGCCTGCCACCGGAGCCGTTGGAGCTGATATTCGATTGAACGAACAGCACAATATCGCATTTATGGGGACCTTGGTCCGTTCTGGCTACGGCCAGGGCATTGTCATCGCAACTGGTGCCAAGACGGAGTTTGGTAGCATCTCGGCATCTCTACAAGAAATCGAAAGTCCGCGGACTCCCCTGCAGCTATCCATGGACCGATTGGGCCAAGAACTGAGCTATATCTCCTTTGGTGTGATCGGGTTGATTGTTGTGATTGGGCTCCTGCAGGGCCGCAATCTCCTTGAGATGTTCACCATTGGCGTTTCCCTTGCAGTAGCGGCAATTCCAGAGGGGTTGCCCATTATTGTCACAGTCACCCTCGCTTTGGGCGTGTTACGCATGGCCAAAAGAGGTGCGATCATGCGGAGACTGCCTAGCGTTGAGACACTTGGGTCGGTCAATGTGGTCTGCAGCGACAAGACCGGTACGCTCACGCTCAACCACATGACTGTGACCAAGATGTGGCATTTTGACACCATCGAGCCGTTCGAGGTTCAACGGGACATGGCATCTGTGCTGTCTCCCGGTCCTGCGGCTCGCACTGTACTTCGAGTTGGTAACATTGCGAATAACTCCCGGCTGTCACGAGTCAGTGCCAACTCGCCAGCCAGCGCATCATCAGCGGCAGTGCTATCGTCGACCATCGACAGAGATGCGAGTTCCGTGAAGAGCCGATGGGTCGGTCAACCTACCGATGTGGCTATTTTGGATCTTTTGGATACGCTGGGGGAGGACGATGTACGCGATCGGATCAGTGCTCGCGTGGCCGAGACCCCCTTCAGTTCGGAGCGAAAATGGATGGGCGTCATCATTGGCAGTGGCACAGACTCCGCCCATGGTAGCTCTGATGTTGCCTACATCAAGGGTGCTCTCGAGCAGGTTCTGTTACGATCTGATACCTACCTGACCAAGGATGGCCGAGAGGTTATCCTGGACGAGGCGCGACGCAAGGTGATTCGTGAGGCAGGCGAGAAGATGGCGGCAGAGGGTCTTCGGGTCCTCGCTTTTGCTAGCGGGCCCGTCTCCAAGGGCGGCAGGGCGTTTGGCAGCCGATCGGGAACGCCTGTTCTGGGATCTGGCGGCCAGCCCGATGATGATGATCGTTACAAAGGCTTGGTGTTCGCCGGGCTGATCGGTATGAACGACCCGCCACGCAAGGATGTACACAAGGCTATCCGGCGTCTGATGGCCGGAGGGGTGCGCATCATCATGATCACCGGCGATGCCGAGACAACGGCTGTGGCAATCGCAAAGAAACTTGGCATGCCGATCAATGAGAGTGCGGGTTCGCGGTCCGTCCTTCGGGGCGATGAGCTGGACCACATGAGCACCGCCGAGCTCGCTCAGGCCATTTCCACCACGTCGGTCTTCGCCCGTACCAGTCCTGACCATAAGATGAAGATTGTGCGCGCGCTCCAGTCTCGCGGGGACGTGGTTGCCATGACGGGCGATGGTGTCAACGATGCACCGGCGCTCAAGAAAGCAGATATCGGCATCTCGATGGGCAGGCTTGGCACGGACGTCGCCAAGGAAGCCGCCGACATGATTTTGACGGATGACGATTTCTCGACCATCCTGCGTGCGATCGAGCAGGGCAAGGGCATCTTCTATAACATCCAGAACTTCATCACCTTTCAACTCAGCACCAGTGTGGCGGCACTCACTCTCGTGCTCCTGAGCACTACACTCGGGTTCAAGAATCCACTGAATGCCATGCAAATCTTGTGGATTAGTGAGTCTTTTGTCTCATGTCATGTCAGACAACTTTTTCTAACTTCGTTTCGTCCAGATATTCTCATGGACGGCCCACCTGCTCAGTCCCTCGGCGTCGAGCCCGTGGACCCGTCGATCATGAACCGGCCACCCCGACCCAAGACGGCACGAGTGCTCACGAAACCACTCATTCAGCGAGTCCTCACCTCGGCGATGGTGATCATGCTAGGCACCCTGGCAATTTACGTGCACGAGATGGGTGACGTCGACGATGGCCAGCCTCTAGGCAAGCGTTCTAAGGTCGTCACGGCACACGACACCACCATGACCTTCACGTGCTTTGTGTTGTTCGACATGTTTAACGCGCTGACCTGCCGCAGCGAGGGCAAGTCCGTGCTCCGCGGCGAGCTGCCGCTGTTCGGCAACAAGATGTTCAACTATGCGGTGCTGGGCTCGTTGGCCGGTCAGGCTTGCGTGATCTACCTGCCGGTCCTGCAGCGCATCTTCCAGACGGAACCGCTGGGGCTCGGGTCGCTGTTCAAGCTGCTGTGCATCGCCAGCTCGGTGTTCTGGGTGGATGAGGGGCGCAAGTACCTCCATGCGCTCCGGCGGCGGCGCGGCGTGGGGGTCGGCTATAGTGTGAATGTGTGATGCATGGGTGCCGGTTGTAGCTAATGATATTGCCGTTGGATGATTCCCTTATACATAATAATAGATGACGGTCGATCATATGCAAAAAATATATTCCTAGCGATATCACGATGTCGCGATCAAAAAAGCAAAAAGAATGACCGACGCAGGGGTCGAACCTGCAATCTCTTGATTCGTAGTCAAGCGCCTTGCCATTGGGCCAGCCGGCCTTGCTGAGATGATTTCTGAAGCCAGCAATGTTCTATCAGCCAAAGGACCGCAATCATAAATCTTAGATATCTCTGGACGAACAGGTCTCACTTCACTCCCGGTCTGCATCCCGTCTCCTACTTCCTCTAGGGCATTCCCCGCACATTTGGTTCATCCACCCAGATCCACTCTTCTATGACCGTGACCCTTGTTGCTTATTAGATGAACCGAAGACTGGAAGAGCTCGTGTACCTCCAGATACCTAGCGAACCGTTTGTCACCTATTCGGGAGAACACGGCGTAGCTTATCTGGAGCCAATCGACGGTGCCCGGTCTATCACTGCACTAGTCCGCACCCGGCTAGACCGCGATCAGTGGCAACGGGCGACTTTATCTGGAGCCAATCAGAGGAGTCGAAAATCACCCAATCAGAAGCCCCAGATAACCTCCTGATAACATCCTGATAAGTGCAGTCCCTGCTTCTATACAGGCAAAACTAGATAGAGCTCGGGGGATCCTATCTCTGCGAGATAGGCCGATCTGTTATCTCTGTCATGCTCGTCGCGATCGAGTAGTATATATATACATACCCGGCATCACGTCCGCGGGACGTATTATTATGTACGTCCGACCTTGATGATTGCTCCGTTAAGGCAATCATGCACAAGACCCATGGGCGTGGAACCTTTCTCGCCGTCGCCACTGCGGATAAGATGACCCTGCGGCCCTCGGAGCCGGAGACGGGTGATGAGAGAGAGAATCATCATGATCATCGCATGGCGCGGTTATGGATGGGCTGTGTTGTTATACTCCTAGACTAACTAGAAAAAAAAATGGTTGTTTCGTTTTATCATCCGCTTATCCCATTGCTGTTGTCATCGATTATCGACCCGCTTCAGCGCCCAGGTTTTTCTTTTTCTCCCCCTCGACACCGATTTCGGTGGAGCTGTCGATCCGACTCACTTCCTGCCAGCTTCTCTTTTCCCTATAATCATTCCGATTCCTCCCCAGTGGCGATTGTTCGTCCTCCACAGCATTTCCTCTCTTCTCTCTTTCTCTCCCCTTCTCTTCAACATTCCAGTTCCTTTACTCTCCCTACCCAGCCTCCCCTGTCTTCCTTCCAATTGACCTGTTTCCCTCCCGCCCAGACCTCAAACTCTCTCGCGTGAGGTCCTCCGCGCACCATGGCGTTCAACGGGAAGGCGCCGTATGCGCCGGACTATGCCTCATACAACTGGATCGGCGCGCCCTCCGACTTTAGTCTGGCCACCAACGATCTAGGCGGTGATTCTCGTACGCACTGCTCTCTATCCTAGGATTTAACCAGCTCGGGCTAATGTAGGGTCTTGCAGGAACCGAAAATGTCAACAAATGGTTTCAATCTGGCGACCAGGCCTACATCATCGTGGCCTCCGCCATGGTCCTCGTCATGGTCCCCGGCCTGGGGTTCTTGTACTCCGGTCTGGCCCGCCGGAAGTCTGCACTCAGCATGATCTGGGCCTGTATGGCTTCCATGTCGGTCGTCACGTTCCAATGGTACTTCTGGGGCTACTCATTAGCTTTCTCGCCGACCGCAACCAATGGCTATATTGGCAACCTGCGCAATTTCGGTCTGATGAAGACCCTGGCAAACCCCAGTCCGGGCTCGCCGCTGATTCCGGACCTGCTCTTTTCGTTTTATGAGGTATGTATTTTGTATTGTCCGATTACAAGAGGGTTCTGATAAGCGGTTGCTAATACTCGGTCTCTCCGCAGATGCAATTCTGCGCCGTCACCGCTGCCATCATCATGGGCGCCGTTGCTGAGCGTGGTCGACTCCTTCCCGCCATGATTTTCGTCTTCCTCTGGGCAACAATCGTCTACTGCCCGCTAGCCTGCTGGGCCTGGAATCCCAACGGCTGGGCGTACAAGTATGGTGTCATGGACTACGCGGGCGGCGGGCCCGTCGAGATCGGGTCCGGGTTCACGGCTCTGGCTTACTCCATGGTGCTCGGTCGCCGGCAGGAGCGCATGATGCTCAACTTCCGGCCGCACAACGTCTCGCTCATCCTCCTCGGCACGGTCTTTCTGTGGTTCGGCTGGCTCGGTTTCAACGGTGGCTCAGCTTTCGGTGCTAACATTCGTGCGACAATGGCTTCCTGGAATACGAATTTGACTGCCGCGTTCGGTGCCATCACCTGGGTTCTGCTCGATTGGCGCCTGGCTCGGAAGTGGTCGATGGTCGGCTGGTGTTCGGGAACGATCTCGGGATTGGTGGCTGCCACTCCCGCTTCGGGATTTATCACTCCGTGGGCTAGTGTGATCCTGGGGATTGTGACTGGCATTGTTTGCAATTATTCCACCAAGAGTGAGTCTTGTTTTTGTCTTGGAGGCATGGTTCACCTACTGACATCTTTTGTCGCACAGTCAAATACTGGATCCGCATCGACGACTCTATGGATGTGTTGGCTGAACACGGCGTCGCAGGAATCATCGGCCTCATCTTCAATGCTTTCTTCGGCGACAACGCCATCATCGGCCTCGACGGTGTCAACACCGGCACCACCGCCGGCGGCTGGGTCATCCACAACTGGAAGCAGCTGTACGTGCAGGTTGCATATATCGTCGCCACATCGGCCTACTCCTTCGTCGTCTCCGCCATTATTGCCTACGCCATCAACGCCATCCCGGGCCTGAATCTGCGCGCCTCCGAAGAAGCCGAGCTGCTCGGGATGGACGATGACCAGCTGGGCGAATTCGCGTATGACTACGTCGAGGTCCGTCGGGATTATCTTGCTTGGACACCGCAGAAGCACGATCAGCGTGAAGACGGGCATGAGATTCCGGCTGCGCAGCGATACGGCATCGGCGAACACAGCGAGATGATGCTGGAGGGCCACGCGCCGAATGGCGATATCAGCCAGAGCAGTCGTGGAGGCAGTGAGGGTGATATGGCCATTCGGGAAATGAAACTTGCGCCTGCGCCGCGCCAGGTCGCTGAGCAGCATCCGCCTGATACTGGCGAGGCGATGGGTGGGACACCGGGCGTGTTGAGGCCCGTTGATGAGAAGACGGAGAATTAGTCTTTCTTCTCGATCTGCATAGCCACCAGCATCCTTGCATCCTTTTTTTCTACCTATCCAGCGCCAACTTTGCACCTCGCATACGTCTCATTTTCTCGCACCGATCGATATCCCTCTGAGCGCCTCATTGATTTTGTTTCCCTCCTCGCATCTACCTCCAAAAGAAAAAAAGCCTGGAGCTTTTTCTCCTGTTCTTTTCTCCTCACCTGTGTATACCTATCTACGTTCTCGACCATGACTATTTCACCACCGCCACCACCTCTATACCTCTTTCTCGTCCACCTCTTTCACCAACCGCAACCTCATCCTACACCCAACCATCGACCCTGCATACACAATACAACTCCTTGATTTTGTCAAGAAAAAGAGCACCCTTATTTGTCTGATTCTGATTCTTCTCCGGGCCTGGCGTTCATGTTCGTTCCTGGGGATTCTGTTTGTAAATACTCACTGGGTGTTGCTCTTTTTTTTCTTCTTAACTTTGCTTCTATTTACTCCGCTTGCTAGATTGAGCCTGGCGATGGGAGTTCTCGAGGATATCAGTTTTTTTCTCTCTCTGTTCCTGTGCTATTCGATGCAAAACTGCAGTATCATAGACCAGACAAAACAAGGCTATCTTGATTTTTATTTCCTTGTGCTTGTTCCCTTCCTGTAGATCACTTCCCTAGCTAGCTACTAGTTGTATGTGCATCGAGATTCATTTTCTAGTACCTTTTTATGGATCGAATATTCAAGAACGGTGTTCTATATGTACATCCCCAGATTAATCTCTCCTCACCATTCCACGTATACGCACCCTTTCCTCCCGACTCAACTTCTCCACCACCTCCGCCGCTTCACCTCCCCGCAAGACTTCATCCCACTCATCCTCATCCATTCCCATAACAAGAGTCATCTGCACGCAGCGTGCGAATGCCTCGCGGTGTTTGTATCGACCGGGAGCACCAGAGGTGTAACCCACATCAACAGCAGCGCTAACCAGGCCAGCAACATCTCGTTCCAGTCGCGCAGCACCGAGCGGGTTCACACGCCCATGGTACGACCAGAGTCTCTTCTCCAAGAGACGAGCTAGATATGCCACTGTCGCTGTGAGGAGGCGGTCAAAGGAGGCTGGGGTCAGAATCCGCGCGATGGGGGCAAGCAGGTCGGACCAGCCTGCTGCAAAGCGCGGGCGGACGAGCTCTTTGCTGCTGCGGCGGGTGGTGCCGTCGGCATTATCGTCGGAGGGCAGGTCGTGCTCGCCGCCGTCGGAGTCGGGGTGGGGCTGGTACTCGATGTCGCGGAATGCGTCTGCGAGGATGGGGCGAAGACGATTCTTGACGACGTTGTTGAAGACGACTTGGATGCCGTCGGACAGCAGATCGTTGACCTTGGCTTCGAAGCTTGAGGCTAGGGAGTAGAGTGTCTGCGCAACGCGCAGAGCTGCCGTGGGGGCCGCGAAGAGGGAGCGGAGGTGTTCGGTTGCGATGGGCTGGCTGTCCTCCGCAAGGGACTGTTTCGAGCCCGTATTGTTCTGAACAATGCGGCGGATGTAGTCGACTGCGATGTCGAGGTTGTTGATCTGCACCAGGAATGCAATCACGGTCTGCTCTGGGGGTTGTGCCCCCTGGACCGCGGCGCGGGGATAGCACTCATCGCGCATCTTGCGCTGGGTCATCCCGATGAAGTCCGATCCCAGTACGCGGGACAGAGTCGGCACCACGTTGGTCACCACCGCTACTTGCGATGTGGCCAGCGTTTGCTGGATGACCTTGTTGACGATGTACATGATATCGTCGACTGCTGAGGTGATATGAGGCGGCTGAGCCTTCAGTGGACGTTGCGGATTCAGCGTCAATCCGGAGGGCGACTCATCTAGCTGGAATGCCTTTTCGACAGAGCGGCGGAAGAAGAAGGTCGTCATCGCGTTGAACGGCGCCACTAGCCGGTCATTGACCTTGCGGAACAAGGATGACTCCTGCAAAAAGTCCGGAAGGTTGAGTTTGCGGTCCTCATCATCGTTTCCATCCTCATCTGCAGGAGGCTTGAGAGTATGTCAGTAAGAATTTTTGTTTGAAACGAGGAACATGGGCGGCCTACATTGTATGTATCCGCCAGGAATCGACAGTAGAGTGACCACCGACCCAGCATGATAGCCATTTCATTCAAAATACCGTCGATTTCCTTCATGTCCACGCCCTCATCTTCCGTAGTTGCAATCGTGCCGGGAGCCGGGGAGTTCGTGCGCTGCGGCCCTGTACGCTGAGCAGGCAAAAAGCTTTGCACAAGAAACGTAAAAGCATAGGACTTGATATCCATCAGCTTGCGATCCACGTGCCGCTCATCGCTCCAGGTGTCGAGGATGATGCCGCCCTGCACGTCCGCCTCGATCTGCAGTCGTTCAGTGACCCGCCCCATCTTGCGCGGACCGTAGTGGCGCTCGACCAGACCTCCATGCCCATCGATGATCTGCGCGATATGTTCAAAGAGCTTCGTGAGCGCATTGGCATAGAAGAACCCGTCCTTGGTCTGAGCACCGGTTCCCGCGTTGAGGTTGATGCGTGCCCGTGTGGCCACTCCCTGGCAGACGTAGCGTCCATAGACATCCAGACCAACCTCCGAGCGTCCAATCAAAGGGAACAGTTTAAAAAAGCGAGTGATCTTCGCTCCGTCGTTTTCCTTGACGGCCTTATCGAACTCGCGCAGGAACAGACCACACAAGGACTCGGCCGCGCTTTCCAGCGTCACACTTGGTGGATCCGGGACCTCTGCAGTGGGTACCATCTCAGCGGCAAAGCCCCCATGTATCACCGCCGGAGGGATCTGGGATGCTCGGTGCAGGTAGCTGGCGGCGGTCTCCCAGTCCTGAGGAGCCCCCATTGACCCCGCCACGCCTAACGCACACGCTTTCAGCTCTGCCACCTGCTCGACCACCTCCAGAGTGGCCTTCACCCGAGCTTGTTCGAGGTCTAGACGGCGCACCGCGCTGGAGATGCGGTCAGCCGTTCCGGCGGCCTCGGAGAGCATTCCATGGCTAATGTTGCGTGTCGTGCTGGCTTGCGACCCAATGTGAGCGCGCATCAAGTCGAGCCGACCCAATTCCCGAGACAGATCTTTCTGCGAGGACACCAAGGCATCAAGGCGGGCGGTGACTGAAGCTTCCTGGGTGTGGAGGTGGGACAGCGTGGCTTTGATCTCGGCGACGGAGCTGGCGTTGAAGACGTCGGGGGGAGCAGCAGCATCGGACGCGGCCAATGGCTCTGCTGGGGAGGGAGGGGAAGGATGGCCATTCAGGGCCGGAGACGCGAGAGCCATCTGTGGCAGCGAGGGTGCGACCGAGATATGTGTACACAACGTAGTTCCGTAAGTGTGGTCTTGCCGTGGTGGGCCAGGGCGGTGAGAGCGTTTGGTCCAGACTGAGAACATATTGACAATACTGACAACTCCCTAACGATTCTCTCTTCTACAAATCCTCGTGCTGGATCCCGCTGCATCAGCTCGCTCTCTACCATTGGACGCCGTCGAAGACCCCGGCATCAAGGCCCGCGGCGCTCTCGTGCCACAATGGGCAACGAAGAGTCGACCGTTGTGGACGAGTCCATTCGTCCCTCGGTGCTGGAAGCACGCAGCATCGAGGCTGTGGCCAAGTACATCCAGGAGCACAAGGTGCGGCGCATCGTGGTAATGGTGGGTGCGGGCATCAGCACTTCGGCCGGCATCCCGGACTTCCGCTCGCCAGATACCGGCATCTACGCCAATCTTGACTTTCTGGACCTACCGGACCCCGAGGCCGTATTCGACATCAGCTTCTTTCGCGACAACCCAAAACCCTTCTACGCGCTGGCCAAAGAGCTATACCCGGGCCGTTATCGCCCGACAATTGCACACTCGTTCATTAGGCTGCTCTTCACCAAGGGCCGGTTGCTGAAACTCTTTACCCAGAACATCGACTGTCTCGAGCGCCAGGCCGGTGTGCCGGGGGAGATGATTGTTGAGGCGCATGGCAGCTTTGCCACCCAGCGCTGCATCGACTGCAAGACCCTGTACCCGGACGACAAGATGCAGGCGGTGATCGATCAGGGCGAGGTGCCCTACTGTCCCGAGTGTGGTGGAATTGTCAAGCCAGATATTGTCTTCTTTGGGGAGAGTTTGCCCGAATCATTTTTCCTGAATAACCGACTGCCCGCTGCGGCCGACCTCTGTATTGTCATGGGGACCAGTTTGTCCGTGCAGCCGTTTGCCAGCCTGCCCTCGATGTGCTCTCAGGGCATTCCGCGCGTGCTGATTAACATGGAGCGTGTTGGCGGCTTGGGGTCTCGACCGGACGATGTCTTGCTATTGGGGGATTGTGACGCGGGCGTGCGCAGGTTCGCTCGGGCGCTGGGGTGGGAGGAGGAGCTGGAGGCGCTCTGGGAGGAGACCAATCCGGACCCCAAGGCCCGGGAGGAAGAAGACAAGCCGCCGCGGACCCGGGACGAACGTCTGCAGGATGAGGTTGATCGCCTGACGGAGGAAGTTGACAAAACGTTGGGGCTGACGGATGCGTACCGGCAGCGGGTGCGCGCGCGACTCGACCAGAAGATTAATCCACACCGCCAGTTAGAGCAGGAACGAGTCGGACCGGGTCTCGCCCATGTGTTCCCGCATCTGGCGCGGGAGGAGTGAAGAAGCGAGTGTACGATTTGACGATGACCTGGGAATCATGAGTTATGGTGATGAATAAATCATATGTTACGATCAGAGAATCCAAAGTATTATTCAATAGGAGGTATGTTCCCGAGGTGCGATGATCATGGTCGTGATCGTGTATAGTAAGTTCGCCCGAACTTCCCTGGTTGAACACCGGTTCCGGATCCAGGCAGGGCCAGCCCCACGTCCACAGCGTCATCCGCATCCGTCCTTTGTATCTCTTTTTCCTTTTCCTCTCCTTTCTCCTTCTTTCTCTTCCTTTCACCCCCCAGATACACACTCCCACAGTCACTATGGTCGGAATTGGCCCCAAGCAGCCTCCCTCCCGCAAGGGTGAGTCCCGTATCCTCCGCCGCCCGACTGCTGGCGTCATACTCACCACCATGCCTCTCCAGGATCCATTGACGGTCTGCCGCAGAACCTGCTGCAGCAGATCAAGGACTTTGAGGACCAGTTCACCGTGGACCGCACCAAGCTCAAGCAGGTCGTCGACCACTTCGTCAAGGAACTCGAGAAAGGTAGGTCGTCCCGCCCCGCCGCATCGCAACACTGGCTGATCTCCGATAAGGCCTCACCGTCAAGGGCGGCAACATTGTGAGCTTCTCTTCCCAACGCAATTGATGATGGTATCCCCAACTGACTATGCTATCAGCCCATGAACGTCACCTGGGTCATGGGATTCCCCGATGGCAACGAACAAGGCACCTTCCTGGCCCTCGACATGGGTGGCACCAACCTGCGGGTTTGCGAGATCACCCTGACCGACGAGAAGGGCGCCTTCGAAATCACCCAGTCTAAATACAAGATGCCCGAGGAGCTCAAGACCGGCACCGCGGAGGAGATGTGGGAATACATCGCCGACTGCCTGCAGCAGTTCATCGAGTTCCACCACGAGGGCGAGAACCTGTCCAAGCTGCCCCTCGGTTTCACCTTCTCCTACCCGGCCACCCAGGAATACATCGACCATGGTATCCTGCAGCGGTGGACCAAAGGATTCGACATTGAGGGCGTGGAGGGCCAGGACGTGGTGCCCCCGCTGGAGAAGATTCTGCAGAAGAGGGTTTGTCTATATCAATTGGGATTTGGCGTTCTGATTCTGACAAGAAAATGCAGGGCCTGCCTATCAAAGTCGCCGCGCTGATCAATGACACCACCGGAACCCTCATCGCCTCGTCATACACCGACCCCGAGATGAAGATCGGCTGCATCTTCGGCACTGGCGTCAACGCCGCCTACATGGAGGACGTGGGCTCGTGCCCCAAGATCGCCCACCTAGGTCTGCCCGCCGATACGCCCATCGCCATCAACTGCGAGTACGGCGCCTTCGACAACGAGCACGTCGTGCTCCCGCTGACCAAATACGACCACATCATCGACCGCGACTCGCCGCGGCCCGGCCAGCAGGCCTTCGAGAAGATGACCGCCGGCCTGTATTTGGGTGAGATCTTCCGCCTGGCCCTGGTGGACCTTCTCGAGTCGCGGCCCGGCCTCATCTTCAACGGTCAGGACACCTCCAAGCTACACAAACCCTATCTGCTAGACGCGTCCTTCCTCGCCGCGATCGAAGAGGATCCCTACGAAAACCTGTCGGAGACGCTGGATCTCTTCGAGCGCCAGCTGAACATCCGTCCCACACAGCCCGAGCTGGAGATGGCCCGTCGTCTCGCCGAGCTGATTGGAACCCGCGCCGCGCGTCTGTCTGCCTGCGGTGTGGCTGCCATATGCAAGAAGAAGAATATCCAGTCCTGCCACGTCGGCGCGGACGGTTCCGTCTTCACCAAGTACCCGCACTTCAAGGCCCGTGGGGCAAAGGCCCTGCGCGAGATTCTGGACTGGGCGCCCAATGAAAAGGACAAGGTCTCTATCATGGCTGCTGAGGATGGGTCCGGTGTTGGTGCTGCCCTGATTGCCGCTTTGACGCTGAAGCGTGTTAAGGCGGGTAACCTGGCCGGTATTCGTAACATGGACGATATGAAGACGCTCCTGTAAAGGAATAGATAGATACGTGGGGAGAATAGTTTGATCTTTGCAAATTGGTTTGTTTACCTCCGAAAACTGGGTTGGAATCGGATTGGTGATGGGATTATGATATTCGTTGGTCTGCATGTTGTTGGCCTTCTTGGTTTGGTCAATATACTGGCGTGCTTTTCTGGTAGTATATACCAATAAAATTGTTCTACATTTTCTTTTCTTCCCATCTGTCGATATTCTGAATCGATGAAATGCAAGATTGTATATGTATGATATGCATTGTAGTAGATACATCTACATGGCAACTCTCTACCGTAAGAGACAAAAGCAACAGATCAACCCCGAATCTCCCACATCCGAATCTTCCCCTGCTCATTAGCCACAGCTAACTGCTCCGAGTTGGGTGAGATGGCCACGGAGGAAATGCGGCCTAGCGGCGTGTTGGAGGTCGGCCAGTTGCGATACACTGTACACGATGGAAGGTGAACTATACATAGTATATGCGGTTAGCAAATGGCCCTCAAAAAGAAATTCCAAAAAAAAAAAAAACATACCAAGTCGCAGAGCGTCCCGCTTCCATCGGCTCGCCATAACCATCATCTGCCCGTCTGGTGCAAATACCAGATGACTGATCGGAGTAGTGAGCTGGTCCAGAGCGCGCACGGGAGTTGGGTTGAGTGGGATCCCAGACTGCTTCTGCTGGTCATCTTTGGCCGAGGCGGCATATGCAGCAGCCCATTCCCGGCGGTCGTAGACGTTGACGATCCCGCTCGAACTGCCAATTGCCACCCATCGATCACCGCCAAGCTGTGTCCGGCCGGAGCGACCACCTAGGGTGAGCACAGTGGTGCCCACGGCACCGGCATCCTGCCAACGAGCCACAACCCGCCGCAGTCGGCCATCCCATTCGGATACCTCACCGTTTTTGCTAGCAACCGTCAGACCCTCGCCGTCAGACCACCATGCAAAGTCCGCGACGCCGCCGCGTCCATCAACGCGCACCTGTGCGATCCATTGTGCGGTCCCCGCGTCCAGGACGTTGATGAGACCGCCACCTTTGCGCGAGGTGCCAACCAGGCCGACGTACCGTCCGCAGGGGGATAGCTTGAATCGCTCCATGGATTTTTGCTCTTCTTTCCGGTCTGCCGAGCCATTGACTTTATCGACTTTGCCTGAGTCCAGGTCCCAGATGTGGAAATAACGCCGACGACCGGAGGCAAAGATCTTGTTGCCGGTAGGAGGCGCGAAGGCAGAGGTGTGGATTGGTGTGCGTTTGATGTGCAGGGAGGTCAGGAGCGGGTTCGGTGCTGGTGCTTGTGGGGAGATGTGGTGCAGGAACAGGGTTGATGCAGGCCCGGAAGATAGCAAGAGGGGGTAGTGCGGGTGGAACGTCAGTGAGTCGATAGAGGACTACATTTTAAGATTAGTTATAACTCAATCAGAAGCAAAAGAGGGAAGCATTCTTACCGGCTGGGTCTTGCCCACGTCTTTCACGCGCTGGATATCAATAACCTCCTGGCGCAGCTTCCGCTTGCCGCCTGCGTGGCTATTGTCCTCGATCCGGGTAAGATCAGAGGCATTCCGGAGCAACTTAGCCAGAGGCTGCGTGGACAATTGCTCCTCCTCATCGTCGGTATCCATCTCCACCCCGCTGCCAACGTCGGAATCATCTGAATCCGTCTTGCGCCGCCTCGCTGCCAGCTCGGGATTCGCCCACTCAGGCATCGGGTGCAGGCGCTCGAATTGCCTGCGCAGTCGACGGACGTATTCCTTGCCGCTAACAATATCTTCCGACTCCGTCACCCGCAGCTTCCGCAGTCTAGACTGGCTCGCGAGCGAGACTGCGAGTCGCTCATCATCGCTGTCATGCCACACAGCTGGAACGGTTTCTTCTTGATCTTCCTCCTCTGCATCGGACGGTATCTCGGGGGAGGGAATGATATCGGCGGAAACAGGTGCAGTGCCCGAGTCGAGGAAAAAGAGCTAAAATCAAAGTCAGCCATATGCAAAAAATTCGGGAAATAGATGTCATGTAACGAACATCTGCATCGGCCATGTTTTCCAGACCGCCCTCCTCTCCGTCTGTTGCCTCTTCGTCGCCGCTTTCGCTCTCGTCATCGCTCTTCAAGGTGAGAGCCATGGCATCCGCCCGATCCTGCTGGCTCTTCAATGCGCCCATAAAGCCCTCGTCGTCGCCAAAGAGCATGCGCTCGAGCTTCTTCTCGGCTTCATCCGCTTCAGGAATATCTGATTCATCCGAGCTGGTCTCATCCTCCATGTCAATGTCTTCGTCCTCCGCGCGATGCTGCATGGCGGTGGGTTCGAAGGGAGACCGAGTGGTCGTCCGCTTCGTTTTTGGTTTCATCGCAGTTTTCAACATGGTGACAGCTGTGTAGATTTTGACAGCAACAAGGCCTGCAGAGCGCAGAGTACTGTTGCGATTGTTGGTCCGTAGGCGGAGTTCAGAATAATTTTCTTTGGAAATTTGCAAAGACGGCAGATCGAGGCGGTGGGATAGGCGGTCTATTCCAAAATATACTACTGTACCACCTGCATATAAGGAACGAAGTAATATAGTTACCAGTGATTTAAAAGGAAGAGGGTAAAAGGGAAAGAGAACGACCAAAAGTTGACAGCGGGATCTGCCAGTGACTAAAAGAAAAAGCCGACCACGCTCCAGATGATGTTACACACCTGGGGAGAAACCAGCAGCCCCAGCGTAGGGATAATATCTAGACCATTCGTGTAATTAATGCTAAACCCCCTGAGCCACCATAGTGCCCGAGCGACAGGCTGTGACGTTGAATCAAACATAAAGGAGAGGACTTCCTTGAATGGCTGGATTACGCAAGTCCGAAGCACCCATATACATGACACTCCCACAGTCAGAAAAGAGAACAATCGTATTCACTGGACAATATCGTATACACATTCCGAATTTCATCAGTTCGTTCCCACGAAAAAGAAGACTTTCCAAATACACAAACACCCAAACGCTCATATTCCTAAATAGCTTGTTCAATGATGATGGGTAGCATCGGCTTCACCACTGTATTTGCGATCGCTACCGCTCGAGTTGGATGCCTCATACGGTGGAACTGGAGAATGGTCCTCGGTGAGCTGGCCCTCAGCCTCTTGGGTCGCCTTCGCAGCCAGTTTCGGTGAGGCTGTCTGAGCCAATTTCCTCGGCATCTCATCACCAGAATCATCAGAAGAATAGTCTTCGTCAATACCCGCGAGCAGAGCACTTCGATGGGGATCATCCTCGACGGGATCCGACTCATCGTCCTCCGCGTATATGTCGTAAGAAAGAGGCTTCTTGATGAAGATATCGATGAGGTAATACTGGATGGCGTTCATGATCACCGGGAAAAGCAGCATCACGAAGAAGATCTGAACGGCGGTGTTCCCTTCTGTCCACCGCAAAGCCCAGTCGCCAACCTTGATAATCCACGGCACCAACTGGATCAGGAAGAAGACGCAGATCTTCATGCCGAGCAGTCCCAAGAAGTAGATGATGGACTGCTTGAACCACCACCATGCACGCGGCGGGTGGCCATAGTTCCCGGACTCGATCGACTCGGGAGGGTTGGCGAGAGGCGTGTAGGATGCAAGGTAGTTGAGTACACGGAGAATCGCAATCAATATCACGATCCCAAGGGTGGTCTAACCCAGTCAGTCAATCAGTCATCGGGCAACAAGAATAGTTGTAAATGCACTTACATCGATACCCAGATTCAGGAGATAGAACGAACAGGGGTTCGGTTTGAAATGCGTCTGGAGCTCCAGCTGCCCCGCCGAGAACAGAGACATGAGCAGGTTGGCCAGATGAAGCATCGCCGAGCCAAAGACCTGCTTCGAGACATCAAACGCCCACACTTTGATCGGTCGCTGTGGCCGTTCTCTCCACCGCTTATACACCAGCGATAACAGCGCTAGTGCACCGAGGGCAACCTGGATGAAGAGAGAGAATGGCCCAAGCAGCCTACATTCTCCCTTTTCGTCTCCATCTTGTCCATGAGACCCGTCTGAGCCTGAGCCGTGCAGGAAGATCTTGTGGGGCTGGGATGAGGGTGATGCGGTGGTGGTGGCCGCGAGGAGGGTGGTTGTCGCGACGGCGGCTAACGACGAGGCGATTGCAGCCGCGTCCATCGTCGGGGTGAGATGGGCTACGCGACCTGGATGACTGGAAGGACCCGTGTTAGGTCAGGTCAGAGATGGGGCGACCGTCATGAACTGGGTGGTGGAAGGTCAACTGCTCGAGAATAATGTGTCACCGGCGGGGAAATGGATGAGTCGATGCGGCGTGATGTTGCACCGGGGCGGTGTCGTCCCCGCAGGGCTGACTGAGCTAGGCAAAACCAAGTATAGAACACCATTTTAAGGTTATTATTTAATTCTCTCATTACTGATGAACTCGCACTCCCTTCCTCAGCTTGGCATCTGCAGAAAGTGGATACGTCCAAGACCCGCTAGCAGGTATACGGTGGATAGTGTAGGTGTGAGATCATACGGTCGGAGAGGTAGCGAGTGGAGGGTCCATTGACCGTATCAATACTAGAATATCAATACTAGAATAGAAAAGAAGAAAAGAACATGACAACGAAGGAAGGGCTGTCTCATCCGCTTCCTGAATCGAGACCAGATCCGTCAAACCCTCCACCCATCCAGAAGAACAAAACCCATGGGAATAATCAGAACGCCTCAAACCCCTCAACCGACCCGGAGAACAGGAGAGCCGTGGCAACACCGTGCGCAGCTAACATGCTAGCAGAGGGCATCATCAGAAACCAAGCAAAAGATCGTCGTGTCATTCTATCCCGTGCTGCTGTTTGAGCCGTTCCAGGTTTTCTTGTCTTTCCGCCAGGTCCTCTTTTGAACGTGCCATTTTCTCCGGCTGGTGATACAATACTACATGGAGTTAGTATTGATCTGACTAGTTTTTCCCCCTTGTGCAATACATACCGACCAGGTATCTGTTCTGGAAATTGAAGCCGTTGAGCTTATCGCATGCCTGTTTGGCGTCGTGGACGTCTTCGTAGACAACAAATGCAGTGCCTTTGGAGTTGTTCGCAATACCCTGGCGGATTTGGCTGGGGACAGTCAGACATGTCAGATTTCATGGTGATGATAGTGGCAAACGTACCGAATAGGCCCGAACTTGCCAAAGAGGTCGAACAGTTGATCTGCGGTCACGTTGTAGCTGAGGGAAGATGTTAGCGGATTGCACGCGGTCGTAAATGGGATGCTCCCAGGTTCGTGTCCATTGGGGATTGGCGACTCGGAACGGGTGAAGACGTACTTGAGGTTCTTGACGAAGAGAATCCTGTAGAGGGGAAGATACGGATGTCAGCAGGAGGATCGGCAGAACAACAGAGATGGGCTTTTCATCAAACCCATCCCACGACCGATGGCCTTCGGTCGATGATAGGGTCGCCGAAGTCGGGAGGGGCGTGGGAAAAGAAATCAGCAACGTACCGATTGGCTTCGGGGGCGAGCTTCCGGCTCATTCTTAGGGGAACAAAAGTACGCCGGTTGATAAAGAATGGGCGAGCAGACGGACTTGGATACCCAGGGTATCGGGGAGCGTTGTGTTGAGGGGAACGAGGAGAGGCGGAGGGGGGAAGCACGACACTCAGCGCAAGAAACGAGAGTTCCGGTGCGTGAGGGTGCTTATGTAATGGCGGTGCCGTAGTTACTAAAACAGGCATTGACGATTGCGACTCAACTCGAAGACGGAGAACAGCACATTGACGGCCGAGCAGAGCCCAGCAGAATCAATGCGACATGGCAGAGTATCCGAGCAGGCCGTAGTCTCTAGTCGATGAAAGGGGGGAGGATACAGAGTTCCATCGTAGGTTTGGTGCCGCGTCCGTACATGCTTGCTGAGCCGCTCGACTCCCTCTCTTCCTCTCTCACACACCTTCCTACCTCGTCACCCTTCGCATCCCTCCTCCCCCCTCTCCCGAATCGCCCTTTCGCACTCCTTCTGCCCCATCGTCAGAGGCCGTCTGAATCTCTCGCCTGGATTCTATTCGGCCTCTCTCTTCTGCTCCCCCGTTGGGTTGCGGCGCGCTCCCTCGGCGCCATTGTGCTCCCGCCGCTCGACTCAACCCCCTCAACCCACGTCCGCGACCACCGACCTCCCTCAACCTCCCGTGCCAGCTTCCATCGAAATCTACACGCTCGGTCTCTCGGCTCATCGTGCGCATGCCCTTTTGCCAGGGATGACCGTTTCTTCGCCTGCGCCGGCCTTTCGCTAGCCCGTGTGGTCCAGCATCCCCCGCTTTGCACCGCCTGCGGCCAGCGCACCTTTTCGCATCCTCCCGACACGTCCTTCCCGTTCCCCTTTGCTCGATACCGTGAAAAATGATGAGCGCAGCATCTTTTCAACCCCCTTTCGGCGGTCGTCCGTCACAGTACCGTACTCCGTCTCCGCCGCGACGCGCCGTCGAGCCCATCACTCCCTCGACAGCCGAATTCCACACCGCATGGACCGAGCGCGGTGGCCCTCGAGCTGCCAGCTTGGATGGCGACCAACGTGTGTCAATGAGCAATCGAGCCGGTGCAAGCGGCAGCTCGCAGCACCGTTCGGGTCATGGCCGCTCGAGCTCGACCATTGACACGCTTGCAACCATCGCACTCGCAACCAGCCCTACCTTCACACCTCTCCAACCACAACTTCCCTCGCCTTATCTCGGGTCAGCGATGCCCCTGTTCCCCACCGACTCGACAGACACTGAACGCCCCGCCAAACGGGCCCGATCGGAGAGGGACGTGTCGCCGTATCGCATCCGACCGAACATACCCTCGAACCCACCCCATCCCACCCTTCTCGACAGCATGAAAACCGACGCGGAGCTTCTGCTGAACTTTGCACGCCCCACCAATTTCCAGCCCGGTCATATGAAGCGAGTCAGTATCGACGAATCCTACCACTACAGAAACGAGGCTGCGCGTCACACTCGAGTTGGCTATTCCAGCGGTGGTTACGGGAGCCATGATGATATGAAATTGATTGATGAAGACAATGTCCCGCCGTCTCGCATGAGATCTCGCTCGGATGGGTCAGCTTTCATATCGCGCCCGGTGATCCGCGGTGTCCGTCCAACCACCAGCTCCGGCTCTCTCCCGCCCATTGTCTGGGAGGATGACAATGAAGACAATTCGTGGCATCCACCAGCAGGCGCACCTGAATACCCGAGCTACGGCAACCACCAATGCGCCGAATTTCAGACCCCTAAATCCATGGGTCCGCCACCGAAGGTCGAAGAGGAAGAGAACGATACGGGCCAAGCAAGCTGCGCGGCGTGCCACATGGTGCGGATTCCGATTGAGACCGAGGAACAGGAAGAAGACACCTGGATAAGTTGCGATGGTTGTAAACAATGGTTCCATATCATCTGTGCTGGTTTTAAGAACGACCGGGAGGTTCGCACGGTCGACAAATTTATCTGCCATGGGTGCCGCCCCATCTATGGCCAAACGACTTTTGTGCGCAAGTCATCGCGAGCCCGCACGGCCATCGATTACGGCAGTCTCAACCAGGGCCTGGTCAAGGCGGCTACCGACTCCTTGGAACACCACTACCTCGAACCTATTCGTCAAGGCAAGATTCGATTCAACGAGGAAAACTTTCCTCGGATGAAGCCGGAGTTGGTCACCGCGGAATATTTCGAACGAGGCAATGGATGGACAGAACCCATCGTCATTCCTGCCTGCTGGAACACCCGCGAGTCAGTTCCCGAGATGGATTCCAAGTTCGATGATCTTGTCCAGGAGGCTTCCTCTCAGGATGTGTTTGATGAATTGCTCGAGCATCTGCCTGAGCAGGAGACTAGCGTCGAAGACACCGTTGACTGTGGCCAAGATTTGCTGGATATGGTAATTCCTCAGGGTCTCACCGTCCGAGCTGTCGCTGAGCTCTACGGCCCCGAAGAAAGGGTCGAGGTTATTGACGTCAAGTCTCAGCAGGGAGAGGACAAGAGGTGGAACATGCAGAAATGGGCTGACTACTACGAAAGCACCGAATCGAACAAGCCGGTCCGAAACGTCATCAGTTTGGAAGTGTCACAGAGCAGACTGGGCAGGCTCATCAAGCGGCCCAAGGTTGTGCGAGACCTTGATCTACAGGATGCTGTCTGGCCTGAGGAGCTCAAGGCGATTGGTGACTTTCCAAAGGTCCAGTTTTATTGCCTGATGTCTGTCGCCGATTGCTATACCGACTTTCACATCGATTTTGGTGGTTCTTCCGTCTTTTACCACATCCTGAAGGGCAAGAAGACCTTTTTCTTCATTCCTCCAAAGGATAAGCACCTGAAGAAGTATGAAGAATGGTGCAACTCCCCTGCCCAGGACTCGATTTTCCTTGGGAACCAAACCAAGGAATGTTATCGCGTGGATCTCTCGGAGGGTGATACCATGTTGATTCCGTCTGGATGGATCCACGCTGTGTGGACACCGGAGAACAGCTTGGTTATTGGCGGCAACTTCCTCACACGCCTGAACTACGGCATGCAAATCAAGGTGCTCAACATCGAAAAAGAGACCAAGGTGCCTAAGAAGTTTCGGTATCCCTTCTTCCAAAAGATTCAGTGGTATACAGCATTGAAATATCTGGAGGACGACCCCGTTCCTCAGAACGTGCTGGAGGCGTTCTTGCAGGATGACAACTACCGCTTCCACCGGAACTATCCCCTCTACTATGAGTTCGGGGAGCGTTCCAACCAGGATCTTGCGGGTTCCCCGTACTATAATGCACGTTTCTACTCGCAGGCAGAGCTGGAGGGTCTACCTGAGTTGACCAAGTATCTTTTTCGGACAGCACTCATCGCATCCTCCTACCTTGTCGAAGGTGTGACCATGGAGGTCCGCAATGCAGTCAAGCGCTCTATTCCGAAGAGTGTCGGAGACCCGGTCGATATGATCAGGAAGTTCGGCATTTGGGTCGCGTGGAAGCGTGGCAACGAGAAGGCTCCGCTGTGGACTCGACCGGGTGTCATCGAAAGCAATCCCAAGGTCTCTCTCAACGAGAAGAAGTCCGCCGGGCGACCTAGTCGCCGCTCCGAGCGCAATGTGGATCACCAACAGACCTATGCTGAAAGACAGGCCGTTCAACGCCCCTCCGAGGAACTTTCTGAGACGCTCAGCTTTCCACCCAACAGCAGTGCCTATCCGCCCTCAGGTAGTGCGACTCCTGTCCCTGTTCATTTCACCTACGATGTCGGTGTCAACGAGACCACACCCAAGCCGCGTACTGTACAGCGAGGTTCCGGGCTTGGCCCGAAACGAGTTGCCTGTGACGCCTGTCGCAAACGACGCATCCGATGTCGCCACAAAGATGAACAGAGCGAGTTGTTGCTGGGCAAACAAATGGCAGTCAATACGTTCACGCCCGGATCAGGTCTAAGCACTCCATCCTCTTTGGCGCAAGATGCCGTCTCGGCATTAAATTCCCTTGCAGCAATTGCGTCTCAAGCTGGATTTCAGAACAGCAGCCATCTGGTCGGACTGGATCGGTACGATGGGTCGGGGAAGTTTCATTCGACGGCCATCGGAAACTCCGCGGCAGACACCAACCAATTTAACGACGGGAGTCCTGACGGGGCTAATGGTGGGAAAAAGGGACGAAATAAGGCCTGTGAAGATTGCCGCAAGAGCAAGCGCCGTTGCATCCACGATGAATATGGCCGGATTGACCCGATCAAGGCCCAGGAGCGGTCGAAGCCTCGTGCTACAGCTTCTACAAAGCGAGTTCGACCTCTTGATGAAGACGGCACCCCTGTCACTTCCAAGAAAACGAAGCAGGAGAGCATTTCACCCACGTCACGTCCAGCGTTCTTTGGTCACGGCGAACGAAAGGACTCGGTGATGCAGGCCGTCCCAACAGGTGTTTATGACAACGAGTCTGTCAACCACACTGCCAGCAAACCGCCGGCACAACCGGGGGCCACCGTCAACCACGTCTCGTACGTCTCACCGCCTGCTTTCCAAACCGACTCGGTTGAAACCGAGGACAAGGACGCCATGCCTATGTCATCCCAGCCGACTGCATCTCTGGTATCACCGCCCACGTCGCTGGCCGACGAGATGGATGTAGTCCGTGATGGTGATCTCATGGCATCTGTAGAAGGCGAGGTATCCACCGCACTTCACACGCCAAACTCTAGCTCTCGCCATTCGTCTCGCCAACCCCGATATGTCGATCGATATGCGCCAGAAGCTCCCTCAACCCGAGTCTCAAAGCCCGCGAGTCGCACGACCACCGCACGCAAAACCACTCCTGCTCCGCCAGCTTCGTCAAAGAAACCTTCGTCTCGCCCGTCGTCGTCCCACGCTAAGAAGAGCTCTCCAATGGTTGAGAGGCGGTTCGATCGTCATTTCGCTTCGTCGCTATCTCCGCGCCAGTCGGTCAAGCCTGCCAAAGCCGGCAGCTCAGAAGAAGACCCAGAGGAGAAGAGTTTGCGTCTGATTCGGGAACTCCAGGAGCAAGATTTTGGTCTGCGGAAACGCTCGACGCGAATCTAGTTTTCTGCAATGTTTAATGATTAAGGAAGGGAATGGGTAGGAATTTTTCAGGGTGGGCTGGGATCCGGAGAAAATCGGTGTTTGTGTGTTTCTTTTCTTTGTCTCATTATGGGTGTTCATTTCTATTTCCGTTCTTCCTGGGTCGGGAGCTTTCGGATGGAGGAGTTAGTTCTTTTTCTTTTTG